TTCGATCCAGCACTTGCAAGAGTTGAAAAGCCTGTCAGGCGCTTACTTCCAGTACAAGCCGCTTACTTCTGGTGGCAGCATACGTGCCTGCTCAGTGCGCCATCCAGCCCACTATAGTGGAGATCAGTGGTTCAGCCTGCTATATATCGTTCTTGCTTCATGAATCTTTAATTTAAATACAAAACAAATCCGTATAGAAAACAAAATGATAGACAAACATTAAATAAAAATAATATTTGGGGGATTATTTTTGCGGGAGAGGTTTGTTTTAAGTCTTATAATAAAACGGGTGCAATTTAAATTATGATTTAAACCATCTTAATTCTTATTCTGCACCTTGATTATGAGCATAGGATACTTGTTTCAAAAGAATGCAATATTTGTTAAGTGTGCTTCATCAAATCTGTTCTCGTCATAACATAATTCACCTTTTTCAAAAATGTGTATTCGAAAATAAAGGGATTTGGCACCCTCCCTCTCTTCCTGCTGGCCGAGTGGAGAGGTGGCTTTTTTGTATCCACTTTGAGGCCAAAGATAACCTACAATGGGGACAAAAGGGATTTTTTGGGGGAGCCACGTCTAGGTCATAATGACTCAATGAGCTAACAGGATGTAGCTGACATCTTTGGTTACGAATATGCCCAAATAATGTGGTTGAACGGATTGGAGAAATTTGGGGGTGCTTTGTTTTTTAGCCACTCTATTTGAAATCCAGTCGCACTCCCAGGTGATGGTCCCTCTTTGGAAAATTCACGATGTCACAAGCTAGAAACTCCTACTAAAGCGTTAACATTATGTTTGGTTGCAAGATGGTGGTCACAACAAGATATGACAGTCTGAACCGAAACCTGGACAAGATGGTGCAATTTGGTGGCATCTTTTCTTATGTTTCGTTTGTCGACTGCTTTTAATTATTAGATAATGTGGCCCACATTAAGATCTTTTCGTGTTCAACTTCAAGTTTGGCAGCATCTATCTTTTCTTGGTTTTGGTGAAAACAATATGGCGCTCAACTTTAGCTGCACTTTTTTTTGTAACTATTTCCTGTTAGATTGCTAGTAGTCATTTATGCTAGTGAGCTTGTCACGCCTAAAATGCCATGTTTGCATGGCATTCTCTTTTGTTTTTCTGGAGAATGGCTAGAGACCCGAGCAATGTTGCTAATGAATGGTGCATAATGGATGGGCTGAAGACGAGTTGAGACTGAAACAAATTTCATCCTGATTTGAAAGCGCACAAAAGGTGAGGACGGAGTAAGAAAAGACGTATGACGGACAAGCGCTCACTCGCAACTGATATGTTTTTATGAAACCTCAGAAAACGCAAAAAAGCATCCCGCTCCCCCAGATCGCTCATGCACACTTCACCTCCTTGTTGTCAAAACTACATATCTTTAAAACAATAAAATCACGATGTTTATGTGCTGTTGTTTTTAGGTTTCAATGAACATATCAGTTGCGAGTGAGCGCTTGTTCGTCGTACGTATTTTCCTACTCTGTCCTCGTCTTTTGTGCGCTTTCAAATCGGGATGAATAACTGCCAACTAGCCCAATTTTTCACCCTCGCGAAACAAAGTTCCGACGCGACACTGTGACATAAAACTTAAAGGGGTATTCGGCCATTTCTTGAGCTACCCAAAGAAATTACATTTTCTGATTACCCGCACTTTGGTCTTCACTGTATGCTATTTATTGTCTCAAAATTCAAGATGGCTATTGGGAAAACCGTAAATGAAAATGATGCCGAAACCAACATTCAATTGTCTGCAGATTCTCCAGTGTGCGACAGCACAAATGACACAGACTTTGAGGTTGCACGGCTAGTCTTAAACAGGGTGTTTTGAGGTTTTTTTCGTGCGTATTAGTGAATGAGCTTCCACATACACTTTTCCTACTATCAGACGTCTTGTAATTTGTTGGAAATGTGGTTTACTGCCCACTTTGTACCATTTCTCTCCTCACACTTCAGTGTTGCTAGTGGGGCTCTTGGTTTGAAAAACATGGTCAGAACGAAATTAAAAAAATGTAATAACTTTGTGAATTTTTTTTATTTTCCCGCAATACTTGGGGGGGCTGGTACATCCGTGTCTATCGGTGTCTTGAGTCAATTTCAATCGGCGACCATAAAAAAAAGAATTGGTGGAGTGCTCCCTTAACATGGTATTTCACATTGATGTCAATTTGGAATGTCAAGCTGAATCTCACGGAGCATTTCAAACTTTTCTTTTTTTGTTTGTTAGTCATCTCTTTAAATTTTTAATTGGCTCAAGCACCCCATTGATTGCAGTTGCCTTTCTGTGTGTTCCTCGGTAAAGAAAGTGAACAGATATGTTTTACAGTGTGCCACCACTGCTCAACACGTAAAGAATGACACGGAAACAACCAAGAGATAAGACTCGCCTTCTAACCGGAAGACCTAGATCAAGGTTCATACTCTTCACGCAAAAAGAGTGTGCTTAAAAAAATCTTAAAAAGTTGCGCAAACATTTTTTATTTAACGAGACAGATGGTCGTAGGCAGCGAGGGACTGGCACTTTGCTAGGCCTTTATGTCGGTATGGCTTCGGCCGCTCAAGTCGATGAAATTGTTGCCCTTCCTTTCGGAATCCCTGGATCGAGCAGCCTTACCGAGAATTGTAGTTTCGAGTAAATATTTATTTTCTTTTGCTGCTTGAATTGGGGAAGGGCAAGAAGAGCACATAGTATTCTCGGTCTCCACGGTGAACTATCCGAGCGGTGTTGGCGGCCATCAAGCTATAGCAAAATTTCATTGTAACATAGAGACAACTTTCGATCCTTTCGCTTGACGTATTTGGATTTGTTCTTAAGTTTCGTCGTATGCCAGTTTTCTGTCGGAGCAAAAAGAAGATATACTTAGTGAACAGTTTCTGCTGCGGCGCGGAAAATACCTGGCCCCGTCACGTGATACTGGTCACTATGTCACTCTCGAGTGATTGCAGCGCTCCAGTCAGTCCTGTTCGAGACTGATGCTTTGAAAGTTGGCAACAAGAAATGTCAAGTCATGCACCTTCTCCCCATCGCCAGGTGGAGAAGGCAAGGGGTGATGTTTTTAGTTTTTCTGCCCGATCCCCCAAAAGTCTGCCCGGCAATCGTCTTCATGGCCTGGTGATAGAGAAACACATTGGCTTGAAAGCAGAAAGGGGAAGTCAGGTTTTCTTTGTCGTTTCTAGGCTAGGTGGCGCAAGCTACCCCTCATTATAAAGGGTACGGCTGTTATTATCCATCCATCCGAAGTAGTAATTCGCTCTTCGTCTCAATTCGAACTTTGACTTGGCACGCTACGTTGCGATTCAACAGAAGCTCGAATTTAGGTTTAGCGTAGGCTTTGTGAGGCAGTTGTTATTTCCTTTTCAGTGCCGTTAAGCTCTTTAAGCTTTCTTTTGACTTTAGTCACTCGTTTTGTTAGGTTTTCTTGGTGATTTAGTTGGGTTCTGTCAAGGAGAACACCCTGCTTCTCTTGTAATGTATCTAGGGCTGTTTTAGTGTTGCGCCCAAAATTCAGCTCCCCATCTCTTTACAAGATGAGCAGTGAGCGTAAGGATGCAAGTGAAAATGGGACTTTTAATGATGGACATATTGCGAGAGCTCACGATGTTAAGAGATATGGCTCTTTTTGTCCACTTTCTTTGGTGCGAGTCGGTAAAAAACGTCCCATTTGCGCTTGGTAAACAGAGACATAGACACTCATGATTGTTTAACATGCTTAGGTAAAAATGGCGAAAAACATGTAGATTTGCGGCCAGACAGAATTAAAGCTTGTACGTCGAAAAGAGCAAGCACTCTTACCTGCAAGATATAAAGTACAGCTTTTCAGCCACGCTGGTGGTCGTCCAGTCTGTGAAGGTTCCCCAATCTATTTGTACTATCATGCAGATTGCAGATCATGTGACGCAGAGACGTAGATCCAGCAACCGAGTGCAGTCCGCGCGGCACGTGGTGATTGAACAGTCAATTCCCATTGACGAGCGCCGAGACTACTGCCATACAAAATATGTAGATGTGACTTCTATCGGGATTGCTGGTCGAGAACTGCAAGATGTAAAGCACAGGTTTAGCTTTTCAGCTACGCTCGTGGCCTCGGTATTGGGTTGGACTGTTTCTCACTTTATACAAGCTTACTGGCACTAGTGGGGTCAAAGTATACTAGTACGCAATGCGACTGATTGAGAAGCTTCTTTGTCACGGTGCAATTTCAAGAATGAAAGTGCCCATTCAGTCTCTCTTTTGCAAAGCACGTACTTATGGGGATCATGGTGTCGACGTAGTCACTTGGAAGTACCCCATGGTGACAGTAGTCAAATTCTGCCCATAGATTTGACACATACACCAAGCGAGACTCAACCAGCACTCTGGTGATGGCTCATGGCGAATCGCCCTAGTGACGGGAGTAGCCGAACCTTAATAATACCCGGAGCTCAGTGCGTGCCCTGTGCTTTGCCAACTCTAGTGCGTGGCCATGACCAACGTTTGTGGCATAAAATCTTCACGAGATCAGCTTGATCTGGCTGCGTGTCTAGGGGACTGAGCGTTGCTTGAGTTTCACTAGTCTTGCAAGCGACTGCTGTTGCGGTAAAGAAAAACTGCTGGATGTATCGTTTGTTATGAACATTGAGAATTAATTCTAAGAGGTACTCACCGAAAGTGCAAAACTCATTGCACCATAATGCTCCATTTTGGACGCTCTCTACTTCGTTAGTGAGATATAATGCTGAAATGATGACCATATCAACGATAGATGCATATTTATTTATTTTGTTTATTATATAATGCAAACCAATAAATAACCTTAGTTGGAAGGAAAATAAAAAAAAGACGGCAAAGCTCGTGCAGAATTGTGGTACAAGTTTACGGTGAATTACCGATTCGAAAAAATGATTGGTCATTAGATAAGTTCAGAAATTGCGCACAAATGTGCGCTGTCACTGCACAAAGGCATTGGGTTCATGCTTCCCTGAAGTTGTGTCTGTTGCACGTTTTCCAGTGAAGAAGCTCTCGGACGAGGAGATCCAGCAGATATTGGGTAGCGACTCGGAGAATTCCGACGACCCCGACTTCGACCTGGACAACTCCAACGGCCGCACGAGGAAGGGCAGCTCGTTTGGGGCCTTCCTCACCAAGAAAACAAAGTCGTCGGCGGCTTCGTCGGATTCAGAAGATCCGGACGATCCGGATGATCCGGACATGCCGAGGTCGTCACGTCGTGGCTCCAGGCGTCATCCCAGGAGGTCGGGTCGTGCCAGGAGGTCTTCCGGGGAGAACGAGAAGAGGAAGCCGTCGTCCTCATCATGGGCTCCCGTGGTCAATGTGCCGCCGCCGAACCCGCAGCCGGATCCGTCTCCCCCGCGAGCCGCCGCACCACCCGTCGAGTACAAGACCTGGGATGGAACCGTCGCCGTCATCGAGCCGTCGTAAGTGAAAAGGCGTTGCATCGGTGACCACTCGGGACCCTTGCTGTAGTCACCAACAACACTTTGCGATTCGTTAATCTCATTGGCTGCTCGCCGTCCCGAGAACAAGCCTTCAGGTTGCTCTGATACGTTTCCCGCCATCGATGACGCTTGTGCAACACCTTTTTATTTTATATGAAATATGGACGGATGCAACACCAAGAGGCATTAGAATGTTTGTCCTTCCTTTGGAGCTACCAAATATTCTCACGATAAGTGAGCTTTAAACATTTCACGTACCATGTTTTCTGGACTACGAGTCGCACCCTCGTATAAGTCGCACTTCCATATATTGAGCCGTTTTCGCGGAAAAGTTGGTATATATGTAGCATTTTTGTATAAGTCGCACCTGTTTGCACGGTTCACGTGATGAATTTTCTCTTTTTTTGCACATCGGTATCGCAAAATCGGAGTTTCGCTCGATCGGTTAGTTCACACGTACCGTTTGACGCGCAACAACTGACTTTTTGACTCTCGAGAAATGCCCGTAGCACGGCCCTGTCTGGCGGGTGCAATCGAGTGTTTCGCAGCAAAAGGGCGTAAAAAGTGCAAAATGAAAAGGTAGTAAATTTCATTCGAGCATACACATGCTGAGTGGAAGAAAGTTTAATCTGCCAGACGCTCGTGAACCGAGCTTTGGACGACTAGGCCTAGCTTAGGCCCAGTCACGGAGACGACGCGAGCATTGACGCGCAGGCAGATAGATAAATCTTGACACGCGTTTACAGGTTTGCTCGTCAGCTCGCTACAATCCTTCCTTTTACATGTAGCAGCACGGCTGGAGCGTGGCAGATAAAAACTGCTCATCAAACGGAAACTAAGAAAGACATGACGAAAGTTTCTGCAGTGCGTGCATATAGCAGCCCACTTACTTTTTAGTGTTACTGGACTGAAGCAAACGAATACGGAACCATGGCTGAACTAGACAACGTCAGTCGCATGCTGTGAAAGCTTTATTCTCACTGTCTTTCCTATCCACTTTGTGAGATTTGTATTAGCTACCAACAGAGGTATCAGTAGAGTAACCAAAGGGTTATCTTAGCAGCGGCGACAATCTCAAAGGAGACATCAAACAGACATCATAGGAGCGCAGTCCCCACATCTCCGCGGCAATATAGACGACGTTTAGGGCTTCATTACCACGGGTCGGTTCGATAAATTACCTCCTTCGGTACCAATGATTGACCACATTGTCTCACTCTCTCGAATATAGCAGAGGAGACGGCACACGTACCAGAGTAAGGACAGAGTCCAAGAGCATTTATAAAAACACTCGCCTATACAAACTACTATGTCCCCATCCAAAATGCCCCCCACGCCGGCAAGGTAAGAAAAGGTCCTTACGTGTCAGACGCTGGGTTCTGGAGAGCTAAAATTGGGGAAGCATCGGAGAAGCCGCCGATACACATCCTTTTTCCTCGCCTGTCAGCAGTGATCCGCATCCGAGTGGGGGGGAATAGAGAGAGGTCCCCTCGGGAGAGCGTGAGAGGAGGGACTCTTAAGACAGGGTATCCTCTGCTTCACAAGCAGGTCACGGCCAAGGAGGCCGAGCGTTCCAACCCGGGGCTGTTATCGCAGCCATCGGGGAAGAAAGACTAGAGGAATCCCCACTACCTTGAGCTGCTTCAGGGAAACCGTAAAATTTCTCGCTTTCTGAGTGAGTTCTAGAAAGTGTAGCAGAGTGTGGTGACAGTAGTGCCTTCTGGAAGGGGCTACACCACCTATAACTACATAGTTATGGTGCTGTACGAAAGATGGCGTGCGGCGCATAAAAGATATCGTTGCACAGTGAAATAAAAGAAAAAGCATATAAGTCTTATCGTTGTATAAAACGCACCAAGAAAAATGTTTGAAAGAAACCGCGACTTGTACACGGGAAGATAGGGTATCTGCTTTTAGATGAAATATTCCCGTCATATGCCAAGTCACTCCCCATTCCTTGTGCCAGCATCTGTGAGTGGTAGTAGGTGGGTTGCTGAGAACGTCATTGCAATGTTATTGGCTACAGAATTTTTTTTTTTTTTTTTTTTTTATTGCCGTAAAGACTTGGGGTTATTGCAGCGATGCTGTGGTTTCAGCGGGTAAGGGCCGTCCGCTCCGGGGAATTGGTCCTGTTACTGTTGGTCCCTGAAAGGAGGCTTTTCGAAGCCAACCCAAGCCATCCACAGTAACATTACGTATGCACCTTGTCATTAAAAAAAAGGCCATTCAGGCATCATCAATTTTTAAAAATTTGAAATCAATTCGCTTGGTTTTCAAACACAAGGGGTGATACTGGTTGAAAAAACCCTGAGACTGCGGGTAATCGACACAACACTAAAAGGTCTCTACTTTGATCTTTTTTGTTTTGTTGCGAAAAAGCCGTCTTTACTCACTTCTTTTTACTTACTTTTTCGCTTGAAAAATATACTAATTGTAGTGCCATCGCAAACGTGATTCACCCAGAAATTACCTATTCACCTCAAAATCGAACCATGTTGCAACCGTGCGGCCGAAAGTGGAAACATACGAAACTGAGGATACCGCAGTGCGTTGTCTGCTACGGGCGCACGTTCAGAAGCATGGATCTCTACAACGCAGGCACGTTTCCTGCTGAGCTGGGCCCTCCTTATGAAATGCTTGTTGTTTCTGTTTCTTCTTACTAAAAGTTGTGCCGTCTCGTTTTACATGCGTGGAAATTCAGCAAAGTTATTATTAAGTCGTATGCTGCCATAATTTTAGTGTTGCGGTTTTTGGAACCGCTGGTCCCACATAATATTTTTATCTGGCACAATCCATAGCTTTCATAAAACATTGAATGTTCATTCAATTGATGAAAAAATTAACCCGACTGATTGCCACCTTTTAAAGGGGCCCGCAAGGACTTTTTAACTTTTTATTTTATTTACACCAAACCTGAGCCAACTGAACGCAGTAACTTAGTGAAACTTTTCTCAAAATTCCCTTTATTTTAAAAGTTGTAGGCAAAGCAAAATGACAAAAATAAGCAAAAAACAACCTCCTTCATGACGTCCTTGGTTGCTTGAGAGTGGCCGTGAACTAGAGGAGGGTAGTGAGCTTATCGAGCGCTCACGGCTGCCGCACTCCGTGTTGACGGCGCGAGAGGGCGCTACTAAAGCATGTTCTGGATAGGCTGTATGCAGCGGGCAGCCAGAGCGGCTCTCATTGAATTTGCTGCTCGATTAAATACAAATTCGGCATGACGATTGTGGGAGCCACTGGTTTCCCTCCCCCGAGAAGGCGTGTTCCGTGGACGTTCCGGGCGAAGCCATCCGACTTCAAGCCCTGTCACTTTGTATCGTGTCGCTGAGAATACGCCACCATGCTGGCTTACTCTCTCGCACTCCTCCGCGCGTCTCCCCGATTTCGGGGAACAGCGACATTGCGCGAGGTAGAGTCGGGCCTGCCCTCCGAGTGGACGGCCATGTGGTCGAGGAGTCCTGCATTGGACTCCGGGCGACAAGTTGAGTCGCGGCGTACGAGCTCGTCCGACCGGCGATGACTCCGCTCGCGATTACCCCTTTGTGCTCTCAGGTCGGCGGGCGATGCGGGCACACTGTGTCCGCGGCTCGCTTGACCGCAGTGTCTTGTTGGGGACCCCGATACTCAATAAACGCTGTCGGCCGTGCGGTGGGTCAGGCATCGGATTTCCCCTTTGGTGCGTAAAAGGAAGTGCGTAATCCTCCCTACTTTTTATGCCCACACATTTTGGGGGGGATTACGTAAGGATTACGCACCTTTCACGTCCGGGGACCGGTCCGATGCTCAAAGGGGTAATCCGATGCCCGTCCCACCGCGCGGCCGACGGCTACCAGCGAGGGTGGTCGCCGCGCCGGGTTCGGCCAACGCCATGCCAACAACGATGATCCCGGTATCCAGCGGCGTTTATTGAGTACCAGGGGTCCCCAACAAGACACTGCGGTCAAGCGAGCCGTGGACACAGTGTGCCCGTAGCGCCCGCCGACCTGAGAGCCAAAGGGGTAATTACGAGCGGAGTCATCGCCGGTCGGACAAGCTCACGCCGCTACCCGCCGTCGCAGGAGTTTGGGGCCAGGGCTCTCGGCAGACGGACGTCCACAGGTAGTGGGGAAGCCGACTGTCGGAGCCAGGGGAATCACTAGCGTGGAGTCATCGCTGGTCGGACGAGCTCGTACGCCGCGACTCAACTTGTCGCCCGGAGTCCAATGCAGGACTCCTGGACCACACGGCCGTCCACTCGGAGGGCAGGCCCGACTCTCCCTCGCGCGATGTCGCTGTTCCCCCGAAATCGGGGAGATGCGCGGAGAAGTGCGAGAGAGTAGGTCAGCATGGTGACGTATTCTCTCCGACACGATACGGAGTGACCGGGCTTGAAGTCAGACGGCTTCGCCCGGAACGTCCGCGGAACACGCCTTCTTGGGGGAGGGAAACCAGTGGCTCCCACACACTTCATTGGCCACAAACGACAGCAAACACGGGGTAAAGATCAGTTCAGAATGGGAGCCACTTTGAGCTGCCATACCGCGAAACGGCCAAACCGCGAGACAGAGCTTCTCGCCAGAGGCCTTCAGAACGCTTGGAGCCGGTTGGATCCTCCTGTCCATATGTCCGCAGCGCCGCCGCGTACATCCGGGACGTTTCCGTGTTGGCGCCTGATCCTACTACTCCTTTCTAGTATGCGCCGCCTCTTCCACCGCTTGGTGGCGGGTATGTCGACGGGTCATTTCTTGTTTCCGTACTTTATGAACTGCATTTGTTTCTTTCCTGATCTAAAATACTGAACAAGAACTACTTTTATAAATAATTGAAACGGTTTGCGCGACTTATATATTGTATTTCGACTAAAAAGAAGCTTTTGCAAAAAGCTTCTTTTTAGAAATGCATCAGCTTCACTCCTGCTCCTTTGGGATTGGGGAAACTAGGTGCTGTTTGGCTAGGCTTTTCGCGTGGCTTCAAAGCTGGGAGTCACCAGATCGTGGCTTCACTTGGAGAAAGGCGTTTAGGGGCCGTTGGCGCGGCTTCAAAGCTGATAATGTCGGCTCGCGCCATGGGACAGTTAATGCTCTCGCATTAAAAGCGGACGATAGGTTGGGCGTGTTCGTTTTTGCCGACATCAAGTTGTTCTAGAGCTTATCAACCTTATTTCTTTTTATGAAACTTGCAATGCCAGTGTTACTAGAAAGACAATGAGTACAGACCGTGCAAGTGATGTTTTCCAGGTTCTTTGCGTATATCAAAGCGGCAATCCGGGGGACCACTAACGCCCGCATTTGTGCCCCGTTGTTCCGAAGCTGGTGGCAGTGCATGGGACTTCTCTCCCCGAATCATTGTATTAACGGTCTGCTCCCCTCCGTGCAGAGCGCAGTCGGGCGAGAAGTCGTACTACTGCTGCGTGCGGGGCTGCTCGTCGGCCAACGTGAGCGACCGGGACGGCCTGTGGCTGTTTGAGATGCCCAAAGAGGCCTCCATCATGTCGGCCTGGGACAACCGGCTGCCCCTGGACTACGAGCGCAACCGGCCCCACAGCCCCCGGGTGTGCTTCCGCCACTTCGAGAAGAGCGACTTTGTGCGCCGCCAGCAGCGCCTGGTGGGGCTCCGCGAGGGGGCGCTGCCCAACCACCCGGACATCCCGGACGCCGTGCTGCGCCGCTCCAACCCCCGGCTCGACTTCAAGGACGCCATCAAGGAGGAGCCCCTCTGAGCTGCTCCCTTCTTTTCATTCTCGCCCTACAAAATGAAATTTGCGACTGGCCGACTTCTTGGGGTAATTCTGGTTCGGGAGTGTTGGAGGCAAAGAATACGACGTTTGGGTATGCTGCTTAGAAGGCCTGTTGCACCGCACCCTCGAAAATGTCTCTCGATTTCTGTTTTGACGACGTCTTAGAGGTGCCGCGCCGTTGCCTGCCGAGATCCTGGCGCGGCGGTGGATGGGAAGGAGGCTCGTTCTCAGACTCTACGGTCTGCGGAAGCTCCGGCAGCTGGGACGCTCGTTGCCGTTTGCTCGCGGAGTAAAACTGTGCAGCAAATCCAGGGCCTTGATTGGCGTAATTGAATGTCCCGCTCTTTTGGGAGGCAACAATGACCTTTTCGCGCTTGTTGTTTGAGATAAGACAGCTCTCACCGAGGACGGCAGTGGGGTTGTCTTTTTGGGAGGTGCAGTGGTGGACGGCGGGGTTGATGTCGCTGGCCCGTAATAAGCCGGAGCCCCTTGAGGGGGCGTGGCCTCCTCCTCCAGGGGAATAACGGGGGCGCACCTTAATTCACGCCCCCGCACTGCACTGCACTTTCGCCACTTAGCGGCGACAGTCTGCGGCGGTTCTTTACAAGAATGTGAAACCACTTGGTCCACCTGTAAATGCCGCATCGCGGTGCCTGACTATTCGCTAAAGTGTCATTTGGTGAACCGCCACCTCAAGAGGCTCCGCCTTATTACGGGCCAGCGACATCAGCACCTCCTCGACTCCCCTCGTTCACACCGACTCGCGGCGACAGAGTGCAGCTGCACGCCGCAAAGCGACACGAATGGGCGCCGCTGATAATGAACGTTAGGAGGTTAACAAAAGGAGGCTAGTTTTAGTGGTGAATACGAACCCCGCATACGGCGTGGTTAAAAGCGTCTAAATCTCGAGGCGGCATTGCGTTATCCCAGGTGGCATCTTTGTACATGCCAAACATTGATGTGCATTCTAACCCGCCGGTGATGCGTGCATTTCTGACGTGCATCAAAAAAGACCCATTGGGTTCCCTGGATTTGCCCGATGGTTTTACTCTACGAGGAAGCGACACCTGCGTTTGCTCATACTTTTTGCCGGAACTTCCCTGACCAGCTGGATGGCGACATGCAACAATGTGACGTGCCGGCTTCTGCGAGGTCGTTTGTTGCCATCCTCGATGCATGGGCGGGACCAGATGGGCTACAGGCACCGTAGCTCTTGGACATTTGGGTCGGCCGCCTCTTGAAAATGACTCCGCTTTGAGAGTGAAAAGTTTGTTCTTGGGGGGCTTAATGACTTAACTGATGCCCGTCTTGGGAAGACGCTGCGGAAGTTTTCGTTAATATTTCTATTGAAATTTGTGACCCTGGTGCAGGTAAAGAAAACCGGGAGAAGCTGCTCCCTTTCCACTTAGCAGGGCAGATGCCGAATAGGAAGCGAGTTTCTCTGTGGCGTTCGCTCTGCGCAAAGGATGGAGGGCTTTTCTTAAGCGTGCAGCGGGGTATAGTAGTTGACCCCATGGGACTCTGGTTCCAAACTCTCTGAGGTATCAGATATGTTGTTTGGAGGCTGTACGTGTGGGCCATCTTGGAACGATGGCCTGAGGTTTTGTTTCTTAATTATGGAAATTTGTATTTAGTTAGCCTACGGTGACTTTGCTTCGAGAGTGTTTGAAATGAAAGTTATTATGTCTGGGGCCGAACAACTGAATTGGCAGTGAAACAATGGCAGATGGTTGATAGAAATTTGTAACCAGTTGAATGAAAGTGATACTTTTCTGCGATTACTTGAGATAAAAGTATGAGGGGGCTAAAGCTAGAAATGTCATTTAAAAGTTACATTTTAATCTCGGCTTGTGCGAATGAGTCATTAGAAATTCGATTACTTTCATCTTGGTTGATGTGCTTTTTAGCCCATAGTATGTAAAAAGGATGCTATGTCACGCATTAAAAGCAAACCTGTTAATCTACTACAAGTTCTAAAAAAATGCATGAAGGAGACTGCAGGCTGTTGTATTTCTTGCATTGTTTTTGCAAGCAAGCAACATACTTTACCGGTTCTTTTTGGTACACAGAAGAAAGCGCTCGACGATTTTCAGCTTCAAATCCGATATAAGGGAACGTTCTGCCTCACCAACTGCTTACCACGATCGTGTCATCTAGCCACGGGAATCGCAATGTTTCGTTGGAACACCGACCGATGTGCGGAGTATGTTACGGGAGTCCCGTCGTGCGTTTAGGTTTTCTTTTTGTTTAAAAACATTAATGGAACTGTTTTCTTTTGAAAACACCCGCCATGCAAAAGGCCGGAGCTATTGTAGGGTCCAAATTTCTCTCCGAGCGTGTTCTTGCCGAGAGTGCTCATATTGCCCATGAGTTAGCAGTTTGCATCATGTTCAATTTAAACCAGCTCATTTGTGCCCTTACATTCACTTCATAATCTGGAGCTTTTTGTTATTTCAAACATACTAAGTTGGACGTTACGTGAGTCTATCTTGTTTTTTTTTTCCTGGGATGCGACTTTATCATTCACTCCATCATTAATGTTGCAGCCGACACCCGTGTTCCGTGCTGCAATGTGCGCCATCTTTGTTTCCGTGTCTTTTAAAGAAAATAAAGGTTCTCGCTTGCTGAGTGAGTGAAAAGACGTTTATTGACTTTCGGCTTTGGTATCCGTTTCTTTTCCAGTATGTGGGAGCTTTTCTAGCATACAATGTTAGCATACTTGCTTTTCTTGGAACATTTTCACCTATTACTTGTGAACAAGCTAAAGTATTTACGGGGCAACACTGCTTCTAGATTTTTTTTTTTATATAACTTGCATTTCATTCAAATGAAATTTACATATCTGCCATTACAATTGGACTACAAATATGTAATGGTTTTGATGTAACCTATTTAGTTGTTAATATTGGGAAGATTTCATTTGCAAAGATTATTGGAAGGATTAAGACAAGTCGAAATACTGAAATAAAAAATAAGCATAGGGTATATCGGTAAACTAAAGGGTTTGTCGAATCCAATAAGGCATAAATGAAAGCTCTAGAATGATTTATAAGTTTTTGAGGACGCTTGAATTTTCCAGTTGCAAAATGATTTATTGCGGATGCCTAAAAGGCACTTCAAAAAAGTCTGATACCATACTTAATATATTTATACCCCTTATTGTATATATATGTCACACCAGGCACGTAGCCAGGGGGGCGGCCCATGGAACCCGGCCCCCCCCCCCCCCTCTCCCCCCCCCCCAAAAAAAAATTTAGATTTTGCTGGGACCTCCCCTCCCCCTCATACAGCATTTTGTCATGGGCGGGCCCCCCCTGAAACAAAATCCTGGCTATGTACAGTACCTGTGTCACACATACACCTGCCAAGAAAAAATTGTGAAGACTGTATATGTGCAGTGAAGATATGGCTTCCCTCAACTAGAGAAGTGTAATAATAATTTAATAATAAGTGTAATAATTGATCAGTAGGAAATAAATAACAAATAATACCCACAGACGCAATTATTTAATGAAAATCCTCTGGGACAAGGTGTTAGTGCCTGCCAATCTTCAAAATCACAATTTGCCTCAGAGCTGTGTCTGACCCATTTCGTTCATCCGCCCTGCACGCTACGCTTTACTCGACCGTCCCTCCGATGTGCTAATAAGGAAATCCGTCGTCATTAGTGGTTTCACGCATTTATTATATGGAAGTATTCAATAGGTGTAAATCATATTTGTGTTTCATGTGTAGTAATTAGTGGTTCACGTTTTCTAAAATAGTATAAAGGATTTTCGCCCGTTCCAAAAACATGAAGAAGAAACATGCGAGAAGGGTGTCTCTTTCGGATGATGGATGATGGAACGCAAACATATGCTTGCCTTCCATCATTCCTCGACCGCATGGGCAGGCTCGAAACTCTTACGAGGCTGAAGTGGACAACTGTCTTTGGAGGAGTGAGTAAGGAACAATTTAATTTCTCGGAGAAAAGAAAGTAAATTTTTGTGCACAACCGATTTGAGGGCGTTCACACGGCGTCGAATCTTCATCGGTAAAAAAGCCTGCGTAGGCACAGAGACGCAGTTCTTCGGCGTGCCGAGGAAGCTTTGACCACGCCGCGAGACCGGCGAAACTTGCTTTCAAGAAGCTGTGGCTTTTTCGTACGACACAGCGCTTTCGCAAAAATTTCTTTGTGTTCCCAACAGCAAGTCTCACCGCTTGCACAGAGTTTTATGACAACGAACGAGTAGAAAACCTGATTTCAGCACGCTGCCGCCAGCCTCTACAACGCTAGCGAAAACGCGATTTTTCAGCATGCAAGATGGCCGTCTGGTCAGTCCGGTCTTCAAAATCAGTTTAACAAAACTTTCAAAACTGCAACATATACACCGCGCTTGTGTGTATGTTGTGTGTTTATCCTAAATACTAGTGTGTGTGTGATATTTGTGCTCTGTGAAGTCAGTAATCTCAGTAATAGTCACTACCCTTTTGGGCATGGCAGTTTTCGCCCACTTAGGGTCACATAGTTTTAACTCTTGATACTAAAAGCACAAGCGAACGAACACGTCAATATTTACCCGCGCTGCCCGCGCTTCACTCAGTTCCGAGTTCTCTGGGTCACGTTGTTCAGCGCAGCGCGGTTTAAAGTGGGCGAGGATTTTGCTATAGCAGTTTGGAGGCGGGAAATCTTTGGATGGCGGGACCATGTAGCTGAGCGCAGCTTCTACGTCAACACGAATTTCGTAAGTGCGACTCAGTTAAAAGCGCGTTGAATCTCTGGACTGCTTCCCACTTGTCCACCCTCAACTTCCCACTTCGAGCTGTTTTAAAGCGACACCGTACTTTAAATTTGGAACAGCGTGCTTCTGGGTTGTAAACACGTTCGGGGAGCTTGGGAGCTCTCTAAATGGCGCGGCAGTGCGCCGAGGGAGCGGCGGTTGACGCTGAGATTGAGAGACGGCCGCTTGTCAAACCCTTGGAACTTCCGACTTGCTGCAAGGGGCCTGGCGGGTTTGGGCTCAATCCTTGCTTCGAAGTGACGGCACGATCCCCCGCCAGCTCCGCAGAGCTCTAGCGGACGGTCCCCGAGCGAGGGGTGGACCCCACGCCTCATTGGAACTGCCAGAGAGCAGGGGGGCTATGTTGCGCGTTTTGCACTCCCAGGAGACTAGGGAGAGGGAAGTGACGTCAACGACACAGCAAACGCAGATTGGGTGTTGATTTCGTTTTCTTCTGTCAACATCCAATCTGCATTTGCTGTGTCGTTGACGTCACTTCCCTCTTCCAAGTCTCCTGGGAGTGCAAAAAGCGCAACATAGCACCCCAGGGGTGCTATCAGGGATGGGCAGTATTTCAAATACAGGGATTTGAAATACGTATTTGAAATACTTTGTGTATTTTGCATTTGTATTTAATTACAAATTGGGTAATGTATTTGACGTGTGTATTTAAATACTAAAACATGGGTATTTCAGATACAATTTTGTGGGCGAAAATACATCTTGTTTTTATGGATGTAGTTGTAGGATAGTCTCCATCCTTTATTCGGCCATGGGGCTTTTTTCTTTTTCTCCTCCGGTTTTATTTTAAAGGCACTGTCCAGAGCAGGAAGAAAACTACGTTCTGCACCGAATGCAGTGTCTCTCAATCAAGCACTAGCTTTTAGTGACTTTATGATTACGGTGCTAGTCCAGGGCAAGAATAGTGACGAAATTGACGTTCGCAGGCAGACTGGCTAAATAAGTGACAACTTGTGATGCTTTCCAGCTTGATTTCCATCGATATTGTTGCCTGGAACATTCTAAATGCGCGGGTCGTCAAGATTTTCGTAACCGGTGCAAGTTGCAACGATAAAAAATTCTCTAGCTACTGCTGCGCGTCTTGGTCGTCTCGGTTCTTTGTTGGTCTATAGCAAAATGTAATCGACAAAAAACGCTGCTTGAAGCTCTGTACGTTTTTCGCCTATTACGTCCAAGCTGATTACATTTTTTTGTGATTATATTTCTATTACGTTAGTAGAGCCTCGAAAACTAACTCCCGAGTGTGCGATGCAAAATTAAAATGAGATACCCAGAAACCCATTGCAGGTGCCCTGAAGTCGCTGACGCAAATTTTGAGGAATGTATTTGGAAGAGTATTTGGAGGAGACCAAATAGATTTGGTTGTATTTGTATCTTGTACTTAAATGCTTTTTTTTGGAAATGTAATTAGATTTGTAATTAAATATGTTTTTTGACAAAGTATTCTGTATTTGTATTTCGATACATATTTGCATGTATTTTGCCCATCCCTGGGTGCTGTGTTGCGCTTTTTGGATTCCCAGGAGACTAGGGAGAAGGAAGTGACGTCAACGACAGCAAACACAGATTGGATGTTGACAGAAGAAAACGAAATCAACACCCAACCTGCGTTTGCTGTGTCGTTGACGTCACTTCCTTCTCCCTAGTCTCCTGGGAGTCCAAAAAGCGCAACATAGCACCCCAGGCCAGCTGCTGAAGCGGCCATTTTCCGGCCAGCGTCAACCACCGCTTCGTTGAGAGAGCTCCCCAAGCCCCGTCTGCAAAGGAGGCTCACCTTGCTACATGTCGGAGAAATCGATAACATTTTTGAATTTCTTTTCCCTTTCGTCCAGGCAAGTCATGTCGGAGCAAATTCGTGAAGCGCTGCAGAGGCTGAATGCCTCCGACCATCTTGCGGAGGCCTTGCCACTCGCCGAAGAAGTGGAAAGGACCTGCGTAGAACAGAGTTTCTCGGTTAAAGATTTAGGTGGGTTCCAAACTTACATTATAAGCCATTTTAATAGGGTTTGACCTGCTCGTTATGAAAGGGGTGGTTTAATTGAGTGACTTTCTTTAAAGTCGGCATTAGTGAAAGCTTAAGCTAAAGATTTCCATCTTTTACCATTGGTGTATTTAATTAGTGACGCGTTATCACCTTATGAAATTTTGAGGCTTAGCTGCCTCCTTGTGAAAAATGAGACCCACACTCTTGACACCTTTCAAGGATAAATGCCAGTGCCGACGACCGAGTTGAAACAAACATTGTGCTTTGGTGGTGCCCGATGGACGCAGCACGGCGGTGTCGTCTGCTTTGACCGAGTGCATCGTGTGCTTGCTGTGCCTGTTGGGAGGTGGTGCCACAAGCACAACTTTCGGCTGTCTTTGTCGCCGTCCAAAATGTCCAGAGTGCTGGGCAATCATTTTTACCAGAAAGGAAACGACGCCTTAAAACGAGGTAAAATGTGCGAGTAAAATACTCCTTCACTGAGAGTTTGAGCTCCTTTTGTGCAGGCGCTGACTTTCCCGTTCGAACTTGTTGGAGCGAGCCCCCTCGGTTCGTAACACCTCGTACAGGGTGGTCTCGAGCGTATTTGTGCGTAAAATTATTCCTATATACAAGTGAGTGAATGGAGCACCATAGAACTTTTCCCGAAGGTATTTATAGGTGGTGCATTCATCGAATAAAAATTTTAGTGAGTGAAGGTTTCTGGAGAAAAGTCTGAGAAAAGAAAAACTTGTTTTATTTTACGTACAGGAGGAAAACAAGCAAACCTTGGGTTTGATGCATATCTTGCCACACACACACATGCTGGATCTGCATTAAGGTCTCCAAGAAGCTTTCAAGCTTTTGTACCATGGGGTGGAAGTAGTAGCGTCAACCCAACGGTTTGCTTCCGTTTTCTTTCTGCATAGAATAACAAGTTTTGCTCACTTTTTTTGCCAGAAACCTACACTTTGGGAATTTGAATATCACTGATGCACCACCGAAAAACACCGTTGTGAAAAGTTCCATGGCAATCTGTTCGTTGGCTTATTTATAAAAAATTTGTCATGCCCGAATGGCAATCGAGAACACCCTCTATATTGTGGGTCTACCAAAAGAAGTGCCTTAGTGATGTTTAATTAGCAGCTAAAAGGTATAAACAGCCACATCACAAGTTCCCTGAACCCTGGGTTTTACAAAAACCAAAATTATATTTTTTTGCTCGACTTTTGTGACCATTGTGGATTATCTCCTGTGCCCAATCTTGCTTCCACAAGAAGCTGGCATGGAAGAAGCTTTTACCCTCTTTTTTTCGATGAGGCAAGATGTGCAACTTCGCTAAATGTGATATTTGCCCTTGAACTCAAAGGCAAATATTCATGCTTATCATGCATATCTGAACCGTGCATGTCGTCAACCATCGGCCAAGCATGCTAGTCTGCATTGTAGGGTTAACCAAGTTTGTGAGCGGGCTGTCAGTTGTGTTGCAGCGATACCGAGTGGATTTTCCTCGCTGTCACTGTCTAGGGATTCTCAAGATCAAAATGTTTAATGGAACTTGGTTTAGCCTGATAGAGAAGGAAACGTGGGGAGTCACTTTCGACACTGCTCCACGCCCTTTGGCTGCGCACGTACGCTCAAGGAGCACGAGACGCCCAAGCGTTGTCGAAGGGAAAAAGCTTGCGCTGGACGACCGAAGCTGTCCTCGGCTTGTCAGGCTTTGGGATAAGAATGGCCACATGAGGGCAGTGCTAAATGAACTTGAGAATAACAACATCTACCGTAATATTCCAAGTCACCACCCACTTTCCTCCGGCCTGAAATTCATGAAAAAAGGGGGCTGGGTCATGCTCTCGGTGGGTAAGTGCAAAAAGTTTAGGAAAAGCTAAAAAAACTCCCATTTTTCTGTACATATCTAGCGCGACTGCGCAAGATATTTTTTTACGTTTACGTTTTATTTTTTGTTGGCGCTGTTCATGAAATGTTTACATTTTATGAACAGCGCCGATCGGCATGCAGCGCAAAGTTCCCTGAAAGCAATTTTCTAACTCTGCTATGTTCTCTTCCTTAGAAAAAAAAAAAGAGAAAGAGTCAACAAGAAAATAGGAAGACCAACCAGGCGCAGTGAGCGAGCTGGTAAAGAAGCGATGCTGGGGTAGCGGGAGAGCTGGCGGTCGCGTTGGCAAATACTTTGGCGTCGGGCCTTGTTGGTTTGGTTGGGTGCCTTGTCAATTGCAAGAAGGCTCTCGTGCAACTTTCTTGTTTGGTGCATGCATGTGCGCGTCTGTACGCGCCGTACTATCAGTATGGGTTGAGGCGGCGTTGCTGCGTGGTGTGGACGGCACTACGGACACGGAGCTTGAAATGGAACACTTTACAAATGTCCGTTTGCGGCATATCAGCAAATCTTTCTTTACCCGTTGGCTCTGTCTCAAACATTGCGCAACGTTACCAACCTCGGTCGCGACATTTTGGGAGAACGACTGGGTATTCGCGGTGACCTTATTTCGGTGGAGACAAACTTTTACCTTACACTCTGCGGTTACATTCCAGGATATGGGACATTTCCTGACCTCGCAATCCCTAAATGGGTTACTGCTTGTGTTATCATTGCAACCCTTTCTTTTGTCCGAACAAACTTTTTTCTAAGCAAAACAAAGTTTCATTCTGTTATCTGCATCGTTCTCCTTTCGCACGCACATACTCCAACCTCGGAGTCGTGGAAGTCGGGGAGGAAATGCGTGAACAATGGGAAGGGTCTTTCCCCCCTTCGTTTTACTTTGTCACGGATGTCCTCCAACTGTAAGGTTCTTGGCCACCATAGCGCGTCATTCGGGTAGGATGAATGTTCGCGGATCGCAGAGTCCGCGTTGGGGTATTTGTAGGGGTGAGCAATCGCTCTGTGTTTTTCTTGGAAATCGATATTTGCCCAAAAAGGTGGGGTGGGCGATGACTCGGGATATTACGGTAAATGCTTGCCCAAAATCATTGTTGAGTCAAAGAAAAATATTGTCACCAGAGCTTCCCAACACCATACCGAAAGACCAGGCCCCACTATTGTTAGTTGCACCTAGAGCTACTGCATATGGCAAAGTGGCACTACGCTTTTCCCCATGCCACCTCTCGCTGTGATTGGTCACATGCAACACCGTAGCAAGAGCTGGTTAAGTCTTTAAAGTAACTGACGGAGCTGAACAAGGCTGACAACTGCCCAAGTAGCGTTTAGATATCTTGGAGCGCCGCCTGGCGTACCTGTTGTTTACCTCTTTTGCTTCTCGAGTGGCGGGAAATTCAAATAGTCCCGCGTGCGCCAAACTTATGGCGAGTGAGGCGCCCGTAACTTCAGATGTTTTGGTAACTGCCCATGCTTTTATGTTGGTTTTGTATTTTTTTTGCCAACTTTTACGGCGTTTCAATGAACGGGTGGAGAGATCCACTGAGTAGACCCCTGCATGGATAACAGTTTGATCATTCCCATCCAATCCACATCCGCAGACTTTGTATCCGAACTGGATCCGCAATGTTCTTAAATTATTTTACCCGCATCCGATCCACATCAGGAGGCTTTGTGTCCGCATTCGAACCGCATCCACAAAATTCGGAACTGCATCTGACCCACAATTTCCACATTCATTTTACTTCATGAAATCAACCATGAATAAAAAAAAAAAAGAAGCATCTAGATGGTATCCTAAAAGTAGAATTCCGTTATTCCGGAGCTTATTTTTAGTCAAATTCGGAGGGTATTTTTCGGAGTTTATTTTTTACTGAACATTCGGAGTTAATCGGAGTTTATTTTTTGCCCAAGGTTCGGAGTTAATCGGAGTTTATTTTTGCCCAACGTTCGGAGTTTATCGGAGTTTATTTTTGCTTAACGTTCGGAGTTTATCGGAGTTTATTTTTGTTTGATCCCCAATTTTCGCATCCATATGCGAAAATTTCAGTGTTTTCTATTTAAATAAATAAATTAATTTAATTTCAGTGTTTTCTATTAAAAATAAATAAATAAATAATATCCAAATGTAAACGTATGCTAGATTAAAAAAAAAAATGAAACACTCGTATCAAATAATGTTCCTTCAGCTGAATTTGGCTTTGGTGCCATTGGCAATACTAATTAGTCCCACGACAAAACTTGCACACAAGTGTTGCTTCGATAAATGTCTATATCCTAAAATCAATAAAGTCCTGGAGGTAGTTGCCGAGAAGCTCGTATTCATCCCATTCTATTCCATCAACCTGCCCTGCGGCCACGCGAGGTGGACCTGTCAAGGATGTAATAGAGAAGTTTCAGCTGCCCGTCTTCCCCATTTTATGCAATCTCTGTGGTCTATAGATTTCACTGTCACGAAGACACAACTTCTCCCTTCTCTAAAACACAGATAGTATGGCCCAAACTGGAAACCAAAACAATGACTTTTGTTGTTATTCGAAAACACAATGACCTGTTGTCCTGAATGAACCTTGACGAGATAAGCAATGAGACTTCTTTTGACAGTGGTCCAATATTTCAAAGATAACTGCACTGTCACTTTGCCATGAGCATTGACCCTGCACACTGATAAAGCTTAATTGTAAAATACCACCTTTTTGGGGGGTGGGGGGGGGGGGGGGGAGGGGGGGAGGGGGAGGGGGGGAAATTGGCATATTTCAAAGTAGATCGGATAAATCCGAATTGATAAAAATTTTACCGGCGGGCATTTTTTCGAGTTCTTCAGATTTATCTGAAAACACGGAACCCTACCTATAAGCCGTCTGCTTACTTTTGTACAAAGAATGTTTTCTGTCAGAATACAGTGAAAGTCAGTTTATCATATTCTGTTTTATCCTATTTATATTATAACCGATTGTCCTTCTAGAGACATTTTGCATTGTTGGGAAGATGATCGCAATTATGAGGTCGTCTTGGGAGTCTGTGTCACTCTGCCGAGAAGATGCGCTTCTGACGTAGTTGGTGATGGAAGTGCCATTTGCTCCAGATTGCTCGAGGAAGGAAAGTCTGCTACGTCTTGCACTAAAATGCCATTTTTGCTAAGAATTGCGCCACACCTACACCGAGTAGGCTTCAACGAGAAAACAAAAGAAGGTATCTAATTCGAATATGTACATGTTTCACAGCGTCTGTACATGCCGTATAGTTTGTCTAATCTTAGGTCGGAGCATAGTCGAAGGTTTGAATACATAAAACTACAAACACACATATTAAAAGCACAAGCCACGAAACATTAACTGCGCTTGATTGGTCCAGATGATGAGAGAGCATGTATAGCAAGATGATGAATGCCACGATGTTGCTATTTGACACTGTTTAATTGGTCCCACTGGCTTGTAGCAATGGAAGCGCTTTCACTTAATCTCGTCAACCGCACAGGCCGGTTCATGCGCTGCCTGGTTGATCGCTGACATCGTCTATATTTCCGGGCAATGTGGGGAATTAAAAGTCGTGAGAGAACTTAGCAAAATAGTAGGATGGCAGAGACTGTAGTAAGACAGAACCAGAGCCTTGTACTCCTGATCAGTGGCATCGCCAGGAATCTTTTTTCAGAAAAGGGGGAGGGGGGGGGGATGAGGGGGTTGAGGTGCCAGGGATGTTCATGACTTGGAGTGCAAAGGGGGGGGGTCAGAATTAATCTTTATATTCTAGGGTCAGCTGGATTTCAGCGTAGGGAGCTGAACCCCACAAGCCTCCCCCCCTTTGCCCTGGCCACTGCTCCTGATGAGATCATTTGATTATGTTTGCCACATGCCTCCGTGCCGTGCCTACAGAGTACCATAGCGCTTGTGCCACTCGTGGAAATCAAAAAGCGAGAATACCATGATATGAAATAAGTGGATCAGACAAGTAAGAGCACCTGTACACATGTACTCTATCCACTCGATAGAGTGCAGAAAAAGGCCACTAGCTTTATTTAGAAGAACTTTGTACATACTTATGTATAACTACCTTTCAAACAAAGCTAACTTCTGTGATCTCAAAGAAATGTCATTGTCGACTGAAGTTTTTGTGTAGGTTATTGAATGGACACTATAGGCATATTTTTTTCAGAGCATATGGCATGGGTTTGTCATGTAAATTATTTGATAGCTAAACTCTTTTGGGTCGTTGGTGTTGTTTCTCGTTGCCACAGTGTTTTACCACTCAACATTAATCTTAAAATCTATTATGCATTAATTCAATCCCAGTTAAGTTATTGTCACCTTGTATGGGCTACTACAACAAAAACAAACTTTCAAAAAACATACTATTAATACAAAAAAAAATATTACAATATATTGCTGATGTTTCCTACACAGGCCACACAGAACCTTTATTTTTAAAATTTCAAACAATTCCGGAAGTATGCATGCATGAGTATCGTTTATTTTGTTCCATTCTTTTCTTATCCACCCTATTCATTGATTTTTTACAGCGGAGCTGTTAAGGGCTAGGTTCTCCAGGATCGTGTCCACCAGCAAAGAAATACTGACACTGAACTCTGGACAGCTACTGCCATCAATGAGCGACGGCGGCAACCAGACAACTGCTTGCCGCTGTCGCTCATAGATGGCGCCAACCTTTCTTCGGAGGAAGAAGAGCGGGAGCGGAGCGAATGGCGATGTGCGCAGTAGCGCGAATGGTACCGGAACCGACGCGAGGCCACTATCGCCTAAAGTTGAGATTCCCGTGCGAAAGAAGAGCAGATCGCTCGCCTGGAAAGCCACCGCCGAGAACAGTTAAGCTACAGCTAGTCCGCTGCTCTTCCTTCACCAGAGTGGAAAGGCTGAGAGTTTATTTCTTCACTATTTCTGAGCTTCCTGGGCATAGCAGTGATGTCAGCATACGCTGAAGAGAAGCATGGGTCCTCCCTTGTTCCTGCACAGACTACAATTCTCAAACTTTACATTAGAATGTTCCACTCGTTTTAAATAAATGTCTCACAAACAACATAAACATATGCACGATTGGCAAACGAGACTTGCGCTCTTATATCTTCGTTGTTTCCTAGCTTAGTGTTATAATTTTTACAAAGTTCTGATTTTTAATCTTGTTTTTGTTTCATCAAATGTTACGCTACTAGTAGAGTGTTGCACTACCAAGCTGCTGTGTAATAAGGGTCCCAGACCCAGTCATGCTGTCCCAACAGCTTTTTGTCTGGCACTCGTTCCAATGTTTCTGGAAAATAAAGCTTTGATCGATTGATTGATATACAGTCAACATCTCCAAAATAATTTTTTTTTTGCAGGATATGCCACTAGAGAGGCATGATCCAACAATAGCTTCTTTTTGCTCCTCTATAACTGCTTTATTTGTTATTTTTTTATCACAAAGAACACTAAGTGATTGGAATTGCATTACTAATAATGTGGTGTTGCATCTATCATCATTATTTGCATTCCATCTTGCATACTGTAAATGGCTTAATTTTCGCAGATTTTGCAAATTGCCTGCAATTTTCAAAATTTAGGTCCCGCTAGCAATTCCGGTAAAATGTAAACACATTGGAATCTATATTGAGATCCCACTGCGTCGCGAAAATTAGAACCCTGGAATCATTCCCAATTTTCAGCTTTGACCTAAATTGTGAAATATTGAGCCCGCAAAAAATAAGTTGTTTACAGCAGTTTAGGGTTTGTTTACTTGCTTTATCATTCCGCCAATTTTTTTTTGTATTTCGCCAGCTTTTCATATTGGCACACCTCTCTACTAAAGTCCCACATAGGGATTGCGGTGTTTATAAATAAATAAGTAAATGTGGTGTTCAACTTCCTACTGATCCATTTCGTCGTTTACCCTGAGACTGGGTTTTTTTTTGAAGAGCACTGCTCTTCAGAACTTCAGAAGTTGAAGAACTTCTGCTCTTCAAAAAACCCCCCAGTCTCAGGGTAAACGACGAAATGGTTGACTTCCACCAGCTAGCCTGTACTTTGACTCTTCACTGATCCATGTTCTTGGCCAACACTGTGCTCTCTTTGCTTCTGAAAACAGCATTTTGCATACTTGAGCTCACCCTTCGAGTGACCGAGCGTGTCTCTTTGGTGTCATCCTCTGCAAGGATCTGTCTGCGATTAACTCTCCTATTTGCTTCTGCAATGCAGGTTACGTCACTTCTCTGCTGGCTGGTGACGCTCAGAGTCTCGTTTCCTTTCTCAAGAAACATGTTGCAACCGACCAGGTCAGTGCCTACAACCACCTCTTATTGACCCTTGGTCAATATTTCAAATGCGGTAGCTTTTCCAGGGCCACCAAGCCGATCGTGTGCACCCGTCTGTTGCGGCTCGGTAGCTAAATTTAGAGGGAAAACTCCGGCTAAATTTAGCGGTCAGCATTCCCTCGATCAATTCAGTGGGCAAGCCTGAATTGGTGCATAGTTATACACCGATTCCATTTAGGAAGAGTTGTCGCATGGACGGAGCTGTGTCGGGGCAGACGGGGAGCTCGGCGGACGTCCGAAGACAAAGGCTGTGACATGGCATCTACTTTGGGAAGGTCTTTTTATTTGTAGGTACCACCCGCCACTGAGTGGCAGCCAAGGTGGGACGTGTATATAGTAAAAATCCACTAGAAATAATATCTGACTCTCGGTTCCTGGTAGAGTCTAACTTTCATAGGCGCCGTGCTGGCAGCTTGAAATGGACAATCGAGACTGGAGTGGGCGCGATACGGATATAATAAAAGTTGTGCCGGCACTAAGCCCAACGACGTCAGACATGGAGGCACACGGTTGTCGTATCTGCGCGCGGCACTGCCACCATAATGACGATGGGATATCGCATTACTCTCCGAGTGCGCGCCATTATAAGAAAAACAAATAATGACTATTTCCTCAAATACTGACATCTAACTCAAAAAAAAAAAAAACGCACGAAAAAGAGCATACTTTCTCTATGTACATAAAATATAAAAGATGGGGTAGCTCTTTGAGCAATAGATGGTTACTTGTCCATCTGATGTCACTTCTGGCTGTAGTCGCTGTGGACAAGGATGAGAATGCCAGGGGAAGTTTGTCCGCCACAAACTTCCTGCCTTCCACAAGGCTTGGGCGTCTTGTGCACACCGAGCGCATGTAGCCAAAGCGGAGTGTACAGAGGGCGTGCTGGAGTCATTCCAGGGACACGCTGTTCTCATTCTGTTGGGGATTGTAGTGATTTTGATCTTGTTGTGCTTCGTGTTTGCGTTTTCCAGAACTTTCCGCTGTCTCATTAATATGGACACCTCCGTTACCCCCAAAAAGCGTCTAGGATGCGAGTTGTCCGTGATAATGAGACAAAAATGTGCATATTTACCCAGTTGATTCCCAGAAACATTTTCTATCTAGCGGGGTATCCATATTAAGGGGTCCATACCTACAAGACCGTATCCTTCTCACATTTGTCGCTTTGTGGCACAATAATGTGCACACTGGGGAGTGTGCATGGCTCATGGTTACGCATTGCCGACTCACTCGAGCCTGCTAATGTGGTGCGCTGGAGGAACACTTTACCTAGGGGCACGGCTGGTCGAGAAAGTTTTGGAGTTCCAGGAAACCCCGGGGGTTCTCTGGAGAGCTTTTGGGTTTCTGGGAATGCACTTTTAGAACCCATGGTATGGTTAATCTCTATGGTGTATTACATTTATGTTAGTATCTTTTTAGTGTTAGATAGCTTATCGAAATGAAAGTCAGAATGCAGGTTAGCTGGTTAACGAGCCTAATTAAGAATTAAAAACCTCGAGAGAAGAAAACAAACGGGACATACTCACCTCCGTCTCAAAACCAGCAGAGCGTACAGCTCTCAATCACCGCCAGAACAGTCTTCTTCGTTGTCAACTTCTATCCAAATTATACACATTCAGCAGCAGGCACAACCACTACAATAAGAAAGCCTCGAGCACACAAACGGTCTTCTTCCTTGTCGTCCCTTTTCTTTGACATCTTTCTTGTCGTCTTCCAGGTAAATAAAAAATGTCCTAACGGCAGGCACACACTAAACACAGAGAAACCATGAGCATCGAACACAGGCCTTAAGGCAGTCTTCAAAGGTCAAAAGCTCAAGCTCGCCGGAGACAAACATTCAGAAATAACCCCAGTTACAACCTACTTTGTGCTAAACAGACAAAAACACTTTAGTCTCCTCATCCAAAGTCAAAGAAGGCATGCTGCTTCAATTTCCAGCGCTTGTGATCCTAACTGTCTTCATTCACCGCTTTTTTGTGCTCCGATATTCGGTCGTTCAGGCAGCGGCCAGTTCGGTCCACGTATGAGAACCCACAGGCCATTGGCATCTCGTATACTACTGCCATCTCACGAGTGGTTGACATAACTTTGTTTTTTTTGTGACAACCTTGCTTATTTTCTAAAAAAGGAGTTAGCCTACCTCATTTGAAATCATAGGCAGAGAGTTTTCAATTTTCCGGGGGGGGCGGGGGATTTGCTTCCACCTGTCGCTACACTGCCCTCCTTCTCCAGTTGCGCTCTCTCACCTCTCCAATTTTACCTCCTCCTCCCCGTCTCCCATCCTGTGCGGAGACACTGCTTCGTAGCAGCTTCACAAGCATGCAAGTGCTCAGGCGTCGTCAGTTACCTTTTATTTTTCTTCACATGAAAACGAGCAAACATGTCATCATTGCTGTCAATTCACATCTGACATTTTTGTCGAGAAACTATTGATTTTCTATTAAATACAACAAAGTAGCTCCAAATGCCATATTCGGAAAATGCAAGCAAACAAAACATCACTGCAGGTCAACTTCGTGTAGATAATCACTTGACGAATTAACATGACGCAAGCATGACTCAATTAATTAAATGCAATTTGATCTTATTGACAGAATCAAGGGAATATATGCAAGTATCTGCATGATGTTAAGATTTTAGTGAATTATAAAGAACAAGGGCCGAGAAGTTCACGAGGCATTCGAGATTGGGGCAACCGGAAATGAGTGCTTCAACGAGCCCTCCCTTGCCCTCTCAGGGAAAGAGTTTGATTTTATCTAATGGTGCGACGAATAAGTGTCCTACAACGACCTATATTATGTGTTTTTCTTAAATAAACTTCAGTTGTGAGTGCGTCTTGTGTTGTTTCCACACTTCTTTGTCCCTGTCGTTTTTGGCACTTTTATATATTTGACTATGACAGGCACGTAGCCGGGGGGGGGGCATGGGGTCCGGGCCCCCCCCGAAATCTTCCTTTTTGCTGGGGCCTCCTCCCCCCCCAAAACAAAATCCTGGCTGCGTGCCTGGACTATGAACCAACTTGCCCAAATTTCCACTTTGCTGAAGTGCACACAATTTCAACAAAAGACAAGCTTTTTTCAACAGTTATACAACAACAAAAAGAAGCTCAGCCAGAGACAAACAAATGCAGACAAACTCTTATATGAAAGGCAATATTAAGAGATGAACAAGTGACTTACGGAGTAACGGAATGGAACTAAAAGACGAGCGTAAGCGCCCATGTTTTGTAAACAAAATAAAGAAAAATACGGGCACTGCAATTTTGCACAATAAAGAAAAATACGGGCACTGCAATTTTGCACAAAGCTCAGCCCTCGATGGAAAAAAAGTGTTTCGTCATAAATTTGATCGCTTAATAAATCCATATGCAATGCCATTAAGGTATATTCTGCGGGTGAAATCTTTGTGGCCACACAGAAGTGCAACATGATTTAAGCGGGCCTGTCCCATGGTTGACCTCAAATACGTTTTTATGCGACGGAGACAGGGAAACAATCTTTTAGACGTGCAGGATGTGACAGGAATAGTCGATGCAATTTTAAGCAGCTTAGCCATTTCTGGCAGAGGGCCCATAACTCTTTGCCGTTAGTGCCCGAGAATACTTCTACCACATCCTGAAATCTGCTGATTGGTATATTCCTTTGCTTCGCAATATCAATGAGCATATCATGGTGTAGCTCAAGGTGTCCAGACCCAAAATCTATTCCGTAAAACTCGCAGAGGTGTCTCCTGTCTTCTTCACCCGTTCCAAAGTGCTCAATGGGAGGTATGTGCTGCCACGTCGAAGCCAGATACCTTTCGTTTAGCGAGGAGTGTATCGTGTCAACTGCCTCATAGAACCGCCGTTGATCCATGTCCTCAAAGGACAGGTGTACAAGATTTGCAGATCCATTATCATCTCTCCTTGCGTTGGAGCAGATGGTTCACCAACGTCTAGCTCAGCTGCTCCTGCACACATCTCGTTCCAAAACGGAAGAATTCCTTTCCTTAATTTGTTTAAATTTTCCCTAGCGGCTGTTATCATTTTCTGTTTGGTCAAATCTCAGTGTTGGCTTCTTTAATGTAGTATTTACAGTTTCCAACAGCGAAAATATTGAGAAGAGCAGTTTCATCGTGAAATATGTGCCGAATTTCGACAACAGTTTCAGGAATCCGCTTTTTGCCCCGGCGTAATTCTTCTCATCAGATGTTAGGTGATTAAAAATTGCCATCAGCACTCTATAATTAAGGAGGACTGACCGGAGACAAGCAGCCCTGAGGGTAAAAATTTTCTCAAATTTATACTTTCATCTTCCTGTTGCAGCGCTTGAAACAAACTGACACGCGCTGCAGCTTCTTTTTTTATTCTGTTTTTATTAAAACCATCCCGAATAGCCGCAATATCCTCCTAACTACATGGCTGGGGACGAGAGGAAAAGGTGTGGCCACTCCGTGTAAAATTTGTACTTTTCAGCATGTATTCTGGAAAATATGGTGATATTATTATTATTATTATTGATGATGGTAACTTTCTATCGTTGCAGCTGAAAGACGCCAAAGCGAAGAGCCTCAACATTTTGACTGGATGGTTTGAAAGAGTTCCAGCCTCCCAGCTCTTGCACCATGCACTCGCAATCAAGGTGAGCTGCATTCATTCTGTCAATGGAACTTTTTCCAGTTTTCTGCTGTCGCCATTTTCGCGAGGCAAAGTTCCGGTCGACCAACATATTCAGCTCCTATCTTTGAGCGTATTTTGTTTTTTTTGGCCATTCTTGTTTGAGTATAGGCTAGGACAAGGCTTTAAAGCACGATGCCAATATATCTTGATGGCCAGAGGAAAGTTGGGCTACCCTTCATTTGTAGTTTAAAGACATCTCCCCAGGCGGCGCTGGTTACTGGCTAGGTGGCGTAAGCTACCGCCTGATCCAAAGGGCTCGGCCGGATTCATCATTCCATCCGTCCAGGCTCATTGGGGACGCTACTTTGACATCATCTTAGAAAGTTTGGGCGTTCAGTACTCGTGTCTTTTTTTTTATGGCTCTTTGCAAATACATTGTCTCAAGCCCTTCTACTTGATATTTATATAATATAGTGGAATGCCATGGATATGCTCATCACAGGTTTGTTAGGACTGAAATATACAATTTGGAAAAATATAACGACCAAAAGTACTTTGAGGGCCTATAGATGAAAAAGGAGACTCGTGCAGTGATGAAATTGAAAAAAAAATATGGGCAAGCTGGTGAATTAACTCTACATTGAAAAGCCCAAGACTGGGAGCAAATAAACGTACAAACAAGTACACACAATATTTCAAAACGCAGAGCTGCATTTTGAGAAGGTGCGTGTTTGAATATTTCTTTATGTATAGGCAGGCTTTTTTTTTAAACTGTTTCGTTTAACATTGGGGGTCAGTCTATAATGGCAAAAAAAGAGAAAAAGTCGACCTTTCAGAGTGAGCAGAATTTCCGAGCTTAGCCGAAGTAACTCGAAGGGTCTTCCGCATCAGCCGCTGCTCCTAGCACAGCGGTGCAAAATGACGCAGCTGGACACGCCAGTCGGTGCAGGGCAACGAGCGCGCTGTGCACGTTTACGAGCCTCGAAGCCCATGCAGAAGGCAGCTAGAGGATGCAAGGGAACCGAGCTGGAGAGCACGGCAGAAGAGCCGCAGAAGGGCCGCAAACGAGTTGTTGCAAATGCCTCAAAAGGAGTCCATGGATACATAGTATAAAAATCTCAAGGTGGTTCATGTTTGCGAATCTAAGTGCTGGTTCCCTTATTCACATTTGAGTGTGCTCGAGTGCGCTCGCTTGTAACCGCTCGCGACGAGAGAATCTGTTGCTTTGGAACACTTCCCATCGTATATAATTATTTGCGCGTCATTCTTTTTGCTGTGAGCTAAAAATAAATGTTGCTTCTTGGCAGATTATTGCCCAGTTTCTTTAACATCAACGTGCTGTAAAATAATTGGACATATCACCCACGAGCATATTCATACATTCTTTGCTGAGCACAGCTTACTTGACAGCTGCTGACATGGATTCCGAAAGGGACCTACTCTTCTCGGTCGACGGAAATTATGCGTTTCTTTTCAAAGGCCTTAAATTGTAGAGGCCAGGTCGATGTATTTCTTTTTCGGATTTTAAAAAGGCTTTTGATGGGGTTAACCACAGAAAGCTAATCTGTAAGATAAGACCTATGTTAAAGAACGAAACTCTGTTGGGATGGTTGGAGGCCTTTCTTGCCAATAGAAAACAGTTTGTTAGCATTGAGAATAGGTACTCGGATCTTTGTGCTGTTACTTCAGGTGTGCTATATGGTACAGTTCTGGGACCGTCGCTTTTACTTACGTTTATAAACAATCTGATTAAAGACACGGTAATACACGCGAGACTTTTTGCGGATGACTGTATTCTGTACATCAAGGTAACACCTGTATCTGACCAAAGTAGTTTAGGTGCGAGCCTGCATAGAGTTAAGGAATGGTGTTATGAAGTGGCAAATTGAGAAACGGTTTGTATGTCCATCGCACGTATATTAAATCGCCGAGCATATTTGTACAGCCTCGATTGTGTCCAGTTAGGAAAAGTAGGCGAATATAGGCACCTCGGTGTTACTATAACAAGCGATCTTCGATGGAACACGCACATGACTAAAATTGTTAGAAAGGCTAAACGACTACCATTTCTATGATGGTCCTTGAAATTAGCATCCAGAGAAACTAGACTGTTCACTTACAAAATATTGGTTTGCCTCCTGACAAAATATTGGTTTGCCTCCTGCTTGGAAGTATGGGATCCGCACACGAAAGGCCTTATTTTTGCCCTGGACGAAAGGCCTTATTCTTGCTCTGGACAGCGTATGGAACACATTGGAAGTATGGGCTCCGCTCACGAAAGGCCTTATTCTTGCCCTGGACAGTGACTGGCCCTGCGTTTTATTTATACTAGTTATCTAGACAAGATTCGCCGACAGATCTTGTGTGCGCTGTGTAACCTTCCCTTGCTACAGAGTAGACGGGAAAATAGACGGTTGAAGCTTTTACTCATTATACTTTCTGGTTCATTGCTCATTGACCAATAGCATTATCTCACCCCTCATCAATTATATGTCACTTGTAACAAACTTTTGCGTCACTTACAAGAATTTTCATTCAATTCAATTAAGATTGTTTTAAGTACTTTTTTTCCCCTATACGGTGAGGCACTGGAATCTTTTGCAAGAACATGTTTTATCTTCCCCTGATCTTGAATTGTTGTTTTACCAACTGGACGCAACCTAACTACTTCATATAGTTGATTCGCATTGTTTTTTGGTGTTCCTTGCCAGGTATGGGCAGTATCGCGATACAAATGCATCACGATAGTATTTCAGGAATACATTTCGTATCTGTATTTCTGTATCGCGATACATTTTTTTCACCGGTATCTGTATTTCTGTATCGAAATACATTTTGAATGTTCCTTTGTATCGCGATACAATCAGGGTGAAATGTATTTCGCTACATTTCTTGAGAAATACTCCCCCCTCCCCCCCCAAAAAAAAAAAAAAATCCGAACGCTTTTTTTTTTTTTTTTTGAGGGCACCAGGGTCAAGGATATGCTGGGGCATTGTTACCATGCTGACCAAGGTTGCTTCCGATTCTCCAAACTATTTTTCTATGCGTCCTCTTCTCTGTTCTAAGAACTGTTGCGTAGTCGGGGACTCGAACCAGGTGGCGTGCTAGGAGTGGAGTCAGAGCATCTTGTGCCGCAGTTCCTTAGGTAGGGGTTTCTTGAGTCATTGTTTACGGGCATCCAAAGCCCGCTGCTTACCGTCTCTCTTGCCTTAACATACACAGTACACCCATGCGGCAAAGCTGAGTAACAGTCCGTTGCAGCATGAGCCTGGCGGTGGTTGACTTAAAATAGTAGGATAACTTGCGCAGTGAAGTTAAACAGATATTTGAATGCGTCTGCGACTGCGCCCGTAATATTGCACGGCTCAAGGGTACGTCATCAGTTGACGTGGAAGTGGCCCGCTGCTCTGGTGATCCGAAACCCAGAAAGGAGGCCAGAAGTGGCCTCGCTGTGCCGACCCAGACTTCGTACACCTGCGACTCGTGTCGAGCACGCTGTTTCGCGGAGAGCTCGCACCTCTGCCGGCTATATTAGGTCGCAATCCAGGAGGTTTCTATTTGGAGTATGCAAGGCGAAACTTGAGGACTGCAATTCATGCGTTGGTGGCAGAGGGTCAGCAGGAAGCACCTTCACTACAGGGATGCCACCGTATCGTTTTTTCAACCATAACAGAAGATAAGACATGTGTTCCAGGATATTTCAGGAGGTCCACCATTCTCAAAAATCCTGCACGATCTTCAACGAGGTAAACTACAATGAAAGTACATATTGTCCTTTCATACAGCAGCGCGTTAGTTTCACGTTCAAGGCCACACTTACAGATAAAGAATACCAGTTCATTCCACTGTGACGTCATGTGATAAATGTTGACAGGGGCGTCCTTTTTTGACGGGGGCGTGGTGACATTTTGATGGGATTTAGGATGACATAGAATTTATTTAGAGGTCGAAGTCTTTTCGCATCTCTCGTCAAACAGACAGGATGTCAAGGAAGGGACTACGGTCAGTCCCTGGTGGAACGTTTTTCTGAGCCCATTAAAGACTCCTCGTCGTCCAAAATCACTACCTTCAAGGCAAACTGCCAAGCCTACGGGAAAGTAATTTCAGGATCAAAAACTTCCACTTTCAACTCCAAGCTTACAGATAAAGATAATTTGGTCTCAAATAAGTTTGAAAAAATGTATTGCAGTATCAGTATTTCTGTATTTGTATTTCTGCCTTCCCTAGAATGTATTCCTGTATTTGTATTTCCAAATACCTTTTGCCTCTATTTAAAATGTATTTCCGATACGTATCGCGATACACTTTTGCATGATGTAAAAATTAAATAGCGCAAAGGTTAGACAAAGGACAAAGGACAGAACATGTAGACAGGACAAGCGCTTGTCCTGTCTACATGTTCTGTCCTTTGTCCTTTGTCTAACCTTTGCGCTATTTAATTTTTACATCATGCATATCCAACTAGCCCACCTCAATATCTTAGTACACTTTTGCAGATATATTTCAGTATCAGTATTTTAGGTACTATTTTAAAGTATCCCAGTATTTGTATTTCCAAATACATTTTCGAGTATTTCTGCCCAACCCTGTTCCTTGCATTGTGCTTCGTTGCCATGTTGCTTTACCTGTTGCTTTTACAAGTGTAACTTCTTTCTACTCCTGTCAAATTCGTAATCAGGACTGGCAGTAGGTCAAATAAATAAATAAATAAATCTGTCATAGACAGTGATTTGATCTTGCAAATGCTTTCTAGTTGAGTCGGAAGTGTATAAGGGCTACCCGATAGATGGCGCCACTATTCTATTTCTCATCGCAAGAGGTTACGGCGGGCAGCGGTATTTCTATGGCCCTCATTTTTGTCGCTGAAAGTTAGCCTACCTCCCTTTCCTTGGGAGCATTTGCCACTCTTCTAGGGCGGACTCTCTGTTACCTCTTAAGGGGGGACACTGGCTAGAGGTCAAACTTTTGAACTACTCAAGTGATTGGAATGAAATTTGCAGGGGAGATTTAGCTTCAGATGTAGGTGTACTGTGCAAACTTTCAGCTCTCTAGGACAAATTTACATACCTGCATAAGATGATGTGTCACTTTTCGTTAAGAAATCTATGATATGCAAATCAAGCTATTAAGCACCATTTTGACTGCTTGAATATAAAGTGGGGGATATGGGACCTCGGGCTATCTAGTTTTAATAACTTAAATGTAAATATTTCAGGAAGAGTTATTACCTCAAACTATGAGATGCATATCTGTCATCTGTCAATTTTTGAAAACTTAGTTTTTTCTCACTGAGGACTTTAACTTAAAACAAAATAAAGTAGATAGCCCGATTCCTGAGTAAATTTCAGTTAAGAAACATCTTGATTGTGGTAACAGAATACTTTCACCTTCGAACAAAAGATTCCTTCGTATGAAATTTGCAGCAAAAAGTGGAACTGAGAAAAATGCATTCAAACATTGAACTCCTTTACTTTGTTACTGCCTCACAATGTGTTGAAAATATTTTATATCAATGTAACCATTTGGCGTATGATCATCAAATTTGGTGTAAGGGTGTATAATTAGTTTCTAAAACTGAAAACCTCAAAATTAAAAAATGAATTTTTTCGGAAAAATTTAAAATTTAGGCCCATGTCCCCCCTTAACATAATGTGAAGACGCTGTCAACAGAAATAGCGATTGTGGGTTAAAAAGATTTAATATCCGGGAGACTGTGTTAACAAATGGGTTAAGACAGTGCAAAAAGACGTCTTTTTGCGCTGTTTTAACCCATTCAATATGACCATCAACCAACTCGCCCAACTTTACACCTTGTTGCTATTACGACTTCATTTTCATGGGGGAAATATTTTGCGAATTTCGTCAAATGCGAGATTCTGAAATATTTTGCGGGCGCACAATTTTAAAATTTGTAGTGACACGTATGTATTCAATACAATGGGCTGATAGGTTTGTGCAACCATTTGAGCAATATTTTTTGAGACAGAAAATTTGCAGAAGCTTGGTTTTCACAAAAATTATGTCTTTTACATGACGTAAGCAACATTTGTTGATACTTAAAGGCAATCGTATAAAGATGATATTGTCACGAATGACCGTTGATGAGGCAGGCAAAAACGGAATGAACTAAAGATTTAATGGGGGCAAACTTGTGCCAGAAACGAAAAAAAGAACACACAGTACGTTGGTGTAACAGCTGGCTGTCGCGAGAGAGAATCAGCGAATAAATCGCTGATACGGCACTGGGCTTTTTATCTACTATGTTTGTCGTCTCAAAATATTCGACCTAGAATGTTAGGGAAAGAGCTAGGGCGAGAATAACTGGCAAGGGTGTACGCGAATCTTCGAGATGAACGGAGAGGCGTATCTTCCCTATCATGCATGCGGCAATTTAAAGCAGTCTTGTGGGTTTTATTCGTTGCGATGGATGATTGGATTCCTATGCTACATGCAGTCTTTTTTCTGGATTTCAGGACGTCAGCTGTCAGCTCCTGTTCAGGGACAAGGCGGCCAAAGTCCGGCTGCAGGCACTGGTTCTGCTGTCCAAAGTGAGTCTGGGGACACTCGGGTTGTGAGAACTACTCCAATCACTCGAAGAAACTCTGGCTGAGTCCTGAGCAAACCTGCAGAATCATCTTCTGCCAAGTGTCCTTTACATTTTCCTCTCCCCACACGTCTCTGAGTTGCAGAAAGGTTCTCTCCTCCTCAAATGGAAGAATTGACTTTCCTTCTTTCTGTGACTTTAGTTTTCCCGAAAGTCCTTCCCCCCCCCCTTCTCCAGAAACAGCGGAATTTGTCAAGTCCATTCCCTCTGTTTAGAGTTATATCAACTGAGGTGCTATGGTTGATATAACTACCTTCTCAAGTTTTAGTTTGAGATTAGAAAGTTTATTCTGTGTCTGTGATATGATTTTTGGGAGGGTATTGTGGATGCCTTCAGCATATCCACAACATGCAGACAAGGCCTCTCATCTGCACAGTGCGTGGAATCACATGAAGTTTGCAGCAACTTACCACAAAATACCGGGAGAGTGCCCACCACACTTCACTGAAAACTCGGTTAATCTAGACATGGACACTTCTCCGGTCAAATCTGGTGGTTAGCATATTTGTAGAATTCCCAAGTTTGGAAAATGTTAATACAGTGCTACCCACTTATAACGATACCACATATAACAATGTACCGCTTATAACGATCAGGTTCTAGAGTTTCTAGACTGGAAATGATGAGTTTCTAGTCCTGATACAACGTTGATCGCATACCTGCCAACTCTCCCGAATTGTCCGGGAACCTCCCGAATTTCGATCACATCTCCCGATTGTACGGACGCGACCTCAAATCTCCCGAAAAATATTTGCCATAGTTTTTTTTTTTTTTTTATGACGCCTTTTTGCTATAATTATCACGCGTGAAGGTAAACATCTTCGACAGACGTCTGTTTGGTTGGGAAGTGATAATGGAAAAATATTTGACTCCAACCAAAAATTAAACTCGGACCCAACGTTTCAAAACCAGTTCGGTTTCTTCTTCAGGGGCGATTGATCTCGTGCGTGGGAGCAGCCTCGTCTTCTTTGGTGATACGAATATTTTCTAATCGCGCTTCCGCCTTGCCATCCAGTCTTTTTCTAATCACGTGTCGTAGTCCGCTCACATAAACAGATGGTAAGGTACCCATAGATCTGTTGATGTTTCCTGGTGTATTTTGGATGTGCCATGATTCAAGGTGATGTCTTTTTTGGAGATTGGTTTCAACATCAAGAACGGACGCGTTCGCGAAGTCTATCGGATGATCAAAGGTGTCACAGTGCTCCGCAAGAGCACTGCGTTCTCGGTCGAATTTGCGTACATCGTTCTTGTGCTGGCGTAACCTTTCTATGAAGTTCTTTGTTTCGCCGATATAAGATGCAGGACATTTTAAGCAGGGGATCCGGTAAACAATTCCCGGTGCTTTTTCCTTCGGGGGGCGATCTTTTGGTCTTGGCATGAACCGTCCAAGAGTGGATACCGGTTTGTGAGCCACGTGAATGCCTTGTTTTGCAAGCACCCGTGATAGTGCTTCGCTAGTACCTTGAACGTAGGGAACGCTGATGCGCGTGATGGGGTGATGCGGCGCAGCTCCCTTTGGTTACGCCAGAAAGGTTACGCCAGCACAAGAACGATGTACGCAAATTCGACCGAGAACGCAGTGCTCTTGCGGAGCACTGTGACACCTTTGACCATCCGATAGACTTTGCGAACGCGTCCGTTCTTGATGTTGAAATCAATCTCCGAAAAAGACATCACCTTGAATCATGGCACATCCAAAATACACCAGGAAACATCAACAGATCTATGGGTACCTTACCATCTGTTTATGTGAGCGGACTACGACACGTGATTAGAAAAAGACTGGATGGCAAGGCGGAAGCGCGATTAGAAAATATTCGTATCACCAAAGAAGACGAGGCTGCTCCCACGCACGAGATCAATCGCCCCTGAAGAAGAAACCGAACTGGTTTTGAAACGTTGGGTCCGAGTTTAATTTTTGGTTGGAGTCAAATATTTTTCCAATTATCACGCGTGTGTCATTGCAAGTCACTCAAGAGTAGGGTTTAGGTTACTCCGGCGGGTTATCACGTGACAACTCGGAGCAGTAGCGTAAAACGATGGTAGATTTTCAAATGTCAAGGTTCAAAACCTCTACTCCTGAAGTTCGAGCGCATTCTGGAACATGGCTTATATGATCATGGGTGCGCTAGGCTTCAGATGGCTTTGTCAGGTCGTCGAGTGAGGTGTGGAACGCCAAACTACTCTTCGTGTTTCCTCGAGTTTAGTTAGAACCACTGATCTGTTGGAACAATCGATGGAGCTTTCAAAAGCCAGGAAGAAGTACTTGCAAGTATTTCTGAGATCATACGCGACTGAGTTTCCGTGCTTTGTCGCTTCGTGGAAAGCTGACAAGTATGGATTCTGTACCATGTGCGCCTGTGATGTGTGAGCGTTTCACATGGCGGCAAGCTTGACATCAAGATACACATCGCTTCACGAAAGCATCAGAGCCATGCTTGTGCTGTGGAAGGGCAGGGCACCACCGGCAGTTTACTCCAAAACAACTGCGAAAACAGTGTGATTTGCGCAGAGTGTTTCTTCACGAGGTTTCTTGTCCAACTAAATAAAAATAATGTTTCAAATCCCCTTCCCCCCCCCCCCTGCTTGGCGGTCTCCCGAATTTTTATGTTGCTGGGTTGGCAGGTATGTGACAGACTGTAACGATTGAAATTTCGGGTTTTCTCATGACCGTTATACTAAGTGGGTTGCACTGTAGTGGGTGTTTGAATGAGGTGGGTGCTTTCGCGGTATCTTACGGTATGGGCCTCAGTGTTACTTTCGAGATGGATGAGAATATTTTGTGAGACTAAACGTGTCTGCTACTTGAAAAAGTGACAAAGTTGGCCACGGATGCAGTTACTAGCGGTAACATTGGAGTGATCGAGGCTACTGCACTTTTGTTGGAGTCAAGAAGAGTGACACACTTTATGCAGGTTTGTAAAGTTGTCCCAGAGAGCTGAAAGTTTGCACAGTACATCTACATCTGAGGTTAAATCTCCCCTGCAAATTTATTCCGATCACTTGAGTAGCTTCGAAGTTAAATCTTTAGCCAGTGTCCCCCTTTTACACTGGAGAACATTCGAGGCAGGGAAGGTAGAGGAAATAGCTGGGGAACCCCCAAAGGTACTCTGGTGCACATTCCTTGGAGTCGAGTTTGAGAAACCCTAGAGGAGTTTCAAGGGTGGCCTCAGAATGGCTCCTAGAAGAATCTCTTTCTCAGCTGTTGAGCGTGCCATACTTGGGTTTCACTCTGTGTCACATAGCATTTGCTAAGTAGCAGTAAGGTGCCTGGAATGCGTCTTCCTGTTTACCACATTCTCATTTGTCGTCTCTCAATTTCCACTCGATGACGTTTGAGAGGGTTCATTCTCCCAAATCCTTCAGTTTTAAGAAGTTAATTTTTTAAATTTTAACTTGTACTGTTTCCTGTTTGAACTCTTTGGGTCCTTCCGGCGAAGTATCATTTGAAAAATGTTACTTCGCTGTCGCGAGACAGGTGGCTTACTTCCGGTGACTCTGTATCTGTTGCTCAATGCACCGTCAAGCCCCCTAGTGGAGAGCAGTGGACACGCCAACGCGGAGTATTTTTTTACTCGGGGACCAGTTTTGACGGGTATAGGACGCCGAACACTGGCCCAAGATGCATTCGCGTAGCAGCGGCGGTAGCTCGTGCTGTCAGCGCAACGGATTCGTTAGACGTGACATTGTTGTTGCTGTGCTGCGTTGTTGGGGAAACTGGTTGGGAAGGGCCCCTTCAAAGTGCATGAGTGATGTGATTTGCAGGTGCTGGAGGCCTGCAAGGGTGCCTCCGTCTGCACCGAGTTGGACGTTCCCGGCCTCGTGGAGAGGATGTTCATGCTCCTTTCCCAGCCTTCCAAGCTGACGCCCACTGGTAGGCCCAAGTACTGTTAAGTTGCTGTACTTTCTGGACAAAGGTCTGCCTCACTTTATAGCCCGGGAGTGGAAACTTGGGTTGCAAACAAGTTTTTCCTTCTCTATTAGTGCATAGTCTGTGTCTGGAGCATAGCCTGCCCCTGGTGCCTAGTCAGCACATAGAAAAGTCTTGTACAGAGCACACCTGCTTTATTAGCTCACAATGAAGCTTGTATTATCCTTAGATCATCATTAACATACCCTGTGATTTATAGAATCCTTAACCGCTTGTCAAAATGAATAGTCTCCGCACTGCATCAAATTTCATCTTTTAAACTACGTTCCAGAAAGTATGGTATGTGAAGGGTTCCCTTGTCTATTTTTAGAGTTCGGAGGTGCTAGAGTTCGGAGGTGCTTTTTCCTGGTTTATTTACCCAACAAATTTGGCGTTTTTTGGTGTTGGTCATTGCATCAACTATACATATCTTCAAGTTTTCATTTTATGCAACGCGAACTATCATTGGGTGTGGGCAAGGATTGGTTTTTTCGTGATTGTTCGTTATTGTGAAACAGGATGGATTGTTTGAAGAATAGGGTGTGGTAATGATAATTTATGTATAAAACATGCTTCTCTGTAAGTTAATAAACCGGATATTTGTCAAGGTGTATTGTGTATGAACATTTTTTATGTGCAAACCATGCACCAAATGCGGACTATATAACGAAAAACTTGTCTTTTTTAACTGAAATTTGTGTCTTTGAACAATACATCGGGTCCGGACTACAGTCATGACAATACGGCAGGCTCTTTAACAAATTGATGACGCAATAAAGTGGGTAATTTTTGATGACTGTTTCTTGCTTTCTTGTGTCCCTGTGGTGTGCAGTCAAAGAAGAGATCCTCTGTGTCCTTGGCACCATCGCCGAGTGTCACCAGGTCGCCACGGAACCGTATCGGGACAAATTGCTGGCCCTCTACCTGGCTGAACTGCAGGCAGGTGGCACTGGTTGTTTCACTGGGGTACGAGGTGGCACGAGTCACAGTCTAATTTAAAATGTTCAGTCTTAAGCCTCTAAACAGTAAGCTGCGCTTTAGATTAATGACACTTGGGCCTCTTGGTGCTTCAAATGGCTGTTATCTGAAGCTTCACCAGAAATTGCAGGAAACACTTCTCGTCCTCTGAAAATGTTAAAACAGTCCGCAACAACGAAACAAAACCACACATTTGCATAACTATCGCCAGTTGCACCTGCTCCCAGAATAGATTAATAGACATCTGCGGAATGGAGTGTCGATACTCTAAGCACGGATTATTTAGTAACTCCATTCACCTATGCTTTGAAGGCTGCAACAACCAATACCGCGGAACTTGTTTGTCTGTAGTACACCAATTCAGATTGTTATTGTAGTTAACGCCCGGTGGTAGTCACTATCTAATCGATATAACCACCATTTAAGTTGTCAATATTTGCTACTTGTGTACCAGATGCCGCCACCATGCTAGTCTTCTAGCGTTAGCATCCCATACCCGACATGTGTATCGCAGGGATCCGATTGCTGTGCCATTTGTGTCGCGACTAAATGCTGACCCCGCCAGATACTGCGGCGTTTCAGTGAAATGGGAGGAATTTTCACCAGCATTGCGCCAGAAATTAATTTTTCGATGCTGATTCGGTCGTTGTCCATTGCCAGCTGGTTAGGGGAAATTTTCTGCAAGTTTACTTTTGATTGTGACTTGAGATACCTCTGTCTGCATACTCTGCATACGCATCTCTATGCATTTGTGCTCTGTTCGGGCCAGTTAGTTCCATTGAGTGCACTTCCCACAATGCAGTGGTGTGTTGTGGATAAGCCACACCTGGGGCATGGACACTGGGAGGAAAAAATGTTCCTCCGGAGCGGAATGGTGCGCGAATGCACATAATTGGTTTGAGAAAAAAAAAGCTTTGTGAATGCTGATGCAATGACTCTAGCTTGCAGTAAAAGTGGCAAAATGAGAGTGACTAGACTACCGTAAAATACCGGGCAAGCGCCCACTCAAACTTTGAAGATAATCGCAAATAAATGGGGGATGGGCGCTTGTCCGGTCATTAATTTTACAAATAAATGTACTGTGCGTAGTTTCTCAGATCTTACTAATTTGGTAATGGGCGCCTAATGTGGAATGGGCGGATGCGCGGTATTCTACGGTATATAACAACATTCTGACGCACGTTTCATATTTTTAAAATTAAATATTTGATTACGTAGGCGTGGGGAGGGAATTGACGAATAACCTGACCACGGTCCCATAAGGATGCCTTCCCTCAAGGCATCCTTATATCACCCACCCCCGATTTCTGTCGAACATCATGCGATGTCCGACAAGAATCACATTAGCCGTGCAATGTTCTATGTCGGTATGTGGGTAACTAGCGAGTTTGCAGCAGGTTCCTGTGTTTTTTTCCGCGATCTGCGTGTGCAATATCAGTTCCCGTAGCACGCAAGTTTGCAGCCGGTTTCTGCATGTTTATTGCACTGTAAAACATAAACCTGCTGCATAGTGATTTATTCACCATTAGCCCCCCCCCCCGCCCTTACACTGTAACGACCTTTCATCGCCACTCGCGTGGCCAATTGCACTCGGCTCTCATGGTGGAAATGACTAGGATGATTTGGTATGCGAGCCACATGGTTCAGCGCTTTGGATCCTGAGGTTTCCCACATGTTTCCCCGCTAATTTTAGCGAAAAAATGGATGCCACGTGACCTGACGTCACATGATTTATGCACCAATTCAGTTTCCCCGCTAAATTTAGCATAAAAATTGATGTTACATGACCTGATGTCACGCAATGTGTACACCAATTCACTTTCCCCACTAAATATAGCGGGAGATTTGATAAAAATGAAAGGTTCTTTACTCCCTGAAACGACAATCTAATGTCTTCTAAATACACTTAAACGATCATAACTTAAATACTGCATTTTATGCATTGTAGGACTTTGGAGATAAAAGTCACTGACAATTTTGTTTAGTTTATACCTCTCTATAGGCCCTAACTGTTTTAGGGCAGTCAACAAAATTTAAATCTTCTGTAATATCCCGAGTCATCGCCCAGCCTTTGCCGTCTGGAACTCATTACAGAAGTGTGGTGGGCCATGTCTCAATGACTAAACACAAAATCTTTAGAAAAAAAGCTAAAAAAAACATTTTTCTGTACAGATCTAGCGCGGTTACACAAGCGATACATTAAACTCAAAACTCGAATTAGTTTCGTTGTTTGATGCGAGAAATCTTCATGAAAGAATGTTTTACTATCACAAAGTCCGTTGCTTGCATACGCGAGATGAACAGCTACGATGGGCATACAGCGCAATTGTTTGTTCTGTGTAAGCATGTTTCTAGCATCGCCATTTTCTCTTCGTTAGTAAAAGAAGAAAAGAGAACAAGAAAATAGAAAAATTCACCAGGCACAAAGGAGGAGCGAGCGGGTGGAAGAAGCAACGAAGAGCAATGCTGGGGAAGCGGGCGATCGCAAGGGAAAATACTTTGGGCGCTGGGCCAGGTGGGGCGCCTTGGCAGTCATAGGGAGCAGACTCTTGTGCAACTTCCTTACTTGGCGCACACATGCGTGCGACTGTGCCTGGTCTGCTATCAATGTGGGCTGAGGCGGTGTTGCTGCGTGGTGTGGATGGCACTACGAACAAGGAGCTCAAAATGGGACGCTTTACAAATGTCCGTGTGCTACATTTCCAGGAAATATTTATTTACCCGTTGGCTTTGTCTCAAACATTGCGCAACCTTGTCAACTGTGGTCACAACGTTCCTGGAGAAGGTGCGGGTTTGCGGTGGACTTACTTCGGTGTAGACGGATTTTGACCTTACATCTTTGACCTTGCACTCCACATTTACGTTCCGGGATATGGGGCGTTCCCTGACCTCGCGATCCCTGAATGGGTTACTGCCTGTGCTATCTTTCTGTTTTCTTTTTTTATCCAAACAAACTTTTTTCTAAGCAAAACAAAGTTTAATTCTGTTATGTCCATCATTTTCCTTCTGCACGCACATACCCCTATTTTGGGGTTGCGGAAATCGGGGTGGAAATGCATAAACAATGTGAAGCGTCTTTCACTCCTTCATTTTACTTTGTCACGGACGTCCTCCAACCGTAAGGTCCGCGACCACGTCGTTCGAGTAGAATGAATGTTTGCGGATCACGGAGTCCGCATGGGGGGTAATTGTAGGGGTGGGCGATCACTCGGCGTTTTTAACATTCTTTAGCTATCTGCCGGATTTCTTGGACTTTTAAGCCTCCTAATGTGCAGTAGGTACCGTAAAAACCCGCATTTAGTACAAACCCGCGTAATACAAAACGTAATTTGAGGACTGCGAACAAAAAAAAAGTTTTATCTGCGTATAATACGAAACAAACACAAGGACAACGAAAATATCCCGCGTAAAGTATGACACAGGAAGTTGTAAGAAAAACGTTTATTTGCGTCGTAATTGAACCTCAATCACTGTCATCACGTCCATCAGACTTTTTGTCCAACGCCTTTTCCCAAAGGCAGTCGTCTTCAGTGCCGTCGAGCGCGTTTGAAATCCTGCACATGAAAGAGCGAGCAACGAGTGTGTGCCGAGGCTGTGAAAACCCGGCGCAGCGCATAAAGCACTCAATGTCGGCGCCAAAGTTCTCATGCAGCAGCTCAATGTTTCCAGCGAGGTGCCGTTCACGTTGCTCTTTTACAAGGTTGCCGAGATTAGCCTCGACGTCGGCGAACACACCATTCTTTGGACCTCTAAAGCTTCCACTCTGTTGCACACGAACAGAGCTTGCTTTTGTCGTCTCCATCTGCGGATGCTGGCCTCATTTATGGGTGAATTGTCGTCCGGCAGCACTGTTGCCTATGTCTTCCGCAACCAAAAGGACTTTTCTTTTGAAGGCCGCGATTATCGTTTTCGTGTCGACGCCATTGCCTAGCCTGACCAGGCCTGACTGTAAACGGATAGTGGCGCCTCAGACATTGTGATTTTAATGATGATGAGAACTGTTTTGAGTGCCGTGTAGCTTCGAAACCGAAACTACGTCAAACAGCGTCAGATCACGCCTCATCGAAGTTGAAATTTGTTGGAACCCACGTATAATACGAGCCTCAAATTTTACATGGCAAAATTTGAAAAAAAAACAAAAAACGTCGTATTATATGCGGGGTTTTATGGTATACGCAGTAGACCATTTCAGCTCACATTCTCACACTCTTCACATTCATACCCTCTTCGAAGGACCTGACGACCTTGACGTCGTCCTTGAGGTTGTCCTTGAGGTCGTCCTATACGTCATCTTTGACGTTGTCCTCAGGGTCGTCCTAGACGTCGTCCTAGATGTCTTTGATGTCGTCTTCGACGTCGTCCCAGAAGTCATCCTAGACATCTTTGATATCATCCTGTAGGATGTCATCCTCGAAGCTGTCTTTGAGGTCGTCCTAGATGTCGTTCTAGACGTCGTCCTTGAGGTGGTCCTAGACGTATGCCATCGCAATTCATAGACAAGCAACAACAGTGGTTTCTGGAGCAATTTTTTGGAAATCAGTATTCGCCCAAAAAGTAGGGTGGCCCATGCAAAAGGAGTCTCCGAACCCCTCAGTCGCGCTTTGAGGCCCCTTGGCATCCGGACGGTTTTCAAGCCATACAGAACTATTGGAAATTCCGTTTCCAAACCAAAGGACCCAACCCCGGCGAACGTCCAGAGAGGCGTTATCTACAAGATCCCCTGCAGTGACTGCCCGGCGTCCTACATTGGAGAAACCGGACGGAGGAGAGAGAGACCAGACTCAAAAAACACAAGCTTGACGTCACGTACGCATCCCACGCGACGCGACTGAACTGGTGGACCATGCATGGACAATGGGGCATTCTTTTGACTTTCTGGCCGCGACGACCTTGGCGAGCTTTTTCTGTTGTGTCAAGTCGGTGCTTTTATTTTAATTATTCGGATAGAACGTAAGCTAACTGCAGTAATGGAATGATAGGTTGTACTTTACCTCAAGGGAGTCCATTTGGATTTTTGAAGGCATATTTGTTGTCTGCAGGCTGATTTTACATGTTTAGATAATTTTATATGTAAAGTGGCAACAGTGTGCATAATTAAATTAGCTTTGGAAAAATTTAATCTTTTGCACAGGATGCTAACAAATGGTTGCACAGGAGGAGGAAGGTAATAGGTCTATCCCCCCTTCTCTGTGTTATGTTCCTCATGGTTGATACTGTTTGCCAACACGCTCGTTTTCTACTTCAAGTGACGCCGAGAGGGTATTTCTCATCACCAAGCTTTTGATTTGAACATGACCTATAAGAGCCCAACTACCCAGAACATAATTTGCAGCTCGAAATTTGTTTTCCATCTGGCTGAGAATTGGCCAGTTCCAGTCGTGCTCACTCTTTTTCAATGTTCATGTGACGTTCAAACTAGGTGTACCAAATATATTCAAAGTCATGGGTCATCTAAGGCACACATTCACTATTAAAAATAGAAATAAATAGGAACCCCATTTTTGTGGCCTCTAAGAATCTGTAAATATGTCGATAGAAAAAGAAAAAAAATTTGTACAGATTATTGGAAGTCTATATACACGACATCCTCAATATGGCGACATACTGCAGGTTGGTCGACGCGATGGCAGCAAATGACGGACCAATGTTGCGATGAACATGTGGCCGCTACTTCGGAACTGTCGTTCGTGATACCAGCCGAACGATCTTCAAGCACAGAACATTGTGCAGAAGGCCATAAGGATTTATTTTAGTTCTGGACTACTGTCATTTTTTCTGTCATGTGACAGAATTTGGACGTGTAAATGAACAGTTTTTTCGTGTAGGTTACTTGTGTCAATCTTGCAATGTATGTAAACGCGACAGAACCGCATACATTAAAATAGTGGGTGGCAAAACAGCACAGCTTCAAAACAGTACAGCAATAATAACAATTGGGGTTGTGGAAATATTTATACAGCGTGTAGTTGGTCTGCCATTTAAAGTTGCGACGAGTCACACGCTGTAGATGAGCAATTTTTCCAGTGCAGTACAACCGCTAGCCTGGGGTCTTTAACATGCACCACGCAGTAGTGATGCACGACCGCACGCTGGTACGATGCTCATCCAGATCGAAACGGGCAGGGGTGGGGCTCGAACCCAGGATCCCTGGGTTCTGCAGCGCGAGCTTTCGCTCCACGCGCGTCGAGCTGGGTGTGCGCTTCAGCCCACTCGGCCACCGATCCCCCTAACAGTACAGCAGTGAAACAGCACAGCGTCAAAACAGCACAGCAACCTACGGCAAAAATTATGACGAACAACATTGGTATACCATCATTTTGTTAGTAACGGCAATTCAGCCGATCTGGTTCGAAGGACATTTCTTTAACGTCACATAATATGTTGTCGCTGTTCTCCGATGAGGCCGTTTTTTTTCCCCTGTTCTTTTTTGTAGTGCGCTTTTGGTGCAGTGCTGTATATATGCTCTATTGTTACATGCTTTATTGTTGTGTGTTGTTCCATGGCTGTGCTGTGCTGTTTTGATCATGCCCTTTTGTCGCATGCTGCTTTTTTTGTGCTGTTTCGATGCAGTGCCCCGGCTTTTTTGTGTGGCATTTGGTCGTGATGCCCCATTACACGTCACTTTGAAGTCTATGGTTTTCATTTTTCGGGTAATTCGAGCTCCTATAATTGAGACAGAATTGACACCTTCTTCAGGTGCGAAGAGTCTGCTGCGGCTTCGAGCAGCTGCTGAATGCTGTGGCGTCACTAGGGTCAGCGGCACCCGGGGCGGTCGCCCGCCCCACAACCCCCCTCCCCTCTCGTGGCTTGCCGTGACCCCCCTCTCCCCCCTTTCGTGGCCCGCTGGACACCCCCCTCCCCCCTGCCTTTCTTGTAGTCCGCTGAGAGAACCCCCCCCCCCCCCCCCCCCCCTTTCACTGCCCAGCTGCACCCCCTTGAGTGCTGCACCCGGGCCAGTCCGCCCCCCTCCTAGTTACTCCACTGGCTGCGTAGTTGTGACCCGATTCCCAACTTGGTGTTCTTGCAGAGGGTTTGCAGCGTGAAGGAGAAGAATGTGGTTGCTGGATGTCTCCAAGGGCTCTCTGGGTTCCTCTTCCATTTCGGAACCTGTTTTGAAGATGGTTTGTCTGTTTCATACTTTGACTACATTCGGGGCACGCTTCGCCTTTACAAGCACTTTTAGAAAGTCACTTTGGGACTTCTTGATTGATAGCTGGTTAATGGAGCTTACTTGTCATTTGTATCATTATGTCATGGGTTCTCAAACTGGCTTCCCAGGGGTTCCCCGAATACCCGCACGAGTTCCCCGAGTTCCCATGTTTTCTTCTCTGCCCCCAAGTGAAGTGTTGTTGCAGTTTAAAGCACTTTTTGTTTTTTTACTAAATATTCATTGACCCGTAACTACGGGCCAAAAATGTCCTCGCATGTGCCTCATTGTTCACAAGGTTTGTAGGAATTTGCATTCCTCTATTGCTTTACCATATTGATGCCGAGACTGGGGGGGATTGTAGGCTTTCATTCGAGTCGGAGAGGGGTTCTTCGAGGTAAAAAACGTTGGGGAATCCCTGCATTAGGTGATTAAAGAGTACCTGGGGGGCGGAAGGTGCTACCCAATTTGAGAAATTCATTTGTACCTGGCTAGCCATTTGTGCATGCTTAAGTTTTAAGTGTGAGCGTAGCAGAAGCCACAAGAGTGGGCTGCGGGCTTTCAGTATCTGTGCCAAGCACGCGCACCCTTGCAGTGCAAGCATATTTGTGGGGGAGGTGCGTGTGCTTGTAGCTTGGGTGAGAGAAGTGCAGTTCCGCTTCTCTCGCACTTATATTTGTCTGATTTGCTGTCTTCAGATCCGGACAACTGCTTCAAGCTGTTCAAGTGCGTGAAGCGGTCACTGACTCCCAGCGACAGACCGGGAAGATATGATATCCCTAGAGGTATGCTACCATTGAGAAAAATACTTGCTTCCTTAAAAGAAAGATGGACTGCACATACCTATTTATTTATTTATTTGCAGTTTTCTAAAGGGTAACTGCAAAGAAAAAAAAGTTTTTTTTAAACAGCCTAATTGGGACAAGCATGTCACAAAACAAATGTTCCGCGAAAATTTTTTTTTTTTTTTATCAATATTTACGCCACAGGACGTAATTTAGTAGAGTCAGAACCTCTCCACATTTGAAACTCCCGCTCTGTCGACCCCCGCGGAAGAGGAGTACGCCCCGCCCCTCACTCTCCTTGCGTTGCGGAGTTGAACGGCGCAGCGTCTCGACTTCCGGCAAGATCTGGCAACTACGCCAGGCCGCGGTATTGTTTTGGTTGTTATGGTTTGACGCGGTTTGCGAGCACATGTAGCGAAGACTTGACCGGAGAAGTGCCCCTGTGATGTTCCCGGAAGACGGAAAGTATCGTTCGTAATCGTCGTGCGCGCTTTGAAAGCGAAGGGAGTCACAGAATCCACGAGTGCGCAACCACAAGCCAAGGTTCACGACAGCGCTGCGTTATTTTCGGCGATCTCGTTCTGTTTGGTGCAACACGGCGATGCGACAGAGCTGAAACGTTCGTGGTGTGTGTAATGCGGTGCTTACACGGAGCGCAAATTGGTTGTTGTGGGGTTGACGTTCAACCAGTTCAGTCCCGTCGTCGTCAGCTGATGCAGTCAAACTGGTCCGGGAGGACGCTGGGAGCGTTTTTAAAAGTAAATCTGCCTCGTTCTGTTTCAAAATGTGGAAGTTTCCCGACGCATACCGTGAGTAAAAAGCTGCGGGCGTTTTCAACAAAATTACGTCGTTTTAATTGAACAATGGACTCCGAATTGTTGTCCTAAATCTGCCGTTTTTATGCTTCGTGTTGGACTGCGTTTGCACAGCGACGTGTTGCATCGTGCGGTGTGAATAAATTTGGGCACGATTTCGTACCTGCCTACAGATGCATGAACTGAGACCATTTTTACGTAGTGGACATAGTGCTTTTTTATTTTCTGTCTAGTCGCGGACGGTAGGTGCACACGGGGCGAATCTCGACGGCCTCCAAAAATATGACGAGAACGTAACTAGACACGTTGGTCGCTACGCGAACGCCCGATTGCCTCCAGCCAAATAGCATTCCTTTCGGGGCGACATGGCTGCTGGGAGGCTCACTGTCAGGATCACGCATCTGACATCTCCGAAAAGTCAGCATTTGCACGCGCAAACAAACAAAACAAAAAAAAAAGCACGCTAAGCAAGCAAAGAGGAAGACGAAAGAACCGCGCTATGAAAGCCAAAACCCCGCGTCGCTTCCTATCACTAACACCTGCGACAGCTGCTAAACACACACTACTTCACTTCAAGAAGTACCTGGGTCAGTACGAAACGACGAAACACTGATCACTTCGGCGAAACGATTAGTCGAGGTAGGCGAGACAGGCGGGAGCAGAGGCTTCGGCGGCCATGAAAGAATGGCGAAGCTTCTGTTTGTATGAATCCAAACGGAAGTGCCCGTCTTGTAAACCTTTTGTAAAGAATAATAACTCTCATCACATGGGTTATTCTTTAAAAGTAAAAATATGCCGCTCAAAAGGAAATTGCAGCATATAACAAAGGTTTAACAATCAAGATCTAAGCTGTCAATCAAACTCTTAGCCAATGAGAACCTTTTGGGATTGACGTCCCATAATCACAACTTCGTGGCGCGCGATTTAAAACAGACGAAATAGCCGCAAACTAAAATGAGTCTCACGCAATAAATATTGCTGTAAAAAATGTTTTTTCTCGCGGAAAAATTGTTTTTTGACATGCTTGTCCCAATTAGGCTATTTAAAAAAAAACTTTTTTTTCTTTGCAGTTACCCTTTAAGGGGGGACACTACCCAAAAAAGTGAATGTTTGAACCGCTTGTTTGATTGATTTAAATTAGATTTACAGGGCTTGTTTCTGTTAACGTCGAGAACATTTCTGCCAAACCTTGTTAACCTGGGTGACATACAAAAAAAATTGCAAATGTTCAAAGATGAAAAAGGGCGTGTCTGCATAGGAAAACTATCGTTTTGAAATTACTCATAAATTTGTCATTTTCATGTGTTATATTGCTTTAGGACAGTTCAGAGCAGATAACTATGGAGCTATATTTCTATATTATACCATCTTTCATGACAGAAAAGCCAGAGAAACACAAATACTGTTTTTTAGATTTCCATCCTTTGTCCAAAAGTTTAGTTCTTGAGCATGAAAAATGACAAAAATAAAAAGTACAGGTTCATAGTTATCTTCCCCTTAAAATTTCACCCCAGAAAAACTTCTGAAAGTGAATCCAAGTTATGTAATAACAAAACGATAGTTTTCCTAAAGTGAAATTTCTGCCTAAAACTGGAATGGAGAAAAATTGCATTCAAGGTGTTCCAACCTCTACCTTTTCTTTAGCATTGGTGGACCAAAAAAAATTTATGAAAAATTAATTATGCAGTGTAAACTAGTGAAACTTTCTGGGAATACTCTCTGGATGTTGGGGGACGTAAATATGACATTTGTCAAAATCAACTTTTTTTGCAGAAATTGTTTTTTTTGGGTAGTGTCCCCCCTTAAACGACTCAAGTGTAGGAAGAGGGGATCTAAAATGCTTGAATTTAAAGTATGAAAAGGAACATACTCAACAAGAATTGCTAAAATTGATGAAACCGGTACCCACTTAGCTTTGAACAGAGAAAATGAGAACAGCATGCCCACAATAAATGCACAAATTGCATTAGTTTGGATGACCATAAACGCACATCCTTTGGATATCCACTGGAAAATCAGTATGCACATTCATAAATTAATCAAATCGACTCGAACCATTTTATTTTTTCCAAGACGAGATTTCTCTTCTTGAAACGGTTCATGGTACAAAAGTGAACAATTCGTTTCACGAGGTACAATGGCCGACGTGAGGCGGGTCCCGATGTACAGGTGCACACATTTAAACGCACACGCACAAAAAAATGCTTTCGCATTAAGAAAGTGAGAAAAAGAGCAGTCCACGCAGACATCAACAACTGCAATGGAGGAGCGTACCTTCTCGATCATGCATGCGACAATATCGTGTCAAGGCCCGGTGCACTGGCAGAGAAGTCATTCCATCGGCTTGAAAACCATTGCATATCGGCGGGCTGTGCGGAAGAGCTTAGATCACGGTTTGCAAAGGCTCGATCGGGTCCTTGTGGTTTATGTTTGCAATACGAGCTGTGAGAAGGTGGCAAAAGCGTGGATCGTTCGCAAACGTCTCCACTTTTCTGCCTGCTTTTCTCCTTGCCACGCAATAACGCAGTGCATGTACACTTACGACCAATTTCCACAGTCTGCCATTTAATTGCAAATGCTCCCCATGTTTTGAGATGAACCATCTCTCCAATCCAGGCTGTCCAGGTTGCACCAACGATTGCAGCGCGCTCGTAGCAGCTGCGCCAATGAAGTTGCTCTTGGTGCTCAGCCACTCAGTGTGCTTCTGGTGGTCCTGGAATCCGTGGCGACGTGCAGCTTCTTTCACTACGCTCTTCACGATTAATTATATCGACTTTGTCCGAGAACAGTAAATACTATTGCTGCATGCTCGCCTTTTCTTGCGAGAATGGAATTCGAAAAACGGAACCGAAAATAAAAGAACAAAGCTCACATCAAGCGGCAGCAAATAAACAAAGAAGCAGACGAGGTTTGCTTGGTGGCGCTTGGCGAGGAGGGAAACATGCGTTTTGGTGGTCATGTGATTTCGGAGCAAAAAAATTCGATCGCGTGCTGGGAGCGTTTAAGTGCTGAACGGATGATTGCATGGGCTGCATTGGGGGCGATGCCGTGAAAAGACGCTCCCAATGGTGCACTGCCTTTGAAGCGCTCGTTCACTCTTTTTTGTTCTCAGCTTGCGCTTCGTGTAACCTATCTTTTTGTTTTTAAAAATAGGACATGCGTTTTCGAGGGTCGTTTTCTGTTTCAGAGTTATATAGCCAATAGGTTCTTCGTTTGAAATACCTAGACATTCAATATAGACAGTACTTTGTGTATTTGGGTTTGTTATGAACAGTTGCGACTGTTTGTGCCTAGTACCCTCCTCTGTTGTTTCTGACAAGTGACCACGAGGTCGCAACATGACCCGCTGAATTATTTATACAACCAATCTGTTATTTTTTCAGAGTGCTCAGTTGCAACACCGTGCAATCTCCACGCTAGCCTGAACAGTGGTGCACTGAAAAAATTGATGTTGAGCATAATAGACATTGAGCTTAATGCCTTCTGTCGCAATCTCTTTTTGTTGGGAACCAGCGGCTCTGATCCTGTTGTCGAAGCACGCGGTGCTCTTTGGGCAGTTGTTGCTGGACGACCACCGGACGCTGTACCAGCAGTTGGGCCACTGGAGTCGCCACGGCAACCGGGAATTGCAGTCCCTGGGAACTGCCGCCCTGGAGTCCTTTCTCAGAGAGGTGGAGATTATTTACTGCTTGTTGTTCTATTCAATGCGAGTGCAAGAGCTCTTAGCCTTTGTAGTGTTGCAAAAAAAAAAAACAAAAAAAAAAAAACTACTCTAGAAGTGAACAGCAAGACTAAAGGGAAAGGGCTGGTGGGCTGATTCCAGGCTGACTTGGTAGCCCTGGAGCAAGGGGATGGAGGGACGGACAAACAGCCAAGCACGACCTCTTGGTGTAACAAAATTTTAGCTGCGTTTCCCGTTATACGTTTCTTCATCCCTTTTTTTTCTTGCTCAGGCTTACCATGTTGAAACAGACAACAGGGTATCAAAATACAAGCTAAAGTAGGACACACACGAGATGTGTCGTCGAGGTGCCAGTGTCTGTCTTGAGCTTTGCGCACCTTTTCACTTTCGCTGGAACGGCTGCATTCCACATTTTGCTGTTGCTTTTTATTTTCTACGGTTGGAGACGAGTGTCCGACTGCACAACCCATCCTTTTTATTCTATTTTACCACAATGTGTTTTATCAACTGATTTTCGTTGAGTTCCCTAACGTTTGGCTAGCCGGCTGTAACGGAAACGTTGAGCAGTCCTGTGTCACTCTAGAGTACAGTCACAGCGATAGCCACCACACTTCACGGCAAGGTCGTTGGGAATCGGCGTCGCGTTCACACTCTGCTGGGTCTGTGAACAAAAGTGTTTGGAACAAAATAGACATCTGGCCATTTTGTTCCGACGCTTTCGTTTCTTTTTTGTTCCAGAGCGTGTGAACGCACGTCTCTCAGCACGAGCTCTTGGCATTGACAGTGCTACAATGGCATTTTGTTATCGGCCATTTTGTTTTGTCAAAAGAGCGTGTGCAGTAAACATTGCGTATCACAAAAGCCCAAAGCATAAAGCAAGTTCATAACGCCGTGGTGTTGCTGGTGGTAACGTCTCCGTGTTGCACGCAGCAAACGGGTTCGATTCCCACACGCTGGAGGCAATCTTTTTGAAGGATTTGGCAACATGGACGACGGACGTCCAACATCGCCAACTACAACGACGGATGTCAATTCCAGTGGTGGAAAGAGCCCTTAAAGGGGCGGTGCAACGATTTTATGATAAAAAGAATTTGCATCTCGTCATTTTTACGTTGTTTATCGTATCCCAGAGGATAGAGAAAACACTTTTTTCATTAAAAATGTCGCGATTCCGCTGCATAATCGCAAAGCAAAAGTCGAGCTTTTTCCCCCACCTGCAGCCCCAAGTGGCAGCCGAAGGAACTACGGCGGAAAGACTACGTGACCTCGCTCGGCTCTAAGCTGCAGCATAGCGCCCGCTAATGTACGCAGAGAGAGGGAGGGGAAGCGTCCTCCGAGATAGCTCACGGGAAGCTACACGGCACTCCGAATGACGTCACTGGGAGTGCGACCAGGTGTGACCCTGAAGACTGGGAGTGAGTTGAGGGGTGCCCGAAATGCCGATCTTTATCTTTTTTTTTTACGCAACAACTAGGACACGCAGGCGAAATCGGTTTTCTGTTCTTTACTTCAGAAGTGTCAGCGGGCAACTTCCAGAAATCTTTGACCCAAGTCCGAAAATCGTTGCACCGCCCCTTTAAGAGCTATTGCTGTAAAGCAGACGCCAAAAAGCGTTAAGGACGGACTAGTAACCCGCTTGTCAGTGAGAAGCACTATTTTTTTAGCTAAAAAAATGGCGCCTATAGCTGACATGTGTGTTAGTTGTCCGTCTTTAATGCTGTCTCAAAAATGGCTGGAATTTTTATCCTGATAAATGCGGTGAGGAGCGAAAAGCATATTTTGGTGTGTTTCCTGTATTCGTGCTATTGTGCTGGTCATGGAGATTGGGAGAGTCGACCCAATGACGAGAATAATGAGGTAATAGAATACAAAACGAGTTGTAAGTCAGCGCGTGTGTTTGTCGCTTTGTGTGTCAGTGTGTGTGATTGATATTGCTCTGTTAACCCTAGAAAATATCACCGTCGCTCTGGCTGCCTTCGTCAACGGCGGCAGAGGTGATCGAGATTGTGAGGCCGCGACGTTGCCCCGGGGCATTAAAGGTGGCGTATGGGAAGAGCTCGTGGATCTGGACGAGGCATCAGGCTTCTTTAGACCTCGACTTGAATGTTTCAGTATGCTGTGCTTCATCTCTACCGAAACTGCCAAGGCTCGTGTTTTCACCGCGTGCATCTTGCTGGCGCCATCTTTAAAATACGACGGCAGACACCGATGATGATGAATCGGTCAGCTTCAGGCCGTGCATAGCGGCGACTCGCGGTGAATTTTCGTATGCGTCAGTATGGCATACGCGCGTGGCAAGTTTAGTGTCATTCGTTCGGTACTTCTTTTATTGTTAATTTTATTTTCTGCCTGATTTTTTTAAAATATTTTTTTTTAACGCATTTACGATCGTCGTAGCCGATATCAGTGTAGCCCCAAAGTGAGACCAAATCAGCCGCTCCTTGTTGCGTGTTTTCACTTAAACAGCAGCACTAAGATATCGCCTAACATCATCACCTTTGTGCGGGGCTTTGGGTTTCCGCGTTGCTCTGGGTAGGGTAGTGTGGGGTTTGAACTCGGTGTTGGGGTCGTCGCCGACTTCCGGACGAATTCGCGTTTGCAAAGGATGCAAGTACCAGGGTCAGTACTGGCCTGGTTTTGTGCAACACCTGCACTTAACTACTTAGTTTGCGCTTCGTGCTCTCCTGCCTCGGGTGGCGCCATGAGTCCGGCGTGGAGGCTTAACACATAGTGCCCTTCCTTCCTTCCTCATGCACCTTACACTCGGCTTTCTCCCATATATTTCTTTGTCACACATTGGGTTTTACCTACCTAATTCATTTGCTCTGGGCGGCTGGCTAGCAGACGCTCCCGCGTAGGGCCCCTCGCTTTTCTGCCTAACCTCGCGAGCCACCCGGTGCACCTTGCTTTGCAAATAAAGATTAGGATTATTATTATATGTAATACTTTCTATCGCTATATATGGTTTCTTTTTACATAGACCCAACACAAAAATGCGTGGTTTTCTAAAAATGGTCATTACAAGCAGTACGTCTTTCTAAGTGAACTGACCCGGCGAAGTATACTTGAAACCATGGTTGGTTTCTCTTTAACAGCTAAGGAAATATTTTAGTAGGACAAAAGGACACAACAGTGAGACACAAGACAACTGGCATTTCTTAACTTCCAAGAGATTGGTCGAAACGCAGAATGTTATCTGGGAAGGAATTAAGCGATAGGGTCAGAGTGACCAGTGGGATGATTTCACCAGTGTTTTTCTTTATCTACCTACCTTCCACAATCAAGTAGGAGACAAATATAGCATAACCTTGTTACGGCAGACGTTTGGTTGTGACATGCTGATTTGTCAAATTTGGTTGATCTTCCTATCTATGCCATTCACTTTGCTTATTACAGATAATCTTAATACATTAATACATAATACGGATACAGTTCGGATACATAATATGGATACAATACAGAGACATAATACAATAATGCAGAGCGTTCTAGGTGTTCCTCTTGAGTTGCCTCTGTGACCGTTATGTCGTCAAGGTAGGCTCCCATGCCTTCGATACCTGCCAACAGCGTGTCCATGAACTTCTGAAACAGCAAAGGTGCAACCAAAACTCCAAAAGGAACTTATTTAACTCGAAAGAGCCCCATCGGTGTCGTTAAAGTCGGCAGCTCTGCTGTGGTGTCATCCACTCGCAATTGCTGGTATGCTTGTTGCAGATTTATCTTTGAGACAATCTTTCCTCCTTGGTTGATGTACAACAGGTCTGGTGCCGTGAAAAGCGGATATGCAATTGGCTTGAGTGCCGGGGGTGACCGTGCACTGATGGACTCCACATAACCGTAGTGTACCATTCTTTTCTTCGAACAATGACTCAGGGCCCAGGACGACGACTTTACCAGCTCCAAAATGGCCTGAAGCTTGTTCAGCTTTGTAGGGCGAGTGGCACCGGTCGACACTTGAGGAATTTCGGAGCTGCGTCCTGCTTTGAGGTCTATGTGTAGCGGTTCGCCGATACGTCCGTCAAGCTGTCCTCGAAACTCTTGCTTGTGGTTTGCAAAAAAGTCTTTATGTGTTCCCAATGATACCGAATGTACTCCGGAAACCTTGATTTCCAGTGTGGGGAGCCGATCCCGACCGAGAAGACTCGCTCCCCCTCCGGTGACCATGTAGAGTTCCAGGCGAGCTTCTCTTCCTTTGAACTGCACATTGACAGGCACCTTGCCAGCCAGTTGCATCTAGCTTAGGAAGTCGTTCCTGCCTAAGGCGTTTGAATGTTTTTGAGCTAATTTTGGAGTGGGAAGCTCCGGAATCCATTTCTATGTCGAGGTGTCGTCCATTCACGATTAGCTCTGCGATGACCCACGAGGTACACCTCCCTGGGTGACGCCGTTGACAGCAAAAAGATGACCATGTGTCTTATGCTCTGTTGCATCCACATGGTGGGTGTGACACTTTGCTTCGTCTTGGGATTTGGGCTGGGCTTTGCATTTGCCTCTTCCAGGTGTCCTTCCTTGCAGCAAAATGTGCAAGTTGCTTCGATGTGCTTGCAGACGTCCGGCAAGTGCGAGCCTGTGCAGTGGAAACAAGACTTCTTTGTTCTTTTTTTGACCTTGCGATTTTCACTGCAATGGAGCTCTGGACCTTTCCCTCTTTTTCACCTTGTATGTGATGTTGCTGGCTGGCAGCAGACTCAGTAGCCAAGCCAATTGCGTAAGCTCGGTCAAAGGTGCTGTGACGTTAGACCAGCAAGCGTTGTTGTAGATGCGAGTCCTTGATGCCACAGATAAAACGGCCACTGAGCGTAATCTCCAATGGCAGAATGGTAGAAAATCCAGCTCCTTGGGTTTGTGCGGCCTGGGACAATTGTGTCTCGCTGGAGAAGCAAGCGGTTGGCATAGCTGTACAAGTAGCCCTGGCCGGCACGTTAGTCAGCGTTCCGAAGTTGCAGTCGGCTGCTACCTTGCGGAGGAAGGCGACGTATTCAGAGATGGTCTCTGTCGGTGCTTGGTTTTGCTGACGGAATTTGAAATGGCTGAACAATTCTGCCGGCTTCGGGTCGAAGTGTTCGTTGAGGAGTTTTACAATTTCTCTAAACTCTACTTCTGAAGGCTTTTTCGGAGCTAGTAGAGCCCGTACGGTGTCAAAGGTCGACTCACCGCAGGATGTGAGCAGAACTGCTCGCTTCTTCACGGGGCTGGTGATGTCTTTCGCTTCGACGTAGAACTCGAGGTGTTCAAACAATGAACTCCAGTTTCTTCTGGTGCTAAATGCCGTAATTCTTCCGGGATAGCTGTAATCTTCCATCTTCGGGGTTTGCGAAACTCCCTCGTCTCCAGTTAATACATCCTTCTTGTTAAAACTGTGTTTATTTACACTATTTACAGTTAAAGTTGAAAAGAAGCGAGCCATTGCTTATGGCGTTGGTTGGAATGAGAGAGAATGTTCTCGTGGTAAGCGCATGCTCTTCCTGAACCCTCGTCTTCGTTGACTTTTGTTATATATCAATATTATTCCATTCTAGCAAACTTCTGGACAGCGGTCATTAATTATTTGGGACATTATGCTGCTTTTGTTGGGTGGCATTCATTTTGCAAACTGCTGTCATTGCGCCCAGTGCCTCGCAAACCCCGTACAACCCAAAGCACGCAGTGGTGTCTAATCTATTTCAAAGTTTAAAAGCTTTAATAAACCTCTCCAATAAGATATCAATCCATACGTCTCACTGGTTAGAACAGACTGCAGTCATAATTTGCATCAGTCTGTAGTAGGAGTACCTGTGAGTGCATCTTTTGCAACAGATTAAAATCTTCATCAGGTTTGATATAACGAGTTTATACCAGAGTTGTAACCTGGGCAGTGGCAGTGGGAAGGCAAGGGAGTGTCTGTACAGCGCGACCATGTGAGTGTTTTGCAACGGTGGCTTCTACGTGGATGTGGCTGGAATGGTGGGGAGGCGGAGAGAGCTCTCCCCTTCATCATGCGGGTATTTGGGAACGGTGGCGGCCTGCAGGGGGAGGAAGAGTGAGGGACCACAGTTGGCATGTACGTGTGAGCAGCGACGGAAAGAGGGAGAGCAGTGCCTCTGTTGTGGAGTGGGCTTTTGCGTTCATACAAGAGCTTCCGGGTAGGGGCACTAACAGCTACCGCCGTAGAAGTCACACAAAACAGGCATTCTTTTCACGGTCGAGAAGGAGATAATGGAGAGGCCCCACTCTTTTTTTTTACATACTGCTCAATTTGCTGGATTGCATGGCCTGCACATAGTTGCTCCAGCACTGGCTTTCGGTGTTGATTGCAGTCCTCTGTCTAGCTAATTGAATACTGGATTCCAGGACAACTGGGCACTGGTCAAGTAGGCGAGCATTGTCTAATTAACGAGTCAGCTGGGCTAGTTACAGATTTGAAAGGGCATCTCTTGTAGGGGGCCTTCCAAGATTCTAATCACATCTTCCGCAGGTTGCGTCTGCACTGGTGGAACATGCGGATAGGCAGGATTACCTCGACATCTTTCAAGTAAGCATTACTTTTATGACGCCATTGTTGACAAGGTATCGCAGTGGATTCCAAGTGTGTTTCGTGCAGAGCCTCGATGCCATACGACGTCCCGTTATGATGCCACGCGACACCGCGACATAGCGTGATGCCGCGACGTTACTCTGCTGCTCATGGTGGGGGATTTTAATGTGAATATGTATCGTGGCCGGAACACAAGTCAAAGCTTTATAGCGCAAGAATTCTGATTCTACACATGTAACAATGACACAAACACCACCACAAAGAATCACAGTTTGTTAGACTTGGCATTTGGCAAATATCTTAATGGGGTCAGTTGTCCCCACTTGGGGGCCCACTTCGGTACTCGTAGGCCTATAATGTGCGTTGTACGCTAATTACTTTTGAATTCTAGTGGAGAGTGTCTTTGTGCAGTGAGAATTTGCGTAGTCTGTATGCAGCAGTGTGTAGTGCCTCGGCTGTCTCCGCAGCTCATTTATGCCACATTCCTGCTAGAGCGACAGACGGAAAAAAATGACAGCGACAAGCCTCGGACCAGAGTCTTTTGCAATTTGATAGGCTTTGTCGAATAAAAGAGGCTATGGTCAAACACAAGCATCATTCACGCGAGGGTATCTTTGGCAGGCTTGCAATCGCTCGTGCTTACTTCACGAGCACCGAACGACTAAACACCTGCCAAAGGTACCCTTTGGGTGCATGCTGCATGCGTTGAAGGCTCGTCCGTGTTGTTTGTTTCTGTTTGTCGGTCCAGTGGGATTCTGGGCAAAAGACGGGCATTTTGTTTTTTGTGTGGGGGAGTGGGGCTGGTTTTTGCTGAGCCATTATCCCGATGTGCGAAGCACTCTAAGTGTATGCCCCGGTTACTGCATTGCAGTTCTTTATCAAAGACTTTCAGCGGACGCTGAAGATGGAGACGTCCAATCACGGCTTGGCAGCAGCGCTCAAGGGTTATGGCCTCTTTGCCCTCGTGAGTAGTCTTCTGGTTAAGAGCCTATTACTGGGGAACTGCACACTATAGTATACGTCGGTATTTAATACGACCGAACTGGCATGACTGATACGGCACCTGGACAAGTCTCACGTTCCATGCCATCCGTCGGGAGACGGATGGCGTGGAATCGGGAGACGCCAATCGGGAGACGCCAAGCCTACTCCCACACCCCGCAGCTTTCTCTCGAGAACACCGCTACGGGCGGCTCCGAACGTCAGCCGCTCAACTGATCGCTTCTCTAAAAAGGAGGAGCACGTACCAGAATAGGACTGGGTCCAACGGTGTTTATTGGAACACCAAAAGACACACTGTCCCCGAAACCCCCGCGCCGACAAGGTCAGATGAAAGGCTCACCCTGTCGACACCGTCCCGAGAGCGCAGTCCAGAGTGGGCAAAGGAAGTCCTTCGCGACTCGTCCGATCTCTATCGCATCCGCGGGAGGAGTCCCCCCACGTTCCCGAAGTCGGCAACGGGCGTCGTCCTCACCCGAAACGTTCCCGGATGAGCGGGGGGACGGAAAAGGTCCCCCCGGGAGAGTGTGAGGAGGAGAGCCCCCCAAGCCAGGCGGCTCTCCTACGCTTCACGAACAGGTTGGAAGTCACGGCAACCAGGCCGCACGTCCCGAAGTATGTATGCCATTATTTTTTTTTTATAAAAATACTACTGTGTGACTTGCACTTTACAAACATCACAAAAGGCAACAGTGAAGTGTTAGAGTTCTCTTTATTTAATTTGCGCACCCTTTTCACGTTGAGTTTGAATAGCATAGGACAAGTGGCAGCCCAAAAGGATGTCAATGAGGGGCTGCATGTCATACTTTGATAGTACATTTCATAGCTTTTCAGAGATCTTTTATCCTCTCTGGCAGTGTATCAATATGCATACTGTTATTTCCAAATAAAGGGGAGTCAAATACTTGCGCAAAAACAATGAACATAAAACCCATAATGTTAGCGAACGTGAGTGAATTTAATGGTTGGGAACATGATGGCCCAAACCCAATTAACAGAAAATACAGTCGAATCTCGTTAATTCAAACTCGAGGGGGACCAAAAATTTGTTTGAATAAAGCAAACTTTGAATTAACAGGAGTTTTCTCCCATAGAGACACATAGGATGGGACCTGTATGTTAGTTTGAATTATCCGCAAGTTTGAATTAAGAGAGTTTGAATTAATGAGAGTCGACTGTATAATCTAAAAAATAAAAAGAGTTGACACTATGAGGCCACCGTTTAAAACTATAATTTTTAACCAAATAGTATTGTAATTTGTTATCTCAGTATTTTGCCATCCCATCACCCTTCCATTCTCCAGAGCCAGTATGGCACATGCATTTTTAACGGCGCACACTGTGTCATCAATTTTGATGCCGCGGGGCATTCGCTTTTTTGTCGCTCTGTCATTTTGATGTTCCGCTGTTTTGGCAGGTGCTCCTTTGTCAGTGTGCCGTTTTGATGCTGTTCTTTGTTGTTGCGAGCTATTTTCACGTGTGCTGTTTTGTTGCCGCGTTATTTTGATGCGTGCTGTTTGGACACATGCTGTTTTGCCGTGTGCTGTTACATTGCGTGCTCTTTTGTCACAGTGCTAAGTGGGAGGCCTATCACACATTCTGTGCTTACCCGCCCTTGTCAGCATGATCAAGCTCGTGTAATTTGTCTGTTTTAAACACAGGGTGTGTTTTTTATTTTTTTTTCACAAAGTTCCGTAACGTTTGGCTGTAGCAGCCAACTGTAGCGGCCAGCTTTAACAGCCAGTCAGCCGTAACGAAAAACTGACACTGAAAAGCGTCATGCCCATAGGCAACCGTATAAAAAGACTCAAGTGCCCTGGCAGTTGAACTCATCACCTCAAGATTGTGAGCCTTTGCCGGCTGAGCTGGGGGGGGTCGGAGCCTGCAAAAGCGAAGCCATTCGTACGAACGCACAGTCAAGCTCTTTGCGGCTTTTGCTGTCACGCTGTGCTGTCTGACTGTGTGCGTCAGAAACAAGATACCCTTCAGATGCCCTTCTCTTCTTCTCTGGAAGGCACAAATTCTGTGCATACCAGTCTTTGTCAGCACGATCAGCTTGTTTTCCTTCATACCTTCTTGAATATCATCGAGTCCGTTTTCTGGAAATCGAGGGAAACCGAAAAACCCCAATTGAGAGCTGTTTATGAATGAGAAAAAAAACAACCCAAGCTTGTCGGGAAGAAGTTTTTATCTGCAGATTTATTCTTTGTTGACCCGGGACACGCACTGCAATGGACGGTCTAAAAGCTTATTTTTTCTTTGGGAATCACATGCTTTGTTGCATTGTCTTATCAGTACCAGGACGTTTTCTATGCCTTTGGGTCTCGTAGCCTGGAGGTTGCACAGTCCCACCACTTGTTTTCTCAACATAATCCCCAGTGAGTGTGGATTTCTCGCTGCCACCAAAAATAAGTTCCAGTAAACATAGAATCTTTAAAAAAGAAAAAAATGTCCCATCACAAGAAAGGAAAAAAAGAAAAAAAAATTGCCTTTAGATTTGGATTACAGCAAACTAAAAGAAACACAAAACCCTCCCTATAACCACGTGAGCACCGATTCTTGTGTGGCCACAACAAAACCACCCAGTCCCAGCCTCTTGTGAAACTCGTAGAGTGCTTAAACGAGTGATAGGGCGCAGGCGATCTGGTTTACGTTCATGATTTAAGACAGCCCTGAGACTGGGTAAAACAAGGACAAACACGGTGAAATCTCAAAACACAGCTGTGAATTAATTTTTCCGATTCATCCTTTTTATATTTTATAGGAGACTGTCCGAATAACAAGTGCTGGAAACTGCATAAGTGTTCCGTCCATTGTGTTAGATGAGGAGTTGTGGACGTTCTTATCTTGTGAGAATTCTTGGTGATCTCAAACTTTTTGTGCGAGCGGTGTGAAGTGGTGTGTTTGTGTTTTTTTTTTTTTTGAATCGGTGTGTTTGGATCGTTTTTTGGCGAGTGTCGGGGGTGAAGGTGGATGTTATATTGTTCTATTGTTGTGGAATTTCGTTTGGTTTTGGTTCGGTTCTTCGAATCGGGGTCGTTGGGTCCTGCCCAGTTGACGTGTATTGTGGGGTTGACGGTAGGAAGTTTTAGTGATGGTGGAGGCATTCTATAAAAAGAGCAAGTTGGAAAAATAAATTCGCAGCTGTGTTTTGAGATTTCGTCGTGTTTGTCCTTCTTATTTTCCCCAATCTCATGGTTATCTTAAATCGTAGAGTGCTTTTAGGTTTGTTGGAGGCATCAGAATTTTGTAACGCTGATTGTGGTTGGTTCCTGTTGTCTTGTGGCTTTCCAGCCGTGCAAGCGATACCTGAAGGAAGCTGACGTGCTATACATGCTGAACGACGTCTTGCTGCGGTCTGAGCACGTCTTCCAGAGGTGAGTTGTGGGCCTGTCTTCGTACGGGGGCAGTTGCTTTTTCAACGTCCGATAAACGGAGTTAAAAAGGCAAGAGCGAGGAAAAATGTTTTTAATGTACATAAAATTTAAATACATACTCATATAATCACCGCATAGAATTAGGCACTTATCATGACGGAGCACAAGATCTGGACGCAATCCTTCGAGAAGGCCTGGATTCTCGGCCATTCCGTCACACTTTTGGGGAGATTGTCGGTCGCCACAGGCGTTCATCCCCGGCACCCACCATACACCTTTATCCCTTTGTCCTCCCCAAAACTTCTTGCCCTCTATGTCTGTGACAAGGGATGACCCCAATCTCAGTTGACCCAGGGAATAATCTGAATTTCTTATCCCAGGTATAGTCGTGGATGGATTGTCCCGGGGGATAATCCATTGAGGATTTTCTCAGGTGGTGAGGGTACAACAAAAGAGGCTTCTTTCTCATCTGTTGTTGAATGCTAAGATGAAAAGGGAATTCCACCTCGCTGAAGAGTGCATGCAATCATTCCCTAGCCTTGGAGTGACTATGACACCAACTGTACCTTTGTGCACAGCATCAGCAGCCACGCAGTGCTGGAGGATAGCCTTCCGCTGCTTTCGAGCTTCCAGGAGGCAACGGCGAGCATCCTGCGATGCACGGGCCAGGTCAGTTCCTTAACAGAATGGGTTTTATCAGCCGGATTCTACGAGAAAACCTTCACAAAGATCCGTCACGAAGAACTATCACGAAGGACTGTGACATGTAACATCATGGTGTCACGTGACACCATCATGTACTGTGACGCCCCGACGTCACATGATCTATGACGTCACGTGACATTGACATCGCACAACGCGATGTGACGTCATGGTGTCGTGTGATGCCGTAACGTCGAACGACACTTTGACATCACGTTACATCGTAATGTCTTGTGACATTGTCACTTCACGCGACAGTATGACGTCGTGGGACACCGTCATGTCGCGTGACATGACGACGTCGCGTGACTTTAACGTTAGGTTGTCAAATGATATGACGTCACGTGATATTGTCTCGCTATTTTCGCGAATAAAAGATAGTCGATGAGTGTGAAACTAAAATCTTAATGAGGCAAACTTGCACCTATGAAAGGTTCTTGCGTGGCGGTTACGAAAGGGCGATTGACCTGAGGCAGCACGTTACCGCAGCTTTTATACATATGGTACATTCGAGATTGCTCTAAACCAGAACGCTCTATGAGAGCCAAGAATGGGCTGGAACTTTCAAGGGATCTGGGCCGAGCAGGGTTCAGGGTTCAAACCCCATTCCTCCGTGTGGCAGCCTCACGCGTTGCCAACTTGGCCATGCACGTGGCAATATCGTGACTGGGCGAGACGTCGCAGTCACGTGACTTAGCACACACGTGTGGCATGTGCCCGGCTCATTTACGTCATATTTTGTGCTTCCCGGTCTTTGCAGCGCGATACAGCTATTGTAAGTTTTTTTTGCACCAATTTGAAGCGGCGAGTTTTGTTGCAGCCGAGGGCGCAAATGACGATCTGCAGCTGCCTGGTTTCTACCAAAGTATGTAGAGCTGCTGCTTTTGCAGAAGTGCCTATAGACCATTCCAAAAGTCACTTTCTGTGGAACGCATTCTGAGCGTGTGTGGTAGCTCTTTTCTGCCAAATGTCGGACGCTGCTCACACATCCATGACCCAGTCACTCGGCATCTCTTTGCCCGGGTAAGTGAACCAGTATGTTTTTGTTGCAGGTGGTAATCCTTTGTCAGATGCAGAGTTTGCACTCCACTCTCAAGAGCAGGGGTTCCCTTGGAACACAGGGGTTGCCCAGAGGAACCTGATGGGCTCCTCCCCCTCGACCTTCCCCGAGGGCAGCGTTTTCCTATTTTAAAATGTTCACTATAGCTTGCGAGTTCTGTAGGCTCCTGAATCGCTTTACTGCTTCAATGTCAAGACCAGAGTCGATGTCGAGACCTCGGGATTGAAGGAAAGCCCCGCTCTCGAGAATTTCCCGGGGGAAGCACCCATTAAATATGGCGCTTTTCGTGCTTTGGCACGGTTCAGCCGTGACTGAGGCGGGCTTTGCTGCGTTGCTACTAGCCGAATGATCCCACTTTCCTCTCCGCAGCATGTAAAGGCTGGTTTAGATGTGCTCGAGTATAACCTTGAAAGCATTTTGGCCGCTTAAGAGTGGATACGACGAGATGCCTGCCTCCGATAAGCTACGCTCAGAGTACCATCGTGGACACTGTTAGCTATAACACGACAACGGGGGCCGTCCCGTACCCCCAGCGCCTCATAGCAGGCGCTGTCCGAAACTCTGCGCATGCACCGTGTGGCGGACTCGCTCTTCTTGTTTGCGAGCACACCCTCGCTTTGTTGTCTGCTAGGCGTAGAGCAGGTGATGCCACAGTGCTGCTCGTCTGGTACGCTCGCCCTAGCGAACTGGTCTCAAACTCACCACGTGACCACTCGACCACGTGACCACGTTGTGTGAAGTTAATTTCTCAATCTAAATTTAATAGGGAAATTGTCATCATGTGACGTCATAGTATTGCTGTACACCAAGACTTCATGAGGTCACGTCACGTGATCTTGTCACTTGCGACCAGACATCAATTTCTCTTCTATATTTGGCAGGAAAATAAGTAAACAATGCTGTTCTTCACTTCCCAAAAGGCTGTTTAATATCTTCTAAAAAAATTTATACAATTGCTTCTTAAATACTGCACTTCATGTATTATCAGATTTTGGGCATAAATGTTGCAATTTTGTTTGTTTCCGATGCAGGTTCCGGCGTCCCAGCTGGCTCTCCTGGAGAAACTGACGGTGCTGCAGATAGAGAATTTTCCGCTCGTGGCGCAGAACCTGCAGATGCGTTACTGCAAGTCCCTGCTTTTTGTCCTGCTTGCAGTGTATCCAATCTCCCGCTCTTCTCTTTCGCAGATAGGTGAGTTCTTATGTGGGGTGCTGTCCTTTAGCTTGGGGTAGAGTTCTTCAGCTGTGTGGGATGCACTTCAGCTTTGTGGGGTACAGTTCATTTATTTCAATTGATTTATTGTACCCTCAAGGCTCGATGGCATTACAGAGGGGGAGAGCAACAAGAAAGCGTTAAGCCAACGACAAATTACATATTTGGCACATTCAGTAACAAGAAGGTTATGTCCATAGAAAACATATTAGGCACTCTCATAAACAAAGTGATTGGTGATGGCACATTTCAAAAGCTCAGTGTCCGTGATGGCAGCTATCGACCCGGGAAGGTGGTTCCATTTCTGGGTGTACGGGGAACGAAAGATTGATCAAGACGAGAGGAAACGTAAAATTAGTGTAGTATAGAATTATGGTAATAAATTTTATGAAACGAGGAAAGGCGGGAAGTTTTTCGACGTCCAAATAAAGGTGGCAATGAGGGTGTATTTTTCATAGAGGTGACGCTGCCGGTACATTGGTACTTAGGACTGAACGAACAGACCTCTTCTGAATAGCTTCTAATTTAGATGTAAGAGTTGCTTGTCCCCGGGCAGAAACTGCATATTCTAACTTGAAGCTAATTAGAGTTTTGTAAACAATTATCTTAGTCAAACGGGGGTTAATGAAAAATTGTCTTTGATGTAGCCTTACATGCGGTTAGCACTAGAAGAAATATTCCAAATATGAGTTTTTCATGACAGGTTAGAAGTTACATGTATGCCTATATATGTATGTGATGATACTGGCTCTAATTGGACATTACTTGGGAAATAGTTAGGATAGTCATGCAATGGGTGAGACACTCACATGGCCTTGCATTTGTTAGTATTAAGACTCGTAGACTATGTATTGCACCATTGGTAAACAGGATTAACATTTGATTGGAGTTTAGAAGTATCATTATGGTCTAGAATTTCACGATAAATCACACAGTCATCAGCGAACATACAGATAGATGAGGAGACATAAGTGGGAAGGTTCTTAATATATATTAAAAAGAGTAGGTACCCTAAGGCTGATCCTTATGGAACACCGGAAGCAACAGTGACAGAGGAGGGGTTACTATTATTGACAACAACAAGTTGTGACCTTTGAATTAGGAAACTTTCAATCCATGCAAGAACGTAATTGTCTATGTTAAGTTTGGAAAGTTTTAGTAGTAAAAGCTTGCGAGAAACCTCTTCAGCTCTCGAAGGTGCGCTTCTTCAACTCCTGAAGGTCTACTTCTTTGGGGTACAGTTATTTAGCTCTGTGGGGCATAGCTCTTCAGCTTTGTGGGGTACACTTTTTCAGCTTTCTGGGACATAGTTCTTCACCTCTGCGGGGCACAGTTCTTCAGCTCTGCGGGGCACAGTTCCTAGCTCTGTGGAGGGCAGATTTGAAACTCTGTGGAGCACTGATCTTCAGCTCTGTGGGGTGTGGTTCTTTAGCTCTATGGGGCACCTTTCTTCAGCTCTGTGGAGTGCAATTAAAACAACAAAATGTTTAGTTGGGCTTGTTGGTTTGTGACTGGAAATGAGTGCCAAAGGAACGGGGACAGGAGTGCGGTTCTTCAGCTCTGCAGGTGATCTTCAGCTCTGTAAGGTGTAGTTCTGCAGCTCTCTGGAATGGGGTTCTTCATATTTGTGGGGCACAGTTCTTTGTCTCTGTGAGACACAGTTTTTTTGAGGTATGTGGGGCACAGTTTTTCAAGTCTGGGGTGCAGTTCTTGAGCTCTGTGGAGTGCAGTTCTTGAGCTCTGTGGAGTGCAGCTCTTCAGCTGTGTGGAGCACAGTTCTTTGGCTTTTTAGGAAAAGTTCTTTTCAAGATAGAGCCATTAAAAAGGGAGACATTCGTTGACTGTCCCCCTTTCTTTTCTCTGCCAATTTGCTTTCTTTTCTGGTGCCCCAGTTGACGTCATTGTAGTGAACTTCCTCCAGCTCGCCTGCACGTGCCATGTGACGACACACTGCCATCTGGAAGTTTAGCATATTTTGGAATATGCTAAACCGAATTAAAGTGTCGTCGACGCTTTTAATTCAGCTCCCTCTTTACTTTCATCAAAGTCAAACGAATAGAGTCGGGATTTATTGGCGTTTCAGTTTACCAGGGGCTGGTGCGCACCTGCTCGCACCCCATTGCGGCGCAAGTGGAAGCGTCTCGGGAGGACGACGGGACCTCCCAGTCCCGCACAATCACCTACCGTCGTTACAACTTCCTCTGGGCCTACCTCCTCAATGCCATCGCAGTGCAGGTAAGCCTCTTTTCTTCCCCTCTTTAGTCTTATCCGTTTTCATGCCGAATTCGTTAAGGCCCGCTCACACCTTCGCGTTTCCTTAGGACCGAGTTGTTGCAATCTCTTACGATGAGAAAACAAACTGGCATGGCGGCACCACCTACGAAACAACCCTGGAACTGCATTTCACTGGGGAGGAAGTTTTGCGGTATTTGCTAGGTGAAATGTACTTGCTATTTTTCAGGTTGTTTATAACATTGTCAAAAGTTTTTCGAGCTATGAGAGGAAGAATGGTGCAGGAAAAAATGGGAAATATACGGCCAAGTGTTCTACAGCTACTCGAAAGAGACGTTCGTTGCTCACGAGAGATTTTAAGAGGTTGTAAGCAGTCGTAAGTATGTGTCTTTATGCTCGTGTCTTGTTACTATATAAATACGTACAACTTTGCATCATTATTTTGAACAACCCACACTACTTACGGGGCATTTTCAGTAGGAACATCCATATTAATGAGATTTGACCGGCTGACTCCCAGCAGTTTCTGGTAACGCACCCCCGGAAGAGCGTCAGTGTTGCGGCAACGTTCAGCTGGGTCCCGCGTCCTCGCCCATTGGACGCGAGTTCTAGCCGACTTGGCGCTCGTGTCTTGTCATGCGCCAATAGAGTTCATAGGAAAATCAAAGCTAATGATAGAGGTTTTGGCCAAATATTTTTCAATATCCGAGCGTTTCTTCAACACTACCGCAGCACCATGCATGGTTAAACGAAAACCCAGCTAAACTCGCAAGGGTCTTTCCTAAGCTTCCACTCGTTCATTTATAAGCTAATTTTAATCTAACTAGTATATTTATGGACTGTGGCCTCAGAAAGTTTGTTGCCTTGCGAGGGCAAGTAAACGACGGATTTGACATAAAATGAAACCTATAGAGATACACAGCTGTTAAGTGGATCTACAAATCTTGCTATTTGCAAATATTTTCTTTCTTCTCTTGTTAAAAAGAAAAGAAGAGAATGACAAATGATAGACATAGGTTATCAGGGCATCTCTGCCTAACATATACTCGTGTGAAACAGCCACATTTTAATGTTGAAAATTTTACTGCAATGTAGATATCGACATTCACAGAGCTTTAGTTTCTTTTTAAACACACCAGGTACCCGCATGCACCATCGCACATTGAAAGTGTGCTTTTCTGCCAAGCACAAAATTGGGATATTGATATTTTTCCAAGTGTTGATCGCAGCGGGCTACCCCGTTGAGTGCGCTTCTTACCAAGCACCGGTGCAGTGCAGAGGAGCAACTCCCGCAGAGGTCACTTCCGCGGGTATTGCTTCTCCTCAGTGCACCGGTGCTCGGCAAAAAGCGCACTCAACTAACCCACCCTGATCAACACTTCTAAAAATACGGATATCGCAGTTGATCTCGAGGCGAATACCAAATAGTTTATTATTCGAAGCTACTTTTCAAAATTTTTAATATTCGCGCAGCACTCCCGGTTTCCGGTGGGCCACACAGGAAGTCCAGTACCATGGCCTTGTTGTTCAGAAAGTTTTGAGCTAATAGGCTCGCACACGTAGCGATAGGGTGTGCACGAGGCGAGGGGGAGGACAACCAGCATGGGCTTCAGAGCAAATGGGGAGACGTGGAATAGCAATATTGGAGCTTGGGTGGGGAGACATGAGAGGGCTGGAGTGCACACACCAGGTGGGGGCACTGCGTGTGCGCAAAAACTGAAATCGCGTGAAGTGAAGCATGTGCGCATGCGCAGTGTTGTCGACAGTGCCACTGCAGCTGCATGACGTCAGGGCCGCGTGTTGGTCTATACGCAAGGTGCACCATTTTTGGCTACCCCCGTGCAAATTCTTGACTCTATAAAAGTGTAGCTCTCGAGTTATGAGCAACACCCTGGCGAGCCAATTCTGATATTTTTAGGTCCCCTTTCCGTTGTGCTTTGCATTGACCTTTCAAACGCTCTGTTGGTGGCCATGGACAGACACCGAGGGATGCTCGGACGCTGGTACGCCCGTGAATCGTACGCGATAAGACTCTAGGACACCGCTTTGCGTCGACGCTAAATGGTCGTGTCCCGAGGATGCCGGCAGAGGCGTTTCTTTTCTCGTCGCGTCTTGCGGATGCTAGGGCGCCCCCTGGCAGAGAGGAACAGGCTTATTCGTTAAGAAACCGATTTTTGTGGTCTCTTGAAAACGTCCGATTCCTGTGGTAGATGAATGAACAGAAACGAAAACACATTTATCGCCCTGTCGTGGTAGATGCTGCTTGTCTTGTGCCTGCTCCCATCCCGGCAACACGCTGTCTTTTCTTTTTGTGGCCCCACGGCCTGGTGATATTTACAGAAATGCTTTTGCTTAGGAGGAGAAAGGGCAGGGAATCGTGTCTTTTCTAACGCAGAATCTGTTTCATCTGCCAATTCCCATGAAGTTTTGTAACATTTGGCTGCAGTGGCCGGCTGTAACGACACCGAAAAGCGTTGCATCCATAGGGGACCATATAAAACGACTCGAGTCCCCCGGCAGGATTTGAACTCGCCACGGTGAGATTGTGAGCCAAATGCTTTGCCGGCTGGGCTATCCGGGGTCGAAGTTGGGAGCATGCAAAGGCAAAGCCATTTGCAGGGCGTAGCTTTTGCTGTCGTGCTGTGCTACCTCGAGGGTCTGTGTCAGAAAGGACAGTGAATCTTCTGTAGGTGCTGCCGTTCAGATAGAACAGTGAATCTTCTGTAGGTGCTGCCGTTCAGATACCTTTCTTTTCTTCTCTGTAAGGCACACATTCTGTTCTCACCAATTCTTTGTCAGCATAATTAGACCTGTATAATTTAAAAAAAATTTAGGCTAGGTGGTGCAAGCTACTGCTTGTTGTAAAGACTACAGTCGTTTAATGCATCCATCTACCCTGCAGGAGTTGAACCAGATGCAGATTTCATTGGATGCACGGCAGATGCTCGTGCGGGACGTCTACGACGGGCTGCTGTCGTCTGCCTTGTCGGTCGTGTCCAAGCTGAACTTGTCCGTCCGGCAGCAAGCGTCGTCCGATGACGGGGTAGGGATCGAAATTTTGCGTTGGATTGAAGATACTTTTCCGGAAAGGAGGACTCTGGTGGACGTTGCACAGCTTGGCGTGGGAAGAGTGAAACCGTTCCGACGTACGCTCGACTTGTACTGTAGGAAATCGCGTACCGCCGCCGATTCGCCATTTCCCACGTGGTCCGTCAACAAACCGAGTCCAGCCTGGTTCTTTCACGGGAGCGGGATTCTGCTCTCCGTTTATTCATACAATAAAATACAACTCTACAAAACACTTAATCTAAACTACAAATACACGCGACATTACACAAATATTTACAAACGCACGTTAAGACCAACGCCAAACACAAAGAAGGCCCTTAGGCCTCGCGTCCCGCGATATCCTAGATCCGGTCGCCACCCACCTGCCTGCCAGTGCCTGCATCTCGGTCTCGTCCGAAGTTCTTAGAGGCCTCTCGCCCCCTGCCCCACCGAGTATATCTATCGATGGGCGAGGAGGTTTCTCCTCGCCTGCCACGGGGGCGCCTGCAGCGTCCTCCAGTGGCTAGGAGAGAAAGCGGCGCGTCGGGAGCCGAATTCGAGATCCCGATCGACCCCGCGGCAACACGACCATCTGATCGTGTCGCGGCCAAGATTGGCCGAATAGTCTGATGGGCGCCCTCGTGAATTCACGGTGCGCCATAGTACGCTCGCTATCATCCTGCAAGTGGCTCCTCTCGGAACACATCACGAAGCCAATAATACTTTCTTTGTTTTATCCTCTTTCTGGTTTCTTTACATTTTAAAATTGGAAAGGGCTAAACAATCATAAACCACTCCTTTTATTCGCGGGTACTCTTTCACATACAGTACCTTATATTGGACTTCCGTAGTGCGTCAAAAAGACGATGGGAGGTGCTGCATATTTACAGAGTGGCGTATTTCCGGAGTAATCTACAAAAAGTGAGCATTGAAAAAAAAGAACAAAAGTATTAGGACAGTTATGGTGCAGGCAAGCTTGTGGGAGTTTACCACTTTCTTTAGACACTTGAGACTATATAGAGAAAGAAAAGCAAAGAATTCCTGTCTCGTCTAAGGGCCCCCAAAAGCGTCGTCGGTTGTAATGTTTTCCCGGTTCATAAGGTCTTTTACCGCAGTCCCCGAAAAAACATATCATTGAGGTTCTACTGTCGAGACCGGTTATAACGAAGTCGGTTATAATGAAATTGCGGCTACAGTGAAGTGATCCCGATTTCCCATTTCCTTTTGCACTTCGTTATAACCGAAGCCGGTTATAACGAAATATCGGATATAGTGAAGTGACTTCTGATTCCCGTTGACTTCGTTATAAACGGTCTCGACAGTACTGTGTTATGTGAGACTACGTCTAGCAAACGGATGGAGTCATTTAGAGTTTTATGGGAGGACACAATCTCGAAAGGCTAGTTTTCTAAGTGTCTGTCACATTTGGGCATATTTATATCTTTGAATACTTACTCCGAATACAGTCGAACCTCGATATAACGAACTTCAATGTAACGAAATCCTCGATTTAACGAAGTATTTTATTTTTCATAATTTCTTGCCCATAGACCCCATGTATTTTTAGTCTCTATATAACGAAGTCTATTTTGCTGCTATTTCAATATAACGAAGCGCCATTGCCATAGAAGGCAATAAATAAATCAACTCTAAAAAACAACTTCGCAAAAAAATTGTGGTTAAAAAAAAAAATTATGCGCAAACGCGTGCGCTTGATAGGTTACTTCACGGGGACAGGCCTTTTAACGATAGGCTGCCGGAGGATGCGGCGCCGGTAGCGCCGGCGAGGCATGCGGCAAAGCGGATTCCGCGGGGCTGGCCAGAAAATGCCGAGCAAAAAGTTAACACGGCATAACAGCATCACCACTGACATTCACTGATCATCATAGTCCACTGTACCGCGGGTAGCGCGGGAGCCAACTTCAGCGGGGGAGCGACGTGATGGCGCGACCGCGCGACCGCACGGGCAGTGCCATCTAGGAGAAGACTGAGAAGACCGATTATCGTCTTGCGAGCGTGATGTAAAGCAAAGGCGCAAGTAAACTGTGCGGGCAAGAGTGCTGTGTAGGTTGGAAACATTGGCACCGCCTAAACTAAACAGCTCTATTTTTCAACTGGGCGGTTCACTCACGTGCTTGCTGCCATAAGGAAACGTAAAGTTCTTTCTTTGGATGAGAAAGCAAACGTTTTGGACGCCATCCTGAAGAAACTGCCGAGATCACGAGCACTCGGAGCACTCGGGAAGTGCTCGACGCAATGGACGTACTGAGGAGGTACACGGCGTCGCATGGGCAGCAAGATGCCGTGCAAGCGCTCTGGGCGCTCGAACGCCGTATGACGCCGCTGCTACTGTCGGACAAGGCGCAAGCAAAACTCACGGACTACTTTGCCCCTAAATAAATGTCATTTTCGGTGAGTTTTCATACCCGTAAAATGTTTCGGAATTTTTTTTTCGCATGTTAAAGCCAAATTTCGATTTAGCGAAATTTCAATGTAACGAAGTAAATTGCGAATTTTACCGACTTCGTTACATCGAGGTTTAACTGTACTTAAATGAAAGTACGTAAAATAAATCCTGCACAAACTTAAACTATAGATTCAAAACGGTATTGATAGTGACCAGTTCTTTTGGGGATACATACTGTTAAACATCTGTATCATGCAGCTGCGGAAAGTAATGACATAAATAATGAAATGTGGCACCAAAACTAGAAACGCAAGAAAAAACTTTCTTTCGCACGTTAGGTCACGGAAATTGCAGCTTTTCATAACCAAAGAGTGTGAAAATGCAGGAAGTAGGTTTACAGCTGTGTTCCTTACAAAATATAAGTCTAGAAACTCTGAAGGCTGACTCGGCACCTTACTTTATTATAAAATGATAGTTTTATCGAACTGAAGTTTATAAAACTGTTTGCAATGAGTGAAACCGAAATACACCCGATTGAAAGCTCAAAATGTTCCACTTCTGCTGGTGTTAGCGTGTCAAAAATATTCCATCACGGAAAAAAGTATTTTTTTTTTGGCAAGAATGAAAATCTTTGACAGCATCCATTAGGAGTTCTGCAAGTTCCTCAGACTACTTGTTAAAAAGGAGGTGTGCTAAAATTTTTAGCCTCTGATTTGCCTCAAAATTGCTGCAACATATTAATAGACACATGCAATGATTTGTTTTTGAACGTATTGATGTTTTGGTCTGAGAAACTGACAGGCTCTACTGGCAACACTAAAAACAACAGATGTTGTGGGGACGTTGCAGATAGTTCCCGACGGGAGTTGGATGATGTCAAAGGACTCCCGCCAAAATAAAAAAGAAAAACTTGTATAAAATGCCTGTTTCACTTGCAAGTCATGCAGCATGTGATATCGCCCTACTTGAGAGCAGCTGAAAATTTTAATATTCTTTTTAGCATTACCTTGGTTTGCCATTTTCTCAATAGCTATTCTGAATTTTAAAGGTAATCAATAGCATGCCAGCAAGAGTAAAGCCCGGGTATTCTTAAAATGTGTTTAGTTTGGATAGCTAGAAAAACCGAAACTCCCCCTTTAAAATGTGACACTAAAAATATTTAATTTTTTGGTAGTGTCCCTTCTTAACCTTCTTTCGGTCAAGTTTGTTTACAAAAAACATACCCCAGTCCTTTTTTTTTTTTTTAGTAAGATAGCATTAAGAATAAGTAAATGCACGGCATTTATTTTTTTGAAATTATTGAACGGGAGCTGTTCAGAATTAGAAAGGACAAAAAGCGGTTGCTTTTCTTCCATTCGGTTTAACTTTTACCTGTCCGCATCCTGTCAACATTCTGGCAGTCCCAGGCTCTCAACCGAAGGTACTTTGCAAAACTTCTTGCTTCGGATGATGAGTTTTCATCCTCCGATTTCAATTCCGGGAACGTTTAGAAGTCTTAATTGAAGGAGTCTGCACTCTGATTTCCACTACCGCATGCTAAGCGGCCTCCTCCAGCATATCACTTGAGCGGAGTGTCAAACTTCGAAGCTATAAATGGCCCCAGCAGATGCAAACATGTTGCGAATGAAACAAAGTGTGTTCCCCAAAGACATAGCAGACAGCAGCAGCTTCCGGGGTGCATGCAGATTTGCGTTTAGGCGGGAACTTTCCAAGGTGCCGAGATACACTGAGGGGCGGCGACCGTCAAAGGGGATAATCTATCTCGCATGAACAAGGAGGCCCGTGTGGACGTCTCGGACCCGACGTGCGGAATAGAGGCGCAGTGCCCGAAGGACTTCAACATCTTCATCAACCTGGTAGACTTCTTCAGGTGAGTTTGTCGCCTCCAGTTTCGTGGACGACCGCTCCGGTCATCTGGGACGTTGACGTGAAACACGCATCCTGCCTTTCAGGGATACCTTCACCAAGAAGCACTTGGAGCTCTTTGCCAAGTGGGCCTTTGTGGTGGTCAAGCAGATGGTTGAATATTCTGCACGGTAAGTCTACTTTTCGGATGTGTGCCAGACGTGTTGTACCTGGCCATTAACTGTGTAGAATTCATAAGGCCAGCTCTTAGCGCGTTTGTGTCTGTGGGATGTATGTTCGTGTGACGTCATCGGCATTGTAAAAGCTTCGTTGCGATGTCAACATGGGAAGACTCGGATGTCGCGGTGTTCACATAGTCAATGCAACGGTCATCGCGTTATATCATGATGTGGCATGACGCTGTGACGTTCCTCGACGCCACAATGTCGCATGACGATGTCTTTAAAGGACACATGCAAAGGAAAAAAAAACATTTTTTTTTTAAACAGCTTAGATGGAGAAAGAATGTTATAAATCGAATTTACAACGAAGAAAGAAAATTTTTAGAGCTATATTTACGGCGCAAAACAAATTTGTAGTTGGCGCCTGCGGGAGCCGCCGCTCTGCGTTGCCGCCGCCGCAAAGTCACGCCGCCGCCGCACGCTGCGCGTTGTGCGCCGCCGCTTCAACGCGTTTCTCCACGCCGCCGTCGCCGCGCAAGTTCGTGTGTTTCGGGGCGCACAGGTCTATCACGTCTGCTTGCGCTTTTTCAGGAGCTTCCTTTGGGCTCTAAAAGTTACTTATTAATCTTAGTTTTTGTTGCACTTCAAACGAAGAGGAATAATTAACTTTTAGAGACCATAGGAAGCTTCCGAAAGAGCGCAAGCCCCACGTGACAAACAAACAAATTTGTATAGCGCCGTAAATATAGCTCTAAAAAATTTCTCTTTCGTTGTAAAATCATTTTATGATTTCCTTTAGTCTTACTGGTAAAATTTCAAAAGTTTATTACGCAAAAATGAGCGGCGGCAAAAAAAAAAAAGCGCCAACTACGAGTGTTGCTACCTATGATCAGTGCCGCAAACTACTCGAACGAGCCTAGCTCGTCCGTGGAATTGAGGGCTACCAAAGAAACCACAGGACGAGCTGAGCTCGGCCATGGCATTTTTAGCCAGAAAGTGGCCGACGAGCTCAGCTCGTTTAAGGCAGGGGGTAAAGGTGGGTGAGGAGGAGTGGCAAATCCCGTGCGCCGACATCCTGGGTCCCGAGTGAACGAACGCAAAAGAGAGCGACAGAACACGAGAGAAAGAAAGCAACGTTGCCATGGTAACGCGAAGAGTGGAAACTCTCAGCAATATAAACAGTAATAATTTAACGTTGTAAACTAAATTATGAGCTATTCTAACGCTTATAAAAAGCAATAAACTCATTACGCTGCATTAACTTCCCTTCTGTCGAAATCTCGGAAATCTGGTGGTTGCGCAGTTTCGTATTCCTCAACCGCGCCCCACCGGCGAAGCCGGGTATATGGTTTAGTTTAGCGTTAACGCGAGGCCGTACATCTGCGCGCTTTTCAAAAAGAAAGCTTCGAAAGGAACGTGAATATCTTTCCACCGGTAAGTTCGTGAATTGTTGAAGTTCACGAAACTGCTCTGATGATGTAACCGTGTTTGGGACCCCGAGGGTCTGCCTGCATGATCCGCCGCTTGCGGCAGCCAGAATGTATGGGAAAATGGCGGACCTTTTCCTCTAGAGTTAGTATGTATGATCTCTATGGTTTAAGGCACTTAAAGGGTCAACGGCGCGATATTAGAAAATCATGTTATTTGGCATTATGACGTCGTGTGACACTGTGACCACATGTTATGTTACATGGTCACATGACTTAGGTAACATTAAGGACCATGTGACATAATATTTTCCACTTTGCACTTTTCTGATGCTCACGTGACGTGATCTGAAACCATGACGCCACGGGAGACTCTCAAATATTGTTCCGTGTTTTCGATGAATACCTGTTCACCTGTGCACAAGCCATACTGTCTATCTTTGAGGTTGTTTTTTTCTTGGGGAACCACGTCCCTTCCCCCGAACCCCCATCTTCTCTTGTCGTCGATACCGGGATGACGGTTTTCAAATATTTGGGTCGCGGAGTTAAGTTCCACGCACCCTGGAAAGAGTCACAGATTTATAGATGTCTTTTTCGTGAGATTATAAACCCTGATTTCTTGTCCAGCACTGGAAAGAAACACAGAAAAGATTCCGGAAGAAATGATAAGGGAGAAACCTCGAAAAGAGGGAACCCTACTTATAAATGCTATGTGGGCACCTTTGAGGTATAACAAAGAGCAATGTATTTTATGAACAGTAAGGGTGCAAACGAGGTGGTGAAGATTAGACATACCCTGAGATTGCAGGAAGCGAGACAGGCACATAGAAAGTCTATAAAAGCTGATAATGTATTTTCCCTGAGAAGTGCCGAAATGCCACAAAGAGACAGAACATCCCTCAAGAAAGAAGCCAGCTCTACTACTGCTCCCTACAGACACAAAAGATTAATCTCCAGCTAAATCTACATGAAATGAAGAGGGAGGGTTGTTGAGGTCAAACACCAAAAACAAAGAGAAGTGTATGAACCAACAAGAAACCTTTGCAATTCTGGAACTGGCCTGTTGACAACATTATTGCGGTTTAGTTCTGTCTTCTCTTCAAGGACGTTTTGAGCGTTTCACTGGTTACCCTAGTTCCAGGGATGAAGGGAAAGCGACATATGTCAGCCTTGTACTTTCATCCTTGTATTTTATTTGTTTGGTCCTTTACTCGAGTGCTCTTTGTAGAAGCTCGTCTTTGATGGCATATTGTTTTTTGGGCCAATAAGAATGACCAATCCCAGATAGCAGCAAGTACTAGTAAACTCGCAGAAATACACGGACACTATTTTCTTTTGGGGTGCCATCCTCAGGTCCCCACTCCCTTCATGAAATTTGTCCGATGAAAACGGTTAAGTGGAGATCTCAAATGTTACTATTATTGCTCCTTTTAGGTGTTCATTACATTTCGACGTCAAACCTTTGGCTGTAGGTGACGTAATACACCAATTATTGTTTGAAAACGCCGTCCGATGGTGTTACCTAATGTCTACTCCAAGGCGCAGAAAGAGAGGCGTGTTGCAACACCTGATTAGATTTTTAATAGGGAAATCGGCCACCTATGAGTGTAGTTTAGGGTTTTTGTAGGGTGCTTTTAGAGCCCATTGATTGAGTTATCACCATAAATAGACAATCTCGGTATCCACTTGAGTGCCCCCTTTTAACCCTTTGATGTGGGTATTGCCCGGGAGCAAGAACTCGATAATGATTTCATTTCTTCCACGGCATGTGCGCCTCAATAAATGTAGCGCCCTCTGTCGCAAGGGTGGGGGTACCTGCACTTAGCAGTGAAGAATCGAATTGCATCTTCAAAAAGATCACTTGTGCTTTCAAACCAAAGCTGGCAGTGGAGGCGAGGTACCATGGCGTCCACCACTGACTTCGAAACTCCGAGGAGAAAAACTGGCACAAATATTGCAAATTCAGGTTCAAGCGTCTCTACTGCGCGTAATTCGCAGTGTACCTGTGCATTCTCCGAGGTCGTAACTGCTTTCGCTCATTAAATGTAAAATAATGCTCGGTGTGTTGCGATCTTTGATTGCTTTTTTAATAGGGAAATCGGCTGCATGTTGTCATGTTTTAGGGATTTTTAAGCTGCTCGGAGCCAGTAGCTTGAACTATCGCCATATTTAGGCGATCTCAGAAACGTCCTCGGGTCCCCTTGATCGCTTCTCGAGTGAAATAAATTTTCAGCCATCTGTGTTGGCTGTTTTTTAGCTTCCTGCAGTCTCGGGGTTGTGTTATGGTCAGTGCTTTTACTTTGTTTTTCTCATTGCCCCAACTTGGCATCTCCAGGCATCCTCTCGTGAGTGGCTTTTACAAGGTGGTGGCCGCTTCCATCGGTATCTGCGAGAGGTCTTCTTATTTCGAGGTACGACCATTCTCATTTTGAAACGGGGAAAAACCTTTGGGGCGCGGTGCTCGACTTGGATTGTGACTCACTCTTGCGAGCAACATTTCAGGTATGGGGTCTCCGACGCATCTCTTCAAAAACTCTTGTTTCTACCTTTTGCTCGTAGAATGTGCGATCAAAAGCCGTGCTTTATGAGAAGCTGCGTGAGTTCCCTGTCCTGCGTCTTTTCTTGCATCGATTATATTCACAAAAACCGAAAAGAGTTTGTCACCTTTTTGGCATTCTTTTCCATCCCAATTGTAGACTGATTTGGCCTTCCTTTGTGGGTTTATTCACCGACGTGACTAGTAGTGCTTTTTTCTTTCCGGAGAGATGCTAAAGGGATTTTTAAGAGTTAAATTTTAGGGTTGTAATGTGTGTCGATGCCGTGGATAATACAATACAGTCGAGCCCGGTTATATCCCACCCGAATATTTCGAATTATTGTTTATATGGAACAGTCCAAACATCCCCTTAAAAATCACATGTAATACTATAGGAGCCTTATTTTTCTATATCAAACTCTCATGTCGCTCGATATAGCGAACAAAAGCACGGCCGGCCGCCCCGGCCGTTGCTTCTCCCGCTGTCGGAGTGTCCTGGAGGGGAGCACATAGCTGGCATTGCGGGGCTGGCAGATTCCCCGCATTGCTCATATTAACTGATGTCTTGGTAGTGATACACAGCAGGGAGATTAGAGATTACTCAATCACAACTCAAGTGCTCTAAAATATGAGTTCAAAACAGCTATATCTGTTGCACTGAGGGTTTATACAAGTGAAGTATGTGGGCCATTGGACTGATTGGAATGATATATTAAGGGGAGACACTACCCGGGAAGGTCTCAGCTTTTGAACCCTTGGGTTAAAAGGCATCAAATTTACAGAGCTGATTTCTAGTCATGGCTAAGGGATGCAGAACAAAATTTCAGCTTTGTATAATTGGGAAAGAAATTGCACGAGTCTTTATTAGGGGTTCAAATACATTGGTTAGTCCATCTAATAGAAAAAAAAAAAACTAATGCATGTAATTTTTTTTTTTTTTCACATACAAAACAGGATGTTTGGAGGGTGTTTTTAGTGTAAACAGTTTAGTAAAAAGTTGCTATTTCTTTAAAAATACTGCACTAGACAATCAAACTATCTTTCAACCTTCTCTGTCTTCTGTAAATGTTAACATACAGTCACAGACCGATTTTTTAGACGCCAAACTTGTTTGATATTTGAAACCTAAAGAAGGAACCGTGACCTACCCAAGACCTGCTGTAACGAAGTCAGTGGGAATCGTAAATCACTTTGCTTTATCCGCTCCTTCGTTATATCTGAACTCGTGAAAGTAACACGAAAAAAAAAAAATAACACGGGCCGTCACAGTCACGCATTTATTGTGCCTGCAGAAAGCAGTCGAGGCTTCCCTGCACGCGTCCTCTGTTTGATTGTAGCCGCTTCTCGCCAACTGCGAGAAGCTCCGATAGAGAAAAGATCCTGTGCGTTACGTACGGACCGCTTCGACGGCTGCGATGGCCGCCGCGGAGAACGCCGGTGGTGGGCGGTATTGGTGTTTGAGCAAAGTTAGACTTTCGCGCAAGAGCGGCCAGATGGACCGGCGACTCCCACATGAAACATGAAGCAAACGAAGCGCGCACGGTACAGAGTTGCCGCTCAGGCTAGTCTTTTGTCAGTATAGAGAGCCGAGATATAGGAGTGGGGGCAACTGCTCCATCGGGGTCACGTGGTTTGTGGGCCGCATTTACAAAATGCGCTGCAGCCTGCAAGGAGTCAAAACTCAAAAGCATTCACCCTCTGAAAACGTGTCCGCCTCTCCACCCAGTTTTCTCGCCACACTGGCTACGCGACAACCAAATGCAGGCGTACTTGTGCCAGTCTGCCCACTCGGGAGGCGTCTGCCTTTAAATTGGGGTTGCTTCATCACCTAAATCTAGGCTCTTTCTGGCATATTCGCGGCGGGTACGTTGTCGCTAGCACTCCGGAAGCCCCTCTCGGCATGCCACCACGACTTCTCTGCGTGCGATGCGGAAAAGTCGCCTCCCAGAAAGAAGTGTTAAGCAGACGACGATGCAGAGGCTGCCGCTGGCAAACGTGTCTGCTGCATCGTCTGCGGCCCGTTTTCAATGGCTGCTCGGCCACGGGAGCCGTACAGCCATTGAGGCGGTCTGAGACTTGGTAAACTTTTTTAATTTTAATATTTTTTTAAAAATTATCACAAAATTTCTTTTTGCTGTATCCGCGGGAGCCGCTCAATTTCCTTCGCAAGAAACATGCAGAAACGCATTGAAAAAGTGCAAACGGGAAGGGGAAATCGTGATCACTTCGCTGTAGCCGCTATTTTGCTACAACCGACTTCGTTATAACTGGTCTCGGCAGTAGTGCATATCCACGACCGATGTTTCGGACAGCTTCAAGTCCGAAAGTCCTATTTTTTGTGCAAAATCGTCGCGAACGATCAGCGAGAAAAAACACCACCGAGAAGTCGCCATTTTTGATTCTTTGTTGGCTGCGCGTAGATCGGCTGGGTTTGGCATCGCTACTAAAGTACTGCTAATCCCTACCACTAGGTGACTCGTTACGGCTTTTTTCCCTCTAGCTGCGCATCATTATCATCATTGTGACCATTTTGCTTTGTTCATTTGCCATTCCGCTGCAGTCGTGGACTTGTGCCTCTCGTCTCGTCTCTGTGATTCGTGTTTTCGGACTACGCTGGCTCGGACGTCGGGGCCCCATCTGTTCTTCCACCGCCGCGAAGTGTCACTAAGATGCGCGGAAAGTACTGGACCATAATGCTAGAAAAGAAGGCGGTGATTCTTAAACTAGTAGTAAAGAGCGGCTGAACGGAAGTGGAGGCGTAACCTGAAGCAAGGCACCATTGACGGCTTTTTTAAGCCCTCTTAGAGTTAATAAAGGCGAGTTTTTTAATGTGCTGATTTTTAAAATTTTTCTATTAATGGGACATTTCTTTCGGTCCCTGCAAAGTCCGAAAAATCGGTCGGCAACTGTATGTTGAAAATTTGAAGGGAGAAAAATGTGCTCATAGTTTCTGCAGCTCTGAATTTTATTTAGCACCTCAAACAAGGCACTAAAACAGCTCAGCCGCACGGGTGGGACCCTCCTCCTGGAGGCGCTTCTGTTCAGCAGCCACCGCTTCCAGTTTCCGTCGCTTGTGGGCCACTTCGGACAAGTCGTGGGCACTGGCTCGAGGACCTGGAAAGCCTGTGTTGGGTCGCCTTTCTTATCTGGGACTCGTGGTGGCTCCCGGATTTCATATTCACCTTGAGCAGTGCCCTCTCAGTGCGGTCCCGGATTAAATTCCGGGACAGCTAGGGCAACTGTGGTCTCGACTGTCTTGGGGCGCCTTTTCCAGACAAGGGCGTTGAAGGACTTGTTGGCTCTTTATGCGCAGCCCCCTGGCCAACAAGTCCTTCTGTGTCGATCGGTTATACACGTGCTCCTTGACAACTTGTTTGGAGAAAAGTGGGGCTTTGCAGTCGATGGTGTCACAGCTGCTCGAAGTGCCAGATGGCGGTTGTAGTGACACCACGACTTCTTTCTTGGGGCATGCGACGTGTCGAGGCTCTTCATTCGTCGAGTGCAGCAGTGTTGCCAAGATACCTTGCTTTATGGCTGCCACGTCTGGGGTATTTTTCTTGAGAGCACTGGCGTGGTAGTTTGTCATGCGCTTCATTACAACATTCGTCAGTTTGCATCGTCCCCCGAGTCTTTTCTTGGATTTCTTGAGTTCCTGCCCCAGCCCGTTTCGATCTGGATGAGCATCATACCGGCGTGCGGTCGTGTACCACTACTGCGTGATGCACGTTAAAGACCCCAGGCTAGCAGTTGTACTGCACTGGCTAAATTGCTCATCTACAGCTGAGACACCAGGCGCCCCCTGAGGCAGATTAACTTCCGGCTGTATAAACATTTACACAACAATTTGCTTCGAGATTTTCCAGTTTGGCATAGACACCCTTCGCAACGTGGTCGACACAATCATCATCATTATTATCATTGTATAGCTGGGGTGCAGCAAGATGGTTATACACCTTGCTGTCACCGTTGCAGAGGATAGTTGTATACTGGATGTTGGGAAGATCTACCAATCGACTGAAGATGACCTCATGACTCCGCTGTCCGAACTTTCATTGCGTTTGCCGAGCATTCAAAGTTTTTCTGGCACTTTGCTTGGTGTTTCGAGCCACTCTTTGTGCCCTCCTGATCCCTCTCTGGGTTCAAGTCTGCAACCATGACAATGCTCATTGCTGCATAATCGAGTGCGAGGCCTGTCTCCAGTTCGATGGCAACGCCAACAGCCAAGTGTGACGTGTGACTTCGCTTGTGCCAAGTCCCGTCAAAGCTGACAGACACGTCTTGCATTACCTTGTCACCGCCGAAGCTGATCCCCAGTGTCTTCCGTACTATCTGCGCAGCCTCCGTCATTACGTCAGATGCTGCTTGCTTCGCAGCGTCGTGGACATTGTTCGCAATGTTTTGGTAAGACTTAGGGCGCATTGGTTCTGGGGCGTTCAGTCTGGTGAAAAGGTTTGTTAGTTTTGTAACGCCAATGTCGCATTTTCTAGAAACAACCCCAAGCCGCACAGCGGGTTCAGACTGTCGCGTACCATCAAACGCCGACGAGAGCAGCGCTGAAACAATGACTCTCCACGTAGAGCACTCGACGAGAAATGTCGGACAAGCTCCCGCACCAATATCTCGGAGCACGACAGGGTGGGGCAGAGAAGCGCATCAATCAAGCATCAATCAAGAGTCACTAGAGGGCTCTTCGGTGCTCCTGCCGCTTTCGCTTTCCTTAAGAAAGCTAATCTTCCACTCAAACATGGGGAGTGCGTCGTCTGTATCACATGCAAACAAGGCACTTCTGGTTGCTGAAGTTGCTGGGGCCGTGGGTGCCGCAGGCCCCGGTCAAACAGGCGAAGACATTGGACACATAAGCATCTTGTCATCGACGGCGGCTGCTTGCCTTCGATTGTTCCATCCTCGCACTTTCCCAGAGTTGCGAGCGGCAGCCAAAATGTTTTTGCGTTCACACTTTCACCGCGGGCATTGCTCACCATAGAGTTCACGATCAGAACTAAGAAAAAAAGACCAAAGTCACAGAAATAACTAAGCAGTTCGAGCAGATTTCAAACGTGGACTGAAGTGCGAAGAGCAATATGGTGGCCATGCGGGGTGGGGACCAACACGAGCTCAGGTTTCAATATTCCGACCAGTAATAGCGCCTGTAGCATTTGTTTTCGCGCAAATACTCTCATTTCAATGGGGTTCTCAAGCGTTTTCCAGCGCACTTGCTTATCCTCGTATGACGATCAGCATCAGCGACGAAAATACAGTGAAACCTAGTTAAATCAACGCTTCCTAATTAGAAAATTTTGATAATTTGAACTGCCGATCCGGTCCCGTCAGACATGTATATTAGTCAATGGCACCAAATCCTCATTAATTCGGAGGCGGTTGGGCACGCTATGGTTAATTCGGATGAATTCAGCAGGGAGTGCAAGCAACTGCCCGTTCCAAAGGGTATGACCGCTATCCGTCTCAGGTACAAACGTGGTTCTTCCGGGTTTTCCCATCTCTTCCGGTTCTCCGTGTTTTGCGCCACTTTTGTTCTGGAACGCCTCATGTTCGGTGCACTTGTTCGCACGCTCCTGGCATGTCGTCATCATATGCAGCAACTGCAGCAACTTCCACGGCGGCATTGCCAGTGAAGCGGCAGAAGTGCCAGGCCAAGGCTTTAGCGACGAAAGTGGAAATACTGAGGGACTTCAGAAGACTGCGTCTCTCGGCAAGTGATGGAAAGGTACGACGTCAAGAGAAGCACTTTGGCCATGTACGTGAAAAATGAGGCTGAGACCTTCACGGACTTCTGAGAGCGAGGAGTTCAACGAGAAAAGAAAGCGGCTGCGGAAGGCGGCACATCCGAAACTATAGAAGAGACCTTGCTGTGGTGGGTCGTCAGCGCTCAGAATGTGCAGCCGCCTTTGGGTGGTCCTCTGATTTGCACGCAAGCAGACTAGTATACACTGAAGATGAAGATGTTCGAAGCATCAGAGGGCTGCTTTGCCCACTCCAAAGACAGACACGCACTGGTCTTCAGAAACGCGTGCGGAGAGAAAGGTGCCATTGACAGCGATGTAATCGATGACTGGAAGAACGTCAACTTTGCAAGCACCTCGCTGCATATGAGCCGAAGGACGTTTTTAATGAAGACGAGACAGCTGTTGCGCTTTGAGGCGCTCTTTCGCTAGGTACTCGTTGAGGACATTGAGGTCGAGAAAGAATAACAGCACAACCGGCTTGTGTTAAACGGTTTATCCGACTGCTCGTTCGCTCGCGCTCGCGATTCCCCATCCCCCTCGTCTTCTTTTAGCTCCAGGCTAAATGTCTCATGTCAGTGGTGTTCATTGTTAGTTTTTCAACAACAGCGTTGTTTTACAAAGCCCTACCAGACAAAACCATCAGACTGAAAGAAGACTCCTGCAGAAGAGGCTAAAGAAGTAAGCGAAGAGTCGCAGTTCTCCTTGGTGCAAACATGACTGGCACGGAGTGCTTTTCACTTCTTGTCATTGTAAAGGCGAAGAAGCTGAGATATTTCGAAAACCTTAAATGACTTCCCATGGGTTATCAAGCGAATGGGAAGGCCTGTATGCCATCTGAAATTTTTTGAGCTTGGCTGCTCCAGCTAGACCGATGCTTCCGCGCCAAGAAGCGCAAGGTGTTGCAGCGCAGGTGTTTGACAGCCGATAAACTCTCTTTGTCTGTGGTGCCCCGAGGCATGCTTCTTTTCCGAGGCTAAATCGAAGCTAGTACAGTATAGACCACTTACAACGTAACCGCTTATAGTGCAGGACCGGGTATAACGCGGTTTTGTTAAACCACCGGTTCACCTCCCATAGAACTCCATGTAATTACATACCGCTTAAAATGCAGGCGCGCGAAGGGAAATACCGGTTATAGTGCGGTTTTTGGCACAGCCCGCCGACCGCGCCGACGACCGGAGCAGCGAGTTCGCTTCCCTGTGCGACACTAGATAACGGCGCTGACGGCGCGAGCCGCAAACTGCACTCGCAGGGCAAGGAGGTTGCTGGAAAACGCGGGGAGAAGCGAAGAGAGAGGCTTCAGTTGCCATAGTGACGGAGGGACGCACGCACGAGTCGTTCACGTGTGTGCGTCCCTCCGCTGCGTTGGAAACAAAGAAACAAACAACCGCAACGACAGACCAATCCCAGGTCAAGGAGAAGTGTTCGCGCGCGTTGCATGCCGGTCGCGGGCGTCGGTTGTGATCGTCGTCGTAGACTGCATGCATCTCATCGTTCTGCCTAAAAGCGCTATCCTTGACTCTGAATTTTCGTTGTGTGTCGCTATAACCCAGCACATACTAGAAGGGAAGATCCACCTACCCGTGCGGCGATGTCGTGGCGGCGCTCTCAAGACGGCAGAAACGCCCGTGTCGTCGTGTTTGTTTACTTCGACTACAGTGGTGATTTAAGCATTTGTGTCCTCGAACATCGCCCGGATTTCTTATTTGGCGCATTTCATCCGTGTGCTCAAGTTCAAGGTATTACTGGCGCGTACCGTATGAAGGATGCGAATTTTCACGCGTTTTCATCTCCGGAGAAAAGTGATTAGGGTTAGCAATCCTGAACGCTCGCGACGTCCGTCCGCAACCCGCGACGCCGTTAAAAGGCTGCGCCAGGCAAAAGCCGCTAATTTTTTAAAATGTGTGACACACTTGAGACGTAACTGTACTAGTCTATTGAAATAAAGACTTTCCTCAAACTAAGCTTATTTTTTCATCTAACATAAAATAAATTCTTTTACAAAGGTAAGTTGTCTCATGGCATGTATTTTGGCCTGAAAAATTGATGTTTTGGTTATAGTGCGGTACCGCTTATAGTGCGGATTTTCGCGACTCCCGAGACATACGTTATATGCGGTCTACACTGTATCAGTAAAAATGCAATTCCGCATTAACCCCTTAACTGCTTTCGACAAGCCTAGCTCATCCACCTGGAGCCGTCCCCAAACTCTTTAGGACAAATGTTGCTTGTCCATGCATCCTCGCTCGCCCCTCGGCTGTTTTGGATGACCCGGCTCGTTTGGAGCGTAGTTGGTGGCACTGCCGAGAGATGACAGCACATGCTTTTTGATTGTACACATTCTAAAAATGGTGACTAATAGTCGAGGGACGTGCGGCCCCTGCTGCACGTGCTATAAACATTTTTAAAAAATTGTTTAAAATCAAATATTCCCAGAAACGAAAGACGGCTAAGGGGTTGAGAAGTTTGACGAATGTTGGATGGTGTACGCATGCAGCAGCCGTCCGGGGAGGCCGTGGCCTGTCTGCGGCTGGTATCGGGTCTTCTGCGGGACGTCTTGGGTCGGCTGCAGCAACTCAAGGACGACCTGCTCGCCTCCTGCCTGGAGCTTGTGCTCGGAACTCCCCTGGCGTTGGTGCGAGAGCACGCCCGGGCCCTGGTTCCAGCCGTCAGGGTACGCGAGGCCGTGCCAAACTCTCCTCATACCTCTGGAGGAGTGTAATTAGACATAGCACAATCTCGAGACTGCACAAAGCAAAAGACGACACACGTGCACAGAAAGTCTGTATATCATCATACTTCTTGCAGTCTCGGGGTTGTGTTGTGTCTGATCTTCACCAGCTTGTTTGCCCCCCACTTTATGAGCTGTGTGGTTTGTATTTTCTCGAACTCTGCACGTTAATGCGTTTGAGGGCTGGCTTCTAAGTCTAGAGCAGGGGTCTCAAACACACGGCCTGCTGCTCGCTGAGACGCAACCCACAAGCAACCGGCTACGAGTCCTGGTTCCCATGTCTCGATCGCTAGAAATGGCATGTGCCATATTGATCTCGTCTCGCTGATTCATTTCCGCTCAAAAAGTGTAGCTCTGTTCTTTTACGTATTCACATAGTCTATATTTATGGGTGTTCATTTCCCTCTTGTTTTGTTTCATTTCATGCCCTGCTTTTTGTCATGTTAAACACCTGTACATAATTCTGCAACTAGGGTGGAAGCTCGAGCTCTTCGTTGAAGGACGCATCTCGGCTGCGCAAACTGTCGATGGGCGGGAGCAACCGCCAAAAATAAAGCTACGGGCTCGGGATCCTCGTCTTCATAAAAATATTATAATTAAATGACAAGTATTTTTTTAGTGTTGTAATAAAAATCGTCACGAAAGCAAGAACTGTCAAACTAACTCTTCGTATTTTTAGGGACATGTTCAGCTTGGTCAATTCCAGAGTGAATTGAGCAACGTGAACAACAGTGTACTTGCTTTCTAGTTCTACTAAAGGTGGTACCATTTTAATATTTCGATTTCACAAACGAGGCAGGGTCTGGAAGCCGTCATATAAACATATCAAATCCAAAAATGGCACTCGCAAGACTGAGAGTTTACAAAAAGCAGAAAGCATGAGGTCTCTTTCGTGACAAATCTTTTCAACTCTCCCCCCCCCACCCTTTGCCTTATGTTGGCTCTCAATTTTTTCGGGGTGGACTGTCTGGCCCCACACTCAAATGAGTTTGTGACCCCTGGTCTAGAGCATCACGCAACGTTGTAACAAAAAAGGCTTTTTTTTTCGCCCACAATGTGTGAAGAAGTATTTTAGAACATTCAAAAACCTCGAGATCCTCATGTCATTGAGTACACGTGGCACGGGCAGCCTTTTGTTTGTGGCAGGCATGTATCCAGGAAGGGGGGGGGGCCCCTCCCCCGATATCTTTCATTTTGCTGGGGCCTCCTCTGCCTGATCCGCTTCATAGAGTATTTTCTCATAAACGTGCCCCCCCCCCCCGAAACGAAATCCTGGCTATGTGCCTGGTTCGTGGTCAGCTTGGGCTCGATGCCAGTCACGAGCCGCGGAAGCCAATTTGTTTCTGTGCCCATTCCTGAGGTGGAGTATTTATTTACAGTATAGACCACTTACAACGTAACCGCTTATAGTGCAGGACCGGGTATAACGCGGTTTTTTTAAACCACCGGTTCGCCTCCCATAGAACTCCATGTAATTACATACCGCTTAAAACGCAGGCGCGCGAAGGGAAATACCGGTTATAGTGCGGTTTCTGGCACAGCCCACAGCCCGCCGACCGCGCCGACCGCGCCGACGACCGGAGCAGCGAGCACGCTTCCCTGTGCGACACTAGATAACGGCGCTGACGGCGCGAGCCGCAAGCGTTGCGCAAGCGGCACTCGCGGGGCAAGGAGGTTGCTCGAAGAAGCGGGAGAAGCGAAGAGAGAGGCTTCAGTTGCCCTAGCGACGGAGGGACGCACGCACGTGTCGTTCACGTGCGTGCGTCCCTCCGCTTCCTTGAAAACATCCGAAACAACCGCAACGACAGACCAATCGCAGGTCGAGAAGTGTTCGCGCGCGTCGCATGCCGGTCGCGGGCCGGCTGCTTGTCCGCAAACATGGCATCGGTTGTGATCAACGTTGTGATCGTCGTCTTAGACGGCGTTCATCTCATCGTTCCGCGTAAAAGCGCTATCCTATACTGTGAATTTTCACTGTGTGTCGCTATGATAACCCAGCACGTACTAGAAGGGAAGATCCACCTACTCGAGCGGCGATGTCGTGGCGGCGCCAGCGGCGCTCTCAAGACGGCAGAAACGCCCGTGTCGTCGTGTTTGTTTACTTCGACTACAGTGGTGATTATTTCTAAGCATTTGTGTGCTCAAACATCGCTCGGATTTCTTATTTGGCGCATTTCATGCGTGTGCTCAAGTTCAAGGTATTACTGGCGCGTACCGTATGAAGGATGCGAATTTTCACGCGTTTTCATCTCTGGAGAAAAGTGATTAGGGTTAGCAATCCTGAACGCTCGCAACGTCCGTCCGCAACCCGCGACGCCGCTAAAAGGCTGCGCCAGGCAAAAGCCGCTCATTTCTTTCAAAATGTGTGACACACTTGAGAGAGAAGTGTACTAGTCTGGTGAAATAAGGACTTTCCTCAAATTAAGCTTTATTTTTCATCTCACATAAAATAAATTGTTTTACAAAGGTAAGTTGTCTCATGGCATGTATTTTGGCCTGAAAAATTGATGTTTTGGTTATAGTGCGGTACCGCTTATAGTGCGGTACCGCTTATAGTGCGGATTTTCGCGACTCCCGCGACATACGTTATATGCGGTCTACACTGTATTAACTTTTTTCCGTGCCTACCAACGGCCAGAAGCCTAGGACGGTAGAGCACCAAGTCACATTACACAGGTGAAAGCGACAAAACAAATAAATCCAGAAAACGACCCGACGACAACACTATATCAGATTGTCAACGCTTCTCTTCAATGATGTGATGTCATTATTAAAGAAGTTAAGGAGTGTATCAAGAAGATTAAAATAGTTCTGTATGCGAACTACAGAAGAGAAACATTGCATGGAATTAACGGTATGGCCTTGGTGAGGCGGCGTCATTAGGAAGAGTCTGACGTTGACTGAGCTCACTATGCGCCGCAGCATGTCGAGGGCATGGAGTGTTTCAGCAGTCTATGGCGGTGGCTCGTCGTTAGTTATGTCGCCGTCATCGTTGCTGCTACTTGACTCTCATTGCGGTACACGGAGTTCAATGGATGTGCACGTGCAAGCAAAGACAGTTCTGCGGATGCTCGCTTGTTGACGACCACACAATCAACTCTGCTTCCGAATGTCATTTCTCACGTTCACTCGAGCGATTGAGAGCTACTAAAACTTGTTTATCGCGTGACAACAAAAATAAAGCAGCAACCCTGGAGTAGGTGAATGTGAGTTACTCCAGCAAGTCGAATTCAATTCGCATGACAACACAGATAGTGCAGCAACGCTGGACGTGGGTGTGTGTTTGAATTTTTTAACGCAGCCACGGTTATTGGGATCGCACGGCGCGTATGTAGAAAGAACGGCGAAGAAGAATGACACAAAAACGCTCGCTAAGGTTGGAGCCGAGTGATATCGTCCTAAAGGATGCGCAAACGTTGTGGTTCATCGTTCGTATTGTCCACTGTGGCCCGAAAGAGCATTCGGACTATCTCGAAAGGTAAAGGGACTTTGGCCGGGGATTTTGAAAAACTCGTATCATCCCGCAATTCGGATGAACCGTGGTCGTATCATTGAGATCTTACTGTGTAGTAACGCTTGGTGAAGTAGTTGAGCCTGCATTGACTCCCTGCAGATGGCGCTGCAGCAGGGCCTGAGCTACCTCCCCTTGGCCAAGGCCAGTCTGGATGCCCTGAGGCTCTGGGAGAAGCAGCTGCCCGCAGACGTTGCAGACGACGTGTTCAGACAGGTCTTGCCCGGGCTGTGTCCTTACCTGGCACTGGGCGTGCGTGCAGGTGAGCGGAGATGATCTTATAAGAATGGACAGTTGGGCTAGTTGGTAAGCGTTTATGATGAAAAAACGGCGCGAAATGCAATGACACAGAGAAGAGAAATACATACAGGACAAGGCGCTGTCTTTGTCCTGTAAGTATTTCTCGCAGCGTCTTGTCCTGTATGTATTTCTCTTCTCTGTGTCCTTGTGTTTCGAGCTGTTTTTTTTATCATGAGCGGAGGTGCCTTCTTGCTCATTCCTACACAAAACACTCCACAGAAAGAAGCGTTTCTAGAAACCTCTCTTACGCCTGCTCATCACCAACTGACTTTGAAAGAAAATTCCTATGAACACGCAGTAAGTTGACGACCGATTTTTCGGACTTCGATAATTCAAACTTGTTTGATATTTCAAACTTAAAGGAGGAACCGTGACCTACCCGATAGAAGTAGAGGATATTCACGACTGATGTTTCGGACAGCTTGAATTGCGAAAGTTAGATTTTTTGGACAAAATTGTCGCGAGCGATCGGCGGGAAACATTACCGAGAAGTTGCCATTTTAAAATCTATATTGGTTACAGATGAATTGGCTTTGTATGGCAGTGCTACTTGAGTACTGCCAAGTCCTACTGCTAGGTGATGCTCTGCTACAGTGTAGACCGCATATAACGTATGTCGCGGGAGTCGCGAAAGTCCGCACTATAAGCGGTACCGCACTATAACCAAAACATCAATTTTTCAGGCCAAAATACATGCCATCAGACAACTTACCTTTGTAAAAGAATTTATTTTATGTTAGATGAAAAATAAAGCTTAGTTTGAGGAAAGTCTTTATTTCACCAGACTAGTACACTTCTCTCTCAAGTGTGTCACACATTTTGAAAGAAATGAGCGGCTTTTGCCTGGCGCAGCCTCTTAGCGGCGTCGCGGGTTGTGGACGGACGTTGCGAGCGTTCAGGATTGCTAACCCTAATCACTTTTCTCCGGAGATGAAAACGCGTAAAAATTCGCATCCCTCATACGGTACGCGCCAGTAATACCTTGCACTTGAGCACACGCATGAAATGCGCCAAATAAGAAATCCGGGCTATGTTCGAGGACACAAATGCTTAGAAATCACCACTGTAGTCGAAGTAAACAAACACTACGACACGGGCGTTTCTGCCGACTTGAGAGTGCCGCCACGACATCGCCGCTCGAGTAGGTGGATCTTCTCTTCTAATACGTGCCGGGTTATCATAGCGACACACAACGAAAATTCACAGTCAAGGATAGCGCTTTTACGCAGAACGATGAGATGAACGCCGTCTACGACGACGATCACAACGTTGATCACAACCGACGCCTTGTTCGCGGATAGAAGCAGCCGGCCCGCGACGGGCATGCAACGCGCGCGAACACTTCTCCTGTCGTTGCGGTTGTTGGTTTCCAACGCAGTGGAGGGACGCACGCATGTGAACGACACGTGCGTGCGTCCCTCCGTCGCTAGGGCAACTGAAGCCTCTCTCTTCGCTTCTCCCGCTTCTTCGAGCACCCTCCTTGCCCCGCGAGTGCCGCTTGCACAACGCTTGCGACTCGCGCCGTCAGCGCCGTTATCTAGTGTCGCACAGGCAAGCGTGCTCGCTGCTCCGGTCGTCGGCGCGGTCGGCGGGCTGTGCCAGAAACCGCACTATAACCGGTATTTCCCGTCGCGCGCCTGCGTTTTAAGCGGTATGTAATTACATGGAGTTCTATGGGAGGCGAACCGGTGGTTTAAAAAAACCGCGTTATACCCGGTCCTGCACTATAAGCGGTTACGTTGTAAGTGGTCTATACTGTACTTTTTTTTCTCTAGCTGCACGTCATCATCATCATCATCATCGTTACAATTTTGCTTTGTTCGTTCGCCATTCTGCAGTCGTGGACTTTTGCCTCTCGTCTCGTCTGGGTGAATTGTGTTTTCGGACTGCACTGGCTCGGACGTCATGGCCCCATCTGTTCTTCTGCCGCCACAAAGTGTCGCTAAGAAGTGCTCAAAGTACTCGACCAGAAAAGGAGGCAGCGATTCTTAAGCTAGTAGAAAGTGGCCAAACGCAAAAGGAGACATAACTTGAAGCAAGGAACCATTGACGGCTTTTTTAAGCCCGCTTAGGGCTTATTCACGCGATTCATCTTTTCAATGCGCCACAGTTGAGCGAAACCAAGGTTTCGCGAAATCGGACTGTTCACACGTGGAGATTGAGGCGCAAAACCTGTGACGTATTGACTCAAGAGAATTTTGCCAAACCTTGTCATCTGCACCGGGAATACCAAGCGTTTCTCATCAAAATGATATCAAGTACGCACAGCGTGAAGAGACAGTCTGTTTTATTTAATACCACTCAATGAACTTCGTCAGATATAGCTCACTGGGTTTACTAGTTCTGCCAAACCCGGGAAAGACCGCGAACGTTAAGGAACAGGCAGATGATCTCGAAGCATTTCGGACATTTTTGCATCGCTAATAAAGAAAGTTATTCGCAGTCACCTGGTTTATATCCGGTGCTTGCACTCATCGCAACTATTGATGAATCTGCAGCGCGCCTTCAACCCGTACTGTAGGCGCCGTTCACACACCTGCCACCGAGTAGGACCAAGACTCGTCGCCCGTACGTACCGCTTCTCCGCTTGTCGCTCGCCATGTTTGTTTATTTTCTTTCGGCTTTGGCTCGGATACGGAATCGGCCGAAAATCAGACTCCTTCAAAAGCTCGCTCCTCCTCGAAGGTCAGACGTCATAGCGAAGTCGAGCGGCCATTGGCAGCGTCCGCGTTTCTCCTTCGGGTGATTGACGGGCGTCGGTGGGGTTTCAGCGAAAAATTGCTCCAGAAGCGAGGAAGACGCGCCACTTTCTTCGGAGGCGCGCCACTTTTTCGGTCGCGTTCAGACGGGGAATCTGTTTCCCGAAACTTAGTTTCGTGACACAAGATTCGCCAACAAGATGCTTCGTGTGAATAAACCTTTAGACGTAATAAAGGCAAGTCTTTTAATCTGCGGTTTTTTCAGACTGCTCGATTATTAGGACGTTTCTTCGGTCCCTGCGAAGTCCAAAAAATCGGTCGGCGACTGTAGTACCGAAAATTGCTGAGATCGGTGAAAAGCTTGCTTCCACTATATTGGCCAGTGATGTTGCTTGTTCGTCTGCCTGGTGCAACTTGACTCTAGCAGCGTCATTCTTATTTGTTGGTTTGTTTGTGTCCTTGAAAGGCTTGTTTTTCTGCCCATCTGTTTAAGGTTTTTCCTGTCCTTAGATATTCTTGTTTGTCTGTCAGTCTCCTTGACAGCTTTAGGTTTCCATTTATTTGTCGCTGTCCTTGGAGATCCTTATTTTTCCGTGTTCTTGGAAAGTTTTTGTTTTTCTGTGTGTGTATTCAATTCCTTTTGCTCCCCTAAAATGCACTTTTGGCAGCTCTGAAAGGATCTTGCCGAGTGACTTGGACCCCTCGCACCACTGTACCTCCGAACACAACTGTTTTTTCCCTTCAGGCATCACAGAGCCAGCGGAAAGCACCAAGAGAGCTCGGTCGCAAGGTCGCCACAAGGTCTCTCTCAAGCTGCTCTACCAGAAGAAAAGAGATCAGATCAAGGTACTTCCTCACCAAAATGTTGATTCGATCCCCAAACTGTAGTTTATGCGACGTCCGATCGATGGAGGCTTTTGCGAGGGTGGGAAATCTTCCGACGGGAAGACTTGCGAGCGTCTTCGAATCTACGAGAAGTTTGGCCAGAGTTGTATGGTTGTTGGCACCCTCTTTGGCACCCTCTTCTGGGCCACCGACGTGAAAAGGAATAGTGTTGTCAGTTGTGGCATTGGAACTGTTTCTAGAAGCTCTTGCTATGCCCTGTCTATTACCTAATTACGGCTTTGTTTATTTATTTATTTAAATACCCCCAGGGTCACCGGCATTTCACGAAGGCTTTTGGTTGTGTCTCGCATCGTAAATTGCGGTATAAACTTAAGCAGGTACTGGAAAATGACTGTCTATTACGGTGTATTGATTCTTACCTTACAGACCGTCAGCAGTATGCGACTGTTGCTAAGGCAGAGTCTATAGAAATGTCTGTTCTTTCAAGAATGCCCCAGGGCTCGGTACTCAGTTCTTTGCTTTTTTTTAGTGTTTATTAATGACCTGCAGGTGGTCAACCCATTATTTCAGTGTCGTTTTTTTTCTGACATTGTGTTTTGTTCTCTAAAGTATCCTGTATATCTGATCAGGAATGTTTAACTGATAGCCTGCTTATGGTATTTTCCTGGCGCCAAAATTGGCAAATGAATATAAATGTAAAGAAATCCATTCAAATGACGCCAACTCTAATAAGGTCTCCACTTGTGTTTTACTATGTTATAAAGCATAGCCGCCTCTATACTGACAAAGCCTGGCAGATACTACTCACGTAACGTGGCTGCTGAGAGTGAAAGGTAGGGCGGCAAGCAACGAATAAGAGGAGAGTCATGTAACAAGCACCCCGCTGCGGCAAGACGCCGAAACACTCTACTTTTTTTTCTCTTGTTGTCGAGGGTAAATGGGAACGCCACCCCTTCCTTGTTCCTCCGTTTCAGTTTCGTCTGTTTTGTTTGCGCTCAAAATGCTGTGCAGTCTGCCGGGGCTGGTTGATTACAGGTATTGATTCACGGGAACAGAGTTGAAAGGTCAGTATTCCCTGCTTGGAGTTTTCGGTGGTCCATGCACTAAAGGGCACACAACTGCCCAGACAACACAGATGGTCCTGAGGACGCCCTCAGCTGGTCCAGACGTCTTTGTCCCGACGAAGACGTCGTCAGGACTTCCGGAACTACAGGGTGATCCAAGGAGAGGCCAGGCTCTTTAAATCGACCGCAAAATTCAGTTTCTTAACCTATCGCGCTATGACTTTGTGCAGCGTTGCCCACAGATGGTGCATTTTTTTGGTAAAATTTGCAAAAAGCGAACTTACTTGAGGAAAAAGTAAAGAAAGAAAAAGGCTTAGCTCCTATGGAAACTCAGCGAAGCCACCGGTCTTCAAACATGGCGCCGTTTCGTACGGGAGACAAGAGATGGCGCAAGCGATATTTGGCTTTTTTTTTTACAGCGGAACTGTTAAGGGGCTAGGTTCCCCAGGATCGTGTCTGGTATGTCGGCACAAACCTGCCTGGACGGCTACCGCCATCTATAAGCGACGGCGGCAAGCATACAACTCGTATGGTTACCGCCGCCACTGCAGCAACCTTTCCAGCTATCGTGGAAGAATGGATAGTTGGGTGTGTTGGTGAAAATTCATTGTAGGAAACAGCATGACGACGAAGAAGCACACTTAACGAGCGCAGCGCTCGTCACGTGCGTTTCTTCATCTTAGTCTGTTTTGCGCGCTGTTTCCTACAATGAATTTTGAAACAAAATAGTCATGCACGCCCAGTTTGCTTTCCATACGTGCACAACACTGCCCGCCATTTGAAGACTCTTGCTGCTTGGTTCGACACGAAGGTGGTCCACACTTGTAGAATGAGGTTAAAACAAATGAGGGTAAATAACTAGAATCGACCACCTGAATGCTCCATCAAGCACTCCAACAAGTATGGTAACTGGAAAGAAAAGCTAATTTATTTGATTCCATCGAGTTGCAGAGGCCAATACATCGGCCAGACTCAAAGATGCCTAAATGTTCACTTTAGGGAGCACCATTCAGACGTTACCAAGGAATCATGGCACTCATTCCACCCAATAGTTGTGCACGCCCGTACCTGCCACGATTACTCCCCAAACTTTGAAAACACCACCGTGCTTGATTCACACAGAGATAAGTGTGGGCGCGAAATAATTTAAGCGTTTAAGATCAGATACGCCGCGAACAATGTCGCTGAGCCTTCTTTGACGTTATCGTCAAAAGAGCTGGAGTTCCTCGCGCCAGAATTATCGTAAAAAAGCTTGTTTGGTCAGCTATTAATTTTGCCTTCTTTTCCTTTCTTTTCTTCTTCCTTTTGCTTCTTTTTCAGGGGTTAATTTCCATAATTTTTTCCTCTCATTTTAATTTGGTATTTTTAAAATTTATGAATAATTTGGTTTTATTTTAAATTTTGGGTATTTTCCTTTCCTTTCAATTCTTTGGAGTTCAAGGTTGTAGCGTCATGGGCATCCCATAAATGTTCGTTGCTCATTGAAAGAACTTTGTGTGTCTGTGTTCGTCCTCCACGTGTTTTATTCTTTCTGTGTATTCTGTAGTTCTCAATGCGCCCTGCTACGTACACTTTGACTTTCGAGTTTGAAGTCCTTTTAGGGCCCTTTCAGCGAACTCAAATTCTTTCAAATGGTGCGAGGTTGAGGAGAACGCACGGTCGACTTTTGTGAGCGACGTGAGGGGCCAGCTCTTGCCGGTTCTGCGTGAAAGGCTGCCCCGGCGGAGTCACATCTGAAGCTACGGTACCAAGACACCAAAGCGAGCGGTTCTGTTCGACGATTTCCTTTTCGAAGTCCGAGAGGTTGTCGGGCACCTAAAAAAGACCCCCTAGTTTGATTCCCCGACTCACCGATCATCTTCTGCTACATGTGTCGACTGCCGCCATGTTTTTTAAGGAAGGGTAAAAAGCCACGAGGTGACGTCACACCGGAGTCCGTTTTTCGGAATTTCGAAAAGAAGGGCCGTAGCGCAGTTGCGTTAAGAAAACATTCAGCCTTTCAGCTCTGGTGTAGAAGGAAGAGCAGGGGAGCTGGCAGCCTCTGTTCTCGGCGATGGCTTTCCAGGCGAGCGATCTGCTCTCCTTTCGCAGGGGAATCTGAAGTGTTCGACGTAGAGTAACCTTCGGCGATGGCGGCCTCGCGGCGGTTGCGAAACCATTCGTACTGCTGCGCACATTGCCGCTCGTTCCGTTCCCGCTCTTCTTCCTCCGAAGAAATGTTGCCGCCATCTATGAGCGATGGTGGCAAGCAGACCACTGGCAGACACAACACTCTGGACAGCTACCGCCATCTATGAGCGACGGTGGCAACCAGAGTGTTGTGTTAGCCTAGGGTGTCGAGATTTGTTTGGTACCGGACACGATCCTGGGGAAACCCCTTAACAGCTCCGCTGTAAAACATGTTTTATGAATGTCGTTATTAAATGTTACAAGAAAGTCGCCTACAAAGCTTTCAAATTTTATGATATTTGACATCGCAAATCGGAAGAAGCGAGGAGGTGAGGAGCGGAAGAGAGAAGCACCAAAAATAAAAAGGTGCGCGCACGTGGGGAATTTTGTTTTTGCGTTGTGGTATTTTTTTGCGTGTCTATGACTACAACTTGCATAGTTTTAGACAACAAAACAAAATACGACCTTTGGGGTGTCAGTGCCCCCTTAAGTAGTGTGTCGTAAAAAAAAATAATGCCTAAATCACTGCTGTCGCTATGCTGACCCTGGATGAAATGCATTAGCATTTAGCTCAGGGTTTCTGACTCACCGAAGGATAGTACTTCCAACCTTGCAATGTTTTCTCTTGTATGGATGGTCCGCATACTGTTGCCTTCGGAGAGACAATGGGGACTCCTGGGTGTGGGCAGTTTCGGATGCAGCCACCGCAACTTTCCTCAGTCGACGCCTACGGTCTGCATACTGTTGTCTTGGACGAGCCAATCTTTCCTCCAGGGAGCCGCTGGTTCCGCACAAATGGCGATGTTGCTACGTCTCGGTTTTACGTTGTCACGTACGTTGCGCATACTGGGGAAATGAAACCATAAGCCTACCCCAGGTGTCGTCGTAAGAGAAGTGAGCATCAACAGCGGAGCGAAAGAGGACGGTGGGAACCGTGCCACAGCCTCGCCAAACCAGCCTAGTCTAAACCAAAGATGGCTGCATGCACCGGGGCAATAAATGCCGACGCATCTAATAAACATTCTTCACAGAGCATGCTACGGTGCTGCAGAGGCAAAAATTTTGCGTTGGGCATGCGGTAAAAAAAGATTGCGGCGCTCGGATGATAAATAATCCTGAGACCCCTGCGCAGGTCCCCGAGACGGAGTCCCTCCGGCTGGACGTCCTGTCCTTCCTGGGGGGTCTGCAGGGCCACCGGAGGGCGCTGCTGTTGGCGGACCTGGAGCGCGACACCCTGAAGGCTGCCCTCGCCTGGGATCCCGAGACGAAGGAGCACCTCGTGTTTGCGCTCCCGTTCCCCGACACCAAGTTGGAGATTGCTCTGGGTACGGATTCTGGCGTTGAACGAGTGTTCCAGACCTTGAAAGCCCTGGAATTTCTAGTGGTGCTTGAAAACCCTTTAATTTCCCAATTATAGTCAGTTTATTTTTTCAATCAAGCTTTTTTGAAGTAATAAAATATGATTATTTATTTTACGTGTTAACATAAATTTAAAAATTCCAACGGGGAAGTTTTTTTAGATGGCATATCAAGACACATATAGTGGGTGCTTGCTAAGCGTTTGACCACAATGGTCCACGCGGCGCTACTTTCCCAGGATCCAGTGACTTTAGTCACGTCAGCTTCAGCTACCGGCACTTACGTGCTTACGCCACTGGCACTTATGTGAATGAAGCTTGCGCGACTGGTGCTCACGTGACCTTCGTTAGGCGACCTTGCACTTCAGCCACGGGCATTACGTGACCTTGCAACTTAGCCACAGGTACATGGTATGTGACCTTGAGGACGAGGACATGACCTTGAGCGTGGTTGGATTTATAAAGCTACCACTTTAAAAACAATGCCCTCTTAAGCCATCGCACAAGAGCTCTGACGCAGAATGCATTGGGGTCCTTGGCCTTAGAGTGGGTTGGGGTTCTGTGACGGCCAAAACTCTGAGAACCACTGCAGTAGAGCCTCTCAGCCTGTCGGACTGAATTTAAGGGGGCACACCCCCTAGGGGGGTCAACTTTTGAACCCTTGTTTTAAAATTAACGAAATTTACAGGGTAGGCTGGTGGTCATGCTAGAGGGTGTATGACAAAATTTCAGGTCTGTCGGTTAAATGAGAAGGAAATAAGAGTAGCTTCTATCAGCAACACGCCTACGTTGTTTAGTTAATCTATCGTCAGAAAACTATTGCGATATTAAAGATTTTTATTTGCTAGATATGTAGCAGAATGCCTAGAGGGTGCGGCTATGGAACACTTTTTTCTAAAAAGTAATTCATTTCTATAAATTTTCTCTTCTGCAAAATTGGTCAACTTTTTGGTCTTCTGTGCCTTCGCCAAAATGTCAACATTTTTTACAAAAGACATCCGTAAAGGGACAAAAAAGTTCCATAGCCGCACTCCTTATTAAATTTTAGTCAGGATAAGGGAAGAATGCGCTTTCCCTGTTTTGCCATTATCAAACGATAGATTGACTAAAATGGAATTTATACCAAAAAGTGGAACGGAGAAAAATGTGTTCAAAGTGCTCCAAACCCTACCTTTTCTATAGCTTTGGTGGACGGAAAATAATTTATAAAAAATTAACTATTCAGTGAAAATTAATGAAACATTTTGAGAATACTCTCTAGATGTTGGTGGATGTAAAGATGTCATTTTTCAAAATCAACTTTTTTTGCAGAAATTTTTTTTTCTGGGCAGTGTCTCCCCTTAAAATAAATAGGTCTGCAAAAATGTTATTGTGACTTGTAATTTGAGTTATTAGCTGATATGTGTCCATCAGTGTGCTGAACCAGTTATGAGGCAAATCAGTGCCAGAATTTCGCTGGAAAGAAAACCAAGTGCAAGGTGTTCCTAAGCTTCAGCTTGTAGCTTTTCCTGACCTGCTGAATGCATTACGGGTGACCTAGGATTGCTACGGCAGTTGACGCACAGCCAATGGGCGTCCACCGTTGCAGTGTTGCTGGCCGTTCTATAGTTCTGGTCGTGACACGATACCCAGCATCTGGATGAAACAAATCGCTGTTTGCTCGAGGCAGGTGCTCTTGCAGGCCACATAGTTCACTGCCTGCGTCCTTTCATTTTCGTGCATCTGTAGTGTCTCTCCGTCTTGTAACTCTTTGTCCACGGAAAATAAGTGTACCGATTTGCTGCGCCTTCGGCAACCCATTCCATACCGTCTTTCTGCGACTCGCATATTTTTTCCAGAGTCGTAGCAATGGTCTAAGGAGAGGAAAGGAGGCATTCGTTGTGTTGGAAATTCCCGCCACAACCCTTCACAGTGCTTCGTTTGAACTCTTCAAAGTGTCGATTATGTTGTTAAAAAGTTTGAGTACTGCTTGTGTTTAGAAGCAATCGTTCGCCATGTTGTTTGCAGACGCCTTCCTGCCACGGGTGGTCGAGTTGGCTCGCTTTGCCGGCGATCGTCAGTCCAAGGTGGCCGGATGCGAGCTGCTTCATGCCATGGTGCTATATGCTGTCGGCACGGGGGTGCAGACATCGGCGGAGAGAAGAGCTAAGGTTCGTTTTTTTCTCTGTGTCGCGGTATAACAGCATCCCTTTTTTTCTAGGCAATACTAAATAAGCCAAGTAGGCCATGCATCGGAGTAAAGATACTTCAGCTGGTGGATTGGATTGTGTTGGCTATTTCCTTTGCAAGAAGTAAGCAGACTTCACGCTTTACTTCATCCGAAGTAAAATAAATCTCTATTCTGTGATGCCACCAGTCCACCATTCACCTCTTGGCGCATTCTGTAATTCTCTCGGTTATGCATGCTGTATCAACCGAGTCCATGTTGACTTCCACCACTGTTCCCTAGCCTCTGGGAACGAGTTTATTTCTGGCTCCAGCCTCGGGTCTTGGCAGCCCAACACTACGTGAGAAATGGTTTCTGTCTCCGTCCCACAGATGGTGCAAGTGGCCTCCAGGTCTTCGGTGAAGTGGTCTCTTTGTTGTTTTGTTTAGAGAGTCCCTGCAAGTGCCTCAAATGCTAGACCACTTTCTTGTTGTTATTGTAAATGTCTAGTCACTAGTTGTTTAAAATCGTTGTTGGCAGTTATGTGAAGTTCTAACTGAAATGGCAGGAAGCACTTTTTCGTCCTCTGGAAGCGTTGGAACAGTGCGTGACAGAGCGAAATGGCGTCACTTGAGCTTCCTGCCATCGTATCTAAAGCTCAGGAAGTTGCATATTTGCGTCATAACTGGGAGTAATTGTGCCCAATCTGCATTAGGCAATGAAATGGTGGCTGGGAAATGGAGTGAATGGACTTCAAGCGATTTTGTGGCTTTAGTAAAGACTGATTTAGAGCAGTTAAGAGGACATGTTGCAGTGTTAGGTCGTGCTTTTAACGAGAAGAAAAAAGCATGTGTGGCTGTAACTTGGGGTTTTCTGTGACGCTTTGAGTGGATAGATTATGTTTGCACCATAAAATAGGATCTTTAGTGCCCAACGTCCATCAGCTGCTGCTTTTCTTTACTTTTTTTTTTTTTCACCAGAACTTGTATACATTTGAGCTTTCGTTTTGTACAAGATGCATATTCTACACCAAGCGCATACTCTGCACATATAATAGTCTCATTCGCAGCACACTTTGAAAAATTCCTACAAATAAAATCACTATTCGATATTTGATTCCATATTCGGCTTTTTTGTTTCTTAATTCGATTCGGCATTTGATTCAATGACTACTATTCGGTATTTGCACACCCCTAGTTTTTAGGGCTGAGTCGAACTAGATTCAGTAAGAATGCAGTTGTGCATTAACAAGTGTGGCAACGTGCAAACATGTGGTGTTGTCCGTCGTGCATCTGGAATGCCATACGTGTGTTATGCGAACCATCAGCAGCCTCTCAAGTGACCTTCTGCTGCTGCTGCTCAGTGTTGTCAGCACAGCAGTTACCAACCAGTGGTATATGGGCCATAGCTTGTCAACTTTGAAATTATTTTTTTCTGCCCAGATAGCTTGGAGGCGTGCTCAGGCGAGTATACTGTTAAACAACCTAATTTTTACTGCTTGGAAAACAGCAAAAAATTTATTTCACAAACACCTTTTTTTATTTAGAAGTACTCCAGTCATCTACTGAGAGCCATAACAGGAGTAACATACAATGTTAAAATATGCAACAAAAAAAAAAAAAAAAGGATGCATGCACGAGTGGTTTAAGTGAACATGCAGAAAAAGGAACATGCACATTTGACTAAAAACCCTGAGACTGGGACGAGAAGGGACGGACAAACACAAACACAGTCTCGGGGTTTTTAGTCGAATGTTTAACCACCACCAGCTCGTTTGCGCCTTAACTTTTGAACATGCACACTCCTTTTTGTACGAAAAGAAACATGCACACAAAAGTAATGTAATTAAAAATGTTAATAGCATCAGTAAATTTCTCAATTGAAGAAAATCTAGCTACTTCTGTCTCTAGCAAATTCCATTCTTGTATTGCCTGAGAAAAAAAAATATTTGAAAACATTCTATTTCAATTTGCACTGCTGGAAAGATATGTCATGATTGTATCTGGACGATCCAGTGGAGGACAAGGTAATATAATTATCAACATTATAGGTTAAATTTGGTGGTAGTTTCGCATTTGGCGACTCGACTGGTGGCCGACCAACACGACAGCGCAGATGGACGAAGTTTGGAGGTCTCGCCGACTTTGCACTTCCTTTTAAATGTGTTGCACATACGGGATTTTCACGTCCATGCTCGCACATAGCCTCGATGGTGACATCAGCATGATGTCACCATCGAGGCTATGTGCGAGCATGGACGCAAAATTACTCTGATTATGGGGCGGCAGCGGTGACGACTCCTAAGAGAGGGCCATAGTTTTATTACGTGACACTGTGATGTTGCGTAACACCATGACGTCGCATAACGTGACTTTGTGATGTCAGGTGACTTTATGACATCTTGGAAGATCTATGAATTCTATGAATCGAGAGCGCATTTGGAGGCGAGTGCCAACGGTAGGGAGATAGATGTGAAAGCCCCGTACAGGAGAGCGAGTGCCTTTAGAGAGCACGCAACCAGTTGAGCGCGCAACACGAGAGCGCTAACAGGGCCGTTAAGGGTTTCTTGCATCGCGATACATTTTTTTAGTGGCAACAGCAGTCACATGCACGACCAAATCATACGACGCTTTGGGAAGATGTCAGAATCCGACTATAGCCTCTGAGATTAATCTCGGTGCGCAATTTTTTCTGGGACCATTTCGTAGGAGAACATTTATGCCTCCCTTCGCCCATGCTGTGACAGGGTCAGTAGATTGGGCTATTAATAGCCAAATTAGGCCATTTGTAGTTGATATAGAAATCTCGCGATGGCCTTAGCCTATAGGGTTACTTTTGGGCCATTTTCAGTTTTTGTCCCGAATGGATATTGGATAGTAAAAATATAAAACATATATTTTTAAATATATGCAGGATATGATACCCGCCATTTCAAAGAAGAAAAAACAAGCGCAGAACTGTCCCAAGAATTCCATTGAGCCGGCAGATGATGACCCTTTGAGTGCTGATTTATTAATAGAGAAGCGACCCCTTAGGTACCTGTATAACTGCAAATAACATCGTCAAAACTCTCCTTGGCGCGTACATGTAATCTCGTGATGCACGCTGAAGTGGTTGCGCGCTTTCACATTATGCGCTCCAATGGCACATGCTGTCGTGTCGCAACGCTCTTATGTCACGCTCTCGGCGCACTCGTATCGTGCGCTGTCAAGCCATACAGCCATTATGGTGAAAAGAGATTCTCTTTTTCTCTTCTAGTTCCCGATGGTGCACCTGTTCAAGCACCTCTTTCCGGAGCTACTTCATCTTGCCTGCGATGTTGACCAGGTAAGGGGCGCTTGTGCCCTGGACCCCTCGGGTTTGCTTTGTCTGTCTTAGGTTTGATGCAGAATGGGTTGCATGGCTGGCTCCTAGCAGTTTTCGGTAACACTCGAGCAGTAGAAGAGTGAGAGGGCTGCGTCAGAGTTTGGCCGGGACACATTCCTTCCTCAATTAAGCGCGGCTCCCGGCCAAACGTGGACGCAGCGCCGACATCCAATCTCTCCCTAGCCTCCGGTGGGCGATGTAGGAAATGCGACAGTCCGGCGTCGTTGCCCAAGTGTTGAGCCAGCATGCTTGTACGCACGGCTGGAGAGTGTGCAGGAAGCAAAGGGAACGGGTTGCGGAGGATCAAAGTCTGGGTGTGCCATTGCGGGAGACGCTAACTTCATATTCGACGGGGTGTCCTAGCAAAAAATTTACGAGGTTTTTTCGCCGCAAAAACAAACTGTGCATCGCCGAATGCTCATTATCTGCACAACTAAAGCGCTGGCGGTCGGAACCAGATGTTGAAGTTTCGAAACAGACCGCTATATTATTATAAGTTACAAGCGATTTTCTGAAATTTTGAATGGGAAAATGGCAGCCGACAGAGCCCTCGAATATGCGGAGCTGAATGGGAGCAGTAAAAACGAGCCTCCTCTCCCTCCCGTATAAACTTTGAGAAAATCGCTTCCAACTTTTGGATAAAGATTAATTCTGGTTGGGAGTATGAGATCTGGGCGGAGTGTCATTTATTTTTGCGGTGAGAAAAACCCTGTAAATATTTTTTGGGGACACACAAAATATTTATTTGCAAAATGAAGGCACTTTTCTTCCTGAAAAATTTCCGCATATTTGAGAGGTGCGTTCGTCTGCGGGGTAAATTTTAGCACATTTACACACTTTACATAAATGTCATTTTCAATGCCGACCCGATGGGGCAGGGTGCTCTGGCACGTCTCCACTGACGGAGGCACACCCTCGGCTGGTCGCATGAGTGCCACAGTTGCCATCTCCTATAAATTGCGAACTTTTTTTAGGGCACCTTTGGCATTCTTTATGCCAAAGAAAGAGCGCCCTACGAAGCTCACTCGGCACGGAGAGCGATGCGACCATTCCTACGTCTAACCACTTCGACGATCTCACTGTCCGAAAGCGGACCACAGGCGACGGCGTGTTCGTTGACACCAGTACATCCAATGGGCGAAGCATCTCTGGGGACTGGGCAGTTCCTCGACCCCAGCTTTGTTAGCTTTGCGTGCTGCTCGGTTTCACTGTTGATCACTTCAGCAACTTCCCACCTGCAGCCATTCTTAGCTTGGTCTGGCATAACTCGATCGCTTGGGTGCAAAACACATCGGTGGATGGCATAGTTGGGTGCCGTTTGAGACTCACGGAGGCAAAAATTGGAGGTGCATTCATTACGTGTGGGGAAGAAAAGTCAAAATATTGATGAGCGTTGTGGAGGGTGCATTCATTATGCGGGTAAGTACGGTACTTTCGCCTAAGTGCCAGCCTTGGCGAGGTTTTCTTTCAGTAAAGCTATGCATGACGATGTTTGCGCCATCGAGGCAGGAAAAAGGCTCGAGGTACACCTAACCAGTTCTTATGAGTTGTGAATGCGAAAGCATGCATGCCGTTCCTCCGCTTCCCCTTTTCGTCTGCGGCGTATACTTGCATCGACAATCGAGCATGCGCGCTTCCCTTGCCGCGCTGACCTTGGGCGTGGAGTGTTGGAGCCGCTGCCTCGCGGACACGCAGTGCCATGGCGTGGCGCTATTTGCATCTGACGCGTGGTGGCTTCATATCGCTGCCATTTTGCGGGGCTTTCTGCATGGTTTCAGAGCTGTGATCTCTCAGATCGCGACTTCTTGAATTTATATGCCGTTTGGCGCGGCTGAGGATTTGGCTCGCTGCATGGGACAGTTAATGGTTTTGCATTAAAATGTACCAAGTTCCTTTGCAACCTCACCCTGAAGCAACATGTAGTACATTCTGTGTTGCCACTCCCTTCATTCACCACGATAGTGCAGGAAAAGGGTGAATTTTTCCCACGCAATGTGCGTTGTCCATTCCTGTTCGTTTTTGCTTTCGCCGTTGCACCAGTGCACCAATGTTTTCTCATATAGAACCTGTTTATTTTTTGAAAAAATTTTATTACATTTTTTTATTACTTTTTGCATTGTGTCTGTTTTTCTATCGCTTAAGTCAGTGGTTCTCAACCATTGATGTTTCGCGGACCCTTTCTGGATCGGCGGTGATGATGGAAGGACCCTGTTTGTAATGAGGGGAGAGAAAAGGGTAAAGGTTAAACATATTAATGATGTAATAAATGGATATAACTAAGGGCAAATGTGAAGTAGACTTATTTTATTGTTAAACACACAAGAAAACTCGCTCAAAGATTGAAAATTTATTCACAATCTGAAAAAAGACGACTTTTATTGCCGGGCTCAACTGATGAGGCAGAGCTTCGCGGACCCCCGTTTGAGAACCACTGGCTTAAGTGTATTCATTCACATTTTTTATTAGCTAGGTACTTGAGATGTAGATGTTTAAAGTATACTTTTTGCGCTTTGGCTCATTCTGTTTCGCTCATCTTTAAAAAATTTATTACGGAAGATTACAGCGCATGGACAACTAATTTTTCTCCTTTTTTATGTCTCCTTGCGCGTCGGTTGCTATTATAACGTTGGCATCCATTATTTCAATTAGTTTTATTAATCTTTCTTACGACTCTGCTCCCTTGAGCGGAACCACCTCCCAGCCTCTTTTGTTTCGATGGCCAGTTGTGATTGCCTGGGAAAGGGAAACCCAAATTTTTTTCTTGTTTGTTTACTCCTGGCGTAATTACCTGCTAATTGTCGTTTTCCCACTTGTAATGCTGCATGCCTGCAGGTTAAATAAGTGAAATGGCATTATTTTGTTTTGGCAAATCGAGGATGTTATCATTGCCATCTGGGATTTCCTGGCTTGACGGAGGGTGGCATTCCCGTCCAGGTGACGCAGCGTCTGTTCCGTCCCCTGGTGCTGCAGCTCATGCACTGGTTCAGCAGCGGGTCGACGCGCGGCAGCAGAGAGAGCGTCGCCATCGTCGAGTGCCTCTGGGTGGGTCGCTTCTGCCAAGGCGCTTCGAGGAAATTCGAGTCTTTTACGCACGAAATAAGCTGTATTCACACGGAGTATTAATTTTATACGCGGAATAAGGAGTATGAAATGTCTATTTAAGTGAGTTCCACCCGTAATTTACTTGTTTTTGAACGCACCATGGCATAAAGAACTGTACACGACGCCTGCCGCAAATCGTATCTTTGACCGTACCAGTGGTGGTCGCAAGACTTGTCTCTCTTCCCGGGATGCATTGCTTTTAGTCGAGTCAATAGCTCCCATATGTTGCAGTTAAGGTAGCTGCATGCTCATTACCTCTTTGCCTCATTTTAATGCAGAATGCATTGTGGGGCTGGCTTCCAAGTCTAGAGCGTCATGAAAAGTTGTCACGAAAGCACAATAATTTGGGCAAATCTCTCTCGTCGCTCGCCAGATGTCCTACAAAAAAGCACTTGACTCGTATTGACTCTCCGTCGTAAGGGGAAGTGGAGTATAGGATTTCTTACCTGGCTGCAGCTTTACGGCTTGCAAACTCTATTTGCATTATCCTGTGCAAAGTTGGAGCAGATCTTTTATGACAGGCTGTAGCTCTGGAAATGTTAATCTTTTCATGTGCCACTTAGCTCCAAATAAAAACATTCTTTACTGCATTAGTATTTCTGTTATTTGAGCACTTCAAGGTCCTAAAGTGCCAATGTATGACTGCCCGTAAAGTTCCGAAAGAACGCCCTCCCTCGAGAGATTGCCCCTCCCGTTTTTCTGGCTAAATATCTAACATAAAAATTCCAAAACATTGTCCACCCCTTGACTCCTGTCGGACGTTGCGCAATGTTCAACGGGAATCACATCAGCCTTGCGATTTGCTGTACCGGCATGTCTGACAAGTGAGTTCATAGCGGACTCCCACATTTTTGTCCGCGATCTCCGTGCGCAATATCTGCTCCCATAACACGCGAGTCGTTCCGCTTGTATGCTGCACCGTGAAATACGAATCTGCTGCATCCACAATCTGCGGTATTCGTTCTCGTGACATAAAAGATTGTAGCGGATTTTCACGTTTCTTTCCGCGATCCGCGTGCTATATCGGTTCCTGTGACAGGCAAGTTTGTAGCGAGTTCATCCCCTTGCATTTTTAAGCTTAAGCATTCTGGCACCAGTTCTAGCCTGGCCCGCCCTAAAAACCCTTTGTGGCATCATCCCTGTGTCATCTTTGCATTCTCTACGGGTATTTTTATTTTTGTGGCAGGACACGGTGACGCAGCCTCAGGAGACGGTGCTCAAAGATTTTGCAGCTCGCTGCCTGAGAGAGTTTGTCCAGTGGGGAATCAAGCAGTCCACTCCAAAGGTGCGTCTCACAACTTGGACTTGGAAAAAGAAACACTGGAATTTGGTTGTTGGTTGGCAGGCATTTTAGAAACCCACGACAGCATCTGACAATCGGTAGAAAGTGAGGCTAGTTGGTACGAACGCATTACTGAAAACGGAAGGAGAAAATACGACGGACAAAGACCAAAACTAACAGGACCAACGCTCGGTCCTCTCGTTCTTCGTTTACCGCACCTTTCCGTAAAATATCTGATAATCCTGTTTTGACCTAGTTATTGATTAAAATAATTTATATTATCATTACAGTAGTTCTAGGTGAAGGCAAAACTATGCATAAACCGCCTGACCCTGTTCGGTCAAGGCTTGTACTTGAAAAGGGCCCTGCAACCATATTTAAGCGTCTACCTTTTTTGCGGTTTCCACGTCTCTTGGGGTTTGGGGAGACTAACTAAATATCAGTGCATCATATTTTAACCGGACGAAGCGGAAACCTCCTCCACCCACGGGGGCGACTTGTGGTGCCGAGAGCGCGCAATATGTGACGTCTTTGGTCCTGGGCTTACTACTGGTCAAAGCCGCTGAAAGCTTCTTTTGTAGTCAAAATACAAAATATAAGTGGTGCGAACCGTTTCAATTATTTATAAAAGTATTTTTTTTTTCTCACTATTTTAGATCAGAAAAGCGGTGGAAAAAGCGGCGCATACTAGAAGGGTGTAGTGGGATCGGGCGCCAAAGAGCGGCGAGCAGAGAAAGGTCCCGGTGTACGCGGCGGTGCTGCAGTCGTATGGACTGGAGGATCTGATTGGTTCCGAGAGTTCTCAAGGCCTACGGCGAGCAGCTTTGGCTTGCGGTTTGACCTTTTGGCGGTATGGCAGCGCGAAGTGGCTCCTATTCTGAACTGATCTTTACCCCGCGTTTGCTGTCGTTTGTGGCCAATGAAGTGTCATGCCGAATGAGTGTTTAATCGCGCAGCAAATGCAATGCGAGCCGCCCTGGCTACCCGCTTCATACAGCCTTGCCAGAACATGCTTTAGTGGCGCCCTCTCGAGCCTTCGACACGAAGTGCGGCACCCGTGACCGCTCGCTGAGCTCACTACCCCTCCTCTAGTTCACGGCCTCTCAAGCAACCAAGGACATCATGAAGGAGGTTGTTTTTTGCTTATTTTTGTCATTTTGCTTTGCCTATAACTTTTAAAATAAAGCGAAATTCGAGAAAAGAGAAGTTTCATTAAGTTACTACGTTCAGTACGCCTGGGTTCGGTGTAAATTAAAAATCAGTGTAAAAGTCCTTGCAGGGCCTCTTTAAAGTTAACTCCAGCAATTTTTTGAAATACCCAAAGTAAAAAAAAAAAAATTTTGGAATACCCTGTTTAACTTTTCACGACATGCTATATTTTATTTCTAAGTTTGAAATAGCTACTGAGAAAATGGCAAATGAAGGTTACATGCCTAAAGCAACATTCAAATTTTCCAGTTCTGGGATGTCGCCATATATGAAACATTAATTTGTTTCTCTGTTCTGCTGGCAGGAGCTTGCCTAGTGCTCATTTCACGCCATCAAACTCGTAACCTGTTGGGAACAAGCTGTGCCACCCCCACAGCATTTGACATCACGCTTTCAGTGTTACCAGTAGAGCGGAACAAATTTTAAGATTCAATAAATTCGTAAAAAGAGTTTTTGCGACTTGTAATTTGGGTTACTAGTTCAGATGGGTCTATCAATGTGTTGAACCAACTATCAGGTTTGCCTTTAACATATTTTAGTGCATTCACAAGGCGGACATTTGAGGATAAGCGGATCTGCTTCGTGGTTGTAATTCAAACGCCAGTGTCGATACAACATTAGTGGAAATGTATTTACACGAAGTGCCTATGAGGAAGTTCTGTCTAGAAGTTTCTAACAATTTTAGATGTTTCACTTTTAATGCAGAATTGCATTCTTACTGACTCTGATTTAGCGGATAAAAGTGAAGCGTGCCACGGTCAAAGAGAGTTGGCTGGCTGCCAAACATCTGCGCCGTGAGCTCCGCCAATCACACAATGCAACCATGAAAGAAAAAAACAAAGACAAGAGGCAGGAGACAGGGCTTTGCGACAACATGATGGAAAAACGGCGCACAAAGGGCATGACAACAGGAGAGGGACACATACAACACACAAGTGCTGACCTCTCTATTCTGTTGTCCTTTCTGCGCTGTTTTTTATTGTGTCGTCTCAATACCAACTGGACGAACTCACTGCATGGCTCGCTTAAAAAAAACCTTTGCCAACAAGAAAAGTATTGAAAGAAGTGAAAGCCGTTTACAACAGTGTCGCGGAGTTGCCACTCCGGAGTTGGAATGATTCCGGAATCATTCCGCATTTTCACGACCCCGGAATGGAATGGGAATGGAGTGGCGGCAACGTTGAGGGGAATGGAATGGGAATGGAATTAGGTGCCTTTTGCCCAGAATGGAATGGGAATGGAATGGGCACGGTTCTTCTTTTTTTTTTATTATTATTATTTTTTTGGTGTTTACGGTCAGCTAAACCGAGCCAGTCAGCGAGTCAGTTGCTCAGAAGTAAAATGAGCGGGAGACTTATACGAAAAAAAAATGCAATATAAAAAACAAGCGTCAAATCAAAGAGCAAAGGGGGAAAGGGGGTAACGTGGCGCCTTTCAGGGACGTGCAGGCGTCGGGCTTCGATGGCGTTACACGAGAGCGAAACAAGAAACCAAGCATCAAGCAAAAGAAAAGGGGTGGCAAAGAAAGAAATTGCCATGCACAACTCCACATTGTACTTCTTATCATGTTTTTTTTTTGTTGTTGGGACGGTTTGTAGAATGTGCGCGCGCGCACAGACTGAGACCTGGGAGCGGAAGCGACTCATAACTCGCAGAGCTCTGATAACTTGTTGACTCAGGCGCCGTCGAAAGATGATCAGGTATTGTTTTCTTATAGTTCGAGGAGCGTTGTTTAGCAGGCAGCCAACCCTGCTGCCTTCCACGTTCATTCGTGCGCACTCCTTTGAAGCGCGAAATGTGGGTTTGCTTCGGCATTAAAACAAAGCGAGATTCACTTCCCTCTTCCCCTCTGGCGCTTTGCTCCGAGGCTTGTTTTTTTGTACTGCATTTGTAGTGTAAGTACGCCTTTTACTTGGTCTTTGTTCCGATGCTTGTTTTCTGTGTTATATGTTTAGTGGGTTGGGATTACAAGCAAGCTAGCGGACGCCCGCTCATTTCCTTTGACTTAGTCTCCGCATACTTCGTTTCACCTTGCGATGGACCGCTGCAGACGCTATGAGTCACCCTAGGCAATCCAGCACCCTGAGCGGGACTGCAGGGTCACGCGACACTCGAAGGCACTGGATTGGTTTTGATGACTCTCGTGCTGTCTGTTGAGGTCCATCGTAAGGTGAAGTAGACTATCGTCACCGCTCTTGGTGTGACCGAACTGCCTAGACCTGCAGAAAGACCGTCCTGCGCCAGATGAGGCGCGATCGTTGCTGTGAGGGCAACTGAGAAGGAGAGCTGGGTGATAGCTGCCGCTGAGGTTTTGGCTTCCGCGCGTCTCGGCTGTCTGGTCTGCATTCGTGCTCCTTGGCCTGGACCCTGTTTGAGGCGGTGAGAAGTCAGTTGGACGGTGTTGTTCAGGAAACACGGGGAATGTCAATTCGAACGGTGCGGTATTACCCCGTTAATTGTATCTTGATGTGAAGAGCTTTGTCAACACTGACTGCCCGATCCGTCTCCACAACGCGAACAACCGACACCGATATAGAAGAATGAATCGGTTGGTACCGTCTGCTGCCTGAAACCGACACTCGATCAGCGCGAAGAGGAACATCACAATTCGGACGAGAAGACAAGATAAATACAGATCGAGTCATGGCATCGTGGAAGACATTTTTCGACATTAGTCACAAAGCAAATAAGCTGCACGCTGAAAGTTATGCAATGAAACTATACACGGTGCAGTCGGCGTATATCATCGAACTTTATTCGCCATCTGAAGAGGAAACACGAGAATGAGTATGCGAAGGGTGGAAAAGGGCAGGCGAACCAGCCAAAAATTGAATTGAATATGATAAGAAATATTGAGATTCGTAAAGCAAGCGTGAACTTGTGCGTTTTAAAACAGGTTTCGTGACATGGTCTATCTCTTTACGGTCCCTCGTGCTGCGCCGCAGAGGTTGCATTTTGTCAGAGGATGTGTCCTTGCCGCTGTGCATGGAGTCGCTTCCAGCAGTGCACTAGCCATATTGCTGTATTTGAAGAATACAGTAATATAGCTGATTCCTGCACCACGCACTAACTGGATATTTCTATGGTCTTATCAAACAAACACGCTAGCCGCGTATGTCCTAAAAGTCAAATGCAAAAGTTAAAAAAAGAAAAGAAAATGAGTGGATTTAAGTTTTGCTGTTAGCTGCGAGCCACGTGGTCGTGAGACCGACGTCTTAATTAAACAAGCATGGACATATCAAGGGGCTTTCTCGATGTTTGCAGTACATTGTAAATAAACACTTTCTGCCACCAGTGGCCCGCTTAGTAAAAATCTGTGCTTTTTTGAGGAATTTAGCATTTTTTTGCAATTGTCTCTGCATTTCATAATGTCAGCTTGCTTATGCTGGCAACACAATGTGGCTGTCAAGTGCCAATTTTTACGTTGAGGAATTAAAGGAATGGAATGGAACGATTCAGCCATTCCAGGAGTGGGAATGGGCAAATGTCTCCATTTCTGGGAATTAAAAGGATTTGAATTATCGAAAACTCTAATTCCCCGGAATGGAATATGAATGGAATGCGGGCCGGTGCCCGTTCCGCAACACTGGTTTACAGCTCCCTGTAACGCCGAATTAGAGTGCAGCTCTTGAGGACGAGGAGAGAAGGGGGGGGTGGGGGGGAGTCACGTGACCTGGGGGAGGGGGGGGTCATGTGACCTCGGGGAAGGGGTGGGGTCATGTGACCTCGGGGGGGGGTCAAATGACCTCGGGGGGCGGGGTTCACGTGACTCCCCCCCCCTTTCCCCGAGGTCACCGAAGGTACCCGAGGCCCTCCCGAAAGAACCCGAGGCCCTCCCAAAGGAACCCGAGGTCCTCCTGAAAAAACCCAAGGTCACGTGACCTCGAGGAAGGGGACATGACCTCAGGGGGGGGGGGATCACGTGACCCCTTTCCCCAAGGTCACCGAAGGTACCCGAGGTCCTCCCGAGGCCCTCCTGAAGGAACTTGAGGCCCTCCCAAAGGAACCCAAGGTCCTCCCGAAGGAACACGAGGTCATCCCGAGGTCCTCCCGAGGTTCTCCCGAAGGAACCCAGGGTCTTCCCGAGGTTCTCCCGAAGGAACCCGAGGTCCTCCCGAATTAATTCGAGGTCATCCCGAGGTCCTCCCGAAGGAACCCGAGGTCTTCCCGAGGTCCTCCCGAAGGAACCCAAGGTCTTCCCGAGGTTCTCCCGAAGGAACCCAAGGTCTTCCCGAGGTTTTCCCGAAGGAACCCGAGGTCCTCCCGAAGGAATTCGAGGTCATCCCGAGGTCCTCCCGAAGGAACCTGAGGTCTTCCCGAGGTTTTCCCGAAGGAACCCAAGGTCTTCCCGAGGTTCTCCCGAAGGAACCCGAGGTCCTCCCGAAGGAATTCGAGGTCATCCCGAGGTCCTCCCGAAGGAACCTGAGGTCTTCCCGAGGTTCTCCCGAAGGAACCCAAGGTCTTCCCGAGGTTCTCCTGAAGGAACCCGAGGTCCTCCTGAAGGAATTCGAGGTCATCCCGAGGTCCTCCCGAAGGAACGCGAAGGAACCCGAGGTCTTCCCGAGGTTCTCCCGAAGGAACCCAAGGTCTTCCCGAGGTTCTCCCAAAGGAACCCGAGGTCCTCCCGAAGGAATTCGAGGTCATCCCGAGGTCCTCCCGAAGGAACCCGAGGTCTTCCCAAGGTCCTCCCGAAGGAACCCGAGGCCTTCCCGAGGTTCTCCCGAAGGAACCCAAGGTCTTCCCGAGGTTCTCCCGAAGGAACCTGAGGTCATCCCGAGGTCCTCCTGAAGGAACCCGAGGTCTTCCCGAGGTTCTCCCGAAGGAACCCGAGGTTCTCCCGAGGGAACCCGAGGTCCTCCCGAGGGAACCCGAGGTCCTCCCGAGGTCCTCCCGAAGGAACCCGAGGTCCTTTGTGAGGACCTCGGGTTCCTTCGGGAAAATTTACTCATAATGCACCGTGCGGTTACACCGACGGCGACGCCGCTCAAACTGGAAACAAAAACCTAAAAACTGCGCTCTAAAAAAAAAAAAAAAAAAAAAAAAATGTACAAAAGGAGGACGTGGCGACGCTAAATAGGGTGCACTTGTCTGGAAAGCTGAGACTGGAGTCAGTATCTGCTACATTCTTCATAAACCGCAGGGCTGCATGTTACGATTCGATCGTTAAATTGAAACACAACTGCAAATTTTTTTCAAGATAACGGAGAATTTTCTTGGGATGCACAGGTAGATATAAAGTCGCACCGAACACATAAAGTAATGGAGAAACAGGCGCTGCTTACTCACTCTATCACCCACCTACTTACTCTTCACTCCCTTAAGACCTGTCGAAACAAGACACTTCAAAACACATAAAGCGACACAACTCTGGCATGTAAAGTAAAATTGGTGTCCACCTGCCCGTCTTTCGTTTGGACATCAATCACATAACCATTGCAGCTTTCCTCCTTGTCTCCTCTGCTTTTTTGTGACGTCGATGCTCGTCAGACTTGATGTCGCGCGTTTCGTACCAATCGCCGTCGCCAGGAGAAGAAGGTCAAAGAGATCCAGCCTTTGAGGCTTGGCTCGCGCTAAGCCGCTTAGCCTTCTCGACCTCTTATCCTTGCGGACAGCAAAGTACATCTTGATGACAGCCAACAGAGCGTATGAGTGACTGTCCGGACCCAAGTGACGAGCACGCTCTAGACCTCCTTCCAGGGCAGAAACAGAAGGAAGCTTCTGTTTCTGGACTTCGGTCAAAAATTGGTGGAGGTTGCTTTCTCACAGTTCTTAAGTAAAGAACAGAAACCCGTTTTCGCCTGCGTGTCCTAGTTGTTGCGTAAAAAAAAGGATAAATATTGGCATTTGTGGCACCCCTCAACCACTCCCAGTCTTCAGGGTCACACCTGGTCGCACTCATAGTGACGTCATTCGGGGTGTCGTGTAAGTTCCTGGAGGACGCTTCCTCTCCCTCTCTCCGCATACATTAGCGGGCGTTATGCTGCAGCTTAGAGCCGAGCGAGGTCACGTAATCTTCTCGCCGTAGTTCCTTCGGCTGCCACTTGCGGCTGCAGGTGGGAGAAAAAGCTTGACTTTTGCTTTGCGATTATGCGGCGGAATCGCAACATTTTTAATGAAGATGATGTTTACTCTATCATACAGGACATGATAAACAACGTAATAATGATGAGATGCAAATTCTTTTAATCTTGAAATTGTTGCACCCCCCCCCCCCCTTTAACCTTTTAAAGGTCGTTGGCATACTTGTATGGAGGCGAAAACATATCTAAAAGTTCTTGCCAACTGTAAAATGCCAAGGAAGCGCCCACAAGCGACTACTATTAATGTGTTCCAAATATGGGAGCTCTTCAAATGATACGCTAAGCACCCAATATGACCGGATAAGCGCCCATCTTTCGATTAATCCAGTTTTCAGTGAAAGTGGGGCGGGCACTTCCCCGGTATTTTACGGTAAACGTGAAATAGCATGCACCTTGGGAGGTACTGCTATCTGTTATGCCTTCGGGAAACCATAGTTCTGTTTGCACCATGTATCACTCTGCCGGAGCTATATGTAGTTCCAAAATGAAATGTTTGGGGCACATGATACGCTCGAGATGACAAATTTGTGTGTCGGCTGTGGTGGAAATTGGAGTGCGTCCTCTTTCGATTCAGAACTCCGATGCTTCTCGGAAATAAATTTGAAGGATGAGAGCTCATCATCCGCCGGAGAAGTTCTGTACATTACCAGTACTGAATGGAAGACGGGCAAAGGCGTTTCACTCTCATTATTTCCATTCAGTGCTTCTCAATCCAGACAGCTCACGAACGCTGTACGTGCTCCAGTTAGACCAGTTTTTAAAAAGTCTGCACATTGACTCATCCTTTGAATCGTCCCCTGGAAAAACAATCCAACCACTAACGCGAATTTTTAAAATTGAAAAGCTCGACCGCAAAGGGGTTAGCTAAGACGAGACACCTTGAAAAGGGGAGGCTGTACCAACATTAAATTTACGCGGGAGAGAATAAACAAATGCAACATAACACAAAACACGTCATCTTTTAGATGTCATGTTCTGTGCTCCGCCATATTTGTTGATTCTTTTGTGCGTAAATTTAATCTTGACAACACGCTCGGCTTTTTAATAATTCTACCGACATTACTAGAGCAAAGCTGGTTGAGTCGATAGCACCCACTACGCTATCGGCTGTTTGATGGGCAGAGGCAATGGAACCAGTCGAACATGTATTGTACATTGCCTGCGATGGAAAGACTTTATTGTGCTTTGTATGGTGAACATAAAGATTACGCACAAAGAGTGAAAACACAGTGAGGGTGCAGGCGAGCTGGTGTAAGTTTACCATTATGTTAAAGCACCCGAGTCTGCCTGTGAAAAAACCTTGAAACATCCAAAACTAGATGAGACATGGAGAAAGACGTCGTCTGACTGAGTTCTTTCCCTGTCTCTTCTACTCTTGGTTGTTTCAAGGTTTTTGTAGCGTGAGCTACACTGGCCGAGGTTGAGCAGTTTCGCATGGCTCCTAAAGAGCCGTGCTGCGCGTGCGCGAGGAGCAGTGATGTCACACGGCGCACAGCTGGCGCGCCAGAGACGCCGCTGCCGCACGTGCCTCGCCAGTCTGCGCATTTCAGAGGAGTGACGTCATAGCCGTGGCAGACGCACTGGCGACGCCGCGTGCCCAGCTGTGCGCCTCCGTTGGGTAGTAGCCAAGTCTGCCGCTGCACCGGAGCCGCTTGATAGCGCCTCTCATTTTGTGCGCATGCGCAGAGGTATCAGTGTGGTATAGCCATATAACAGGGCATTTGCCAGTGTGGTATAGCCATGAAGAAGGAGGGCGAAATTGCTGCGGCGCGGAAGGGCGGAGAAGCTCAACTCATTGGATCCCGAACCTAAGCTCATGCTACGTATATCCTGGCATAGCCGACCTAAGCCACCGCAATTTTTTCACACCCAGTCTCAGGTGGTGTAACGTAACAGCAAATGGAGTGTCTTTCTCCGTTCTTTGTGAAAGCATTGCCGCCGGTGGCACTAGGAATGCTATCTGCCCCCACTTGCTCGCATGCAGGCAGTGGAGCAGATACATTTTTGAATGCCACTCTTCTGTGGAGCTTGTCAACTGATAGATCTAAGAACATTGTGCTGTACATTGTGGTTCTGTTCATGGCCAGGAGCTGGAGAAGGGCCCCACCAACGTGCAGTCGGTCCTGCGCAGGCTGTGCAGCTACTGCCGCCACCCCAGCGCCCTCAAGCGACTGGGGGCGGCTCTGGTCTTCAACAACCTCTATGTCCTGCTCAGGTGGGCACGGCGACCTCTGCATGCACACTGAGAGGTCGTGTCCTTCTGGAAGAGGCTACTTTTTAAAGCTTCGCCGGTTTTCCGAGTTACCCCAAGCTACCCCAACTAAATACATTTTCGGAATGCCCAGTCTCTTTCCAGCATCCTATTTATATTATCTTTTAATTCGAAATAGCTGTTAAAAAAAAAAAAAATAGCAAGTGACCATGCAAAGGTTGCATTCCAAAATTGACTTGATCTCACTCTAGGGTAAGGGTTTTGTACCTTGGCATTCGAAAACCTACCCGCGACCAGCTTTGTCTGTGTCCTCACGTGACACGACCCACTAAAGTAACTGGGATACAGTGTAGACCGCATATAACGTATGTCTCGCAGGGACGGCGCCAAGGGGATGCGAGGGGTGGCGGGCGCCTCCCCTAAAATTTCTTCTGCCACCCCAAGATGAAGCAGCTTTGTACACAAATAATTGCCTACGACGTCGGCTTGAAGACCCAGTGCAACGAGTGTCCAAACTTTAGAGCCGTTCATGCGTTTTATTTTTTTTTCTATTAGCTTCCAGCCACTAGAAGTCGTACCGCGGGTAGGGTGCCTTCATATCTCCCTAACCGCGGGCAAGTAAGCTATCAAGCGCTTTAGAAAAAGCAGCTTCCCTTCGTGACGCCTGCTGGCTTTTCTCCGTATTCCGCTCTGGGGTGCTTATCTTCAGCGGAGACCGGAGACGTGAACGAAGGGGAGCTTAGTTAAAGTCGAGGTCATGGGGAATTCCGCACTGTCTCAGAAAGGGAAGCAAAACCTGGTTGTGAGGCTGAGCACAGGGGGCAGAGGTCCCTGCTGTGATACACCCCCCCCCCCCCCCCCCCGTCTTCCTCCTCGTGTCTCCGCATTTCCCTTTTCAATGAGCACACCGCATAAGCTATCTTGCACAAGCCCGTGGGCGACAGCACCTCAAAGCAACCGCCCCTCCCCCTCCCCCCCCCCCAATTTGGTTCGCCTCCCCACTGCCCCCCCATTATGAAGATCCTGGCGCCGTCCCTGATGTCTCGGGAGTCGCGAAAATTTGCACTATAAGCGGTACCGCACTATAACCAAAACATCAATTTTTCAGGCCAAAATACATGCCATGAGACAACTTACCTTTGTAAAAGAATTTATTTTATGTTAGATGAAAAAATAAGCTTAGTTTGAGGAAAGTCTTTATTTCAATAGACTAGTACAGTTATGTCTCAAGTGTGTCACACATTTTAAAAGAAATTAGCGGCTTTTGCCTGGTGCAGCCTTTTAACGGCGTCGCGGGTTGCGGACGGACGTTGCGAGCGTTCAGGATTGGTAACCCTAATCACTTTTCTCTGGAGATGAAAACGCGTGAAAATTCGCATCCTTCATACGGTACGCGCCAGTAATACCTTGAACTTGAGCACACGCATGAAATGCGCCAAATAAGAAATCCGGGCGATGTTCGAGGACACAAATGCTTAGAAATCACCACTGTAGTCGAAGTAAACAAACACGATGACACGGGCGTTTCTGCCGTCTTGAGAGCGCCGCCACGACATCGCCGCACGAGTAGGTGGATCTTCCCTTCTAGTACGTGCTGGGTTATCATAGTGACACACAACGAAAATTCAGAGTCAAGGATAGCACTTTTACGCAGAACGATGAGATGCACGCCGTCTACGACGACGATCGCAACCGACGCCATGTTTGCGGAATAGAAGCACCTGGCCGGCCCGTGACCGGCATGCAACGCGCGCGAACACTTCTCCTCGACCTGCGATTGGTCTGTCGTTGCGGTTGTTGGTTTCTTTGTTTCCAACGCAGCGGAGGGACGCACGCACGTGAACGACTCGTGCGTGCGTCCCTCCGTCGCTATGGCAACTGAAGCCTCTCTCTTCGCTTCTCCCCGCGTTTTCGAGCAACCTCCTTGCCCCGCGAGTGCAGCTTGCGGCTCGCGCCGTCAGCGCCGTTATCTAGTGTCGCACAGGGAAGCGAGCTCGCTGCTCCGGTCGTCGGCGCGGTCGGCGGGCTGTGCCAAAAACCGCACTATAACCGGTATTTCCCTTCGCGCGCCTGCATTTTAAGCGGTATGTAATTACATGGAGTTCTATGGGAGGTGAACCGGTGGTTTAAAAAAACCGCGTTATACCCGGTCCTGCACTATGCGGTTACGTTGTAAGTGGTCTATACTGTATATTTAGGCAAGATTTGAAACACAGTCAAAGCGTGCTGCGATTCACAGCGGTAGCCGCTGAGTTGTGGAAAGGCATGTTGAAAGAGATTTGCCTTCAGCCAGTGTGCTGCATAATGTTCAGTCGGGTCTTTGCTTTCAGCGGAATTGATGTAGGAGACGTATGTGAAATGTGTGCTTTGGTGGGAACGATTGTGCAACATGGGGGGTTGCATGTGTCGGAGAGGATACAAAGCTTTTTTTTTTTTCGGCTGAAACGCTTTCAGAACGGGGGCGCCCAAGACTGCGCCTGCCGTGGAAGAAGTGAAAGTGTGTATGCAAGCTGTTCTGTAGGGGGCTACAGAACTGCATATGCCCTGTCCTGTGTTCCACTCATCTTGTCCTAATTTTTCTGGCATATAACCCCCTTATGCAGAGTAGAGTTTTGCCTTCGTACATTTTATTCCAGGAAAGGACACTAACAGCTACTGCCATAAAAACTGTGAATACAGGTGATGTCATAACCAACGTTAAAATTTTCTCCCTCTCTCCGATGAGGCGATGTCACACATTGCATAACTAGCAAGTCAAGCGAACAGTCTAAGAGAAACAGTATCTTGCTCATTATAATTAGAATTGAGCGTTTTCACTTTTTTTTTAAATTTCAGCATACTTTTTACAGCGGAGCTGTTGAGGGCTAGTTTTTCCAGTATCATGTCTGTTGGCAAAGAAATGTCGACACAAAACTCTGGACAGCTACCGCCATCTATGAGCGACAGCGGCAACCTTTTCAGCCTTTTGAACTCTGGTTTTCACCAGAGTGGAAAGGCTGAATTTCTCTAGGCGTCGTCCTACAAGTCATCCTCGAGGTTGTCCTAGAAGTCGTCTTTGAGGTCGTCCTCTAGGCGTCGTCCTTGAGGTCGTCCAAGAAGTCGTTCTTGAGGTCGTCCAAGAAGTCATACTTGAGGTCGTCTAGACGTCGCTCTCTAGGCATTGTCCTAGACGTCGTAAAGATAACAGTTTCGCTGGTCCTCCATCTTCACGTTAAGTGGAAGGGCTCTACATTTTTTTTTTCTATTTTGAACACATATTTTCGGTTTTTATCAATAACAACACATTTTTTTTTTTTCGGCAAACACATATTCTGGTTTTGGCATTGCTGTTTACATAAAATGAGAGGAAAATGGGCCGAAATCGCTGCTACTGCCACGCTGATTCTCGAAGAAATGCATTATCATTTTGCGCAGCGGTTCTATATACAAGAAAGCATGGTGAATGTGGCCTCTCAGCAGTTTTCCATTGGGTGAACATTCCCGAATGCCCTCTTCTCCCAGGTGCAAGCAGATCAGGTCACTTAGCCTGTGCATGAAGGACCTGCGCACGATGCGCGAAAAACGACAAAGCCATTTCATTTATTGAAAACACTAAGTGTGCAGGCGAGCTGGTGGCAGCTTGTTTCTTGTTTCACCATCTGGCACCCTTGGCCAGATACCAAATGTTGCGAACACCGTGATGTCATCAGTGATGTAACCATCGAGCCTACGTGTGTGCGCAGACACAAAAAGCCCACGTGCTGGCCTTGTAAATGTTGTGCATTTATGAAGAGGTGTTTTTGGTTTGTGCAGAAGCGAACTACGGCTGAACTGTGTAACCGCTGTAATGGGCGATTGGGTCGGCCTTCTGTGTTTGCAGGGAAGAGGAGTCGTTGGTGGACGTCTTCATTCTCGACATCCTGGCCCATTTTGTGGACAGCCTCAAGCTGGCACACTCAGACGAGAGGACCATAGGTGCGTGACTCTGAACTTGCGAGCTTGCAGACGAGCCGACACGTTTGAATCACGCTCATTTGAGACTGGAAAACGGTCTTTACTCCGCCTCTTGCACATTTTACACTTGTTCCTTCTCTCTGTGGAAACTTGGGGAAGCCGCGGAATAAGCTGCGCTTCAGAGTAATGGCAGCCATCTTGGTGCTTCAAATAACTGTTATTGGAAGCTTGATGTGAAACCACAAAAAAGGATTTTTTCATCCTTCAGACATGGTTCACACCAGATAAAAACTGGAGTTGCGGAATAAGCTACGCTTCGGAGTAACCACACCTCAGCCATCTTGGTGCTTCCGATAGTTTTTGCCATATACTCAAGCTCTCTCTGAAATCTCACAAAATGCTTTTTGGCCCTTCAAAAATGTTCAAAGCAGTCTGTGACGGAGCTAAATAGTGTTGCTCGAGCTTCCTGCCACCGTACCTAAATCCCAGGAAGTTTTAAGCTGCAACTATTAGCCCTCCGAAGGTGGCTTGGCGCCACCTGGTGACTCCTTGTCTCGACGTAGTAGCAAGGAACACATGACTGCTTCTGCGCTTCGTTGCTAGCGTGTAGGTATCTTTCACAATTCATGTTGGATTTGTTGACTAGAACGAGAGTTTAGGGTTGCTTTTGACCTACCGTAATATACTGTGGAAGTGCCCACTTCGTCAAAGCACCCACTATTACCATTTCCCAAACATGGGAGCTCTTCAAATTATACGTTAAGCGCCCAATTTGATTGGACAAGTATCCATGCCTAGATTAAACCAGCTTTCAGTGAAAGTGGGGTGGGTTCTCCCCCGGTATTTTACGGTAATTCTTTCGTCATACTTCTCATCAAAACTAGACTAGAGCAGTGCAACAACAGTGGCGTCGCGGCTTACGGAACAGGACCCAGCTGACTCGGTTTTGTGTTATAATACTGACCACGACCGAAATCGTTCGTCGTCTTGGTTTCAGAGGCCTGTCAAGGGACCAAACGGGCAGATTCTGGGACGGCATGGTTCCTGGGGCGAGTTTTCTTTCTAAGGCGAAAGCCTTACTTGTCCCATTATGCGAAAGCCGTCGGCGTTGTCCTCGAAAGATGGTTATAAAACTATGTCATCAAGCCTTAGACATAAAATGCAAAGAAAAGCACAGCCACGCAGGTGCTTTATTTATTTATTTATTGGAAGTACCCTCAGGGCCTGAAGGCCTTACAGAGGGGGAGAGCACATACATGAAAAGGAAGATAGTAAAACAGTAACGAGTCCACAATATTAAATGTACAACAGACAAAGAAAAACGAAAGGTGATGGGTCGCTGCTAAATTAGTTAGTGATGGAATTTCTAAGCAGGTTAGGATCAGTTATGGCAGCAATCAACCCGGGGAGGTGGTTCCATTCTTCGGCTGTGTGTGCGGTAGAGAAAAAGATTGAAATGTTGTGGTCAATGAACTTGGAACTCCAACTTTGTGCTGATGGTCAAGACGAGATGAAATGTAAAAGGGGGGAGTAATCAGCTGATTGTGTAGGAGAGGTTCATGAAAATACATTTCATGAAATAGACACAGGCGTGAAATCTTACGGCGCGAAGAGAGAAGTGGTAAAGATAAACTATTCTTCATTGATGTGGCACTATAGCGATACGATGGTAGTTTGTCACGGTAGCCATCGTGAGGCCGGTGGGTTTCGCCTCACCGGCGCAGTGGGGAGAGCGCTGTCGCCAACGGAGCGCCGTGTGTGAAAGGAAGATGTGGCAAGCTGCTTGTATGAATGTGCTGTGCGTGTAGGAATGCTTTCGCACTCCTACACGTAAGCAGCCTTACGTGTCTTCAGTGAGTTTTTTCCCAGCCTGTCGGAAACAGGCAGAGCAAATAGAAACCAATCGCGAGGATGGCTGAGCACGTGTTGAACTTGGCATTCCAGTCGCCGGTTCTTTTGGTACTTTGCTCACGCAGTTTTAGAGAGACACGAGAAATGAAGTGCACATACCACATTATGCGAGGGTAATCCATAGCGTGTTTATTTGAGCTTTACGTCGAAGAAAGCAGCAAATAGAATTGACGAGTGTGTCGCTGCCACGACAGCATCCGCCACCACCGCACAACACTCCGAAAATAACGAGGGGACGTCGAAGGGATGACTCACCTCCTAACCAAAAGATCTAGGTCAAGGTTCAAACTATTTATACAAAACAAATACACTTAAAAAATAAAAAAAAGATTGTGTGATCAAAATTATTTAACGAGGCTGCCGGTCGTAGGCAGCGAGTGGCGAGCGCCTTGCTAGGCCTTCCTATTAACTTGAGCGACTGCTGAAGCTGTTGGGATTGTTGTTGTTGCTTCCGGAATCCGTGAATCGAGGGGCCTTCACTGAGAATTGTAGTTTTGATTACGTATTTCCCTGCGTTTGCTGCTTGAAGGTGGGAAGCACGCACAGAGCATGGAGAAATATTCTCATTGGTCCCCGCTTCGAAGCATCCGAGCGGTGTTGGTGGCCACGAAGCTGTCGTAGGATTCCATCGTAACTTACACGGAACTTCGGATTGTTTCTTTTGGCGTATTTGGATTTGTTTTTAGCTTTCATCCTACGCTCGTTTTGCGTGACAGCAAAAACAAAATACACTTAGCGAAGAGTTTCTGCTGTTACGCACTACAGCACACAACCAAAGCGAAACAAAGTACCTTGCCTCATCACGGGGGTCACTACATCACCATCGAGCGATTGCAGCGGTCCAGTCGGCCTTGCTCGGGGCTAATTGCCTCCTGCACCGACTCTGCAGTAGGCAACAAAATGGCGGCACCCACTCGCGAGACTGTGGAAGAACAAAGTGTTGAGATTGTAAGCACAGCAGTGGCTACAAGTGGTCCCAACTGGTCTGTTACCAGAGATGGCTGTGCATATTTTGTAGCTAGAAGTTTTGGAGTATCTAACGCGTACAATGTATTGCTGCAGGGACGAGAGAGCTGTCGGGTTGCGCCTTGGACAACGTCCTGCGGATTGTTTCGACCAAGAGCGAGCTGCTGAATCGCCCAAACGTCAAGCGGAAGTGGCCCTCGTGAGTTAGGTCCAATGCAAAGGTCGTTGTTGACGATGGGCTCTACATTTGCCCAATCACAGTTTTGCCAATGACGATAAAGGGGTACAGCTTAACCCAAATATGTTATGGTCTGGCAAAGTTTTGGAAATAATCTGGGTATACCATTTAGATGTGACGGGTGTACGAGAAAACTGAAGAAAAATATTAGTTTACACGTTGAGGAGAACCGAGCATTGATTGGGATTCCGCTGGCTTCCGTCGGCAAGCAATAAAAAAAGGTACAAATGTCAATCGAGGCCCAAAACACAGTCCCGGTTTGTTCAGTTCTGGTGGGGTGTCACCCTCTGCGATGGCCCGCGGTTGTGATCATCTTCGATGGCTGTGGGTCTCTTGTTTCTTTGTCGAGGAGCTGGAAGAGCAATATTGAAATGGTTGGGGCAGTTTCTATAGGGCTAGGAGAACTTTGAAGTTGGGGAAAATCTCCGGCAAGGTGACTTCCACGTGTTCTGCAACTAAGTGGACCACTGCACACCCAAAAATAAAGAAAAATGGAAAACGCACGTGATACTTGGAAAGCTCTGGATACAAAATGGTGGTTTACCTAAAAAAATTTAGATTTGCAAACAATACCCTCGTATCACGTGGGTTAAGGTGTGGGAGCTTTATGTACACTCGCTGGCAAGGTGGCTCCACCATAGTCCACGACCAAGCGGACTGGACCGGACCCATCTGTTGACGATATGTTAAAAACATAAAAGGTAATAAAAAGTATACCTCGAGAGCGCGCAACATGCCAGCGCACAACCAGTTCAGTGCGCGTCAGGAGAGCACTATCAGGGCCGATAAATTGAGTGTAGCATCGCAATCAATGTTCTTTCTTTGTTTCCTGGTGATGGCAGTTGATGCACTGGAAAGATGGCCGAATCCAGCCGTAGCCTCTTAGATTTACCTCAGTGTACAATTCTGTCCTGGACCATTTTCTAAAAGATGATTTTGGACAGAATTTATTTTTCCCTCACCACGACAGGGTCAGTCGATTGGGCTATTTCTTTGCACTGGTTGGCATCTAAATCTAGCGATGGTCGTAGCCTAAGGTTACTTTTGGGGAACATTCTGGATAAAGCGAGTGTGTTTCAATTTCGAGTGGTAAAAATACAGTCAAACCCGGATATATCGAATTCAAAGGGGATCTCGTAAAAGAGTTAGATGTATCGATAATTTGATATACAAAAATATGTTAACTTAAGCTCCAGTTGAAATTTCCGCGCGTCTCTGCTAATACCGAAGGCTGCGACAAACGGGACCTTACCAAATAGAGCCTCTAAGAGCCGTTAAATACAGAACAGCTTAGTTGGTGAAGATCACAAACACCGCTGCGTTTACGTGACGGTGTCTATGACTTCTACACAGCGCCGGTAACAAAACACAGGCAGTTGCGTCTACCATCCTCAAAACTTTCCGCGGCGTGCACATGCGTTCCCGTGACGCTCGCTCAACTGGCTGCCCAATTCGTCTGCTCTAACAGCGTGCATTCTCGTTTTGCGGTGCGCTCGTGTCGCACGCTTTATCGTCGGCGCTATAGCGTCTAGCGGTCTCGAGTTGTACAGCCAAAATAAATGCGTGGAATAACCGATGAGCAGAGATTCACTCTATTTGAAAAACAGCGCGAAAGACACAAGGACAAGAAGGAGGGACACAGGACGAGGCGCTGTCCCTCCTTCTTGTCGTTGTGTCTTTCGCGCTGTTTTTCAAATGGATTCTTACCAACTCGCCCAACTTTCTATTCTAGTAAGATTCACTCTTGTTTACCCAACGTTCAATGAACGTGATTCCAGCTATGGCTGTCGATAATGCATGGACTAACTATGGCAGCGAGACAATTGTCTCACGTGCCACAGAGTTCACGAAGAGCTAGGCCCGACCCCCGGGCCTACACTTGTGCTTGCACTGTCAACCGTCGAAACACCTCACTTGGGCGACTTTGCACTCGCCCGAATCCTATGCCGACATTCAGGGGAGAGTCTCGCACCCTCTAGTGCACCACCTTGTTTACCGAATGACAAGGAGCTTTCTCCCAGCCACTACCAGAGGGCGTCAAAGTACCATCTCTCGCCCAGAAGGGCAAGTGGATGCCAGGGGGCCACTTCACTCTTCCGATCCACTAGGTGGCTACGGACCACCCAGTCGCGTCTGGGATGGGGCAGTTAGTTGCCACCTTCCGAGCACAAAGCCACGGAGAGTGGTGCCATAAAGTGTTGCAACGGTCAGATGGCGCATTGCCCGTCCAGGGACACTGGTGGCGAGCCCGTGGTCCTCTCCACGGTTGTCCGGTGGCTGCTGCTGCAGACGAGCTGTCCCCAGGCGGACTGCCGCCACAAGTGCATGGAGCTGGTGCATGCGCTCATCCCAAAGCTCCTAGGTAGAGGGGGCCCCTTGGTGCTCGTGCTTCTTTCTAGCAAGAATGCAAAGTTGGACTAGTCGTGGAAAACTGCAAAGAGAAAACGGACAAAGAACAAGGACTGACAGTACGAAGTGACTGTCGACTGAATTTTTATTAAAAATACTACGCAAAACACATTACTCCTGCTCCGTTATAATCGACACTTCCAATAGATACGATGGTGGGGATTTGAGGTTGAGAGTGTTTGTTTTGTATTCTCAAGGAAGATTGGTAGTGTTGAATACATCGTAGCAGAAGTCACGTGTTGTGTGTATTTCTAATAAACATTCATTTGATAGTCAGCACTTGGTCCCGTCACTTCTTGTTCTTCATTCATTGTCCTTTCGCGCTGTTTTCCATTACGCTCATTTCTAGAGCGGTCTGAGATTCTTTGTGGCATCTTTGAGGCCCGTTCACACCTACGGCACGTCTCTAATCTAGTGCTAATGTAGCTCTGGAGCTGCGCCGAAGTAGCGCTTGTGCTGTCCCTTTCATGTTCCTGACCTATTGTGCTATTTTATATATATGATGTTCAATCAACTAGCCCAGCAATTGATTTTAATTCGGTGCTTACCTTAGTATTGATGCAGCTGTGCTATAGCAGAGGTGAGTAGTTTCAGTGGTGCCATTCTCTGTTTTGAGCCGGTGACTTTGGCAGAAACTGGGTTTCATACTTAATCGATTCCAACGCGCACCCGGGTTCCATATTCACTATCTTGCATGAGTTGAAATGTGATGGCACCAGTGTGTGCCCCCAACCACTTCTGGTTCTGAACTAGATTTTGCAGGAGGTCAAATATATCTTGAACTTCTAGCGAGACTTCGCCCATAGGCCGTCGATCACCGGTGATTGATGGTCTCCAAGCGCCGTCAAGAAATTCAATTTAGTGTGGAGAATTAGGCTCCACAATCCCATGGATAGCCGAAGAACTCTAGTTTGAATTTCAACGTAGGTTTGAGCTTTATCACAAGCTCGTGGACTGTCAGAAACAGTCCTGGGGACTGGGGTTGCACTTTTCTAACATGGCTAACTGGTTCCATCAATATTTGTAATGAAGATGGCATTATTTACATAATTCAACTGTATTGTGACATAATTTTTTTCATGCGCACTGGGAATAATTTAAATGATATTATAGGCCTCACTTAACAGGTGTTTGTCGGTAAGCATCTCAACCATTTCCAATGCTGCCCTGAGCGAGCGCGCACGTTCCATGTTCCCAACGAGGTGGACAAAAATGCTAAATATAGAGCTACAATCAAGGCTGTGACAAAGCCAAGGTAGAACACAAAAAAAGCATTCTGCTGGGGATGTGAGGTGTGCTATTTGTGTTTCACCAATACAATAAAACCTCGTTATAACAAAGTTGAAGGAGCAGTCATAATTATTTTGTTATAACCATTAGTTTGTTATAGCCAATGTCCATTTCTTCCCACTATTAGCAAGCAAGGGCAATTATGATTGCTTTGTTATATCCATTAGTTTGTTATATCCCGTTTTGTTATAACGAGGTTTTACTGTATAAGCATTCCTTTGTTGGAAACCTCTCGCGTGTTACGGTGGCTAAGTCTTCGATGAACCAAAAATAGACAATGTTGGTCAGAGTACACTAACTTTCAGAAGTAATAGCTGCGGGTGTGGGGCACATTTTCTGTATTCTGAATTTTTTTTTTTTGTCATTTAATTTACGTAGCTTTAGAAGTTTTGGAATTTATATGTTTTCCGGCTCCACACATATATTGTACTTCCAAGAAATAAAATTTTAAAATCTTTTTCCCACATTATACCAACCTTTGTTTCTTTTGAAAGAGCAACTAATTGGTCACATTTTGATGTGTCATATTGCTTCATATGCAAATTAGTCAGGAAAATAAAATTGTTTGCACGAATCTTTAGAAAATTTCTACTTTCCCCGTGGTCAGGAAAGAGTTCACTCTTACGATAAGAGAATGATGAGTAGCAGATGAGGAAATACATATACGTACACCGGAAGTGGAGATACCCGATAGATGGCACCACTGAGTTTGTTGCCAAACAAAAAAGGGCGAATTTTGATAGGAAGAAAGTCAAATTTTAAAATGCATATTCTCTTTTTGTGTTTAAAACCGTGGCGGGGGCATTGTTTCCTCCACTTTGGATGGTGGCGCTGCGAAGTTAAAGGGGCACTAAAGAGGACTCTGCGATCGTCTGTTCTTGGTCATAACTAATACATGGGCCCTAAGCATTCTAAAAATTCAAGAATTACGATTGTGCGACGCCAATTTTCTTAACAAAACGCGATGAAAGGTTGGTTCACGCCCCCTTTCTGAGCGGATTCTTCCACTCGGGAAAGGCGGGGCATACCCCAGCAGCGGTGTGAGCGTGGTGACGATCGTCGGCCAATCGCAACCGCCTTTCCGAGAGGAGCGGCTTGCAATTGAGGGGCGACTTGCGAGAGGCGACGTCGCATTATTGTAATTTTTAGATTTTTAGGATGCTTAGGGCCCGTAGAAACAGATATGACCATGAACAGACGATCGCACATTCCTCTTTAGTGCCCATTTAGTGGCAGCTTTTGTTTGTTTATTTGAAGTGCACAGGGTGACCACATTTCTGGGACGCGGATTGAGTGGATTTGGGGGAAAGGAACGACACACAGCTGTCAAGCTGCCATCTTGTTTATAAAGCGAAGAAGGGGGGTAGAAATGCAAACAAAAGGGGAACGGCTGTGCGACTTTAGCGCAGGATTCGTGGCGCCATCTGGTAACGGTTCATTACACTACTAACAGCTTTTTCGTTTCACTTCAAGACAAATTGAATAAGATCTTGCATACAGTATTGGGAGGTTTTTTCTTTTCAGGGGCGCCGAGCCACCAGAGCTACATGTCGTCTCTCTTGCGCGGCAATTCACCCGGTTTCTTTGTGGAGAGGCAAGTGCCATTTTCGCCATTCTTAGCTTTGTTCATTCTACAGTCAGTCAGCGGTTGTCTGAATGGCAATTCGAGGTATATAGTCAAATGCCTTTATTACGAACGCCTCTTCTATAAAAACTCCCTTTTAACGACGTCAAATCCAGTCTTGGCCTCTCTCCTATGTGTTCAATGTGTTTCCCTGACTACTACAACAAATTTCTGTTTGACAAATATTTCTATTTAACGAAGCAATAGCACGGCCCCACAAAGCAAAAATCACCAGGATCACGAACTTTGTAGGCGAAAAGTAGTTTATTTCACGTAAAGTGTCGCTTTGAAGCAGGGGCGGATGCAGGTATTTCCAGAGGGTGTGGTCAGGTGTTGATCAGCGTTCCATAAGTTTAAGAATACCCTCCTCCCCGTTTCCACACCCTCAATTTTTACACATGCAGAATTCAAGAGAGGAGTCCAAGCATCTGACCCCCCCCTTTAAGTCCGCCACTGCTTTCAATTGACGGGTGCTTTCAATTGACGGGTGTAGAAAATGAAAATACGGCGACCACCTCCACCGTGCTGCCTCTGCCTCCGCCGCGGAACCTTCGTCCCCCCGCCCCCCCCCCCCCCCCCCTCCCACACGTTTTTGGGTGTAAATATATTGCTATACTCCGTTTCAAACATAGCGTGCTACACTGGGAAAGGTACTGAAGTAGTGCGCATGAAAAAACACAAAAAAAATGTGTCACTCCGCGCATTTCGTGGACGAGCGGTACAAGGCGCTGCTCTGGCGATACCGACGTCTCGGTGGCGGTGGTTCGAATCCACTTTGGGCGCAAAGGTTTTTTGTTTTTTTTCGGACGTATTTTTTTGTGCAAAATTGTGCGCATTGAGATAGCGTATATTTCAATTCCTATTTTCTCGTTGCTTTTTATTTATAAGGGGGTAGACTAGGGGCTGGTGCCTCGTTTGAACCCCGCGCCGGCCTCGTCAAAACGGAAGAACGATCGAGATCCAGGGCGTCTCTGTTTAAAGCCGTTTATTTACATGGCAGCGTGAAAATCAGAAAGTACCTTGAGAGTGCGGTGGACGGTCCTTTATACAACGAATACTGGGATTAGAGGACCGCACTGCCATTGGTCAGACGGCTTGGCGTTCCCTCGCGTGATGTGACTTCATGGGAGTTTCCTTCAGAGTCCAAATACTCGCCGTTGTATGGAAGTCATCCAGACGGCAGTATCTCGCTGCTCTGGTGCCGGCGCCCCCATGAACCGGGAGTGATTCACAATAGACGTGTACACAGCACACGGCACTCGAGATCAGGATCGAGTGTTGTTTCCTTTTCCGAGGAAAGCAGGGGCCTCGGAATACAGGCACGGTCATGTGTGTCGTCCACTTAGCCGACCAAGGTTAAGGTGCCTCAGGCAGACGGAGCTGACCGAGGTTACGGTCCCGCAGGCAAACGAACCCAGACGCTTCAGAATGCAACCACAGGCATCGTCCGCTTAGCCGATCAAGACGAAGCCGTATTCATCACCGACACGGTTCCTTCTTGAGGCTTGTTTCACTTTGAAGCCACAAGGCCGATTTTAACACCAGAAATTACAGAAGGCAGTTCACACCACGGTCCGCGTGCTCGAAACTTTCACGTTGCGAGGTCCTCGCTTCGGGGACGCCACCTTGCCAGACACTCCGGTGTCGTTACTGACCATCTCCAGGACTTCACGAACCGACGTCTCCGGGAAACGCGTTCTCGAACTCGCGTACACGTTGGCGATCACCTGCTTGCACTTTTTCGAGATCTTCACACAACGAATCTCCGAAAATATCCAAGCAGGAGAGGAAAGCTTCCCTGCGTAAGACGCCATCTTCTCAAAACCGGCGAGGCAGGGCGGCAGGGGAAACCGCTCAACCCGAAAACCCGAAGAGACTGCCGCATGGACGAAAACGGAAAACAATTTAAACTTTGGAGTAGTTTACATTATTTTTTTCCTTTTTATTGAAAAATATCGGTGTTCCGTCGAAATCGTAACGCTACTATCAGTTACTAGCTCCAAAAATGCACATTTTACGACTTTTTTTTTTTTTTTTTGCTGGGGCAGCACTATTTTATGGGGTAAAAGTAGGCAGTTGGCGGTGCAAACCGGTGCGCTAGCTTTGACTGCGTTACACGCTATGTATGAAACGGAGTATAGTATGCAACCGTGTGTCTAGATGGCACTCCATGACTACGTTGCTGCCAAATGCCCTCACAGTTCGTGCATACTTCCGTTTTGCTCACGCCTTCGAGTACACGCCATTCCATTCCAAGATGAGTTTTTTCTCAATGCTCTGCCCGAGCAGTGCACACACTTGTTTTCTTATTTTGCATGTATGTCGAAGCACGTGAAAGGACCTGCGCAAACGAGGATTATATATATTAATGAAAATATTTTCATGGGCAGTTGCAACTTTTTGTGCTGTCTCTGCATTTGTTTGACCGACCCGCCGATCTTCGTCAGGATTCGCCACGATTCCCAATCTTGCTTGATGCAAGTCCCAAATTGTTCCACCTTGGAGCAATAATATACGGTCAAAAAAACGTGATCTGTGACTCTACCCGAGGTGAGAAAATTTTAACGTAGTCAGAAGAGTCGTGCAGAAGGAAGCACGCCCCCTCCTTTGTGCCGGACAGGCGTGAAAAAGAGCCCAGTCGGCTCGGTTGTGCGCCTCTCCCCATTCTCGCTCCTCACTGCGCGCTGCTGCTGTCACATGCCGAGTGCGTGACTGATTCTGTTGTGCCCGCTCCTACGCCATCTAGTGACTCTACATGCAATGGAAAGCAGCGCTGCCCCTTCGAGAGCCTCCTCTGAACGACACGTGGTGGCGGAAGCCGCTGCCCGATTTAGGAAAGGCAAAATCTATGCAGTCGGTGAACACCTTTCATTCGCTGCGTGGTCAGGGGTCGATGTTTGGGGTTTAGTGAATATTGCGATTCATATTTTGATAAATCGGTTAAGTTTGTTGTGCGGAACTTTGGACAGCTGGAAATTAGTCTGCAGCTAGGAGTGCCGGGTGTTTTAGCTGTATATGACAAACTTTGCCAGTGGCGGTAATCGTGGTACGACCACTAGCATACTGTCTTTAAATTGCATCATGCAGTGTGGAGTACACAAACGTGTACCAGTACAATTTAAGAAAAAGAAGGAAGATCGGCGGAGCTGTACAGTGGAAAGTAATGGCCGGCCACAAGTCAATAAGCCAGAGTGGAAAGGCTGCCGCCATCTATGAGCGACAGCGGCAACCAGATACTTAGCTTGCCGCCGTCGCTCATAGATGGCGGTATGTGTCCAGAGTTTGGTGTCTTCATTTCTATGCGGGGACACGATCCTGGGGAAACTAGCCCATAACAGCTCTGTTCTAAAAAAAGGAAAGTGATAATTGAGCCTAAGATGCTTCTTCAGTGCGAGCTTTCGCCCCACGTGCTCCGAGCTCTGATGCGCTAGCAGACTCGGCCACCGTTCCATTCTTTAATGACTCGATTTTCAATGTCCTCGTTTTTGATGTCACTCATACTATATTTGAAGCTATACTGTTTCCCAAAACTCCTTGAATGAGGTACATCAATACTGTAAAACCATTAATGTTCGCGAGCCCTCAATTTTCGCAAATTTCACGAATTGAAGAATTCGCGAAATTTAAGGGCGCGCGAAAATTTCGGTCCTTAAGATTTTCAATGCAGGCGTCTGGAATTCGCGAAATTTAGTGGTCGCGATTATGTCATCTGTGACCGATTCGCGAAAAATAGGGGCCACGAAAATAAAGGGTTTTACAGTATGCAACAACACAAATTCGGTTTCACCTGATAGATTTTTTGCACTCAGCTACTACAACAAAGTTTTCTGCACTACGAAAGATTTCACCAGGCTCGTAGGCTTCGTTATAAAGGCATTTGACCGTACCGCCTTGTTCTCTTATTTTTTCTTATAAAACGCTGTGGGAGGAAACGTGGATTATAACATATTTTTTGTTTCTTTCATTTCTGGAAGGAAGTACCATATTGGCCTCTTTTCGTGAATTTATCATCGAAAGAAAGCCAACTTTTTTTCGCAAAATCTTTAGTGGGCATATTTTACGTCATATCTTCTAGTAGTTGTGCACAGAAGGTAGCTTCCGAGCAGTTGCTGGCAGCACACTTTGGCATTGTCAACACCTTGAAGCCTACCAGCCTGCGCTGTGCGACACCGGTGTGACAACAAATTGCACCAATGTCGTATCGGGTGTCAACAATGCTCCGACACATTTTTCTCTGTCTTCAATAGACAGCAACCCACTGCAATTGAAATGGAAAGAGTAGTTCTTAAGTTGAATAATTTTGCTGTGAAAGTTCTTTAATTTACCTATGTATTCATTGAGCTGTTGACATTGATTTGGCAAGTCAGGCTCCAGAAGGATTTGCGGGCATAAAAAAAACTGGCAGCACTCCCTGTCATATGACAAACTGTTGTTTCGAGCATTGTTTTCTAAATCCATTGTCACCCAGTTTTGAAGGAAACTTGGCAGCATCGGAACGACCTTGGGCGACTCTCTCGGCCGTCTGCAAGTTCTGCGACCAGCTCCTGGGTCTTCTGGAGTGCTACACCTGGATACTTGAACAGCGTCTGCTAGAACCCAAACATCTCTTCGAGGGTGAGCTGCACCATTCAAGAGGCAGTGTTTGAAAGGGGAACACTGCTTCGAAAGTTGTTTTTATATAACGTGGAATTAAATACAAATACAATTTTTCTAAATTATTTGCCTTTACAATCTGTTTAGAAGTATCTATTTGGTTTAGATGGAGCATTATTAGTTTTGTTGCAAAGATTATAGGCAGCATTAAAGACAAATCAAATAATAAAATCAGAAAATCAAAACGAAGGGACAACTGTACAGTTCTCCCTTCGTTTTTCATTCCTTTTCTCAAACTTACCTCTGTTCTTAAAAAAAAAAAATTGTCTTATGTTAAAATTTAAAGAAAAATGTTCTTTGAGAGATTATTATAAAGGCATCGACCTGTACTCGTGGTCGACTTATATTCGAGTAAATATGGTAGCTATAGCAGCATTGGAGCACTGTGGAAACTATGACAAAGCGAGACAAAAAGTTGACACCAAGTGTAGAAGCTGTATTCGACGTTGCAGGTGTCGTTAACGTCGGGGGTAATTGACACGAAGCTGGTGCTTCATTCTCACACAGTTCCCAAAAAACCAAGCAGACTGTTTGGCATGGTGGATCACTTCCTCGAGCACCTTGCTGTCTGCGAGAGTCCGCAGGAACTCTTGCGGGATGTGGAAAGCGAACCACTCACTTCATCCAAGCTCTCTGCCTTTAACCTGTGAGTCCTACCTTTTTTTTTTTTGTTACCAGCCTCCCGGAGTAGCAAAGTTAGTTGTACATTTTCTGCTTGAGTACCAGCAACGTTGGCAAGGCCCGCAGGCCTCCGTATCTTTTTCGAGTCCATTTAGGTTTAAATAATTTTAATTTAGTTTCACTACAAGCTCATTTCTTTTTGGTTTACTACTTTCACCAGATCATATCTGTTATAATCTTTTATCACTTTAAAATATGAATCAATACCAGATTGAACTAATCAACATTTAGTGTGAAAGTTTGTGTAGTCAATTTTCTAAATGAGAAATATTTTTCACTGAGCTGTGTATGTTGGCTTGTCCTTGCTTTGATCACCTGACACAGATTTCTTTTATAAAATTAGTCAAAAAGCTTTAGTTCAACAGTCGCCAAAATGCAGTGACATTGGATATTTTTTTATTTATTTTATTTTAAAATACGAGGAACATTTCAATTTGTGAGGTCTTATAATTTTTTCACTAAAATGTAGGGGTGTGCGAATATTCGAGTTCCGAATTCGAATCGAATAGTGATTGGCCGAATAATTCGATTCGACTTTCGAATTTCTTCTATTCGAGTTTTCGAATAATTCGACACTTCGGATTTCAGTATTGTTAGAAAAATCGGGATTTATTCACGAACGTTGCCAGTATCATGACGTAGTGCTCACAGGCCTCTGCTAGATTTAAACCAAGCTAGCGTTCCAGGAAGCTTGGCTGACTTACCGTTTCGAGAGAAAGTGCTTCAATTCTTGTATTCCTTTAAACCAAATGGTCGTGATCGAGCTTCTGCGCCGCGGCTCCACGGCCGTCGTCAAACCACACAAGCCGCCATTTTGAAGTTGTGTTTCGCGGTTTCGCAACGCCTCCCACCTGCTGCCAGTTATGTACACTACAAACTTAGTTAAAACACAAATTAACTTAATCATAGAGCTTGTCATAGAGCATCAAGAAAAACCGAAGACATTTAATGAAAACAGAAGCTTTTAGCTGTTAGCGGTACTGGCTCAATGACGCAAGACGCTACATCCAGCTTTCCACGGTTTAGGCTAGATGGCGCAAGTTGCCGCCTGATACAGAGATGGCAGCATTTCACGCTACCACATATCTATCGGTTTTGGTTTGTCACATTCGTAGTTCCACGTGGTTCGTCCTTTCCGCGTCGCCATTTCCTGCTGTTTTTTTACGTGTTATTTGTTCATTCTTGTGCTGTGCCCGGTATCCTCTTGGTATGAATCCCAATGAAGAAAAGAAGAGAAGTTTCATATGGACTTTTTTTGAAAAATCAACTGCGTGCTCTGCAGTTTGCAAAGCATGCAACTCGACTCTGAAAACACCCTCCAGCACAACGAGCCCGCTTGTCAATCATTTGAAAAGCAAGCATCACGCGCTCTACTTGCGGTTTCTTGAGTCGTCCGTGAAGCAGAAGAAACGTAAAGATGAAGATCGAAGCCAGCCAACCTTGCTGGCTTTGAACAAGCAGAAGGGTCAGCTCTCAGAAAGTGTGAGAAAGCAAACCACTATGTTCATCGCGCGGATGATCGCGCTGGATTTTCAGCCGTATGACATCGTCGAGAACAAGGGATTTCAAGAGCTAATCCACCATCTCCAGCCGCAGTACAACATCCCTCACAGGACTACGTTTTCCAGGACGATAGTCCCTGAGCTGTACAAGAGTACAGTGGACACGCTCAAGGCGGAAATGTCCGCGGACCTTGGAACAGGGTTGGAGTCGATCACGTTCACTGCAGACATGTGGACCTCAAGGGCCAATCAAGGGTACATCTCCCTGACATGTCATTACATGACACAAGGTTTTGCTATGAAGGCCTTCACATTGGCATGCACACATATGCCAGAAAGCCACACTGCAGTCAACATTCAGAGCTGCCTAACTGCAATCGTCCAGGAGTGGGCTCCTAACCTCAACAGTGTGCCTGTGTACGTGGTCACAGACAATGGCCGCAACATCCGAGCCGCAGTCCGCCAGATGGAGTGGACACCTCTTCAGTGCATGGGGCACACATTTCAGCTGGCAATTAAAGATGCCAAAGATGAAACTCCTGCTGTGTCTCTGCTCTGCAAAAAGGCACGAGCCATAGTGGGACACTACAAGCACAGTGCCCAGGCAACACAACGGCTCAAGGACTGCCAGAGGCGCATGGAGCTGCCTAGCACAAGCCTCATTCAAGACGTCGACACTCGATGGAACAGCGAGCATGCAATGTTGAGTCGTCTGGTGCAGCTCAAAGATGCCGTGTCACTTGAAATGGCAACATCAGAAACGAGCGTCACCTGTCTCTCAGGAAGTGAGTGGAATGCTGCAGAAAGCCTGGTCCAGATCCTGAAGCCTATTGCAGATGCGACCATTGATCTGGGCGGCCAAAAGTATGGAACCCTTTCATCTGCCATACCATTTCTTTATGGGGCAGAGCAAATCTTGAAGAGGTACTCTGCCATCGAGAGCGAAGTCGTAGCTTTTGCAAAGAACTTGCTTAAGAGCCTGAAATCTCGGTTTCCTGTCTACATGGAACAGAAGGAACTGGTGCTGGCCACTCTGTGTGACCCAAGATTTAAGGCCATTTTCTTCTCCACGTCGTACGACCATACACGGGCTGTTGAGCTGCTGGCGGCGGAGATTGCTGATCGAAGTCGTCGCATCGACTCTTCCCAGCAGTCCAGCAGGCAGGAACTTTACTGCCAGCCATCGACCAGCTCCAAGGACATCCCAGTGACAGTCTGGGAGACGGTTGAACTGTTGGCTTCACAAAAGAGCCAATGCAATAATGCCAGACCCTACAGCCAGGAGGTTGAGAAGTACTTCAATGAACCACTGCTCCCCAGGAAAGATGACCCCTTAACCTACTGGAAAGAACACGGAGCTGCGCTGTATCCTGGCATTGCAAAAATTGCTTTGAGGTACCTCCCTATCCCAGCTACAGAGGTGCCCAGCGAGCGCATGTTCTCCACAGCGGGCAACACAGTGACAACGCGCAGAGAAAACCTGAAGCCTGCACACGTGGAGCAGCTTGTGTTCCTGCATGACAACTTGTAGTTCACAAGAAGCTGTGTCCCGCTAACTGCAGGCTACCTACCTAAGCAATGTTTTTGTGTATTTAGAATAAAAGTTGATATTTGACCACTATTCGATTCAAATTCGATTTACAAGTTTGAATATTCGGTATTCGATTCGAAATTCGAATTTTTGGCCACTATTCGACACTATTCGATTCGAATTCGATTCGAGCTGAAATTTCACTATTCGCACACCCCTACTAAAATGTGAGCTGGTAGAGCATGAGAGGCTTCTTAAAAAAATGAGCAGTCCCACATTAATGCACAGTAAATAGCTGTGACGCATCACGACAAAGTCGTTGGGCATCAATATCGCATTCACGCACTGTGGGGTCTTGACGGTGAAGTCTCGATAGACCCTTTGTAAAAACCCCCGAAAGGAATAACGGATGTCCTCGGTACGCTCCTCCCATTGTCTTTTCTCAAGCTACCACGTGACATACGCTGGCAGGCGCGGGCTACCAAGGCAACAACATTCGAGCAGCCGAGTCGGGCAAGTCGGACGAGCGAAAGGGGGAGAGGGTATCGCGTTGCCTATCTTGCAAGGCCACCCCTCTCTCATCCCTCTAAATACTGAATAAAAGGTTAAAAAGCGCGAACAAACAGGGACAATAAAGAAACACTGACGACAACACAGCTGCTTCACTCTCGACCGGTTTTTATTAACGCCATTGTCACCTATATATACACATTGCCCAAACCACATCAGATTCAGTTGCCACAATCGGAGCCAACCTTCCAGAAACACCATCTCACTCTGAAGCAAATACAAAGACGGAGCGCTGACACAAATGTTTTCTTTCTTTTTTATGTAGAATACCTCTATAATCTCTCTTTCCATTTTTTCCTTTGCCTTTCTTAAAAACCTTGTGCAAGTCAGGTCAGGTTTAAACCCACATCGCCTACAATGGTCAGCGAGATGGCCCCCTGCATTGTTGCGCACACAAAATTATGTTCTCGTGCTCTATCATTGAAGCAGCGCCCAGTCTGCCCAATGTAGACTCTGCCACAACTAAACGGAATCTCGTACACCATGTTGGTGACGCACGGAGTATAATGCACCGCGTGTTTCTTGGAGCACGGTGCTTTTTTCTGCCTTGTCAACATCGGACATATCCTGGCAAGTTTACACGGTGTCGAAAAAACCACGTTAATGTGGCATCTACCAGCTACTTAAATTTTTAGATTATGAGACACGGCATGCATGTACAGAATGACTTGCACTCGTTTCCTTTCTTTACTTGCCTCGCTGCCTTTTTTACTTCTTTTTAGCTTTTGAAGAAGCCTCTCACAACAACTAGAGATTAGGTTAGGGGGGTACCCCGCGTCTAACCTTTTTGATTGTCGTTCAAAACTGATTTTCATCTGATGATTGCAACTTTTTTCCAGAGCCACACTTAGACATGTCAAGGCTATACCCCTTGTCGGCGGTGTGTTCGAAAGCGCCGGAGAAGGGACGTCCGGCGCAGAGCTTAGACAAAAGGCATACATTCTCTTATATCGCGCGGCTCCCGAGGCCACGCGGTAGCGTGAGCTGGCGCACTCACCGGCACTGCGCCCGGCGCAATGGAGCCTTGGTTGTTTAGTCTGGAACAACATTCACTCTGGTGTTTTCTACAACCCGTGTGGTTGTGGCAGCTGTCGGCTCTGCTACAGAATTCCCCCCCCCAGTGTCGTGGAGCAACCCGTGTGGTTGTGGCCCACGTCACGGTCTTTTGCGGAGTCGGTGATTTGACGGAGGCTTTTGCTTGAGTAGGTGTAACGGCTGATGGATGGTGCAGGAGCACAGGGTCCGTCAGAAAAGAGTCCAAGTAAGCGGGTTTCACTCGATCGAGTGTCACAACGTCATGACGACCATTGATGTTGACCGTACAAGTTTTGTCGGTGCGTGAAATGACTTCGAATGGTCCGTCGTATGGGGGAATGAGAGGTGCGCGTACTTTATCCCGTCTCACGAATACGTGAGTGCACGTATCCAGATCTTCACTTATAAAAATCTGTCTTTGTGTTTGTTGTCTTGGTGAGACCGGCCGTGGAGAAGTGAAGAATTTTCTCATCTCTTCAAGGTATGAAGGCATATCAGGCTGTGCGGATGGTGTGCACGTAAAGAAATCTCCTGGTAACCGAAGTGTAGTGCCGTAAACCAGTTCGGCTGAGGTGCAAGTTAAATCCGTCTTGAAGGTGCCACGAATTCCAAGGAGAACAAGAGGAAGATGGTTGACCCAATGGTTTCGATCTTCTCTAGTCATGAGTGCCGTCTTCAGTTGGCGATGTAGGCGATCAACCATACCATTTGCGGCAGGATGGTACGATGTCGTGTGTATGTGGCACGTGCCCAAGATGTTGGTGAGGGCCTTGAAAAACGCGCATTCAAATTGTCGGCCACGGTCGGTCGTGATGATAGATGGACAACCAAACCGTGAGATCCAGGTGGTTATGAATGTGTGGGCGACGGTCTCTGCTGTGATGTCCGCGAGTGGAGCAGCTTCAGGCCATCGCGTGAATCTGTCTACACATGTCAAAATGTAGCGAAATCCGTTGGATGATGGTAGCGGGCCCACAATGTCTACATGTACATGATCGAATCTGGCATCCGGCGGTCGAAATGGGTGCTCTGGTGGTGCTTGTCTGCGTAGATGCTAAGCCGCAGCATGCCGAGCCTTTCGTTCGTTTTCATCCATTTCATGCTGCGGTCAAATGCTCAAATGCGTATATAACCACGTTCCATACCACACATTCTGGTTTTGACATGGATGAAAACGAACGAAGGGCTTGGCATGCTGCGGCTCACCGTCTACGCCAGTCTACGCCATCTACGCACATAAGCACCACCAGAGCTTCGCCCCAATCAACATCATTCACCACGTGGAGATGCGGTTGTTTTTTTTTTTTTTGCCTTACACTACATGGCTAGCCCCTAAGGAGCTTTGCCCCTAAAAGAGCATTCTTCTTTTGTAGGCCACTAGATCCGTCGTAAGACACAAGTTATGAACGAAACGGTTCCACTTTTTCCTGCAGCGCCAAGTGCTCTGTCACAGTACGGCTGTTCAACTTCCTCGCGACCTGGATGGAGACCTCTCACGGCTCTATGGCCTCCGTCGCAAACCCCTTCTGGAGGTCTCGAGCATTCTGGAGGTGCACGATCGTCTGCGTCCTGTCCCCTTCCGACGCCGGGTTCGACCTCACCGACCTCGAGGTGGCGAACCAACTCCCAAACGAGGTACACCTGCTCGGAAAAACGGCACACAGTCACTGCGGGGAGTGGGTAAACTTTAACCCGTAAAGGTCTAAGAGGAGTAACCGATTAATTGGCTGTTTATTGCTTGTCTCTCAGGCATCTTTTGTTGCAGCGGAACTCGCCATAGCAGCGACTGGAACTCGTGTGGATTGAACGTGTCATCGTTCAGCTGGGACTCTCGTTTAGTCGAACAGGCAGCACTCGCATGCACCACCTTCCTTCTGTAAGCTCCCTCGAGGAAGGGTGAGCCGTACTAGCGTGGAAAAGCCAGCACGGGATTTAATTTGTTAGTGTAGACGTGCTCTGAAGGGTCGGCAGAAGCCTCCAGAGCCGGGGGAAGAAGCGGTCTTCGGCACCCCTCGAAATCTAGCCGACCCTATAACATGCATTTCGAGCCTGAATGCGTAACATGTATGCGCAACAACAAAAAAATGACCGCATCTCCACTTGGTGAATGATGTTGATTGGGGCGAAGCTCTGGTGTTGGTGCTGATGATACTGATTTGGTTCATAGGTAGTGCTGATGGTGCTGATTTTTTTTCATTGCTCATGGGTAGTGCTGAGTTTCTGGTTGCGTTTCGACTTCATTATTACTGCTTTATGGTCGGTGAAATGCAGAGCCAGTGGTTCTTCTAGCGGATCAGCTTGGATCCGCTAGAAGCCGTGGGAATGCATCTCCACCGCTTAATTCATTGATCCATGTCAGAAAGAGAATGTGTGGTATGGAACGTGGTTATATACGCAGTTGAGCATTCGACCGCAGCGCCCTCTTGTCTATAAACGTTGAGCCAATGCATGCAAAGTTTAACGCAATTATATATGAATTTGACTGCAGCACCCTCTCCTGTATAGACGTTGAGCGGTTACATGCAACGTTTCATCCATGACATCCCCAGCTCTTGAGTTACTACCACATCTCAGAGCCCCCTACTCGTCCTGCAGTCGTGGCCGAGTGGTTAAGGCGATGGACTAGAAATCCATTGGGGTCCCCGCACAGTTCGAATCCTGTCGACTGCGCAAATCTTTTTTTTTTATGTGAGCACGGACGTTGGCCGGACGGACGGACAAGGTTAGACCCTAAGGAGCTTCGCCTTTAAAATGGTGCTGTCGTTTTCCGTGCATCGCACGCACGTCCTTCATGCACGGGCTAAGTGACGTGATCTGTTTGCACCAGAAAGAAGAGGGGTTTCTGGGAATGTTCACTCCGTGCAAAAGTGCCGACAGGCTGCATTCACCATGCCTTGGTATACAGGGTGTTGTGACGTAGAACTATGTCTTTCTCTGCGCTTGGAAGACTGTGCAAAGTTGGGAGGTTGATGTCACGAAAACTTGGTCCCAGAAATGACGTTGCACAGATAACACTGCACAGCGTCCATTTGCAATCCATAGCCTTGTCGCATTCTCGCGCGTGCGCAGACATTTGCCGAATTTTTGCTAAATCTTTGCTGAACTTTCCTTCAAAAGTTCGGCATTTGCCGAATTTTGCCGGATCTGAAGTTCGGCAGATTCGGTCCATCACTAATTTCAACCATTGTTTTACATAACTAATAATAAGGAGAATACCGTATTTACTCGCATATGTTTTACATAACTAATAATAAGGAGAATACCGTATTTACTCGCATAATAAACGCACTTGCATAATAAACACACTCGCATAATAAGTGCACTCGCATAATAAACACACCCCCCACAACGGGCATCGATATTTGGACATTTTTTTTTCCCTCCCGTAATCAGCGCACCTCCAATTTTCGGATCCGCGAGTCTCGAATCTCGTCCAATTTAGCAAGCCACCAAGCCAGTTTTATTTTGCTGTGAAGTGGCCAGGCCAATTCATGCCAAGCCAAGCCGCTCTCGTAATGCTCTTGCAATGGCCACGAGTGCGTAGTTGCGGAAGTGATCAACCGTGAAACCGAGTGCCGCGCACACTTGACGAAGCTTGGGTCGAGGAATTGCCGAGCCCCGGACATTCTTCGCCTATCGGATGCACTGATGTCAACAAACAAGGCGTCGTCTGTGGTCCGCTTTCGGACAGTGAAATCGTGAAAGTGGTTAGGCCTAATTTCACATATTCCCGGTAAATGCGTTTATTTAATCCGTAACAGAATGGCACAGCGAGGTGCACACTGCACTGTAGGCTGAGAGTGTCTGGTAGCCTCTTCATGAACGAAACTTGATTCGTGCGAGTGGGCTTGCGCGGTCGGCGGTAGGATTTCATACGAGTTCTTGTCTTCAAGAACGAAGCTTGATCCCTGCGAGCGGGCTTCAGTGGTCGGCGGTTGGACTTTGTAGAGTTCTTATACGTGTAGTCGCGGATATACCTGAGTGTGCCGCCCGATACCAGCAACATATATCGCCTAAGAATGGTCCCCTTGCTTTTTGTGCTGAGTGAGCTTCGTAGGGTGCTTTTCCTTCGGCAAAAGGCACCCCGAAGGCGCCCTAAAAAGGTTTGCAATTTATAAAGCATGGTTACTGTGGCGCACGCCTGACCAGCCGTGGGTGTGCCTCCATCACTGGAGACAAGCCACAGTACCTTGCCGTGTCATATTGGCACCTAGTGTGACATTTGCACGAACTGTATAAATGCAAAAAATTTTACGCCATGTACTAAACGCCCCCTCAAATATGTGTCAATTTTTCGGGAAAAAAGTGTGTTTATTGTGCGAGTAAATACGGTAGCAATGACTGGTGAATAGATAATCAACATACTGATCCAAAAGATGCAAGAAAAATATTCCCAGCATGTCGATTTTTTTTCCAGCAATATCATACCTCTGAGAGTATTTTGAATGGCTCAGGGGATGAATCTCTTATTAAAAAAATGAAAGCCGTTTACAACTCTCTGTAACGCCGGATTAGAGCGCAGCTCTTGAGGAGGAGGATGGAAGGGTACTGAGGGATAGGATGGAAGGGTACTGAGGGATAGGTGACTTTTTAAGGTCACGTGACCTCGGGGGGGGGGGGGGGGGTCGCGTGACCTCAGGCGGTCACGTGACTTCAGGCGATCACGTGACCTGAGGGGGGTCACGTGACCTCAGGGGATAACCCTCATGACACTCGTGAGGGTAACCCTCGTGACCCTCGTGACGGTAACCCTAGTAACCCTTGTGAGGGTAACTCACGTGACCCTCGTGAGGGTAACTCTCGTGACCCTCGTGAGGGTAACCCTCGTGGGGTAACCCTTTTGAAGGCTACTAACTCTCGTAACCCTTGTGAAGGTTAGGAGGGTTACTCTCACGAGGGTTACGAGGGTAACCCTCGTGACTTTCGTCAGGGTAACCATCGTGACCCTCGTGAGGGTAGCCCTAGTAACCCTTGTGAGGGTAACTCTCGTGACCCTCGTGAGGGTAACTCATAACCCTCGTGAGGGTAACTCTCATGACCCTCGTGAGGTAACCCTTTTGAAAGCAGCCCTCGTACCCTCGTGAGGGCTACGAGGGTTACTCGTGATTCTCGTCAGGGTAACCCTCGTAACCCTCACGAGGGTTACGAGGGTCATGCGCGGTTATGCTGACGGCGACGCCGCTCAAGCCGGAAACGGGCGCCCAAGAGCTGCGCTCTAAAATGAGACACATTTGAGCATATTCAACCATCTTTTTACATAAATAATAGTAAGGAGAAGAGCAATGGCTGTCGGTATAAACAATCAACGTACCGATCCAAAAGATGCGAGAAAACAATGGGACACATTTCAGCATATCCATCTATCGTTTTACATAACGACTCGGCTGCACGTTGAGCCGGGGACGTCACGGTGCTAAGGAGGGGAGCGTCCCCCACATCCTGACGTCATTGTGTTCCAAGCGCCGGTCGCTCCCGATGCAAAGCGGAGATTATACGGCCGCTACACTATCCCTTGAAGCCCCTGTAATATTGTCTTATATGTTCTGTGTAACTTTGCAGCACAGTATACTTCACAATGTGAAACCAACTAGCCCCAGTCCAAGCATTATTTATCTGTATCCATTCCTCGCTTGTTTCTACTTTTGTGGAACATTTCGTATGAGTTTGCCTCGAACTGATCATCCCTTTTGCACGTCGCAGATGCTCCGCTTCCTCAAGTGTGTCTCGAAAACCTTTCCGAAACTCCTGGCCGACAACTTTGTCGGAGCACACACGGACTTTGTGGACCACCGTCCAGAGTGCGGCCTCGACAAGGTCCTGGCGATGCCGCTGACCAACCTCGACTGTTTGCGCAACGACCTTCTCAAGTGGATCGGACTTGCATCGGGCTACCGCTTGCTTGCGGAGCTGCGGATCATCAGAGTGCCGGACTTGCTCGCTGCCCGTGCTTTGGTCCGCTCCCTGGCGGAACGCCTGGGCAGTCGAGGTGCGGATTTGACACCGCTCGACAAGGAGCTGTGCTTTCGGGTGCTCGAGCTGGCAGCGGCACTTGGAGCTCAGGTCAGTCGTCGTCGGAGGAACTCGGTCCAAAGGTCGCGGGAATCAGCCGGAGTTTTTGCTAAAGTTGGTTAGAAGTGGCCAGTCTGTCTTACAACACTAGTTCTATCAGTTTCCCTGCTAGAATTAGGGGGGGAACTGGTCTCATGTGACCAGCTCGTATGACTTTTCATTTTCTAGTTAAATTTAAAGGGGAAATTTATGTTGTCGTTCAAAATCGCATGACGTTAATTTTCTTGCTAAATTTACTGAAGAAAGATATGTCACATGATTTGAAGCCACATGATGTGGTCACGACATGTATATATTTTTTTATTTATTTCCAATACTACTAACCGCATTCGGGGTTGTTGTAGGGTGGTACAGTTTGAATATTACAAGCAGAAAAAAGATATTCAACACACAATTTGCAGGTCAATATTTAACGGAAACATAGAAGTCAAGAGTGAAGAATTAGTAAGCAACTTCAATACAGTAGAAACATTGCACTTTTAAAAGCAGCATAAAATATTACTTTATGATGAAAAGTGTGCATCTACGTAATCGAGGAAGATTTCAATAGAAGAGGAATTAACAGTATTTTGAGGCAGGTGGTTCCATTCGCTAATGGTTCGGGGGAAAAAAGAGAATTTAAAGCAGTTATTATGAGGGACGTCTTCCTCGTAAAGCTTGCCATGGTTGTACCGTGTTAATCGTTTGCTTGTATGGATGAGATAATTTTCTTTTGGTAGGTTGAAATGATCATTGGCTAGTTCATATAAAAATTTAAGTCTAGCAATTTTTGCTCATTTTTCCTAAAGAGGAGAGACCCAGTTGCCTGCAAAGTTCAGAGGGAGACACGTGCCTACTGTACTCATTACAAATAAACCTCGCAGCCATTTTCTGAACTCTTTCTATCTTATTGATGCCGGAGACTGTGTGGGGGAACCAGACGACGTTGGCGTACTCGAGCATAGGACGTATTAAAGTTTTGTAGGCTAGTAATTTAGGGGCAGGAGATGCAAATTTTAAGACTCGTTTCAGGAAACTCAGTTTGTTTAGAGCTTTATTTGTTGTGAAGTGAATGTGTGAATCAGAACGCAAATTTTAACTTATGTTGAGGCCGAGGTATTTGTATTCACCGACTTGTTCCAAGAGGTTATTGGCTATCTGGTAAGGAAAGGAGTATTGTTGTCTTTTATTAATTATGGTCATAAATGCAGTTTTATTCAAATTTATTTTCATCTGCCAAACATGGCACCAATTTATGATGTGTTGAAGCGCATTATTTAGATTAATCTGGTCATTTGGGTTATTTATTTGTGAATAAAATATGCAATCATCAGCAAAGAGGCGAATTTTTACGTTCATATCTTTCACCAAGTCATTTATGTATATTAGGAACAAAAAAGGTGCCAAAACTGATCCCTGTGGGACTCCCGATTAAACTACCCCTTTGAATGATGAGTGCGCATTAAGTGCTACGTGCTGATAGCGATCTGAAAGGTAGTCTTCAATCCACCTGAGAATTTTTCCTGCTCCTAGTATAGATTCTAGCTTGAACAATAGCTTTGGGTGAGACACCTTGTCAAAGGCTTTTGACAGATTAATGAATATGGCGTCAACCTGTCCTTTATTGTTTATGATAGTGGAAAAATCGTAATATGTGTATATTCGTATACACGTTGTCAGGGCCCAGCGAGCTTCCATGCTAGCTCACTTACGGTTTCAGAACAAAGGCACTCTCATAATCGAAGCTCCTTTACTCCCGAGCACTCACGCTGCACCGCGCGCTCCGCTCGCCATCTTGCATCCGTCCCTCCGCTCCTTCTCCGTCCGCCGATCTCCCCCCTACAGCCACGCATCCTGCGCGCCATCTCTCGAGTCTCGCGGAAGGCGTCCTCGTGATGCTGCCGTGGCACCATCTTGTGGCGATGCATGCAACCGCGTGCCTCTCCTAACAACGTATATATACACATATATATATATATATATACGTGTATATATTTTTATGTACCAAATATCTTGGCAACCAATACTGGAAACTCCCGCGGCATGCGGGCAAAGACTGCTCGGAATGCATTGGCTTTGCCTATCTCTGCTCGAGGGAACCAACACAAATGCATCGCAATATTTTTTTTTTTTTACTTTGATTCTAACCAATTATTTACTATTTCATAATTGAAGGATGTGCTCTTTTTGTGAAAAAAGGTTTTTCTTGACTAGCGCAGTTTTGTCTTTTTAGTCAAGAAAACATTCTGATGTCAGAATTTATGTAAGGCACGTAAAACTCAAATCTACCTTCACATTATTTTTTGAAATACTTAAACATCCAAAAATTCAAACTTAGCTACGACTCAGCTCTAGCGTTCCGATCAATCGATTTGTCTTACCTTTGCTGTTGACATTACCGTTTTCATGAATATCTTGCCCATATCCGTCTTGTTGAAAAGACAATCTGGCTAATCCTGCCGACACCAAAGCCAACTATAAAAATAAAAGGCAACAGAAATCCTATCGCAGTTCATAGCTCGGAGGGTGTCACAAGTCCCTCAGGACGGGCGGAGCGACGTGGAGAGTGCGAAGTCACGAGACAAGCCACAAACTATGGATTGGCTCTTGTAGCTCGTAGCATCCATTACTGTGTACGTAAGGGGAAACGGAGTATATCTGACTAAACAGAGAAGCCAAAGAGCTATTCTTTCTGTGTGTGTGTGTGTATTTTCCTTTCTTGCTGCTAAGCAAAATTCCTCAAAGAAGGAGAAAGCAAACATAATCATCAGAATAAAATGAAAACAAGTTGATGGCTGTTTTTGCATTTGTTCTGCGGTGGCGAAATCTGAAGGTGACAAGAGGCAAAGCCACGATGAGCGCTACACTGCGGCGTTGGGAAGCCACTCACCCTGGGCCCTGGCTGCTGCTAAAATAAATTTTTTGTGTGTGCGTGCGTTTTCTAGAAAAAGCAAGTTGTCTGTTGTCTTTTTATATCCTTTTTTGTTTTAATCGTCTTTTGACTTGCTTTCGGTGGCTACACTGGGCATGGAAAGTATTGAAGTATTTATACATGAAAAGTTTAAAGAGAAAATGGACAGACCGAATTCGAAAGCTTACATTTAAATACCTACACACTGGCAATGGGGCTAAACAGACTACTTCAGTGAAAAAGGGAGTAAAAGAGGCAGAAAGAAAAATGTGGGAGGTAAGAATGCAGGAGAAATCGGCTCTAACTATGTACAGGTCACAAAAGCAGGACATAAGAAAGGAAATTATCTTTGACAATTCACTGGGAAGTTCTTTACCGTTTGAGACGAGAAGGGGAGTTTAGAGGACGTGGACGTATAGGGCTAAATTTCAGGAGACGGACACATTATGTGATGCCTGCCATAATGAGAATGACACACTAGAGCACCTGGTCTTGAAGTGCACGGGGCTTCGCCCTGCACTCCCTGAAGGGGTAACAGATTTGGCCGGGGCTCTAGGTTCTGCTGGAGACGATGGAAGGATGGACGAGAAAATGCTTACGGTCACAAGGAGGCGATTAAAAGGTTGGTGAAATTATCTAGGGAAAACTGAGTGATGCACAGCTATCTAGCACAGCTGGGGACAAACGGGACAGAGGAAAATGGTGACTCCCTCCCGCGTGGCTCCTGCCCAAAGTTTCAACCATGTCTGTCCGCCTGGGGTAACGCTGACAAGGCCTGACCAGAGGAAAATTGGCGACTCCCTCGCCAGGGGGAAGAGGCGGGGGGTGATGGTTTTAGTTTTTTTTGCTCGATCCTCAAAGGTAATCCCGGTGATATCGCACATTGCGTGGGGATAGTTAGGGGGAGAAAATTGGTCTTAGAAGGGCGGGAAGAATCGTATGTTTGTCTTTTTAGACTTGGGCTAGGTGGCGCAAGCTGCCACCCGTTACAAAGGGTATAGCCATTAACATCCGTTCATCCATCCATCCGGACCAGGTTGCCCCATGTTAAATCGTCTGTGGACACTGCGAGGTGGCCAAGTTTAATGGGCCGCGCGAGTGGCGCTCTGCCGCCGATAAAAGTTCGGCGCAGCATATGTGCAAAGACATTTTGAATCGTGGCGCGTGGCAATCGGAGTCAATAAATGGCTATAGTGTTGTTGAACCAGTGCGTTGTGTCATTTTCCGAGGCGGGTAGAAGCGAGGGAAATCCTACAATATAGACCGTATTTACTCGCAGAATGAACACACTTTTTTTTCCGAAAAATCAATGCAAAGTTGGGGAGGGGGGGTGGGGGGGCGTTCATTATGCGAAGTAAAATTTTTGCGTCCGTATTTACTCGCTTAATGAACGGACGTTTTATCCTGAAAAATCGACGCAACTTCTTATCTCTTTGTGCGCGACGCGCGACCGCGTAACCAAACTGCGCTGAGCAAAAAAGAACAAAACAGCTCCTCTATGTTTGTTTTTTCTCTTAGTTCCGTGGGTTAATCATGTCGTATTACACCTGAGACTGCGGTGGAAGAAATCAGAATTGAGACGTTCTCTGTGTCTGTTCCTTCTACTGAAAGTTCTTCCGATTTCTTCCACCGCAGTCTCAGGTGTAATACGACATGATTAGCTACCACCAGCTCGCCTGGACTCTCACCGTCTTTCCGTGGGTTGTTTTTTTTTACTACCTTTCGCAAGCTGTTTCGTTTGCTTATTCGTTGCTTAGGCGAGGGCTTTTCCGCTTATCTTTCTTATCTCCTTGCGTGCAGCGTGGCGCGCGACCCCAAAGTCCAGACTGCTGTGTGCAAAAAAAAAAAAAAAAAGCTCCTCTCCATGTTATTTTTTTTGCTTCCGTTGAATCTTTTTTTGTTAAAAAAAGAATAAAATAAAAAAGCATGGGCGCCCACGCTGCTCATGCATTTGCGACCTCGCTGCATTTCGTGCGCGTGGGGGGAGGGGGTCGAAATTTCGACGTCCGAGTTGGGGGTGCGTTCATTACGCGAGTGCGCTCATTGTGCGAGTAAATATGGTAAATGTTAACCCTAGCATCTCAATGCTCCCAGCGTGTCACTCGTTCATAATGCTCGTTCATGTTGCTCATTATGACGCTTGTTCAATACAATTTTCTCATAGAAAACGACAAATAAAACCAATTTTGTGTTAATTCTTTGCACCAGGCCCGAGATGTCCTGGAGGCCCTGCTTCCCAGCCGGGCCTGGGAAGTTTTGGGAGCCCAGCTGTGCCGCCACTTCGCCGAACGGGCGTCCGACTATGTGCCAGCCGCACTTGCGCTTCCCGAGGGGGCACCCAAGGTGCTGACGACAGTGATGAGCCTCATGCTGCAGGATAAGGAGCTGACTTCCAGGTAGGGAGCTGGTAGGGATGGGAGAACCCTTCCTAGCTTGTGCCAGCCAGCTTGCAAACATTCAGGACAACCCTCCCTCATAAACCTTGCTTTAAATTGCATCTCTTATCATCTAACCCTCCATTTCTGGCTTTCTTTTCTGTACCTTTTCTATTAGTCTTTTAGCATGCAGTGTTTTACAGCGGAGCTGTGAAGGGGACACACCCCCTGGGAGGGTCAACTTTTGAATTCTTGGCTTAAAATTAATTAAATTTACATTGTAGGCTGGTGGTCATGATAGAGGGTGCATAACAAAAATTCAGGTCTGTCGGTTCGATGGGAAGGAAATTAGAGCAGCTTCTATCAGCAACGCGCCTACATTGTTTAGTTAATCTCTTGATGGAAAACTATCACAATACAGTAATACCTCATTCACTCGAAGTAAAAAAAATCATGAAAAAATTCGAGATAAGCGATATTTCGAGATACGCAAAGTACCAAAATTTTTACCTCTGATCGCGTGATGTGCAAAATAAAACTTCTAACAATTGCGGCAGCAGCACAGGTTCTATTAAAGAAAGGAAAAATAGAAGCTGTTTGGGCTGCGTCATGTTCACGGTCAATCGAGTCACGAGCCAACGTCGGATAACTCACAACTGACCGAATTGAACACTTGACTCTTGCTTGTATGGCGCCCCAGACAATCGAAACAGCCGGAAAAAAAAAAATTGAGGGACAAGCAATAAAGAGCAGCAACACTCTCGAAATGAACTAGACGCCTCCGACACCTCTGCGAAGCACGAGACTGAGGAGATGACGACCAGACCGGGAAGGGAAGGGAAACGGAAGGACCCAGAAGCAAAAAGAAAACGAAAGACAGAGTGGCAGAAAACGTTCGAGTGAGAGGGGGCACCGAATGCCATTGGCTTGTCCAAGTGGGGTAGAGGAAAAAAAAAAGATATTAAGAAAACAAACGCTTTCGAGGCGCATGTCTCACCGCGTCTCCGTGCACCGCACCCGCGAGTTCTTTTTTTTTTTTCTTGAGCTTGCTTATATATTTTTTTTTGCTTGCAAACTTTTTTTGTTTTGGCACGCACATTTTTTCAGCCTTTTTTGTTGTTTATTGTGGTTTTTCTTTTTGCGATTTTCGCTGACGAGATTTTGAGATATCCGAAGTCCATCCTGAAAACCTTTCAGATAAGCAAGGACAAAATGCATTGTGCCTATGGGAGCTCATTCCATATCAAGGAAATTTTACGAGTTAACCACTATTTCGAGATAGCCATGTTCGAGTTAACGAGGTATTGCTGTATTCAAGATTCTTATTCTCTAGATATGTAGCAGAATGCCTAGGGGGTGCAGCTATGAAAAGCTTTTTGTATAAAGTAATTTATTTCTATGAATTTTCTCTTCTGTGAAATTTGTCAACTTTTTGGTCTTCTGCGTCTTCGACAAAATGTCAACATTTTTTATAAAAGACATCCGTAAAGTGACAAAAAAGTTCCATAGCCGCATTCCTTATTAAATTTTAGTCAGGAAAAGTGAAGAACGAGCCTTCCCTGTATTGCCATTATCAAACGATAGATTGACTAAAATGGAACTTATACGAAAAAGTGGAATGGGAACGGAGAAAAATGTGTTCAAATTGCTTCAAACCCTACTTTTTCTTTAGCTTCAGTGGACAGAAAATAATTTATAAAAAATTAACCATACAGTGTAAACAAATTAAACTTTCTGGGAATACTTTGTCCTCTTCTCTTTGTGCGCGATTTTTAACCATGTTGAACGTTCATGAACTCGCCCAGCTTACTACTCTTCTTTCCACTCTGTTTTTCACCAAAGTGGAAAGGCTAAATTTCTCTAGGCGTCGTCCTAGAAGTCATCCTCGAGGTCGTCCTAGAAGTTGTCCTTGAGGTCGTCCTAGAAGTCATCCTTTAGGTCGTCCTAGACGTCGTCTTTGAGGTCGTCCTCGAGGTTGTCCTAGAAGTTGTCTTAGACGTCCTCGAGGTTGTCCTCGAGGTCGTCTTGGAAGTCATCTTTGGGGTCGTCCTTGAAGTCATCCTTGAGGTCGTCCTAGACGTCGTCCTTGAAGTCGTCCTAGACGGCGTCGTGAGGTCATCCTAGGCGTTGTCCTCTAGGCGTCGTTCTCGAGGTCGTCCTAGAGGTCGTGCTTGAGGTCGTCCTAGACGTTGTCCTATAAACCGTCCTCTAGGCGTCGTCCCTTAGCCATTGTCCTAGATGTCGTAAAGATAACGGCTTTGCTGGTCCTCCATCTTCACGTGGAGTGGAAGGGCTCTACATTTTTAGCTGTACTATTTTACAAAGGGGTTCATCCCAAAGAGACTGATGACTCGTTGACCTCATCATCTAGCCCACGAATTTTATGTTATTTCATGCTAGACCTTTTTCACTGATCTTGTAGCAGGCAGTGTTGTTAGATTTACTACTTCACAAAAACATTAAATCCCAAGAGACTGAGTAATCAAACGTTGGTACCTCAGAAAAATTTTCAGCCTTTCCACTCTGGTGAAGAGAAAAGACCAGCGAAGCTGTACTATGGTCAGGTGACCTCAAGGACGACTTCTTGGACAACCTCTAGGACGACCCCTAGAACGACCTCAAGGACGACTTCTAAGGCGACCTCGAGGACGACGCCTAGAGGACGACCTCAGGGACGACATCAAGGACGATTTCGAAGACAACGTCTAGGACGACCTGAAGGACAACTTCTGGGACGACTTCGAGGACGACATCTAGGACGACCACAAAAATGACTTCTAGGACGACCTCGAGGACAACCTCTCAGACGACATCAAGGATGACGTCTAGGACGACCTTAAGGACGACCTCGAGAATAACCTCAAGGACTACGTTGTGGGAATTCGCATACCGCCGCCGATTCGCCGTTTCCCACGTGGTCCGTCAACAACCCGAGTCCAGCCTGGTTCTTTCACGGGAGCGGGATTCCGCTCCCAGTTTATTGGTACAATAAAACACAACACTACAAAACACTCAATCTAAACTACAAATACAAGCTACATTACACAATTATTTACAAATGCACGTTAAGGCTAAAGCTAAACACAAAGGAGGCCCTTAGGCCTCGCGTCCCGCGATATCCTAGATCCAGTCGCCACCCACTTGCCTGCCAGTCCCTGCGTCTCGGTCGCGTCCGGAGTTCTTAGAGGCCTCTCGCCCCCTGCCTTACCGAGTATATCTATCGATGGGCGAAGAGGTTTCTCCTCGCCTGCCACGGGGGCGCCTGCAGCGCCTTCCAGTGGTTAGGAGAGAAAGCGGCGCGTCAGGAGCCGAATTCGAGATCGCGATCGACCCCGCGGCAACACGACCATGTGATCGTGTCGCGGCCAAGATTGGCCGAATGGTTTGATGGGCGCCCTCGTGAATTCACGGTGCGCCATAACGTTTAGGACGACATCTAGAGAAATTCAGCCTTTCCACTCATGTGAAAACCAGAGTGGAATGGTTGTCGCCATCTATGAGCGAGGCCGGCAAGCCGATTGTCTGGTTGCCGCCGTCGCTCATAGATAACGGCATACATGGGTAAATTACTTTCAAAGTGTAATTTAATTACAATTACAATTACTTAGCTCCCAAAGTAGTTTAACTACAATTACAATTACTACTACGCGAAAGTAGTTCATTGCAATTACAAATTACTTTTCAAAAGTAATGCAATTACTTTACAATTACTTATTTCTGAGAGTTACCCACCTTGGGCCATATAACTGTAAACGAGTTATACGGCCGTATTGTATAAATGGTGTATAAATGTCACGCATTGTACTTTCCTTTTATGAAATTTGTTAAATGCGTTATAGAACTTAATAGTTTGGAGTAATGAACTCTTGCGTTCTTATATTCTCAAAAAATAAAAATAAATGGCGACAAAATTCACACGTGCGAGGTGAATCTCCTTAGAGCTTATGCAAATGGTATCCAAGTCAAACCAACAAAAAAATAAACTTAAAAATAATACAAGGAAACAAATCTGCGACAGTACTGGTACCATAAAACTCACGTAAAAATGACTAACAAGAGAAACTTGTAGACGACGTCACAAACATTTAAAGGATACGACAACTTACGGAAACATTTCAGCCACGATGATTTGCTGCCTCTCCCTGTCTGTGGACTTGTAACAGGGTAACCGTAGCCCGCGAACTATGGTCGCTTCCACAAACTAGTGTCACAATAGCAGCAACTCGATTGCCAGGGATTCTGGGTTAATTCAGTGCACGATAACACCCAAAAAGCTCCTAATATACATAATAAATTTAGGATCGTCATGTAGCTAACCATTAGGATAGCAATGATTGTATCGATGTTATGCGTCTCATAGAGAAGACCGATTTGAATTTAGCATGGCAAGAACAACCTCGAAAAATTTATGATACACTGTAAATGACTTTATTTTCGATTTCGCTAATCGCCTACCATTCGCGAAAAATAAGTCCCGCGAGTAATTCCGGTAAAATGTAAACACATTGGAATCTATATTGCGACCCCACCGCGTCGCGAAAATTAGAATCCGCGAATTATTGCAAAACTGCGGCCTCGGACGCCTCGATTTCACGATTTACTTGAGCGTGTTTCAGCTGGAAGATATAGACGAGCCATTATTATTTTTTTTATATCTCTAAGTATTGTAACGAAGAAATTAGTAGGTGTCTTCTTCGTTGATGAAACGATACTGATGTTAACAAACAACTGTTTATTTAAGGAATATAGACAAGGACTCATTTACATCACTTTGAACAATAAATAATTGGAGATTAAACTTTGGGGGGAAATAATCCCAACCTCTGGCGACTTCCCCTGCCGTCCTCCGAGACCGCACTTTCAGCGGGTGCCCCGACCACAGCCGAACTCGACAAACAAGGGTCCACACAAAGGCGGGCGAGCCGAACTCCTCCACAGCCGTAAGGGGTCCCAAGTTTGCCAGTTAGCGGGCGGAAGACTCCACAGCCGAAGTGGGTCGGACGTACAGGTTGGCCTCCAGAGGCAGGGAGATGTCCAAGACTTGGTATCCGGGGATCAAGTTCCTTACAGCCCCTCGGTGGCCGCTTATATTCAGTTCACCAGCATTCTGGGGTCCTCCAGTTCACCAATCAGAGAGGTTTGGAAGGACCAATCAAGAGCGGTTTTCTTAGCACCAATCAGAAGGCTCAGAGCCTGAAGCAAATACAAACATTCCAAAAAACATGCGCATACACGAGACAGAACACATTCCAAACGAAGCTCACGAGAGCAGCCATAAACAACAGAAAGCACATTCGTACGTAGAGAGAGAAGTTATACGCACGCAGAGCAAAACCACCTCCGAAGTAGAGATCCCAAATGCAGACATACACAAGACAAAACGTTTCCAACGCGGGGTTCTGTAAACTAAGTGTAGCGTTACAGCGTTCACGTTCGCCCCCATTTGGGGTCCCCCGACTCCGGTGGAATCCAACAGCCGTCCCGTGTAGACGGAAAGAACTCTCGGAGAAGCAAAAAACATAAAGTGAAGCTAGACTAAATACTCGCGCGAGCAACACTTCGCGACAGTATTTTTGAAAGTGACAAAAAAGTTGCCTACCTGCAAATGTTTTCGCAAATTCGAGGTCGCGTTTCGGTTTGTTGAATTTGTTTTTAGAGACGGTGCGGAGAGTTTGCACCTCACGATTATATTTTTACATTGCTGCTAATCTGTTTAAAGAATTTTTCGGAACAAGGCCCCAGCAGCCTTTCCTTTTCCATTGTAGATAAGACTGTTGCAGGTTCTCAATGCAAGACAGCACTGCGCGCCTTGGGACGGTTCCACAGGCCAGGACGAGAGGAGAACGCGTGGAGGGTTACGATAGAGGTGTAAAAACAAAGTGCAAGCCAAGCCCTCTATAAAAAAAAAGAAGAAAAAAAAAAGAAGAAGCCTTCACCGAACAACAAATGTAAAGACAAGCTCCCTACAGTCTAAAGCCGTGGTTTGTAAGTTTTGGAATCTCGTCCAATCGGGCTGACAAACGGTTGAAAGGGTTAGGTAGAGCGAACACTAAATAATGAAGATTTATACGAAAAGGTAGACGAGGATTGGGAGAAGGAAGAGCAGTGTAGCAACAACAGTTGGAAGTAAGGCAGGGTGAGTCGTGCTAATGAGACCTGCTGCTTCTTTGCTTCTTCACCTCGATGTTAGAGTAGCACGACTTACTGTTAGTGGTACCAACATACGAGATAGAGGAGAAGGACGTGAAAAAACTCATAAAGAAAAGAGAATAATTTCATGAACAAAAAAGTCCCCAAAGTTGACTGAAATATGTAAGCGAATATGCTAGCGCGAAGACGTGCAAGGAGAACCTCGAACCTTCCCGCCTCGACCGGATGATGTGATCGGAGCCAACCAGCTAGACTTCGACCCATGATGCTCCCGTGTGGGAATGAGAAATAAGAAAGACCCCTAAAAACAGGAGCAACAGGAAGCGAACGAGACGAAGAGTCAGATTCAACTACGACAGAAACGAAAACGGACGCGAATGTAGCCCTCATTTATCAAATTATTCCTCAAATTCTTCATTAAATCGTTTTACAGTCTACAAAATCCTTCATTCCGTTCTATCCCAGCCTCCCTTTCCCATCCCTCTTTTTTCTTTTTTGAGCAGGTTGGGAGACACTCTATCCCCTGTCGCTTTGGCTGTGCTGTCGTCTCCGTAGCCAGGGGGGAAAAGCGCCGCCGCCACAAAATCTTGCAAAAGTAATTGTAATTGTGCCTGAAATTTAGCAATTACTGACGCTAGAAAGTAATTAAATTACAATTACAATTCCTTTTAGCCAAAAGTAATTATTACAATTACAAATTACCAGGAAAAGTAATTAAATTACAGTAATTCAATTACTGTAATTGAATTACTACCCAAGTATGGATAACGGTAGCTGTCCAGAGTTTTGTGTCGACATTTCTTTGCAAAGGACACAATCCTGGGGAAACTAGCCCTTAAGAGCTCTGCTGTAAAAAAATGAGTTCTTTTATCTCATTTAGGTGTTTAATTTTTCGCCTACAAGCGCACATGCTTAGTCAAGCGTCCACTCCCTGACTTTTACGGCTATCAAAATATTTATTGGTTGTGACGTAAGAATCGTATCTCCCACACTCTTCAGAATGCCCCTAGCTCAGGAGCATCATGCTTCCTACCCTTGAGGATTCTCGTGATATGGGTACAGTATGACCCTTGCGAATGCTTGGGATATAAAATATTTTTTTTCCTAGATCTGAAAATACTCGTGGCTTGGGGATGCTTCTGATCCCTAAGATGACCTATGATACGGTCATAATCCGTCTTCTTGGTGTATGGGAACATCCTACATCCTTGGAGTTCTCAAACTCTTCGAGAACTTTCCCTTCAATGGCAGCTGAGGAAGCCTTCGTCGCCATTGGTAAAACGAAGCAATGCGGGAGAAGCATTGTAAGCAAGATAATGGGGAGTGTCTCGCTCTCCATTATCTTGTCATTGGTAAAGGGGCACTGACACATCAAAATCATATATTTTTTTTTTATTGTCCGAAACGGTTGAAAACGATGCCGGGACATTACCCTCAAAATTCGAAACTTGGGAATTCAGTATTTCTGAATTAAAAAAAACAATTTCCAAATGCCGAATTTGAAGTTCCCGCGTGATCCGCACCAGTGCAGTGAGTCAAATTTTGCGGTCTCCTGCAACTCGACTTTCTTTGGGACCTCCACCGTTGCCACAGCAACCCGAAGCGAGGAGGAGGTGAGCAGGCGGGATAGAAGGGAGCCGGCGTGGGAAAAGACCGGTTTCTTCCCCGACTTGCCGATCATCCTCTGCTCAAGCGCCACCAAGTTTTCCGAGGCAGAACACAAATCCAGGAAGCGACATCACACTGAAATATGATTTTTGGTATTTCAAAAAGAGGGGCCGTAGTGCGTTCACAATTGCATTAAAAAACATGTTTTATGATTGCCGTTATTAAATGTTATAGAAATGTCGCTCACAAAGCTTCTAAATTTCCTGATTTTTGACGTCACCGATCAAAAGAAGCAAGGAGGTGAGCGCGGGAAATATAAACGCTTAAAATAAGAAGGTGCGCGCGGGGAAATGTTTTTTGTGATGCGTTTTTTTTTGCGTGTCTATGACTTGCATTGTTTTAGACAATAAAAAATAATACGACCTTTGAGGTGTCAGTGCCCCCTTAAGCACGAAGACACAGAAGTAATTTTGAAGCACAAAGACTAGCCATCTAGTAAGATAGTGGAGGCATACAAAATAAGGAAAGATGGGAGCATCTTGCGTCAGCCAGCCATCGTTGGCACTGCTAGACAGCGAGATGACATTATTGGATTCGGGCTAGCTTTTTTAATTCCTGTCTTTATACCATTAATTATAGTCACGTAATGCGCTTGCGCGGGATCGCACTGCCATAAAGTGAAGGGCTGTTTTCGTGTCTTCCTAATAAAATTTCTCAGTTGATAGTCAACGCTTGTCCCCTGTGTTTCTTTTACGTCCTTGTGTTTTTGTGCCATTTCCACGTGGGAAATCTACTTCACTTAGGGCAGGGATGGGCAAGTAGGGAGCTCAGGAATCCCCGAGTGTACTCCGAGGAACTTTCGAGTTCCTAGGAACACGGTGTGAGAACCCATGTCCCTGAAAGTGCACGTGACGTGGGAAAATAGGATAATTTTCGTACAACACTGCCTCCAAGCTTAGAGCCTTCTATTAATGAGAGTTCCCACTGCAGCATGGGTGCATTCCTGCTTATTCTTGACAGCGCATGCAACACAAGAAGAAAATTCTTGACGAGCGACGCCTGTATTGTGGGAACTATATGTTTCAGGCGCGGTTCGGAGCTCTCGTTGGAAGTCATGCGGTGCTGGCCGTCGATGGAACGCTTCTGGAGCGAGGGGACCTCGCAGGACGTCGTCAACGGAGCGTTGCACATGCTGGAAAAGTTGGTGCTCCTCGCACCCGAGGTACGGAGCAAACCCTCAGTTTGCTTTCAGAGGGCCTTTTCTTTATTTGTTATTAAATGCGTAGCATTTCTAGAGTGAGTTGTTGGCTTTTTCATGTCTGCACCTGGGATGTAGCCTCGACAGTGACGTAACACTGACTTTGTCATGGCATTCTTGACAGCTGCTGTCTAAACATAGTAACAGAAATGGGTCCAAAGAAAGAAAACTTTCGGGTCATATCACTTTTACGGGACACCGTGACGTCAAGTGACACAATAATGATGTGTGACACTTTGACGTCACATGACCCGACGTCCTCTCGTATAGTCACGTGACATAGGGTCACGTGGTGACATGATTAGGGTCATGCGACCTTGTGTAACGCTGTGATGTCATTGCGTCGTGGGACAGGACCCGATGTCATGAAGGGTCTATAAATGCTACACATTGAGAGTGCCTTTGGAATACACTAAAGAGAAAGGCAGTTTTTACCTGTTCACTAGGCCCCTGCGGATGTGGGGTACGAAGCGAACCAAAGGTAACTGACAGGGATGCATAAAACGAGGTCACATTTCATCCAGCTTTTCTCACTCGGGAGACATTAAGAAACAAACGGAGTAACGATGTAATTGCGCTGTGAGCATGAGCAAGCAATGTTTGTTTGCGGTGGATCCACAGGTTGGTTCCCCAAAGGGTCCCCATTTTGAACGACTCTTTGGAGTATTCCTCAAGCTTCTCGAACGAAGTGGAGCGACCTTGGCAGATAAGGTAAGATCTCACGCTTGTTTCATTTATGTCATTCTAGTTAAAGCCGCTAAATAAGCTGCACTTCAGGATAGCAACACTTCAGCTACCTTTTCCTTAAAATCATTGTTGCCTGTAGGGACATTATGCGATGAGTGTCGATGAAACATTCGTGTTGACGATACCTCTGTCCATGAAGATTTGTCCACGAAACGAGTTTTGACGAAACGTTAGGCACTCGCCTGCCATGGCCGTCACTCGTGCGCGTCCCTCAGGTGTCAAGTTTTGTGCCCATCCGCGGGCGGCACCGCTTGCGCGTGCCCCTTGCGATGCAAGGGAAAGGCAGGAGGAGGAGGAGGAGAAGGGATGCTTTGCGACGCGTCACGCAGTGCCACGGAGCTTGCCCCCTCCCCCCCCCCCCCCCCCCCCCAGTGGCAGTCAGTTCATTGAACAACGCTTCATCGACAGAATGTTTCATCGACACAGAATACTTCATCGACGGATTGTTTAATTGACAAATCGTTTCATCGACAGCTCAGATTACCCTTTTTCTGTAATAAGCTGCAGGGTCGGTCAAGTGGGTTAACATTTTTGTAATGAGCCGCTGCAGACTGTTGCCGCAGAGCGGCGTGAATGCAGGCGGAGGGTGGGTTAACGCCCACCGCAGTGATACATGCGTGACGAAATGTCCCTGCAGCTTGCAATTCACGTAGGGAGTTTCGCAACTTTTGTGTAGACGAAATGTGTGTCCATGAAACGTGTGTCCATGAAAAGTTGTCCAGGAAACGATGGGGACCCCCTGCGGATGTGCAGCAAAACAAATTTCGGAAGTTGTTACTTCTTGCGGCACCTTGTGGCATTGCTCGTGTCTTCGTTTTTTGTCTTTCGTCGCTTTGCCTGTCTCCACCTTCTTTCATTTCTTGTCGCCATCTTGCGACAGTGTTGCTGAGGTAATGTTGCGAGTTTTTGAGGATGTCGATGAAGCTGACGAAGCTTCCGACGACAATGACATGTCCGGAAGCTTTGACGACAATGAAGTTTTTGGCATCGCGCTGTGATTTATCCGAGAGTGCAGTAAATAAAAATTTGTTTTTTTTGCCCAAACTTTTTTTTATTCTTTTAAAAAAAAGGTATCAACCTATATTTGGATCTTTTTTTTTTATTATTATTCTCGGCGAGTTTAATATAAAGCCATGGGTTGATTTATATTCGAGTGAATACTACTGGAATTTGTTTTCTATGGAATTTGCACTGGCGACATGTACTGTTGCCATTTTGACCACCGACTGGCCGTCTTGTCGATGGCCGGCTCGATTAAAGTATGAATAAAGACCGGTATTTACAAAAATGGAGCACCAGACTCTTTTATGTTCAGACGGCAGGCACAGTCGATCACGACGCAAAATAACTCGAGTAAGCTGGAACAGGCTGCCTCTGCACATAAAAAGACATTGCGAGAAAGTTCATCAACATGGCATCTGGCGAGATTTCGAGCCGCCGGTATGTCACGTGAGACTTCCCTCTATACTTTCCATTCTTTGTAGGTGTTGGTTCTAGACTTGCTCCCTGTCTTTGCAAGCGACATTCGGCCAGATACTGGTCTCAAATTGAGGTAGGTTTTTCTCTTTATTTTTGCCATTGCGCTTGCTGGTTGTTTTTCTGCTTTGACCAGTGGCCTCCGCTTGTGGCCTGCCAAGAACTGGACACTGTTGACGACACAGTCAGTGAGAGACAGGAAATTGATGATCGGTAAAAATGCAAAACAAGAAAAAAAACATTATTTACAATTTTTGAAACTAGAAAGAAGCATCAAGAGTCTATACACTGGCTATGGAAAGGCATTCAAACGACCCTAAGCCATGAATAGTCAATCTTTGGTAACACTGCAACATAAATGAGTGCAAAACAATGTCGTACTATTCATGCTTTTCTGTTCACTTTCCAATGATTTGCAGTTTTTCGATAGCTCCTACTATATAGTTTTCGGCAGACCTTAAATTGTTTCATTCTGCTGATTAAGAGGTTAAAAGGTGCAAACTGAACAGGACGAAAAAAGACACACGTACGACACGGACAAGCGCCAACTTCCAACTGATTTCTTGAAACACGAATGAAGTAGGTATGTTTTTTTGCTCCCTGTTCAATTTGCACCTTTTAACTAGAGGTGTGTGAATGTCAAAATCTTTCGAAGCGAATCATATAGAATAATAAAGGTTACGAATTGAATAGAATATTTTCGAATACGAATAGTAGTTTAGAATAAGCGCATTTTTTAAACAACTGTTTTCTGTTTGATGTGAATTAAACAAGAATGCTCAATCAAAACACAACTGGATTTTTTTTTTCAACAAACATTTATGAAAAGGTTAATTTTATTGCAATAAAAAAAGTGAAAGCCGTTTATAACTCCCTGTAACACCGAATGAGAGCGCAGCTCTTGAGGAGGAGGAGGAGGAGGAGAGAAGGGTATTGGGGGGGGGGGGGGGGTGAAGTGACCTGGGGGGGTCACGTGACAATGGGGGTCACGTGACCTTGGGGGGTCACGTGACCTTGGGGGTCACGTGACGATGCCGATGTCATCAGTGACGTCACTGATGACATCATCAGTGACGATGACGATGCGGACTTCGATGACGTCATCAGCGATGATGACAATGACGATGCGGATGTCAGTGACGTCACTGATGACTTCATCCGTGATGATGACGATGCGGATGCCGGTGACGTCATCAGTGACGTCACTGATGACGTCATCCGTGATGATGACGTCATCCATGATGATGACGATGCGGATGCCGGTAACGTCATCAGTGACGTCACTAATGACGTCATCAGTGATGATGACGATGCGGATGCCGGTGAGGTCATCAGTGACGTCACTGATGACGTCATCAGTGATGATGACGATGCGGATGCCGGTGACGTCATCAGTGACGGTGATGTCATCGGGGAGGTCACGTGACCTCGGCGGTTGGTGACGTGACCCTGGGGTGGTCACGTGACCGCGGGGGGGGGGTGTCACGTGACTTCGGGGTGTCACGTGACGGGAGGGGTCACGTGACCTTGGGGTGACCTTGGGGGTCGCGTGACCTTGGGGTGACCTTGGTTACGCCGACGCCGCTCAAGCCAGGAACGGGCCCCTAAGAGCTGCGCTCTAAAAATGTCACACATGTGACTGATAAAAAACAGATGAGGTAAAACATCAATCAGTAAAACACCATTCAAGAAGTGAAGTTACAGAACGTAAATGAAACTACACAAGTGGATGCGGGTTGACAACCGATCGTGTCGTGGACGAACGCAACCACGTTTATGTAAACGAAAGTACACAAGCAGTGGCGGGCCGGCAGACCACAATAGAACGGCGATAATCGCGCCGTGCAGCTGCACTGACTTTGTGCAATCTCTTTTCGTGTGCAATAGTTCTGCCGATAGAGGGCACCACAAAGAAGCAATACATTAATACATTATCTTTTGGCGGATGGAGCGAGTCTTACTTTTGCCACTGAAAATGGGTAGAAATGAATAACAAAAGGAATACTGGCAAACTGATGAACTGGAAAATCAAGCGGAAAATAACACGAGCCAGATATCTCTGATAGCCGAGGTCAGCCACAAATCCATATCTGAATCCTTAGCACCTTGGCTACTGTAGTGAATATAGGAAGGACCGTAGTGAGTGGAAATCATCGCATTTGTGCTCACGACGATGCAAGTGCCATTACAAATCGTAGACCTTCATCGAATCTATCGCAGCGTTAGCGCATTTTAAAGCATGCTGCGTATTCTTTCTCCCGACTCGATCTGCAGGATTAAAGGAGGTACATATAAATTTTGTTAATAGCTTTTCATTGTTTTTTTGTGAATTCCTGGTGCTTGTAGCCACAAGCCAGACAATAGCACGTCTGACTAAGTTGACCAATACAGAGAAAAAGGAAATAGATGAAGGTTGCGGAGAGTTTGAAATGCGATAACATTCCTAGGGCTACCAAACAGTGAGATAGTGTGCATATGTCCGTCGCGGCTCGACGGCTAAATTTAGCGGGAAGCGTCTCCGCGCAGGGGTAGATAGATCATCAAGCAACTGAGGGGGAGTTAACGTTGGTTCAAACAGCATCGTTTTCTTACGTTGCGAGGCATACATACACTTACGTCGAGATACGACCGCAAGTCACCGGCACGTCCATGCTTCGTGCAAGACGTTGCAACTATTTAATGGAGTAGCTTGACAGGCGGAATAGGAAGCACAACTGTGCCGGTGACTTGCGTTCGTATCTTAACGTAAGAGTACGCAATACGGATCTAAGTGATTTTTTTCAAATTCCGCTGCTTGTGTTATAATACTTTTTGTTAGAGTGTTTCGTGACAGTCTAGACATAAAGAAGTCGTAGAAGACAATCTGCATTAATATTTTTGCACTGGTAGTATCAGTTGTTGCGTGGACCAGTCGCATTGAAGAGCCTTTGGTGGACTCTCCATTTCAGGGACGCCCTGGAAGAGATGGTGGCCCAGCACTTCCCCCTGGACAGCTCGACGTTGCTGCCTGGGGCCCCTGAGTATCTCTGCTACGTCAGTGCCATGCGCAAGGCACGTCCACTTCACATTCTGCTCAGCTGTTTTTCACAAGCAGATACGATACTCACAAAATATAGTTGTTTTTAAACGCCTGGATGGGATAATTGCCCTTTCCGAGAAAAAGCTTGAGATATACGTAAGCACTTATGAGCTGTGAATGCGAATTCTTGCAAGCCGCTCGTCCGCTCTGTTTTCCGTCTGCTGCGTAGTTTTCGTCGCCGGGCAGCGGGCGGGCTCCCCTGGGCGCGCTGGCCTTGGAGGCTCCGTGTTAACGGCGCGCTGAGGGACACGCAGCGCCATGGGGTGAGCGGTTGTGGAAATTGACGAGCGCAGCGGCCAATGAGAGCCCCGTTGACGCGTGCCAGCCAGTGGAACCGAAGGCAAAATCCATCAGCTTTACTTCGCTCCTTTGGGATCGGGGAAACTAGGTGCCAGTTTCGCGCTTTAAACTGATGAAGTCAGCTCGCTCCATGGGACAGTTAATGCTTTCGCATTAAAAACTAACATATATGTCAGGGCAGTGTCTACATTGGAAGGCTAATCTTAAAGAGACACTGATACCCCCCAAACATTTTGTTTATGTTTTGCCAGGCAATCTTTTGTGGTGTCAGGAGACTATTGAATCAATATTTTGATATAGCGCCGCGTGTATTTTAATAAAGTTAAAAAAAGCGACTGCTCGAGACCGAAACTGAAATTGACTGTGGAGAAAGAAGAAATATAGAGGAGAAAGGTACCAAAAAATCACAAAACTCTGCTACTTTTTTTTTTTTTTAATCAACGTATTTGCAGTTTTTAGAAGCCATGTAAAATCGGTGTCATTTTTTGTCTACTTTCAGTATTCAGTGTGTGTTTTCAATGACCCACGACTTTGATTATCTTTGGTGGTTGTGTCTAAACCATAGAAAGCGGCCCCGCGACCACGGGTAAGAGAATCGGCACAAGTTAAACCGGCCAGTTCTCGATCGATGGTTTTCGGGCAAAAAGAAAACAAATTTCGAGCCACAAATTGTGTCTTGGGTAGTTGGGCTCTCATATGTCATGCAGAAATAAAAACCTTGGCGAGCATAAATATACCGTCAGTGTCCCTTTAACTTACTAGGAGTGATTCCGAAACATACTTTTATTCTGGCACGTCTTAATACTAAAAATAAATCTTGCAACCCAAGGTATTGCTCTAAATTATGTTGATATTTTTTTAGGCATTTTTGCGCCTAGTTAGATCCAATTCGGTTATAACAAAATAGCAGCTATAGTGAAGCGATCACGATTTCTCATTTTCAGGTGTACTTTTTCAGTATATTTTTGTCTATTTTAGTGAAGTATATTGAGTGGCTCCCATGGATATAGCAAAATATAATATAGCAAAATATAGCAAAATATAGCAAATAAAAAAATTTTAATTAAAAAAAAATGTTACCAAGGCGTGGAGTGCCGCATTTCGCTGCCTTGGCCGAGCAGTCGCCCAGAAGGGGCAGCACACGATGCTGCAAAGGCCTGTTGGTGCAGCCTCTGCATTGTCGTCTGCTTCCTGCTTCTTACGTGGAAAGCGGCTTTTCCGCATCGCACGTGGAGAAGCCATCGTAGCATGCCGATAGGGGTGTTCGGAGCGCTAGAGGCAACATACTGACGTGGAGATCCTAGATTTAAGAGAGGGAGCAACTCCCACCATGGAGAGCATTTGCAATTGGCGGACTTTTTCTGGGCGCACTGGCACAAATGCGCATGCGTTGGGTTGCTGCGTGGCGAACAGGAAACTCGGCAGAGGCTTTTGTTTTTTATTTATAACTTACTGCAGACCATGATGGTCCAAGCAGTAGTGAATACAACGAAATATATTGTCCGCATTATAAGCAAATATACACCGCAAAATCTTCGACAAAAATGTGACAAAAACAATTGCAGTGGAATCTTGATTATGCGTCCTTGGTTTATGCGATATTCCGCATTTTGCGACGAATTTTCCCGATCTGGACAAACTCCCCATAGAAATAATGTATTAAAATTTAGGTTTACACGACACGCAATTCTACGCATCCTGCGTCATACGATGTTCCGGCGAGAAAGGTGCGACGAATTCGACGGTTGCATAAGGAGGGGGGCGGCGGCGTGGCAACGTGGAAGCATTCTGCATGCCGTTTCAGAGGGTTCAAAAACACGCCGCCGGCAACCCAAGACAGCCGCAGCGCCGGGAGAGGGCAGGAGACCGCGCTTTCCCTTCTCCTCCCCGGAACTGAACCAGAGTTGAATAACCGGGCTGAAAAAAGAAACGGTTTCACACCCTGCTCTAGACACATTCCGCATTACAGTGTAGACTGCATATAACGTATGTCGCGGGAGTCGCGAAAATCCGCACTATAAACGGTACCGCGCTATAACTAAAACATAAATTTTTCAGGCCAAAATGCATACCATCAGACAACTTACCTTTGTAAAAGAATTTATTATATATTAGATGAAAATAAAGCTTAGTTTGAGGAAAGTCTTTATTTCACCAGACTAGTACAGTTCTGTCTCAAGTGTGTCACGCATTTTGAAAGAAATGAGCGACTTTTGCCTGGCGCAGCCTTTTAACGGCGTCGCGGGTTGCGGACGGACGTTGCGAGCGTTCAGGATTGCTAACCCTAATCACTTTTCTCTGGTGATGAAAACGCATGAAAATTCGCATCCTTTATACGTTACGTGCATGAAATGCTCCAAAAGCATGAAATGCGCGCATGAAATGCTCCAAATAAGAAATCCGGGCGATGTTCGAAAACACAAATGCTTAGAAAGCACCACTGTAGTCGCAAGTAAACAAACACAACGACACGGGCGTTTCTGCCGTCTTGAGAGTGCCGCCACAACATCGCCGCACGAATAGGTGGATCTTCCCTTCTAGCACGTGCTGGGTTATCATAGCGACACACAACGAAAATTCTCAATCAAGGATAGCGCTTTTACACAGAACGATGAGCTTCCACTACGCCGTCGACGTCGACGATCACCACCGACGCCATGTTTGCGGATAGAAGAAGCCGGCCGGCCCGCGACCGGCAGGCAACGCGCGCGAATGGCTGGTTGGGCTCACCAACGCCTTGCGCCTTGCAGGGCCGTAACCAGGGGGGGGGGGGATAGGGGGTTCTGACCCCCCCCCCGAAATTTTTTTCTGGGTACGGCCCTGGTCGGTGCACTGGCAGCCAGCCGATTTTAATCTCCACCTCTGCGCACGCACAGTGGCGCCGGTCGGCTACCGGGTACCAAACCGGGACCGGTTCTCCGGTTTGCTGTAACTCTCCATTATATGCCACCGATGCACATGATTCATAGGCGAAAATAAGACAATAGACACTTTCAAAATGGCCACCGTTGTCCCCGAAAACCCCCCCCCCCCCCCCCCCCCCCCCCCGAAATTTTTTTCTGGGTACGGCCCTGGCGCCTTGCACCGTGAACGACACGTGCGTGCGTCCCTCCGTCGCTGTGGCAACTGAAGCTTCTCTCTTCGCTTCTCCCCGCTTCTTTGAGCAACCTCCTTGCCATCCTTGCCCCCGTGAGTGCCGCTTGCGGCTAGCGCCGTTATCTGGTGTCGCACAGGGAAGCGTGCTCGCTGCGCCGGTCGGTTGGCGCGGTCGGCGGGCTGTTCCAGAAACCGCACTATAACCAGTATTTCCCTTCGCGCGCCTGCATTTTATGCGGTATGTAATTACATGGAGTTCTATGGGGAGGCGAACCGGTGGTTTAAAAATGCCGCGTTATACCCGGTCCTGCACTATAAGCGGTTACGTTGTAAGTGGTCTATACTGTAATAGGAAGCAGTTTGAGCACCGTAGCCTTATATGCGAAGCATTTAGGGCCTGGGTTCTTGGGAAGTTCCCCGGAGCACACTGGCGGGTCCACCGAGCTTTCCTCGACTGTTCCTAAGTAAAGTGTTTTTCCTTCCTTCGGCAGGTCTGACCCAGCCACTATGCACAAAGGCAGAGATTAGCAACTGCTTATGACTCAATGCCTCCTCTTGTGTACGACGACATAACGCACTGGGGGGCCATCTGTCGAGTGGAATACTTTACCCCCTTTGTTTTATTATTCTTTTTCATTGACAGTGCTATCCATTTCTCATAGATATATTTGATCCCGCAAATGAAACCTTTGCTCTAATGAAATGCAGTTTCACTGCCACCTTGTAGATGGCGCCAGCGTGCCAGTGTGCTCCCATAAAAGATCACTAGAGCCAGGTCGTATGCAAACGCAAGTATGTGAACGGGCCTTAGCTATGAGCTAAACGCTCTTGTAGTATTTTAGTTTTTCATTGAACTTCCACGCTACATAGGTGGCGCCACCAAACGCCACTAGCACAAGTGTTCTACACTACATAGATGGCGCCACCAACCACCATTGGGCCCGTGCCCTCAGGCTGGCTGCCCCAGGGTGTTGAGCCCCATGTTGTTGACTGTTGGTAAAGTCGGTACGGCTCGAGGTACCTTCTGTGTCAGACGGGTCTTTCTTCCGGGGCTTTTCCTGCCCCAAGCTCTGCCGGCCACGGCCTCATCGGCATCTGAGATCCTCGTCATTTCTGAAGGCTAGCGTGGGTTCTGCGCATCCTTTATTTTGTGGGTTTTCCTTTTTCTAATTACGACAGCTCTCTGGTATCTGCAATGTTGTTTAGAAGGACCCTGATTCGGGGGATGCTTTCTTCAGATGGTGGCGGGTCTGGAACGGAGCGGAAGCCCGGTGCTGCTCGAGCTGCTCATCCGGGTGCTGTACCGCGAGCGCGGCAGCCACTTTCTCGAGGCGGAAGTTCTGCTCGCTCTGCAGCGCACCTTAACCAGGCAAGTGTTACGGAATTCACTCAATCTCACTCCTGAGCACGGCCTAGAATTTATACTGTCGAGACTGGTTATAATCAAGTGGACGGGAATCGTAAGTCGCTTCGCTGTATCTGCTTCTTTGTTATATCTAAACTAAAAGAAACGTGCAAAGACAAAAAAAAAAAAAGCTAACACGGGCCGTCACGGGCACGTGCTCATCGTACCTACAGAAAAAGGTCAAGGCTTCCCTGCACGCACTCTCTGCTAGATCGGAGCCGCTTCTCGCTAACTCCGAGAAGCTCCAAGTGAGAAAAGATCCTGCGATCTATGCACGGACCGCTTCGACGGCTGCCATGGAGGCCATCAGCGGCCGCCGCCTAGAATAAAGAGCGGGGACAGCTGCTCGATTTGGGTCACGTGATTTGTGGGCTGCATTTGCAAAACGAGCTGCAGCCTGCAAGGAGTCAAAAGCACCGTCTGCAAACGTGTCCCCCTCTCCACCCAGTTTCCTCTCCACACTGACCACGAGACGACCAAATGCAGACGCCAGTCTGAAAAAAAAGTGGGGGTGTGGAGGGAATTTATTAGCTATTGGGCCGTGTGAAAGGAAGAATAGAAAACATAAAAAGCATTTTATCACTTTTGTGTTCGTACAACGCATGCTGAAAAGCGTGCCACAGAAATGAAGTGCGGCGACACCCGAAAATGCAATGCGGGCGCTGGCCAATTCAAGCCAAGTCAAGCGAGGTCAAGTCACAGGGTGTCTACCGACCGGGAAAACCGGTAATTGTCAGGGAATTTTAAGACACCTGGAAAAGTCGGGGAATTGTCAGGGAAATTTCCAAAAAAGGTTGCCGAGTCAGGGAATTTATTTCATGTTCGCCCACTCATGCTAGAAGCGGCAGGCACGGGCAGGCGGAGCCACGAGCGCAGTTAAGTGCAGCGGCATGACGTCTGCGCATCTCAATGAGACGAGCCGCCGGGTCTGGTTGAAGTGCCGAATGTCGAAAGTTGGCGTGGCGGCGCTGCAATCGATCTAGCTTGGAACGCGATGCGGCGACGTGGAGTGCAGCTATCGCAAACGCTGATGAACGCCGCTACACGCAGCTGGACGCGCTGTGAACCAGCCGCGATGCGAACGCTGGAGGATGCTGCTAACGCCGCGAAAGCGAACATGAAGGCACCCTAGGCGCAGCGCCGCCACGCCAACTTTCCACGCCCTGCGCTTCACACGAGAGCATGTGCAGGGCAGAGCAGTTCGTCGTTCTTCTAGTACACTCGAGCCACTAAATTATCTACACTTTAGAGCAGCAACACTAAAGTATGACGGCTAAAGCGCTATGGGCTAAAGAGTTACTAGTGAAGCGGAGTGGCAGCGGCTACTTTGCTTAGTTCGGGACTCCAGGACTGTCAGGTGATGTTGCTCTAGTACGCTCTGGAGTTATCGTGACGCAGAAGAAACAGTTACTCTAGCCGATACTAGGTGGCGCGAGTCACCACTCATTCAGAAGAGAACAGTCGTCGGTTCATCTACCTTCTGAGAGGCGCGTGCCAGAGCCATATATGGCACGCGCCTAGCGATCCATTTGTTTGTCAGATATGTTTTCGGTCCCCGTAAACGCAACTGACCGCCTGCACTCTGCGAGCTCTGCCACGTTCGTTTGTGGCTTTGGGTTTGGCGTTCTACTGTGTTATTTTACTGAAGTGGAGATACGTGAAAGTGACTATGTTGCTGTCGAAGAAGTGCTCCTTCAACCTCGACTGGACAAACTTGGACATATCCACGAATGCGAGTTGGATTCGGCCAGTTCCAAACGATCCAAATAGTGCTCGCTGCACAATGTGCTGCAAGAAGTTCTCCCTGAGCAATATGGGGAAACGTGCGATTACTAGTCATGTTGAGGGTAAGAAACATCAAGCTGCTATGAAATCTCTGCAAAGCGTTTCCCAGACTTCAATCGTATCATTTTTCAAGACTGCGTCAAATGTGGACTTGCCTTCCGCTACAGCAACGGGCGTTTTTTCGGGAGGTAGCGCTAGTGCTTGTAGCGCTCCGGCAGTGCGTCTATCCACCGCCACGGAAGCTCTTAGCCCGTCTGTGAAGACGTCGGTGAGTGGATTTTTATTGAAAGATGAAGTCACAAAGGCCGAGATCATGTGGTGCTTGAACACTATAATGACTCGTGGATCTTTCCATTCAGCGACAGCATCTGCCTCGCTGTTTCCGTTGACGTTCCCCACGTGTGAGACCGCCAGAAAAATGCAGCTTGGAAAAGACAAAGTGGGATACACCATATGTCATGGTATCGGTCCATACTTTCAAGAGAAGTTGCTAGCAAGCCTCTCTAGTGTGCCACATCTGGTGGTTGCTTTTGATGAGTCACTGAACAAAGTAACCCAGAGAGAACAAATGGATGTACTGGTCAGGTACTGGGACCAAACTGACGCCACTGTAAAAACACGCTACCTAACTTCGTGTTTCCTGGGGCACACCTGCGCAGAAGACTTCGCATCTGCTTTCAGGAAAGGCACAGAAGTCATTAAGCAGACAAAGATACTACAAGTGTCAATGGATGGACCCAATGTAAATTTGAAGTTTCTGAGGTCCCTCAAAGAAGAACTTAGAGCCTCCGACACCAATCACCAGATCCTGGACATTGGAAGCTGTGGACTCCACATCGTCAGCGGTGCATTCAAGGCAGGTCACGCTGCGACGCACTGGGATCTGGTAGTGTTTCTTCGTGGGAGCTATAACCTGTTCAAGTGTGTGCCGGCACGTCGTGCAGACTACATTCACTTCACGGGAAGTGCTCTGTTTCCGTTTGAAGTTCTGCTCAGTAAGGTGGCTGGAGAATAGCAAGGTGATCTCGAGAGCGCTTGATGTTATTCCAAACTTGGTTAAGTTTGTGGAATGTTCGAAGGAAGCAAAAAAAAGGCCAGCATGTGCAAGCTACAGCACTGTTGAAAAGGCAGTAGGTGACCAGATGCTGCCAGTGAAATTGGCGTTTATGCTCTCGATTTCTGAAGAACTTGAGCCATTTCTGGCTGAATTCCAGACAGGCAAGCCCATGCTTCCCTTCCTTGCCCCTGCGTTGGATCGCCTCTTACGGTCACTGCTGGCTAGAGTCGTCAAGAAAGATATCCTACAAGCTGCCAACACATCTTCCAAGCTGCTTAGGATCGACTTGGACAACTTCGTTGCAGCTGCTGCATTCGACATTGGGTTTGCTGCTAAAAATGAGCTTCGCAAGATCCAGAAACCATCGCAACTGACTGTGCTCAGCTTCAAAAAAGACTGTATTTCCTTCGTGAAGAGGTGTTCACAAAAAGTGATGGAAAGGTCACCTTTGAAATACAAGTTGACAAGAGGTGCAAGCTGCTTGGATTCGGCTAGTGCGTTGTCCCCGGAGGTTGGTGAGAAACAACTGTGCATTGCACTGGAGGTGCTAACGGAGCACCAGTGGATGACTGGCTTGGAAGCAGAGCGGGCCCACCGTTCCTATGTAGATATATGCTCACTCAGCTCTGTACAGGCAGCGTTGAAGGACTTTGACAGGAAAGAGCAGAGGCTGGACGCCCTCTGGTTTGAGTTGTGTTCACGGGTCCACAAAGAGCTATTTTCGTTTGTCAAGCTAATACTCTGCTTGTCTCATGGTAACGCAGCTGTGGAACGGGGTTTCTCTGTGAATAAAGAGTGCCTTGTCGAACACCTCAAGGAAGAGTCGCTGATAGCCCAAAGAGTGGTGTATGATGGAGTGTCAGCAATGGGAGGGTTGGCCAAAGTTGATCTTACAAACATGATGCTGCAAATGGTTCGTGGTGCCAATGCCCAGTGGAAGGAGGAGCTACAAAGAAAGAGGCAAGAGAGATTGGACGCTTCAGAAGCCGAAAGGAAGAAGAAAAGAGTGGCCACTCTAGTCAGGGAGCTTCAACAAAAGAAGCAAAGGGTCCTAAACGAGGCGCAATTGCAGGCTTCTCGTTTTGACGAAGAAATTAACTCCCTGAAACAGTGATCCCTGATCAATGCTGTATTCCAAACATCTTCAAGAGTGAAGACAGTTGCTTTATTTAACTTAAATCAAATATTTTACGTTGTGAATAGTGTCTATCTATAATATATTGCATTTTGGTGTCAGTGGTTGTTTCTGGGTGTGGGTCAGGGAATTTAGTTAAGATAGTCAGGGAAAACCTGGAAAAGTCAGGGAATTTGAAAAAAACAATTTGGTAGACACCCTGAGTCAAGTCAACACAAGCCAAGCCAAGACCACCGACCGTGTTTACGCAATCGTGTTAACGCAATCCTGCAGCACCAGGTGTTTGCTTATGCAAAGAGACCGGAACGAGAATGATTGTGAGCGTGTATCATCGGGTCCAGCGGTCTTTTTTCTGCCTGCGCATTTTTTAGTTTTTGCTCCACAGTGGTCTGGTGTTTGTATGTTGGTGCTTCTGTTTCGTGCCTTGTTTGGATTGTGGGCTGCCGAGGAGCTCGCAAGGAAGAAAAAGGAACTACCAGACAAGTGGTTCGGTCTTCTGTGATGTGGGCACCGCTTGTCTGCGAAGTTCCCTAGTGCTTCTCTGCGATATCTTCAAAGTCGCCAAGTGACTTGCAAACGGAAAGACCCGAGCAGTGAGGACAAGTGCAGTCGAAACGTACAGTGATATTTCTTTGAATTTCATTGCCTTTGCACTTTGCTGTGCCCGAGTGCGGTAAATTTATGCGGCCTTGGCTCGCGTTATAATAGTAATAATATTTTGTTTTGTTTTGTTTGTGAGGGCATCGAAATTTCCCCTCGCGTTATAGTCGTGGTCGCGTTATATTCGTGCAAATACGGTACTTTTTTTAAATAATCACGAAATTTCTTTTCACTATATCCGTGGGAGCCGATCAATTTTTTTCACTAAAAACAGACACAAATACTTTTAAAAATTGTAAATGGGAATGGGAAATCGTGATTGTTTCGCGATAGCGGCTATTTCATTATAACTGACTTAGTTATAAACAATCGTGACAGGATAGGTGAGGACACTGCGTGCGCTGCAGCTGCCAGATAAGGTCCTCTTCTCGCCTTGGTTGCAACCGGCGCCACCAGATGACTGATCGGCTAGTGTTTTCGGGTTGCAGGTTCAGTTTCCCATGCTTCTTTATGAGAGATATGCTTGTTTTTAAAGTTGTTTACTTGGTGTGCCAGATCATGTAGAACTTGGCACTTGCACTTCACATGTTGCAACTTCGTCATTAAATCTAGTTTCATGCCCCATTGGCGGCAAGGACATTTTTATTGATGTATTGAAGGGCAGAGATCTGTGGTACAGTGTACTTTGGATGGTTTCTGATGCGATACACGCACAATATGCTCATGCGCTCCCCGGATTTTTCAGAATAATCTAGACAAGTTTAAATTTATTCAGGACTCTCGACGTCACGAGATTTTGTGGAGAGTTACACTTTATTATTTGAGAGCCAGCTGCATGCGCCAACGGCCACTTGCTATAGGAGTCCTGTTTTTTTACGGCTGCTCGCGCTTTTATTTACCCTTCCTCGTGGCGATGAATCGCAGATCGCGTAGTCTGGGGTATGATCCCCACTGTGCAGCTGGGCAAATCTTGCTAATTGCAAATAATTATGCTTAATTATGATTAAGTAGGCTTAATTATGATTAAGCGTGAATGCCATTTTACTCTCATAATGAACACACCTTTTTTCCCAAGAAATTGATGCATATTTGGGCGCACCCACGGCTGGTTGGGGAGGCGCCACCGTAACCATGCTTTATAAATTGCGAACATTTTTAGGGCGCTTTCGGCGAGCCTTTTGCTGAAGGAAAAGCGCTCTATGAAGCTCACTCAGCAGACAGAGTGGCGCGACCGTTCTTAGACCTGACCACTTTAACGATTTCACTATCCGAAAGCAGACCACAGACGACGGCATGTTTATTGACATCAGTGCATCCGATAGGCGAAGAATGTCCAGGGCTGGGCAATTCCTCGACCCAAGCTTCGTCAAGTGTGCGCGCCGCTCTGTTTCATGGTTGATCACTTCCGCAAATATGCACTTGCAGCCATTACGTGAGCGACTTGGCTTGGCTTCATCCGTTGAAAAACATGTACTCGAAAAAACGATGACACATGTACCTGTGTGGGTGATGACACACAGGTACACATGTACCTGTGTGGGTCATACCCCATTAGGTGATGTACCAATGCATTCAAATATTAGCGGGCCAACCTAAGATTTAGGATTTTTTTTTTTGTTAGACGAAGGAACGTTTTATTTGGTGTTGAACAAACGAAGCTCTTCCGTTTTTGTATTTATTTATAGTGCAGTCTTCCGTTTTGAGTTTTTGAACTGCGGTGCGGTACATAAACATTGGTTCGCTAATATTTTTTCCGTTATGGTTTTCTAGGTGTGGAGAGACTAAGCAGCAGCAGTTAATAGAGGCTGCCTACAAGTGTGGTGCGACCAATCAGGGCCTTCTGATCTCTGCCCGCCTCTCACTGGCGTCGAAGCTTCTGCCGCTGCTGCTCAAGAGCTGCTCCAAACCCGCCCTGCATCACTTTTTCGTAGACAATGTCACTGCCATGGTGGATGCAGTTGCTGCCAAGATACGCCATGTAAGTCAGAACCAAGTGCTGTAAAGGCCAATTCACACGCTCGCGTTTGACGATGACCGACTGACTTTAAGACTGGTTTTGAAGACTTGCCATAGCTTAAGAGGATATCGTAGCTCCCGAGCCCTATGCAATTCTAATGGCAACTTGAAATGGCTCCAGGCGGCCCTACAAGTCGTTTATCGCTGCTTCTCGTTGTCTAGCTCTCTCTGGTGACACCAGGGAGAGCTAGTTGTTTTACCCGTGACCAAGCAGCGCTGCGCTGAAAACGCTAACTCCTTTGGTCGTTAAATGAAGACGTTCCAAAGCAAAAAGGCTGCCCTTCTGAGATATAGGCATTCCTTCGCATCAAAAACTGCCTGGCTTAGACATTCCATCCGCACTCTGCTGAGTGGGTAAATGAAACTGCGCAAATAAAAATGATCGTTATTAAATGCATTGAAGCTGCGATTGCACTTTATGGGATTTTTTAAGCAGCACTTTTTATGAAACTTTAGCGGAGATGTTTTTCCTTAAAGCGGGGAATTTCCTACTGTATGTCAAGTGACCCGATGCCATGAGATGTTGTGTCACGTAATGAAGAGAATGAGCTGAGCCAGTTGGGCCATGCTTGTGGATAGAATCAACTCTATCTTAATCGGCTGCTTCTATCCACGTTGCACCACGACTTCGCCACATGAGACCCCAGGTCGCGCGGTATCGTGTTGACCTGACGGCTCGACACCCTGACGTAAATTTCTCCATTAGGGGGGAAACTGATGTTACGTGGCACCGTGCTGTCACCCGACACAGCAATCTTATGCGGTGAGTTGAGCCTAGCGGGGAAGGCCCATGGAGGGTTCTAATATTTAAAAGTTTGAGCAGCCCCGCTCTAAGCATAGCTTTTTAGGAAACGGTAAAGGCGACTTCTCGTTTGTTTTCGTCGCTTGCCCAGGGCTCGGAGTCCGAGTTGACGAGCAAGATCGTGGCCCTGTCCTGCCTCGAGGTCCTTTACTCCTGCTGCCTCAAGGACGACGTCACGGGGAAGCAGTCGTCCGTCAACGCCGCCTTCTGCCGCTCGCGAGGCATCGTCGACGTCGTGGGGAATGAACTCACCAAGGAGATCACTAAGTAAGCTTTTGATAGCGGGAACGCAGCACTATGAACCGGTAGAGGAAATGAATGCGACAAGCACCAACTAGGATTGCGCATCTTAATGCTCAAAGTTAAGGTGAGATATTGAGCATGATGGTAAACCCGGGGACTGGGGTGGCCAAATTCAAATTTTGCGTTGTAGTCCTTCGCGAAAACTCGCAGTGCCTCGAAAGAGCTTGCGCAGTCAGGGCACGCGTCAAAAAGCAATGAGCACGTCCTGGAGGCCGGGCGTTAAAGAAAAAGAGTGATTGTTAGAAGCCAGGCATTTTAAAAAGATTCTGCACAGTTCTCACTTTGACAGTGGCTGTAGCCAACACCAACTTGTGCCGGCGCACAGCCATCCGAGCAGACGGACTTGCCTGCTGTGTGGCTAGACCTTAGGATGTTTGTAGCGGGTCCAAAGAATGAGACAGTTATGGAATGCTGAGGAGGTTCCTTGTAGGCAGATTATGGATCGGGCACGGGGGCGGGATCGAGAGCAGAAGTGAAAAAGATCTGAAAATCCTCAAAATCATGCTCGGGTGGTGGCAAAGAAACGAGAATGATGCCACAATAATTGTGAATACGCAATCCTTCTCAGATTGTGGGAACCTCGGCCGGCACTCAATTCCGCCGACTGGGTAGGCAGGTTGCTTTGCTTTGGAGCGTGCAAGGCGGCTGGGCTGGGGTCGCTTGCATACTCCCAAACCATTTGGAGACTCACTTCAAACACACAGGCAGGAAGTATTTGTTGCCCATCCTGCCCAGATTAGAAAAAGAAGGATATCATTCTTGCACTGGTCCGTGCACTCGTGAAACTGTCAAACTTGTCAGAGCTGTCTCGTGGTTTTTAGAGCGCAGCTCTTAGGCGCCCGTTTCCGGCTTGAGCGGCGTCGCCGTCGGCGTAACCAAGGTCACCCCAAGGTCATCCCAAGGTCACATGACCCCAGGTCTTGTGACCCCTCCCAAGGTCACGTGACCCCCGATGTCACGTGACCCCTCCCTAGGTCATTTCAAGGTCACGTGACCCCCAAGGTGACCCTCAAAGGTCACCCCCCAAGGTCACGTCACCCCTCCCTAAATCACCCCGAGGTCATGTGACCCCCTCCCCCTGAGGTCAGGTGACCCCCCGGAGCATATTAAAGAATGAGGGGAGGAGGAGGAGGAGAGGTCTACCCTCCCCTCAGTACCCTTCCCTCGTCCTCCTCAAGAGCCGCGCTCCAATTCGGCATTACAGGGAGTTGTAAACGGCTTTCACTTTTTTTGGTTTTTTTTTTCCAACTCATGAGAAAAATTTTTAACACTGATTTGGTCAGGGCACAAAATAGGTAAGAAGTTCACCTGTGGGATGTTGCCACAAAGTAAAGCAACACGCAATACTATCTGCGTTACCACTGCCTTTGCCGCAATATTGTGGGAAAGGGGCAAGTTTTTGGCCACAAAATGCGTCGTAGGGCTGAGTTCCATGAGAAAAGCGACACATTGAGCTCAACCGACACAAAGGTGAAGGTCACAAGCAATCTAGCCCCGTAGGATCTGTAGAGCTCATATGACTTTGGCATCACATGACTCCACGACATCACGTGATATCATGTGATGTCACACTCACAGAGCGTGCACCCAGTTCATTGCAACACTTTCTGTGTATCTTTACCAGATTGGACACGCTTATTTTTAACTGTGATCAGTGCGGTAGTTCATCCGAGATATGAAGGATCTCTGTGGCTTCAGCAACGGGCGACGTCCCGGGCTTGCTTTGGTGAAGCACCCTCCGCGCCTTTTCAGACACGCCAACTCCGCCAAGAAGGAGGTGGTTCGCAGAGACGTGGAGTTTGCCGACCTGTGGCGGCAGCTGCGCTGTGCGGCGTACAGGCTGGTGGTCGCCGTGGTCTCGTGCACGCAGACGGAGTCCCAGTTCTACGACGTCTTTGTCTTCCAGGAGCGGCCGGAGAAGGTGAGGGACTGCGTCACTAAAAATGGTTTCTATGTCGGTCGTGGTTTCTTGGGGCGTCAATATGGTGCCTAAAATGCGTCTTGGACTGGTCTGTTTAGCATCCTATGCTGTCCGTGCTTCATGTACTGGCAACGGGAGACGTCATGTCGGATGTTGTGATCCGGTCAGTTGAGTAAGAGCAATGTACCTCGAAGCCCGCTCGCATGGATCAAGTTTCGTTCATGGAGAGGCTACCAGACAGTCTCAGCCTACAGCAGAGCATGCACCCTGCTGTGCTGTTCTGTTGCGGATTAAATAAACGCATTTATCCGGAGTATGTGAAATTACACCTAACCACTTCCATGATTTCACTGTCCGAAAGCAGATCACAGATGACGGCTTGTTTGTTGACATCAATGCATCCGATAGGCGAAGAATGTCCGGGGCTCGGCAATTCCTCAACCCAAGCTTCGTCAAGCGTGCGCGACACTCGGTTTCACGGTTGATCACTTCCATAACTACCGCAACTATGCGCTTGCTGCCATTATGAGAGCAGCCTGGCTTGGGTTGACTTGGCTTGACTTGGCCTGACCGCTTGGCGGCAAAAGAAAACTGGCTTGGTGGCTCGCTAAATTGGGCGCAACTCGAGACTTGCGGATCCGAAAATTGGAGGTGCGTCGATTGCGGGAGGGAAAGAAAAAGTCAAAATATTGATGCCCGTTGTGGGGGGTGCATTTATTATGCGAGTAAATATGGTATTGCGCATTGCATTTCTACTAGCTAACACCAAAGAGTCTGCGCAAATGAATTGTGGCACTTTCTTTCCTTAGTAAACCACGTCTTTTGTGGCCGCACTTCCTGTTCATTGTTTGCAATCTTGACCACGGTTCACATTATGGACATATTTTCTGGGGGGCGGAAGTGTCCGTATTAATAAAACGTGACTGTATCGAAATAAGAGTAATTGTGTGGTCGAGCTGGAGAATGATTGTGGTAGAGAACCCTTCAAACCTTGTCGCGTTTGTCTTTATTTTTTTTTTTTTTGTTCTCTAGTTTTGACGGTTGTCTACCATGACTGTATTGACTGCTACAAACTATTCGCTTCGTTTCTGAATTATTCGATTTGCTCTAAATTATTCCTACGAAAGAACTATTTGCCTTGTATTTGCTTTGAACTGAAAAATCGCTAATCCCACATCCCTGCAAAAAACGTAAAGAATCAATGAAAGAATCATGCAACTTGTACCTTCAGTGTCTTATCAAAAGGTTGCGTAATGATTTCATTTCAACCTTTTTGTCCTTTGTTTGTTTTGCAGATTTTCATCCATACGAGTGAAGGGGTAACAGAGTAGAAATGCGATCTAAATATGGCCAATTTCACTCGCCAGGTAAGCTTTGTCTATTGGTAAGCTCCTGTCGAGCCTACCGATAGACAAAGCCTATCAATATGCAAAAGATGAATACTGTCTGCTGCCAGTAATGAATGCCACCTTCTGGTTGCGTAGAGTTTTTGTGAGGTGTGAAGAAAAAGTTCGCCTTACCTCTTTGGAGACAGCCTATGTAATTGGCCTCTTGATGCCACCTGCAGTTTATCGAGGTTTCGTGATGCCCGACTTTCATTCCATATCTGTCGGTAAAGCATTTTTTTAATTTACAGGGAGAGTTTTTGTGGAACAACCTTGTCGACGAAAAGGCAGTCTACACATTCCCCCTGGAGCGTGAGGTGAGGAGTGTGCTTGGGATCGTTCGAGGGTGACCGGGAATTTTGTCCATGAGGAGTCAAAGAACAAGTGTAGCATAACGAAACTTGTTCTTAATTGTCCCGTGCCCAGAATGACACATTTGATGCATGCATAGCAGACCCAGCTGCGGCAAGCTGTGTCCGTAGCTGTGTAGCAGCGGTGCATAATCAAATTCTCGTGAAATATAAAACAGCTAAAATTTTGATGTCAAGCACATGGTGGAAAACGAGCAATGTCACGGAGTGTATGAATGATGTCAATAATTGTCTCAGATTTTCTGGGACTCTCCCTAGTTCTCATACAGTGTCCCGGCTTGTCCTAGTGTGGGCAGCATTATGTCCGGGATTGGCGAAATTAGGGCCCAGGTAGATATTTCATGCGACTCGTATATTTCTAACAGGTCAAAAAGCTCAAGAGCTACGTCGGCTTGGCAGGCTGACTGTGGGGAGCTTTAGTCATTAGCCGCTTTAGCATGCATGCCGGGGTAGGCCTGTTTGCGTGTTTGCCATTCCATGGCGATACTTGCCTGTCTTGCACTAGCACCGACAACGCTGCAGCCCCCCCAAGGGAGGGTGCCTGTCATCATCATTATCTTATCAACGCAACGCTAGCCCAACGCAGCCCGACTTCCTTTATTGGAGAGTTGGGAACCCTAGACGACAATTGAACTGCTCGTCACATTGTTCCCTTTCTGCGGTCTCGCTGCTCAGTTCTTTTCACGCCAAAGAGGAGCTGCCAAAACAATGGCTGCGTGGTGCCTGGACGCACACGGGGTATACATTAAAAAATGGGACATACACTTTAGTACTTGTCAAATTTTTTATATTCTCTGCAGGTATGAAAGTCCCGGTCAACCTTAAACAACTTTTGTTCCTTGAGCAGTGCACTGACTGAATCTTAATTCAGACACTAATTTTTTTGCTCATGAATCAGGTAAACATCCCCACCTGCGCTTTTCCTAGGTGCTGTTTCAAAAGAGCCGTCACGTGGTCGGGGTGACAGAGGGTCAAGTGCCTTCCCCGTCATTTTCCGGTCGCATGGCTGGGTCGCTCCGGGGCAGCAGCCTTGCTCAGGAGGCGAGTCAGTACAGCCTCTCCGCAAGTGGCCTGGTAAGTGAGGGCTTCAGACACCTCTACAAGAAGCACACCTTAGCCGCACTTGTGCTGATGCCATGTAAGACGCCAACAAACTTGGCGCTTTTACAGCAACTCGGTGCTTTGAGTGGTGAACTAGGTCGGGAGTTCTCGGACATCTCGAGGAACATCTATCCCTCACGAGAGCCGAGGAACCCGTCCCGGTTTCGACTTTAATGTAATAATGCAGTGCACAAGTTGTGCAGACCCCTTAAACGGTAATTCACATGTAGTAGTACTAAAAAGTATTTGGTGAATTTGTAACAGTGCGTGTGAACCTAGGAGGATGGAGCGTGACGGACGAATGAAGTGTGTGGCTGCTTGCAAGAAAAGGGAGAATGCTGAGACTGCATTTTCAGCCTGACACAAATGTCTACCGATAAATTGCCTCGGCTCGCTACACATAGCTGTGCATCAGTGGATTGCTGCTATCTTCTAAAACAGTACTGAAACTGGAAAAACGCTTTACTTAGGGGCACGAATGACTAAGAAAAGCTTGGGGAACTTTTGAGGGTATCCTAGGGAACCCCCCCTGGGAACCTAGTTTAAGAACCGATGAACTTTAAAAGTTGTTTGTGTAAATGTGTTAACGGGTGTCTTTAGGAAATTTTTGCGGTAGTGTTTTCAGTTTGTCCTCACCTAATAGCTTGTAATGTTACATGCTTTTGTTTTTTGTAGGAGCAAAAGCATGTAACATAAAATCTTGGAGAAATGCCAAGTGTCTATTTATTTGGTTGCTTTTGCGAACCTTTCAGTCTAGTTTGCTAAATCCTGTTAAGAGAGTCTTTGCTGCCTGCCTTGGGGTTTCGTCTGGTTCCGTAATGCAACTAGTTAAATTTGTACGAAGGTAACTGATTTCCTAACTTAATTACATTTTAGCTGCAGTGACTAATTTTAACTTGATTGCTTTTTAAGGGTCATGACCTGCGATGAATTGGAGCACTTGGAATTTTTGTAGAGGTCTCAAACTCGGGGTCTGTGCAGATTTGGAGAGTGTGCAATCCGGGCAAATCTTTTCGGCCCCTCATCAGTCAAGTTCGAGTTGCACTTTATTATTGTGTATTGTATTGTTTATTTTTTATTTTGGATAAAAAGTTTGAGGAGCGAGAGATATCTTCTGATGGGACCGTAACCCCTAGTTACAGCACTCAGCAGAAAAAAAATATTATTCAGGCTTGGTCATGCTGACAAGGACCAGGGAGGAGAGAATGTGTCCTGCACAAATCAGTCTGCACGTGGTTTTTGCTAGGAGATCATTTAAAGGGATGATCTGGCGAAGGTCTCCGTGCGCCTTTGTGTAGGCTTGCATGCTTTTGGCACCACAGCCTTCACAATAAGTGTGGTCGGCTGCCGATACACTTGGAATAATCCGGTTAGAATGCATGCATTTCGGTTAGGGCAATGTTGAACTTTGAGAAAAGTGATAATTAAAAAAAAAAAGCGATTTCGTTATAACGAGGGATTACTGTAATTCAGGGACACTTACTGCACTAAGAACAGTTAAAAGCCTTGAATGGCAAAAATGTGAAGGACTCACCATCCAGGCCAGAAATTACTTATAGTGGAATGCACAGTTAGTGAATCTTGTAAGACACACAATTGTTTGACTGAAATTGTACAACTTCCCTTCCGCAGGCTTTTTGGGACGTTGAGACGGTCGACTCGGATTCATCGAAAGGGACACAAGCACCTGCCAAGGAGGTCTGACCCTTTTTTTTATTTGTTTACCTCTGCAAATGCTACTGTCGGGAGTGTTCTCATATGGCGAGCTAGTTTGCTTTGTGTCCGAAGCGTACAGTGAGGGCACAGTGCCGAGCTCTGATTGGAGGATGTAGAGCAGACTCAAAGGCTCCATTTGGTGGGGAGGATTATATACCTTTACATCCGGGGACCGGTGGCGGGGGGTACGGCTATGCCCGTCCCACTGTGCGGTCGACTGCCACCAGCGAGGGCGGTCGCTGCGCCAGGTTTGCCAACGCCATGCCAACAACGATGATCCCGGTATCCAACGGCGTTCATTGGGAAACGGGGGCCCCCAACAAGACGCTGCGGTCAAGCGAGCTGTGGACGCAGAGTGCCCGCAGCACCCACCGACCTGAGAGCCAAAGTGGTATTGCGAGCGGAGTCACGCCGCTACCCGTCGTCGCAGAAGTTCGGCTCCCTGCACGTGGACGTCCCCTCTGACGAGGGGATGGCAACTGTCAGAGCCAAAGGAAACGCTAGCGTTGAGTTATCGCCGGTTGGATGAGCTCGTATGCTGCGACTCAACCTGTCATTCGGAGTCCAATCCAGGACTCCTCGACCGGACGATCGTTCACTCGGAGGAGATAACGCTTGACTGTCGAGCGCGATCGGTCGGGAGTTTCCCGAAAAATGGGAGACCCTCAGAGGAGTGCGAGAGGGTAGGCCAGCATGGTGCGTACTCTCCTGACACGATACAGAATGAACCGGCTCGAAGCCGGACGACTCCGGCCGGAACGTCCGCGATTTACTCCTTGGGGTGGGGAAACTAGTGGCTCCCACAAATGCGACATTGTCTGCTAGTCGTAGCAATGACTGTCTCACTTTTTCTGCGGCTGTCGGAAACCTACCGGTTCTTTACGAACGAGGACTCGGCCTTCGAGAAAAGGAAAAGGAAATACTTTGAAGCGAACGTTCCTTTTGTTGTTTGGTCACAGCCACTACAAGGACTGAAGAATTCGCGTTGGAGATGTTGTATACTGGAGAGAATGCCGTTTGCCAGACGGAGCTTTGTTGCGATTGCTTCCTCACCTTTTGTCTCCTCTCCCGTGTGCAGAGACATGCCCATTGAGACAGGGGAGCAAGAGGGTGACAGAGGCTGCTATGCGCTGAGAAAGTGAGGGAGAGGAGGACACGAGAGGGGACTTTGGAATGCCAAACCCTCGTTGAAAGGATGAGTGGCTGGACCTAAAGCTAGCAGCCTTTGTCTCCACTGCACTCGTCGAATGCGTTAGAGCGCGATACGCTGGCATCTGACGTTTGGCTTTCACATTTGAACACGTTCGACGAGTGCAGTTGGAGACAAAGGCCGCTAGTTTACGTCTATCCACTAATCATTCGAATCGGAGCTGGGCGTTCTGCCGTCCCCTCTCGTCTCCTCGTCTCCCTCACTTTCTCGGCCATGACAGTAAGAACTCCGAAAGAAACCTGCAACCTTTCAGATTGGCTGCTGCACTCTCTGTGTAATGTCGTCATTCGGAGAAGAGTATGTCTCCGTGTTGTGTCCAATTCACACATAACCTGTTCCTTGTGCATCTGACTACCTTTGCATCTCAACTTGACGGGAGTCACAAAACCAAAAGCAACTATCTGATGGGCAGCCTTGACAAACCAACCTTCTCGTTTTCCTTCTTTTTTTTTATTGGAACAATTTGCAGTGTTCGAGCATTATAGCAGCTACAGTCGAATGATAATAGTAGTAAAAGAGAATTCATTCGTGAAACATAAACGGGTAATAAATGAGTGAAGGCTGGGTATGCACAAAAATCAAATGAAAAATCCGCAGCTTTTTGCCACACTGTGCAAAGGATCATAGCGATACCTGCTATTGTGCATAGTGTCCCTGCCTAAGACTCAGTGGCGTCACTAGATGGTGGCGGGGGGGGGGGGGGGGGGGGGGGGCACTTCTGGTGCAGCGCTCGAGGGGGTGCGGCTGGGTAGTGAAAGGGAGGGGGGGGGGGGGGCGCATCCCGTGTTGCTCCTGCTGTGACCCCCAGCAACACCTGATGGGGACGCATTTAGGACGACCTCTACTATGTTATCAAGGTCGTCACATCCTTTGAAGAGGGTGCGAATGGGTAGGAGCGTGTACAGCCGCTCCACATACACACAGCGCAATGGAGTGCAAGCACAGTGAGCTAAAATGGTCTACTGCACATACCTGCTGCACATTAGGAGGCCAGATGCCAGATAGACAGAAATCTGCGATGAGTAGCTTAATAATGCTATCGCATTAATATTAAAGATGTTGAATTCCTTTTTGACATTTCCCCTAATGAGGACGTTTTTGTGCTCGTAAGTGTGATTATCTCAGGGTGTGCATTTGGTTGCAGCCCGTGTCTCGGCTGAAGGTGATGGACCTGGAAGACGATGCGCTCAACGGCCACGAGTGCATGGCCTCCGTCTGCGCCGTCCTGTGCCGCATGGCCGATCTCGGGATCATCCCCCAGACGGCCGACGAGGTAGCCGGGCTTCTGCGTCGGGGCTTCATTGGGTTGAAAGTTACGCCGTGTCCTGTTTTCCTCTTCTGTCCTCTCAACATTTTATTTTGCACCGTGTGGAAAAGATTAAAAACAAACTAGCGCATCCGTACTAAAAAAAAAAAAAAAAATATTGAGAAAAAAATTTTTTTTTTTTTTTTATTTCTTAATAGCAGACAACATATATTTCAGGTGTTAAACTCGAAAGCTGCACATTTGTTTAGCTAATTTTGACTATGGAGAGCATGCGAGTTACGTTAAATGGATAAATGGAAAGTAATGCAATGGACAAGGCTGTCCTGTCTTTTTGGTTGCTTTCAATCCATCCTTGCTCTTATTTAGTATAATAATGTCAGTTAAGCAATGTCGATTATGAACTAAAAGCGTATTGAAGTCAGGTGTATCTTATGCACCTCCTGTATTTGAATGCTGTTTCCGAGTGGACAGGTTAAGTGAGCCCACTTCGTGGAACTTTGGAAAACTGTGGTTTTCTTTTATATTTTTAATGCAGAATTGCATTCTTACTGAAGCTGGTTTAGCCTCGAAAAGGGAAGCGTGCCTCGGTGGAAGGGTCTGCGGGCTGCCAAACTCGTGCACAGTGAGCTCGGTTGGCCACACAACGCAACTGTGAAAGAAAATGAGGCAGGAAAGAGGACTCCGAGACGCTTTGAGAAGACTTTGCCGGGGCTAAAACAAGAAAATAAATGAAAAATGGAGGACATGACGATGCTAGACACGTCGTTGCATGCCTGGAACTTGGCATTTGCTGCGTTCTTCATCAAAATACAAGCGCAAATATTTTTTACTAGATAACAGAAAGTATAAAACAGAGAGAGGACGAAACACAGACGAGTACATTCTCTCTCTGTTTTATACTTTCTGTTATCTAGTACATCGTACCAACACGCTCGTTAGGAATATAAAATATTTTTTGTATGTGAATATTTATTTTTTAACTACTAGTTGATTCAAATGAAAGGTGTAGCTCAAAATTGTTTAAATGGTTCTACTCCCCAGTTGCTCTTTCTTCATGCTTGCAATCTGTTTAGGGGATTCAGAACATTTTGCTTTGGTGCATGCGTAAGACAGATAGAAAAGGCCGAAAAATTTGGCGAGGCATCGTAGCATTCAGGGTATCTCACCGGTAGTGAGGAAACCCTCAGTTCGAATCCCAGCTCTGCCAAAGTTTGTCTTTTGGCGGCTCTCAAACCTTCATTGCCACTTCATGATTAGGGATCATCTGCATATTTCGACTGTGATAACTGTGCAGGTAGATCTGAAGTTGAAAAATGGAGCTGATTGAGTGGAATTTCTTCCGTGTTGTCAGAAGGGAGTCAAGACTTTAACATCCGAGGAATTATTTTGCAGGATGTTAATGCTTCTTGTACGCTTTTAACAGGAAGTCAACATTGGACCAGCCCCCAAGTGGCTGACCTTTCTGACCAATGCCATCGTAGGGAACCACACGACACGGAACGCTCTTTGCTTCATCTGTCGTGTCGTCGTCAACTCGGCGGAGGTAGATTTTTGAACATTAAGACATTTTATTTTGCTACATACTTTGACATTTCAGACATGTTGGTGTGCTGTCCTCGAAACGTTTTTCAGTAAAAATTGTCTTTGTGCTTCCCAGAAGGTGACTGAAATGTTTTGGTAATTTTAGAATGCCCCAATTCACCTACAGATACACTGGGAGGTTTGCAACTGAGTTAAGGTTGGTTCATATACTTGCGTCGAGCCCAACATTGTGCAACTGCAACGGCTTGCAACGGGCTAAAAACCAGTTTTATTGGAGCTGATGCAGCTGTTGCCGCAGCAACTTGTACGTCGCTAGCCGTTGCAGTTGCACTCAGTCAGACTTAATGCAAGCGTGTGAATCAACCTTGGACTGTATTACTTTGTGTCAATCGATATAAATCAATAAATTCTAACTAAGTCAGTCAATTTGGTGTCTAAAAATCATTGTTTTTTTTCAATCGGCCAATGGACTGGTTAAATTAAATGACTGATTTAATTAAACCAGCAATTGGGCAGTGAATTGGTTCAGTCGACAGACAACCCATTAATGATTGACTGATTGTTGGGTTGTAATTCATTGATTTTTTTAACTGGTGGATAGAGCCAGTTATAAATCAACAATTGTTAATTATTTATAAACTGAATCGATGCAATAAATTATTAAATTTATTTAATGATTGTTGCTTCAATTATTTGACTGAGCCAGTTCATTGAATGACTGCTGATTTAATTGATGCTGAGTAGTGAGTGCACATCAGTGGTGTGCGCATTGGCATCGTCATCTCTGAGTCGTAAGTTGTCGCTGCTCTCTCTTTTAAGGTGCTCAGGGTGCACTCACGCCACCTTGTGCCAGCTTTGCTGAATGTCCTCGCTGGGGACAAACTGGGCTCTGAGCTGGACGCCTTTGTCATCGACGTTGCCGTGACTGTCCTCATGTGGGCGTCTGACTGGAGTCTTGAGGTGGGACTAATCAGTGATTGATTGATGTGCACATGAATAATTGGTTCAGTGATTGGTTGCTTGATTAATTACCGTATAATCGCGTGTAAGGGCCGCACCCCCGTATTTAAGACAAAATGTTGCAAAAAAAAAAAATTATTCGTGTATGCGCCGCACCCCCTTGTTTTTGAGGCGCGCCGACTGTAGTGGATGAAAGTTTCTATGAATATATATCGCTAGGTGGCGCCAGCCACCGCCCGAGCACGTAGCGGCACATCTCTGCATCGCCGATATTTGCTCTCCACTCATCCGTATCACCGTATGGCACAATGGCTGTTGACCTCGATCGTGGTCAACCGCACTATCGGGATGCGTCATGTTGCGGCTGGAAGACATTGAGAAAAGATAAAGAACATGTCAGCTTCTGTGGCAAGCGGGAGGAATGGGGATTCAGCGGGCTCGGCTCGCGCGTGCACTCAGGTTTTTGAACGCCACTGTATGCTCTGGGGCGGTTTTCTTTTGTTCTTCGATTCGTGTTAAAGCGTCGTGATTTGTTTGCCTTTTCGCGCAATCAGAGCTATGGGCAAGTACCACTTCAACAGTCATGCAGGATTCAAGTCGAAAGTTGTTGCGCATGCTATCAAGTACAAAAAAAGAAAAAAGATACGTATTGCGCAGTATGTAAACTAATGGCGAATTCCACTGGGCGTTTTGGAGCGCGCCGGGATTAGTTGACCAGATCCGGACTGGAGCACACGATCCGAACGGGGTCGCGCCGCCTACGGATCTCCAGTGGAACATGACCACTGCTCCGGGATCGGCAGATGCCTTCCCGTCATTCACCTGCTCGGGAATCCCCTTTCCACGGCCGCCGCGGTAGTTTCAAAGGCGTTTTCGCAATCGCAGCGCTAAAACGTGTTCGACGCACGAGCGGCAGGAATGGCTCGGGCGCTTCTAGCAAAGATTGCCGGAATGCCCGTAGCGCAGCAAATACCTTCTCTTCTCCTTCCTGGAAAACGTACCGGCTGTCGAGCCAAGTGGTAAGCAAGCGGCCATTACGAATTCTTCTAAGGCAAGATGGGCGAGGTCAGGCGAGATGCCCGCAAGAAAGGAAGTCACGTGTGTGCGCCGAGGGCTGGCCCGGGTAACTTCCGGTTGAATCCGCCGAAATCGTCGGAGCGACTTTTCTCGGATCCAGATTGAGATCCGGGCTGGAGCTAATCCAAAACGACCAGTGGAACACGTCCGTCTCGATCCCGATCGCCCAGTGAAATAGGCTCGCTCCAGAAAAGTCGATCCCGGCGCGCTCCAAAACGACCAGTGGACTTCGCCATAAGTGTTCACCTTATTGAACAGGAAAATTAACCCTTAAGATTTAAAAAGATACCAGAAGTTAGGCTGTTAAAAGCAATCTTTGCCTGTCTTTTACAATGATTTAGATGCCCAAGCTGGAAATACTCTATTTCCAGCTTCTTTTTTGTGTTCTCCTTGGCAGAGTATACAGGCACTTTATTATGCCGCCTGTAAACCTACTAAAAAAAAAAATAGGATTCTCCAATCAAAGCATTTTGTCTTGACGTAATGTTTCATTCGCTTATGTCAAGTGCACCTCAAAAGTTTTGGCATTACCTAGGTTGCACCTACGAGAAAGGAACGTTGGCGTCCTGCAATCACCCCCAATGAATTTAGCACTCTTTTTAACCCGTATTTATGAAAGACGGCCATGTACTTCCCAAAGTTTGAAGACATTTCTCCTGGGACCGAAAACATGATACAGCAGCATTTTTAATTTGCTTAATCACGTTGATCCCGAAAAGAGCCATGGGCCTGATTTGTTTCATGAATTTTTGAAGCGCAGAGTGCACTTCCAAATATCTGTACATAATATTTACGGCTTTTCTTCGTTATGAAGTTCTACCTTCACAATGGAAGTCGGGAAATATAATTCCGAGACTCAAATCTGGTAATCGCAATAACCCAGCAAATTATGGACCAGTTTCATTGACTAGTACTAGCTGCAAACTTCTCAAACACATAATCTTCAAACATATAATGATCTCAAAATGAATAATATTCTAATCACATGCCATCATGGTTTTAGGAAATCCCCATGAACAGTCACATAGCTAACAGAGGTATACTCCGTTTCACCTTCAGTCTGAGCGCAGCGGACGCTAGAAGTAATCCCAGCCAATCTAGCGTGGAGAGAGTGTCATGTGACCTTAAGCTCCCTGTGTCCCTCTGCCCAACTGGCAGGTCACGCGATTTTCTCCCGGCGCTGGATCGGCTGGGATGGCCTGTGGCTTCCACTGCGCTCAGACTGAAGGTGGAACGGAGTGTAGTGAATTCTTTAGTGAGCTCAATAAATAATAGGCAACAAACAGATGTAGTTTTCGTAGGCTTCTCCAAAGCTTTTGATCACGTCTTGCATCCCAAACCCAAGCTTTCTTCAATTTTCGAAAAGAACAATTATTGAATTGGTTTACTGCCTCTTTATGTAATTGATCCCAATATGGCCAAATCAATAGCGAGACATCCGCACATCTTCCCGTCATGTCAGGTGTACCCCAAGGATCGGTGCTTGGGCCACTTTTATCTTATTTTCGACGATATTTCCAGAGACATTAAGCTTCCAATAAAACTTTTTGCAGATGATTGCGTCATTTACTCTTGAGATAACAACCCAACAGGATCAGTTAAACCTTAACAGTGCCCTACAGAAGATACAGTAATGGACAAGCAATTGGCAGATGCAAATAAATTATGAAAAAACTGTAGCAATGTCAATAGCCTGGAAAAACAATCCAATGAAATTTAACTACCGTAAAATTCCGAGCAAGCGCCCCCCTCGCACGGAAGTCAAAATTACCTGCAAAAGGGGGTAGCGGGGCGGGGAGGGGGGGGGGCGCCGCTATCCCGGAATGGCACCAAAATTCAAGATGGCGACAACAAAATTTTTTTGCCAGAAAAAGATGCACACGGGTTTAATATTTGATTTATCTCGGAGAACGTAGACTTTATTAGGCCAAAGATTTGTCACTGCTATGTTAATCGCTTTCGAAACCACCAAAAGACTTTTCAGAGTCGGTCGCAAGAAAAAGTTTGCAGCATTCCGCAATGTTTCTTAACTGCATGCCGTTGTCTATTTTGACAGCCTCTTCAGAAAGGAGCCGGTTGCTAATGGCTCATTCTGCTTTTCTTTTTGCGCTCCAGGTATTCAAAGCGCGCGTCGTCCACGTATTCGCTGAACACTGGCGCGCCGTTATTTAGCTTTCGTTGAAGTTTGGCTTTCCCGTAGTTTGGCTGTAGCAAATTGTCAAAATTCTTGTCCCATTCCCGTATCCAGCTGAGCTTGATGTGTGGAGATGTCTGGTGTACATTTTTCCCGTTTTCACAATGCCACTAGACTACCTCGATTTTTTTTGCCACTGTGTAAGAATGCATGGCCGACCTGATACCCCCAAAACAAAGCAACAATGGCGCGTGGCGACCGGGCTGATCGGGCTGCAAAGTAGGATTGGATTGGATTCTTGGACTGAACTTCGCAGGCCAGTGTTGCCTGGGCGCGGTTCAGTCCAAGAATCCAATCGGAACGGCGCGAAAATGTGAAATTGGCAGGTGAAGTTGGGGGGGGGGGGGGGGGGGGGGGGGGGAAGGGAAGGGAAGGGAAGGGAAGGGGAAGGGGAAGGGAAGGGGAAGGGGGCTCTTGTTTGGGTGGGGGCGCTTGCTCGGAACTTATTTTCTGGACTATAAGTCGCACTTCCGTATATTGAGCCGTTTCTGCGGAAAAGCTGGTATATACGTCGCACCTCTGTATAAGACGCACCTCTTTGCACGATTCACGCTATGAGTTTTTTCGTTTGATGCGCATTGGTATAGCAAAATCGGAGTTTCGCACAATCGGCTAGATCGAACGAACCATTTGACACGCAACTTTGACATTTTGACTCGCGAGAAATGCGCACGACACTGTCTGGCGAGGGCACTGGAGTGTTTTGCAGCAAAAGGACGTAAAAGGCGCAAAATGAGAAGGTAGTCGGCTTTATTCGAGGGTACACATGCCGAGCGAATGAAAGCTTAATGTACGAGACACTCGTGAACCAAGCTTTCGACCACTAGGCCTAGACTAGGCCCAGTCACGGAGACGGCGCATGCGTCAACACACAGACGGATAGATCACCCTTAAGGGGACACTACCCAGAAAAAACAATTTCTGCAAAAAAAGATGATTTTGAAAAATGTCATATTTACATCCACCACCATCTAGAGAGTATTCCCAGAAAGTTTTATTAGTGTACACTGCATAACTTCTTAAAAATTATTTTCTGTCCTCTGATGCTAAAAAAATGGTAGAGGCTGGAGCACTTTGATCGCATTTTTCTCCATTCCACTTTTTGGTATAAATTTCACCTTAGGAAAACTATCGTTTTGTTATTACAGAACTTGGATTCATTTTCACGAGTTTTTTCTGGGATGAAATTTTAAAGAGAAGATAGCTTTGAGCTTTTATTTTTTATTTTTGTCATTTTTCGTGCTCAAGAATTAAAAGTCTTGACAAAGGAGGGAAATCTAAAGAAGAGTATTTGTGTTTGTGTGTTTTTTTGTCATGAAAGATGGCATAATATAGAAATATAGCTCCATAGCTATCCGCTCTGAACTATCCTAAAGCAATATAACGCATGAAAACAACAAATTTATAAGTAATTTCAAAACGATAGTTTTCCTATGCAGACTCGCCCACTTTCATCTCTAAACATTTGCTATTTCTTTTTGTGCTTCACCCAGGTTAACAAAATTTGGCACAAATGTTCTCAACATGAACAGAAACAAGCCCTGTAAATGTCATTTAAATCAGACATGTGGTTCAAACATTCACTTTTTTGGGTAGTGTGTCCCCCCTTGACTTCTCTCGGTACTGCTAGAAGATTCTGCTAGCCTCAATCCTTCCGTTTACATGCAGCAACACGGCTGGAGCATGGCAGATCAAAACTGCTCATCAAACGGAAACTAAGAACGAAGCGAGAAAATTTTAGGCAATACATGTAACCAGCCCACTTACGTTTCAGTGTTACTGCACTGAAGCAAAAGAATATGGAATTATGGCTGAATTAAACGACGTCGATAACATCCCGTAAATGCTTTATTCTCTTTGTCTTGCCTATCCACATTGAGCCACTTTGGGGAAACTGTAAATTTCTCAATTTCCAAGTCAGTTATAAAAAGTGTAGAAGAGTGTGGCGACAGCAGTGCCTCCTTGAAGGGCAGCATCACCTGTGGCTACATACTTACAGTGCTCTACAAAAGATGGCGCAGCGCATAAAAAAATTGCTTCGCACCGTGAATTAAAAAAAAATTTATAAGTCGCATTGTTGTATAAGTTGCACTAAGAAAAATGTTTGAGAGGAAGCACGACTTATACACCGGAAAATACTACTCTGTAAACAGAAAAGACATACAAACTGTAGACCATTATAAATATCTTGGCATTTCCTTTAACAAAAAATTGACTTGGCATCAGCATATTGACAACATTGCGAACAAGGTTCACAATGTATGCTTCTTACTCTTGGACACACACTTAAATTTGCAGACACTCAAAAAAAAGGTATAGCATATAAAACACTAATTAGACCTATGCTGAAATATGCTAGTACTCTTTGGTCTTCCCACATGGCAGATGAATTTTAAGCAAATTGGAAACTAAGAGGTCAAGCAAAGTGTCAGTGTCCCTTTAAAGGAACACTGACAGGGTATTTATGCTCGCCAAGGATTTTATTTGTACATGACGTATGAGAGCCCAACTACCCAGAACGAAATTTGCGGCTCGAAATTCGTTTTCTTTCCACCCGAAAACCGCCGATCGAGAACTCACCGTTTTGAGCCGCGCTCACCCTCTTCTCCGCAGTCACGTGCCGTTTTCTATGGTCTAGACACAACCACCAAGGATAATCAAAGTCGGGGGTCATCGAAGGCACACAATCAATACTAAAAACAAGCTAAAAATATTACGCCCATTTTTTGTGGCTTATAAAAAGTTGCAAGTATGTTGATTGAAAGAAAAAAAAAAGTTTCGCAGCCACGTGACTTCTGGTAACTTTCTCCTCTGTATTTCTGCTTCCTGCCCAGTCCAGTTACGGTTTTGGTTTCGAAAGGTTGCGTTTTTTTACTTTATTAAAAATATACATGATGCTGTAGCAAAATATTGATTAGGTAGTCTTCCGACACCAAAATAGATCGCCTGGGAAAAAATTAAAAATACAATTTTTGAGGGGTGTCAGTGCCCCTTTGACACCTTTGGAAACCAGATTTTTATGTCGCACTTGATTAAACCAGCCAACATTTTAAACATTAGGAACTAGGGTAATTATAAGGAGTGATAGAGTGCAGGCGAACTGGTAATTAATCAACATTTTGTAGATTCTGAGGGGGAACAGTAAAAAAACGAATGAGCACAACAAAATCTCAATTATCAAGATTTTGTTGTGTTTGTCCGTTTTTTTTTGTTCCCCATCTCAGGGTAATAATAAGCAGATTCAAATACTTGTATTCCTTTCTTCATGGCAAATTTAACTTTAATGTTGATAATTATATCACATTCTCTTCCGGATCGTTCAGAATCAATCATACCAAATTTATCCAGCAGTGCAGATTTAAAACACAATTTTTCAGATGTATTTTTTTTTTCGGCCAATGCAAGAATGGAATTTGTTAAATAATGAAGTGGCAACACTTTTTTGAACTGAGAAATTTACTGATGCTATTGCTGGCATTCTTAATTAGAGTACTTTTGTGTGCATGTTCCTTTTTCTACCCATCTTGAATTAACCTGAGACTAGGGTAGAGAAAAAACATTGAAACATAGAAGGGACAGAAGATAGACAGGACGACGTCTCAAACTCAGCTAACTCATTTATTTAGTCCACCTCCTTATATAGTCTCAATCTCCTCAAGGTCATCTCCACCAACACAAAAGGACAAAGTTATACAGATCAACTTCATTCTTTTGTGTTGGTGGAGATGACCTTGAGGAGATTGAGACTATATAAGGAGGTGGACAAAATAAATGAAGTTAGCTGAGTTTGAGACGTCGCCCTGTCTATTTTCTGTCCCTTCTACGTTTTGATGTTTCTTCTCTACCCCAGTCTCGGGTTATTTCAACATGGTTAATATTCACCAGCTCGCCTGCACCCTCACGATTTTTTTCTTCTTCTGTATATTTAGTTAGACAGCTCCTTTGTGCGTGTCCTTTTTTGTGTACATTTTTAGCAATTTACGTCACTCCTGCTATGGCTCTTAATGGAGAGCTGCAGAATTCCTAAATAAAATAAAAATAAAAAAGTGCTCCTTTATAGTTGTTTGAATGGTAGCTTCAAGGGCGACTTTGTCGATTATTCTTAGGTGCCGTAATAGAGTTTGAAGCTGGGCTAGTCAGTGCATATTGGTAGCAGGAGAAAGCAGCATAAAAAGGACGTAGGACAAGAACACAAATACAAACATAGTGCTGACTCACAACTTCGTTTTCTTTTTCTTTTTTAAAGAACCCCTGAAAATAAAATAAAATGTTTTTAGGGGCGAAGTTTCTTAGGGTCTAGCCTTGTCCATCCGGCGTCCGTGCTCACATCGATCTTGCTGGCCCTCGCGCTCGTGAACTCACATGCTCACGTGCTTGTGTAGGAAAAAAAAAAAGAAAAAAAAAGAAGTGTTTGCGCAGTCAACAGGATTTGAACCTGTGCGGAGAGACCCCAATAGATTTCTAGTCCATCGCCTTAATCACTCGGCCACGACTGTGGGACGAGTAGGGGGCTCTGAGATGTGGTAGTAACTCAAGAGCCGGGGATGTCATGGATGAAGCGTTGCACGTAGCCACTCAATGCCTATACAGGAGAGGGTGCTGCGGTCAAATGCGTATATAATCGTGTTAATCTTTGCATTCATTGGCCCAATGTCTATACAGGAGATGACGCTGCGGTCAAATGCTCAAATGCGTACATAACCACGTTCCATACCACACATTCTCTTTCTGACATGGATGAAAACTAACAAAAATCTCGGCATGCTGCGGCTCAGCGTCTATGCACCACCAGAGCTCCTCCCCAATCAACATCATTCACCATGTGGAGATGCGGTCAATTTTTCTAACAGTCTGGGGGTTGGGACACGCGTGTCCCAACCCCCAGACTGTTACCATTTCTCGACACGTGTGTCCCAACCAGATTGTTTTAACATATTTTTTTACTTTTCAGGGGTCCTTTAAGTTATTAAGGCAATCAAGTTAAAAAAGATAAAGACCCATTCACAGCAGTACACTTCTTCAATCAGCCATTCGAAAAAAAAAAAAAATAGAACATATATGATAAAAACAGTGTCACAGAATATCTAGCAAATTAAAAAATTGTAGGAACTAAACCCCAACTTTCACACATAAGTTCCCATTCTAGGAATAAATTCAAGCTGTTCATTACTCATCGTAACTGACTCTGCACTAACGCAAACATCAAGACCGTGTAGACAAATGTAATATGCCTCATGAATTTGCCCAGTAAATTTTTTTGGAGTGTTTTGCCAATATTTCAGTGTGCATCATCAGATACCACATCTCTTGAAATGAGCTGCCAAGTGACCCGATGGTGTAGACTTCAAAGACTGAGAGTGTTTCCTAGCTTGAACTTCTGTGCACCGCCCTGTCTGTTCTACATTACTGCAAGAAAATGGGATTTGCGACGTATTTGGAACAATGTGTTTGGTTTCACACTCTACGCAATTACTTCTTGCTTTCTCAATCGCAGCGTACAATCGGGACAACTTGGAAGGGGCCGAGAACATTACAGGAAGCTTACATTTATCCGCCGCCTTCTTATAATCCTATGGGAAAGGTTGTGAAGATAAGGCATTCACTGGTCGCAATGTAGGTTTCCACCTAGCGTTGTCAGACGTACCAAACGTTTGTCTGAAGGCAGTGAAAAGTGATTCTGCTACCCATATACAGGGTGTCACAAATGAAAATTTACACCGTGTTTTTTACCGCAAAAATAAACTAGGCGTCGCCGAACGCTCATTCTCCGCCCAAAGGGAGAACTAGAGGTCACAACCAGATGCCAAAGTTTCAGCCCGATCCGATAAGTTAATCAAAAGTTATAAGTGATTTTCTGAAAATTTCAATGGGAAAATGGCGGCCGACGGAGTTCTCAAACACATGGGGTTCTATGGCACCAGAAACCGAAAACTGGCAAAAATGGGCTCCATTTTCCCATTGAAAATTTCAGAAAATCACTTATAACTTTTGATTGAGTTATATCGGACGGGCCTGAAACTTTGGCATATGGTTGTGACCTCTAGCTCTACCTTTGGGCGGAGAATGAGCGTTTGGCGACGCCTAGTTTATTTTTGTGGTGAAAAAGACCGTGTAAATTTTCTTTTGTGACACCCTGTACTTTAGTTTCGGTGCTAGTTCACCACATTTAAGCCTTTAGCTTTCTCAGTTTACTTTTTTCTGGTGGTCTGTCAGTCACGACAATATTGGTGACTGGGAAGAAACGGGCGGAGTGTCCCTGTGTTTGGACTGCAGGACCGAAAGACCGTGGGCAACGACAGAGACCTGCAGGGCTTCTCGGAGCTGTTGGCACAGCGCTGTGGCCACGAGCGAAGGGAGGTGCTCAAGAACAACCTGGAGCTACTCAGGGCCTGGGTGGAGATGTGGAGGGAGCGCCTACGCTTCCCCGCAGAGTGAGTCTGCACAAAGCATCGGAGAACCAATATCGCTCGTCACATCGTGGTTAGTGAGTCGTCGACCCAGGCAGCAAACGCACTCGACTAGGGGAGTCAGCAGAGCGGCAGACGTGTTTGCGTCGTTGCCTGCTGTGGTCGCCAACGACGGGAGTAGGGCGTCTCTTTTGGATTGCCCCGGTACGTGTTCGTTGCCCTCTGCCGTGCATCGGCTGCGCCTGCATGCTCGCGACACGCCCTTGTCAAAGCTAGGAAAGCCGGACAACTTGGGCTTGGACGCTGCTCTTTGAAAAAAAGAATACTGAAGAAATCGCAGTTTTAAACTTATGTTTCTAAAGACCTGCGGGCCTTTTATATGTTGCTCATATTTTTGCAAATGAAGTCCTATTGTATTTTCAAACATTCGTACAAAAGTGGAGTAAAATGAGTCTGTTTTTTCCCGTTACTTTGCGATAGACATTCTACAGGCTTGTCTATTTCATGTAAGCCATACATCCACTCGCACATATCCGACCTTATGGTTTTTTTGTTTTCCTTGTTCAAACTATAACCAAGATATTCCGTAAGGCATATAAATACATTAAATAAGGCTTAAGTATTATTTTTTATGTTGCTGGAACACTTAGTACATAAAACATTTGTGTCATTACGAACTTATAAATCATTCTAGAATTTTTGTTCATACTGTATTGGATTCTGTAGACCTTCTAATTTACCGAGATGTAGCTCTTTTCTGATTTTAGCGTGAATTTCTTTTAATCCTGTTTGCAGTTTAAATCTTTGTTAGTATCTAAACTGATTTTAGCTATATCGAAACTAAGTACCTATTTGTGATTATAATGGAGGCAGGTGTATTAGGTCCATTCCAGTTGGGTCACTAATACAAAAATAAAAAAGCTCTAGAAGCTTCTTTTTGAAGACTATTCTTTCTGTTGACTGGCATCAGTGTGAGACGTTGCAAGACACTGGCAATGCATGGATCCCAATAGAGGGGTTCTTGTGCTCACTCAATGCCGGCCGTTCTGGTTCTTTTTTCGAAGCAGCTGTCATATGCCGTGCTTGTCTTTAGCTACTTAATTAACACTTTTCCCTAAAAAAAGAGCAAAACAAATGGGACAAAGTGGCTGCTGCCACTTTGCCGATTCTTGAAGAAATGCGCATTTCGCGCAGCAGTTATATATAACGAAGCATAGTGAATGCAGCCTCTAACTACTTTTCGGCGGTAGTGAACATTCCCATACGTCTCTTCTCCCTGGTGCAGGCGGGTCAGTTCACTCAGCAGGTGCGTGAAGGACATGCGCACGATGCCTGTAAAATGACAGAGGCATTTCGTTTTGTATATTTATTCGCCGCGAACGTTTGTTTGCGGCGAATAAACCAGTGGCCTGTGCAACGTGAAGTACACCGTACTTCAATGGAAAAACAGTGAGTGTGCAGTAAGGTGACCGCCTTCCTGCTAGCGAAATGCGGGACACACCAGGGGGGAGGAGGGAGGAGGAAATTTATGAACACGCACACCACGAACCGAGGTTCTGTTAACATATGCATTATCCCGTACTGTATATATACACCTGCAAGTTGTATTGCAGCAATTAGGCTAAAATAATTCTGGCTCCAAGTAATGTTGTTTTTAATGCAACATATGTTACTAAATGTGTCGAAGTTGAAAGCATAAAAAGCAAATGCTTCAGAACTCAATGCATCAAATGGAAATAAGAAAGAGGAAATCTTTTTCAAGTTATTGTTTCCTGTCCACACTTGGTTTTGTCAACATGGTCATACGCAAATTTTTAACATTATATTCTTTTTCTACCGTTGTGAGTTGCAGGCTTTTTGCCTTGTGTGGCTGTCTTCACTAAAAACAAAAATTCACAGCAACCCTTTCGCATTAACACAGCGATTTGAAGTTACTTACGGCATTCTATATTTAAAGCAATTTTTCTTACAATGCTTTGGCACCAATGGGGAAGGCACAACGGAGCGTATGCGCCAGTTCTCCTACAAGAACAAATGTCGCTTCTCGCAATGCTTGGATAGAAAATGGCGTACCATTGCGATTTACACAATTACCAGCGACCTCCGCTCTTCCCTGTGCCCCGTTGTTCGGCAGCACCATGAGTTGCTGAGTGAATTTTACGACAGTATGAAATGCGGGACATTTTGAAGATTTGGGTATTCCTTGCGGGACGTGGGACACGAGCCCTCGATGCGGGACAGTCCCACGAGTTGCGGGACGGGTGGTCACCCTAGTGGCGCAGGCAAGCTCGTGGAAATTGATCATGATGTAGAATAATACCCGAGACTGTGGTAAAAGCTGGGAAATTTAGTCAAAGAAAAAAGACGGAAAAAAACGTCATGTCTTGTTCTTTGACTAAGTTTCCCAGCTTTTACCACAGTCTCGGGTAATCTACATCATGATCGACATACAGCGCATTTGCTGCCATTTGAATGTTAATTACGTACGTGGAGATGAAGATTATATCTATAGCAAGGCTGTCGCGTGACGTGGCTTCGTTAGTGTCCGTGGACGGCGTGGCAGGTCGAGGAACGGAACCGCAGCCCGCGTGCATCCACGGATCTCAAAGCTGGCTGCGGGAGCTTCCGTGGGTGTCCGAAGCGCGTACCCACACCTTGCCCGCCCGCTGTCAAGCAATAAAACTTTGGTTGGGGCTAGTTGGTTCATATTGATTAAAAGGTTAAAAGGCGCGAACAAACAGGACGAAAAAGAGACACGTACGACACGGACAAGCGCCTGTCCGTGTCGTACGTGTCTCTTTTTCGTCCTGTTTGTTCGCGCCTTTTAACCTTTTAACCTCTGTCAAGGCTCGCAGAAGGTGTTTCCTAGCCAGTTTCCCCTGCCAGTGCAGCTGCGTTGCCGTCTCGTGGCAATGTTGCAAGCTTTGGTTAGTCCAAACTAGTCCAGGGTCAGTGCATGTACCAAGGCACTTTTGCTAACGCAATAAGAAAAACTCCTTTTGCAAGAAAAACCTCAATCCTTCGCATAAAGTTGAGAGTCACAGAATGCGTTGTGTGTGTCTAAAGGCTGGTTCACACACTTGCGACTGCTCGCATCATGACCTCCAGCAATTCCTTACGACGAGAGAACACTGGGGCACGCTGGTGCCATCTATGAGGTAGCCCTGGAACTGCATTTAGTAACGTTTTGCAGTACCGTATTTGCACGAATATAACGCGACCACGAATATAACGCGAGGGCAGGTTTTGATGCCCCCAAAAAGAAAAAAAATATTATTACTATTATAACGCGAGCCGGGGCCGCGTCAATTTCTCGCACTCGGGGCATAGCAGAAGTGAAAAGTCAATGGAAATAGAAGAAATATCAGTTTATGTTTTGACTGCACTCATCCTCATTGCTCAGGTCCTTCCGTTTACAATCCACTTGGCGACTACGCAGGTATGCAGCAGCACGGCACCTGCTTGTCTGGTAGTTCCTTTTTCTTCCGTGCGAGCTCGAGTCGGCAGCCCACAATCCAAACAAGGCACGAAGCAGAAGCACCAACACACAAACACCAGACCACTCTGGAACAGAAACTAAACAATGCGCAGGCAGAAAAAAAAGACGGCTGAACCCGATACACGATCACACTTCTTGTTCTGGTCCATCTGCATAAACAAATGCCTCGTGTTGCACGATTGCGTAAACACGGTCGGTGGTCTTGGCTTGGCTTGTGTTTGACTTGGCCCGGCTTGGCTTGGCTCGAATTGGCCGGTGCCCTCATTCCCGCATGGCGCGCGCGCCCGCGCCGAGTTTCTGCGGCGTGCGCGCGTTATAAACACACAAAAGCGATAAAAATGCTTTTTTATGTTTTCTTTTCGCCCCTTCACGTGGCCCAATAGCTAATAAATTCCCTTCCACACCCCCACTTCTTTTTCCACCGGATCTTTTGCATTGAGCCGGAGGGATGGCTTTCTCCAGACTCGCGCGCCTCGCGGCGTTTTGGAGCACATAATTTCGAAAAAAAAAAACTCGCGTTATAGTGTACTAGAACTGGGCAGTGTGTCGTCCGCGCCGAGAAGCAACGGAGGGAGGAGGTCGGCGCAGCGATGACGGCGCGCAAGGACGCCAGGGGGCGCTGCGGGTAACAGGCGTGCTCCTTCCCGCTTGGATTGCCGTGTGGTCGTACTGCTTGTGATCGGCGTGGTTTGCGTTGTCGCCTTGTTTTGCTGCAGTTTTTTTTTTTTTTTAATGGCTGAGTGAAATTGGTTGTGATCGGTGCCGTTCAGTGGCATGTAAACAACGCGTGCAATGACGGAAAAACGGCGGGACAAGAGAGACGGGACGTGTTTTGTGTCGGGGCAGTGATTTCCCTACACCCTTCAGCGGGGGTGTACTCCCCCCTTGTTTTTCCGAAAGCACCCTTTTAATTAGCAACGCCTCTTATATTCTCAATGCCCCCCCCCCCCCCCCCCCCCCCCCCCCTAACCTCAATGCCTGGGGCCCATGCCGGGTTGCAAGAGTGGCTACCGGTCCTGCAAAGAAGCCCGTTCCCTTTTTCGTGCCCCTCTCGAGTTCAATCGGCGTCAGTCGTCGTCCCGCAACATTAAAAGGAGTGACAAGGAGACTGCTTCATGTAATGCAGGCAGTCATGACAGACGTCCTCTACATTTTTTTTCCGGACTTTTTGCACTCTAAAGTATCTGCTAAATCGGTTTTATAGACACTGGTTTGGACACACCGAAGGGTCCTGTGGCACGCTGACTGCATTAGGAAGGCTTGGAGAAGTGACTGTGAAAATATGACGTTAAAGGTTATGGCCTTACATGAGCAAATTATTTTTTTTTTCCTAACGGCTTTAAAAATATGAGGGTTGGCCCAGCACTCCGTCTCTTCAATGAGAGGTGCTAAGAGGCCTCTTTTTTACCGCAAGAATACTGAAGGGTCTTATGGCCCAGCGGAAGATACTGAGTCATTTATCCTGAAGATGTCGAAGCTCATCAAGATCATGACCTCACGTTGGAGAATGTAGAGGTACAAACACCATAGGCGCCGACAACGGGGGAGCTCGGGAGCCCCCCTCTCCCGAGCTCTTGGGAAAAGCAAGTACCGTATTTTCCGGGCTATAGTCCGCGGACTATACATGTTTCAAAGTTGAAATTTCTGGCTGTGCGGACTATATACGCGTGCGGACTATACAGGAATTATGTTTTTCAATATCGTTGATTATGACGAGACGGATTTTGTGAATAAAAGAGTATGTTATTGATAATTTATGTATATTATAGGCTTTTTTTGTGAGCTAAGAAAACATACATATGTCAAGGTGTGCCACGTATGAGAAAAATTTCGTGTCGACTAAGCACCAGGTGCGGACTATCTAAGCAAAAACTTTCATTTTTGACCCCAAATTTGCCTCTGCGGACTATACACCGGGTGCGGACTATAGTCCGGAAAATACGGTACCATCGCCTCCAGAATCCTTAGGTGCACCTCATTAATCTCATCTGTGCGTTGGCGCCCAGTGTATAATTAAAACTTTATCTGTATGCCCTGGTGCCCAAACATATCAATTTAGTGTGGGCTCAGTGGATAAGTAAGAATTTATCCACTGTGGTTACTACCAGAGCTGGTGAGTGGATACATTTTTCTAACTATTCGCACAGTCCTTTTTGAAGACCCTACGTAGTAACAGCAAATACGATAAAGGCTAGTGCTGGAAATTCCTTCGAAAGCCCGTGGAAGTAGTTGCGAGAGTCGGCAGTGGCACCTCCATGCAGCCTACGGAAGTAGACGATATAATCTGTTTTGTAAGCCCCATTTTGTTTTCCCAAACATTGAAGCAATTCATTAGGGTAGTGCCCTTCAACCACGGAATTCATTGATTACAACTACAGTGACAGCGAAATTATAGGGTCACAAAAGCACACATTTGTTTAGGTATCATGCCATCAGCATGCTTATCCTACGTTATCCAGGGGATTACACACGTTTGGGACGTCTCTTTCAAGAAACTTCCCGAACGTTTCCCTGGGGGATGGATTTCCCGCAGCTATTCAGAACGCAACATTGTTAGCGCGAACAAGCGATCGCCGGTTTTTCTATGAGAAACCAAAGGATCTCAGCAAAGTTCGAATTGCTGAGAAAAAAGCTCATTCGGGTCTATAATGCAGGTGATAAAAGTTCGTCCTCACTAATACTCTTTCGAAGTAAATGCGAGAGAGCGCCAATGTCTTGTTCGCGCAAGCAGTGTCGCGATGTGTACTGTGACGTCCTGCCCGAAGATACACGTCTCAGGCAAAGCATTTGGCCACGAATTAGTGTGATAAATAATATGTGAAACAGCAGAAATAAAGAATACCGTAAAGAGTTAGCCAAACAATACGCAACAATCGAATTCGTGCGGAGCGCCAAGCCAGCCAAGCGCTACCGCTGCCTGCGCTCCGCACTCCGGCAGCACGCCTACTACACGTTGCGCCCTCTCGCGGCCACCGATCCGGTCATCGCTGAAAGAGCCCCTCCTCCGCCGGCGCTCGCTACACTGCCCAGTCTTCTAGTACACCATACTCGCGTTATATTCGTGCAAATACGGTATTTGTGACATCAAGTGTACATACTATCCACGAAAAATGCTTGTTTTTAACATTGTCAAAAGTTTTTCGGGCCAGCGGTGTAAGAATAATGTGCAAAAAAAAATAGGAAATATACGGGAATGACAAGTGTTCCACGGCTACCCGATAGATGGCGCCATCTCTCCTCTAAAGCACCTTGACGCCTTTGTCTTGCAACTAGCGTAAGATGCCAGTGCATGAGGTCTTGCAAGCAGAAGGTGGCACAGTGCCGAAATAATTTGGAAGCGATTGGCTGTGGAACACTTGCTCGCGGCAAACATTTTGTGCACGACAATGGTTTTCGGTAGCTTTAAGAGGACCTGGATCTTTGGCGCCAAAAAATTCCTAAAATTTTATTCTTTTGAAAACAGTGATGATGACCTTTTCGGCTGTTGTTCTTTTGAATCTACCAGGGTTCTGATTTCGAGGATGAATATCTGAGCTGTAAATCAATTTATGATGTCTATGCAGGCTGAATGTGTGTTGAAGTGGACTTTAAAAGTCTGTTTTCACAAAACACAATTTTTGGACTGGTTGAGATTTGCAGAAGGGGAATCTCAGCATCAATGGCAGATAGAAATATAGCTTTTCCTGAAACATGTAGCTAAATATATGAAGCATACAATGTTGAGAGCAGATTTCTAAATATACAGTCGAATCTCATTAATTCGAACTCGAGGCGGTCCAAAAATTTGTTTGAATAGAATAAAGTTTGAATTACCAAAAGTTTCCTCCCATAGAGACACATACGATGAGACCTGCATGTTAGTTTGAATTATCGGCAAGTTTTAATTAAGAGTTTGAATTAACGAGATTCAATTCTGTATGTCTAAGAAATTGTTCAATTTATTTTTTGTTTCATTACTTGTTAGCCCTGCATTGAGCACTGAACTTTGATTTGTAGTAAAATCACTATTAATGGGTTAATCTTAAAAGTACTTCCAACGTTGTATTCTCTACACTTTGTAATATATGTAGTTATATGTTGCAGAAAATATTTTGGTGAGCAGTTTGAGCCCGTTTCCGGCTTGAGCGGTGTCGGTGTAACCGCGCGGTGCATTATGGGAAGAGTCCCATAATGCAACGCGCAGGACCGTCGTGACGTCACTTGTGATGTCACGAGGGCGAAACGTCACCGTGATGCATTAAGGGACGTTTCTCATAATGCACAGTGCGGGAGGGAGGAGGAGGAGGAGGTTACACCTTGTAACAAAAACGAAAAGGACAGCACATCCTGCCGGCCCAGTTCTTTTTTTTGTTGCTTTTAGGAAGTTACAGTTCATTCTTGTCTTTTATTGCATGTTCTGGTTTAGAACATTCCTGAACAAAGCATGTGCATAACAGAAGTGCACTGCTGTAAAGTGGTTGTCTTTCCTTCTTTCACGCAGGATGTGCTTTTCGTATCGGTTATAAGCGCAAGTTTGCCTTATTAAGACCTTTTAAATTTTAGGTGCATCTACTCTTTTTATTTGTGATAATAGCCGAAGTGTGTTCCAAAAAACTGATAAAAAAGTAATACCTTTGGAGGTAAGGAAGAGTGTAATGGTGCAACTGTCTCTGCAGTGTGGTACTGGAGCAGCTGGAGCAGTGTTCGCTGGACAGCAAGGACCATCATGCGGTGCTGCTTTTTGGGATCTTTGTCTCCAACAACCTGGTGGAGTTTGGCCAGTCGCACGCTTCCACAGCCAGGTGAGCCTGCCTCCTTACGTCGGTGCTCTCCTATTTATTTATTTAAACACCTTAAGAACCCTGAGTCAGGGCATGACATAAGGGAGTGAATTAACAAAATAGCGAGGTTAACATTTGGCAGAACGAATCAATGTCTTGAGCAGAGACGATGGCTTCGGGCAGGCCGTTCCAGTCCACAGATGTTTGTATCCTATGTATCATATATTTGCTCCGTGCAAGCACAACTCTTACCATTGTGTTTGACACACCAAACACTCACCTCTTGGTTGGTTGGTCTTTGAAAATTTATTTGTTAAATTTAGCTGGAAGAATTTGAAGGGAAAATGCTTCTCGCTAAACTTAGCGGGAAGCATTTTCCCGCTAAATTCTGCGAAGAAATGCTTCATACTAAATTTAACCACTTAGCCATGACGTCAATCACACACCACCAATTTGCTGGTGACCCTACACAGGGTGTTCGATTTTGACTCACAGGCTTATTAAAACGAAGCCTTGAATGGTACAGTAATGCAGTCTGTGCACATATGGCCAGTGGGACATAATAAAGGGGGCTTATCCTCACTATAAGCTGGATAATTAACTAAAATTTGTCAGTGAACTTTTTAATTAGTGAAAATAAAGGTGGTTCCTATTTAGAAACTTGCTGAACATTGTCTAGAGCCACCAAATCAGTAAATTCTATAAGGGCTCGAAGCACATGGGAAGTACAGAGGTCCACTAAAGTTATCATTCGTGCATCAGGTGCAGCGCTGGTTTTGGAAATGCGGATGATAATTTAAAGTCAATCTGAAATTTACTGATTTAGTGGTCTTGGATTACACTCAGAAGGTTTCCAATGGAAACCATATGTTTATTTCCACTAATGAAAAATTTAATGAACAAATTTTAGTTAATTACTCAACTTGGGACAATTAGCCCTTTATATTATGTTCCTGGCTGTATAACTCACCTGCCCAGACTGCGTCAGTGTACCTTTCACGGCTTTGTTTATGTAAATCTTTTTGAATGAACATCAAACAGCCTGTATACAGGTTATTTGTGCAACTTCCTGCTGCCACGACATGGGGATAAAAATGCTTTCGGTTCTCCCATGTTTACCTTGTGTTTTAGTCCGTGCCCCGACACTTTTGCTTCACTAGCGAGCAATTCCATGTGAGCTATGTTCTAGAAATGCCCCAGTGTCATGCTTTCGAGTGAACAACACACATCGGCACAAACATAATGTCAGGAGTGAAGTTTCTTTATTTTCTCGAGACAATGGATGCCACGGACAAGGTTGAGCTCGAGTGATCGCGGTACGGTGGCGTTAGCAGCCGGTGCTTGCCTACTTGGATGTGCTGCCGACAGATGGCGCAACGCGGGAAACACAAGGCTACGGTGCCTCGATCGACCATCTTTCTTACAAGGATGGGTCGAAGCAAGTCCAAGCATCAGAAAATTGTGCATTGCAGAAACTCGCGTCATGCTGAAGGAAATGCAGTAAAATATTTCTGAAGACGGTCTGCTGGAACCAAAACCCAGCTCGGCGCCTATCTTGGGCGCCTCGAATAGGCAGTGGTAAAAATGCTCCCCTTCAGCAGATCGTTTTTTTGAGGAATGAGTCCTAATTGTTCCCATCCAAAGGATGAGGAAGGTGTGTCGATCTCGTATAAGTAAATTTCTGGAGGTACTGCAATTGTTCCTCTATGGTGAGATTTCAAAAGTATCCTCTACTCACTGTGGGTCCTAAAAAGCGAGCAAAAACAATGGCCAAAAGTGTGGCCGTGTTTCAGTGGTGGAAATGCTGCGCCAATTGCGCCAAACTGTGCCAGGACGAACGACAGGCTATATACTGCTCCAAAGGCTGTATTTGCGCACCATTTGCGCTATATCTGCGCCGAAAGGGAGCTGTTGCTGAAAAGGAAACGGAAAGTGTCTGGCCTGCGACATTGTTGGCGATGCCACTGAAAATGAAGGAAGTGCACTTCTTTTTTTTATGCCTAACTACTATGTGCGAAGAGTGGGGCTGCGCGAATATTCTCATTTTTTAATGGTAGTTTCAAATATATACATCATTTGATATTTGCTTCCAAATGAACTGCAGTGATGTGATTGCTGCGCCAATTGCGCCAAACTGCGCCAAGGAGCTCGCCCTGCTACATCCTGCTACATTTTGCTAAAATATGGGTAATCTGCGCCAAGCCTGCGCCAAAGGACCGATTTTGGTCGCCTTTCTAAACCGAAACTAAACTTAGTACCGTAATGGATCACCCGTGCACTAGGTGGCGCAAGCGGCCGCCCGACACAAAGTACCCTGCATCAATTGTTCATCCGGTCTTGCACGGATTTTCCCGCCATGTATCGCTGCGCACCCTCGTTGTCTCGCATTTTTTTTTTTTTCTTTTAATGATAGACGCGGGCGTGTGCGGACGCTCCCACGCTAACGTGCTGGGGTACCAGCCATGCCGTCATGTTAGGAAACGAAACCACTTTTTTTTTTTTGCGCGGCGGGAGTTACTTCATAAGTTGAAGCACTCGCTCCTGAGAGCAACGGCCGTGGGTAAACTATATTTGGTCCCTGCCTTTCCGTCACCGTGGTCGCGCGACGTCGGGTGTTGCCGTCCCCACGTCGCTGCAGATATGGCGCTGCCGCATGTTCATTAACATTGTTGTTCTTGTTTAATACGCTACTACAAAAGATTCTCTCGCTCAAAGAGTGCTTTGTCAAAGTATCGATTACTTAGGTTTCTCTCAGTTGGCTTTCTTTAAAGAGGAACCCTGGCACGTGAAAAATCTGCCGCGAAAGAAAGTTGGTGAAGAAAAGTGAGCTAAAGCAAAGAATGCAATGTTTGCACGCTGAACCCGCACAGCGCGCTTGTTTGTATCGAGTTCAGTCGTTGCGCAAAGCGCTCCAAGAACTTTTTAACCCTGGCTCGCAATGTCTTTCATCAATGTGCTCAGGTTTTTTTTTTCTTTTTTCTGTGTGTTTAGCTTGTAGCTTGCCTGCCGGCCTGGCAAGCGCGTGCCGCTGGACTGTTTCTTGTCGTATGTTGGACAGTTACATTTTGTATACAATTTTGGGAACCACTTGGCGACGGAGCGGAGTGGCATGGTTTCTATCGAACAGCCATCTCCGCTCTCGCGATAATTTCGCATTGCACTGCAGCAGTTACATGTTTCATCCGTTGGAGACTGCTTTAATTTATTTTATCAGTAGTCAACCTAATGCTGCGCTATTTACTACTAAGATGGTAATTTTCGAATAAATTTTCATATGTGCTTTTTGGTTCTTATTTACTTATAGCGGGTACATATATATGTATCATTTAACTGAAGCATTGCAAAATGTGTCATGTCATTGGCATTTCAGTTACATGTTGAAAGACTCCCAGGTGGTCTAACTGGTCTAACTTGACTATAATTTGTTTATTGTGGCAAGCAGAGTGTCCTTCGTTTGTCCAGCACTTCAAACGGATATTTGTATTTTTCTAAGAATATCTGCTCCAAAAGTCACTTTTGCTGCTCCGAAACACTGTTTTAGCTGCTCCAAAAGCCACTTTTGCTGCTCCAAAACACTGTTTTGGCTGCTCCAAAGGGTGCTCCAAAACGGCTTAGGCCAATCACATCACTGGAACTGCGATATTCATACTTTTGGAAGTGTTGATTGCGGCGGGTTAGCCCCCTTGAGTGCGCTTCTCCTCAAACACAGGTGCACTGCGGAGAAGCAATACCCACGGAGCCGACTTCGCAATCTTGTGACTCACTTTGTTGCAGCGCAGACACCTTCAAACTAGTATTGTGCATGCGTGCACCTGGTGTATTAAAAAACACGCGCAAGAAAAACAAGAAACTTTGTGATTGTTGATATTACTTTGCAGTAAAATCTTCAAAATTTAACTGTGGCTATATGCAGATAAATGTGAGGCAGTGATGTTCCCAAAACCTGTGTTAATTTTTTTTTTTTAATTTTTAATTCACAATTGAAGAAATTATTTTCATCTAGCAAGAAGTTTTATAAATCCCCTCAATTAGGTATGGCGGGGGGCTCCTTTATAGGTTTAATTTTATGTCAACTCTGTCGTTAGCTTGCCATCCCAATGCAGGTACTAGACTTTCTGAGGCTGCAGTCTCTAAATATTGAAAGATTAAATTTAGCATAGCTCATGAGTGGGCAATTAGGAGCCTAGAAAAAACCTTCGAGAGTTCAGCTGAATTTTTGTTTAAGCATGGTGTAACAGTAGTAAAAGGCATGGAGAAAGGCGCAAGAACTATTTAATATTCAATTAGGACATAGTCGGCCGAAACCTTATTGACTTTAAATTTGCTTCGAACCCAAAATCGATTATTTGCACATGTCTAACGAAGAGTTACCGGTTTTTGTGTGAACGGTGCTCACATTGATTGCAATGAATAGCGCTATTCATTGTGATCTGTTAGAGCAGCTATGTGCTCCGCTTAGCTGCCCTATGAACAGTAGCAGGTGAAATACGAGCAAGGGCAGTTTGAGACACATTCAACACTAAATTGTATGTTTGATGTCGAATTCACGGCAGTTACGTAACTGTGATACAAACCCTCTACAAAGTAGCCAAGAAACTTTTTTTAGCTCAAACGCAGACCGAAGACATCATTGGTACTCCGAATAGGTTACCGTATTTACCCGAAAATAGGTCGACCACGAAAATAGGTCGACCCCTATTTATTGAGCCCACCGAGAATAAAAAAAAATAATTCAAATATAGGTCGACCTTTCTTTTCTTTTTTTTTAAGGAACAGGGGAAAGTTAGGGCAAAAGAAACAAACCTTTATTTACAGCACTCTCAGCTAAATCACAGGGCGATGTCAAAAACTTATTCATCGTCAGAACTTCCGGACATATCGTCGTGCGAAGCTTCGTCAGCTTGGTAGACATCCTCGCAAATTCAATTCAATTCAATTCAATGTTTATTTACCATTTTTTACAATGGCGGGGGCTGGGAAAAAAAGCTGTATGGACAGCTTGACGAGTTCCCAGCACCACA